GGAACTGAAATTGGCCACTGGATCGGTCTTGTTGGGTGTCGGATAGTACCGCTCAACAGCCAGTGTCATTTCAACTTGGCCCAAGGTGCTGTTGTGAATATTTCTGGTCAATCCGCCAGCTGGATAGTGATGGTTTCGCAAAATGACCGTTGTCGAATTGAAGGAGAGTTCTTCCGGATCAACGGCTTGTTGCCACGTCTGAATGCTGGGCATGCTGATAAAGCCAAATTCGTTGGCGAAGCGACCAACTGGATAGACAGAGGTATCAAAAGAAACCGATGTATCGTAATTGTAAAAGTCAGTGTCACCGTAGATGTGTCCGCTGGTAGTGTTGTAATACCGCTCAACAATAGGCACAGGAAGATCAAGATCAATCTCTAGCCAGCCATTGTTTGCACTGCAAGGACTGTATGAGATGGAATGGCTGTTTGCGGCCAAAACATTGAATAGCGTGGTAATGAAGAGATTCTCATACTGGCCCAGGACATATGGGTAAGTTTCAGGATCGGCGCCTTGAGCTATGGGCAGCATCAAGTTCTCAAACTCATTACCACCCATCCAGCACGCCAAAGAGGCATGATGGTTCAATCGACGGACGTTGTAAGTAATCTCGCCAACAACATTAGCCTTGAAGTCGTCACTGTCGGGATACAAAGTATCGCTGAACTGGAACTCGCTCCAAAGTAATACACCGCGCTCATCAGCAATGTCGTAGATCCAGTCAGGCAAGTATGTACCCGAGGACCACACGCGCAACATGTTGAAATTCTGCGACTCAACTGAATCGAATAGGCGATTCATTCTATCCGAGGTGACTCGTGGCCAAAAAGCATCGGGAGGGATCAGGTTTGCACCCTTGGCGTAAAACTCATGGCCGTTGATCTCGAAATGCCAGTTGTTTCCCGGAGTGATACCACTGGCGATTTGCGCATCTGTGATATTTCCTGAGCTAAACAAGATGGTCCGGAAACCAACACGCCGCTGAGAGACGAGAATAGGTGCCTTGGACCCTGCGCTGCTGACGGAAACTTCTATGTTGTATAGCTGCTGATTGCCCATGTCTCGAGGCCACCACAACTTGGGTTTGTTGGCATTTATTGTCACAGAGCCGGTGACGGTCATGTCAGATTGTGTCACGCCCTCCAGTTTGCCCGAGTACAATACTGAGCGGCTGTCACTGGCATCAGTAATGACGACCGACATGGAGGCGTGCTTCGGCAGAGTTCCCAAGAAATCGAGACTCGCGTTCACCACCCAGGGAGCAGCCTGGTCAGGGGCAAAGTTGTTGAACTGGCCCTTGCGGAAGATGTCAATGTCGGTGTTGAGAGAGTACAGCTCGCCGCCTTTGCTAAGCTGGACGATGCGGCCCGGCTGCCAAGGTCCTACTGGAGAGAAGGCTGGGCCCCAATCCCAGCCAAAGTCATTCTGTTCCTTGCGGACCCATTGACGGTTTGGATACTCGAATGGATAAATCACCGAAGCCGGCCAATCTATGTAGCCCCAGAGTTAACATCGCTTTCTTGAGATTGTGATTGTATAACTTACGCTGGACTTCATCGCTTGCGTTGATGGCATTGATAATGCGAGGCACGCTGCCAAAGTTGATGCTGAGAACAGGGTCACTCTTGCAACTAGCAAGTGCAGACGAAACATCGTAAAACCATTGCCGAAACTGATTATCTGGTGTTCCAACAATGTGGTCACAGAACTTGACAGTTGCATATGTATCCAAGCCATCAAACACTAGCCACGTAGCTATGTCTGAATGTTTACTCCTAGACTTACTGTTAGCATAACTGTTCTGATTGATCCATCCTCTACTAAACCGAGGTAAACTCACAATCCGCTAATTGGCTTGCTGGTATATGTCCAGTTCTGAGCCGCAATCCACCGCAGGTCAAAGTCATTTAGGCCATTGTTTCTAGTTTCACCACATCAGTCTCGCCTCTTTAGTTGACCATACAAGCCATTAAGAAGGAAATCTCACGGTTCATCTATGTGTTTCCTCGTTAGCATAGTCTAAAGTAGGCAATCGTATCCTTTGTCTCGACTCACTAATCACGCCAGCTGCATGAAGATCCAGATGAGCCTGCGAAGGGAACTTGCCCGGCACGGTGATGTTGCCGTATTCATTCGTCACAGTCCATTTCTGTAGGGCAAGATCGTGAATTGATGCTTTGCTAGTACTTTCTGTGGTCGCCACTGCCGCGCCCGCAAAGATGCTGAGCGCGGTAAGGAGAGGCCTCGTGGATCTCATGACTGAGATGGGACGCTTCCTCTTGTTTGTGACAGTAGCTGAATATTTTTCTCTGATGGCAATTGAATCGTAAAAGTTACAGAAGCCATGTGCCGCGCTCCAGTTGAACTCTTGCGAGACGTCTTCAAAAGGCCACCAAAGGATAGGCGCAGTCCTCCCTTCTTGCCGCCATTCCTTGCCGCTTTTATGTCTAAATTCTCAACCATGCTTGCCTCGTGTGAGACATCAATGTCAATGAGGGGTCCGGAACAAAGCTCGGCCATTGTTACACGGCTCGCGTTCTGTAAACCGGCAAATGCAGTCATGATTGTGTCGATCACTCCGATGTAGTAGTGATTTGTGTTGGTCATCGTAAACTACCTTTGGGGATGCGAATGACTTCATTGGGTTGAAAGCAGTGGCATGACCCCCGGACTCTGAGATGCCGCTTCTGCCGAGCCTGTCCGGCAGAGACGTTCCCCACGATTTCTCGTGTCACCAATCGCGATCTTGCCTGGGCAAGGGATTTTTGAAACTCATGCAGATGAGCCCCATCGCGGAAACTACCAGTTCCCCCGTACAGTTAGGTTGGAAATGAAGCGCTCCAACTGGCGATGATGTCGGGAATGCTGAGCTCCATTATTTTGAATGTCTAGAACCCCAATTGCTTGAGATTCTCATCATGCCGCACTCTCAAGTGTACCGTAGCATTGAAGCTCCATAATTCTGGGGGGTGATGCTTGGATGCATAGAGGCACTTGTGTCTGCATGTTGCGTCATGAGCGTCCATAGACTATGGGAACTCTCACTTGTTGAACGGATAATTCAAGAGAAAGAGGGCCAATCTGCCGGTTAATTAATAATCTGGAGATGCGGTAAACTCTTCCGTCCGTTGAAATCATAGATACGTAGGAAAAGAAGCTGAGCACACCTTGTGATGAGACGACAAAGATCAGCAGAGACGTGTAGGCACGAACGTGCTCCATCTGTGTTGCTCCTGTTTCGCAAGGACGCAGGTACGAAACAAAACATCCAGTCAGCTCCAGGAGATCAACAAGCACAATGGTAAGCTTAAATCGAGGCGGGGAATCAATAATTGTGAATACATTCCAGTGGCGTAGGCATAAGAATTCTTCGGCGAAGCATCGAGTTGAAACACAAATTTCATTAATCAAACTATATACCTATAAATATTTTATGTAAACCTGCTAGAGAATATCATCTCTAATTCCTAAACAGAGCGCTCATCTCTCACCTGCAGACCGATATACGTCCATATACACCGCATTAAGGCTCTCTCATTACCAAACTGCAAGCACACCATTCATCAAGAATCCTTCGACCTTTCAAGATAATTATGTGATTTCCAACGTTGATAATGCTGAGCAGGCGTATACTCTGGCCTTACAGCCCGCAGTCCAAAAATGCGACCTGCCCAAGAAGCAAGCGACAACAATACGTGAGATACAAACCAATCTGCCGACGGACCCGCCTTTGCGCGCGATCCTTTTCCGTTCCAGAACCTGGTCGTGCTCAGAATGACCGGGAAGTTGTCCAAAGAGTGAAACACGATAAAGAGGTTGAGCGTGATCCAAAAGTCGATGATCAGGTCCTTTGTCGTTGCAGGGAAGAAGGAGAACCCCGGCACATTCGTACTGATGATTCGCCCTGCATTCAGAATGATTCCATTGAGGTTCCAGAAGAACAAGGCCTTTTCGCCATCCTCTGGGTCCGTCCTCTCAATAACGACGACTTCTTCTCCATCTGGTTGCGCTCGCTGCCATTCGTGCCAGGCGTAGCGCTCAACCTTGATTTCGGGCTGGTTCGCCTTACTCGCGGTAATGATTTGCTCGGTATCCCCTAGGCGTACTTTTATGCTGCCTTTGATGACCTTGAGATATTCTGTGTGTGTTTCGTGCCAGTGAAGACCGCTGGACCAGGTTGATCTTGATGGGAGCGTGACTGTAACTTGGTTCGGCGTTGTGAGATCGTAGACGACGGCGTTGGGAAGACTTCGCTCAATTATTCCAGGAATTGGCTCCATTTTTTTGCTCGTTACTGGTAATGTATGAATCAAATACTGTGCTTGTCAAAGTGTCTATTTGTTAATTTCTTTTCTTTTCTTTTTTCCTCTTTTTCCCCCAAGGCAATGTATTTAAACAACAGTTTATGAGAATCCAGTTATCTGGCATCAAGTACCAGAATGCGTCGGCTGACAAATTCACATGCCAAATTTAAGGCGCGTCTGTCAGCAGCTTGCAGTCATGAGATGTGTTCAAACTCATGAGATTGTATCACTTGCTAGTCCAACAACTCGGCGCTAGCTGTTCAAAGCTAGACAAGTGTAACAACTAGAGACATCTTTTGATAGTTGATCATGAGTTGATTGCTGTTCAAGATATATTGTTGGGATTTCTTATCACAGCCCTTGTTTCAATTATGCCTTGATGGTTTTGACTCTGGTTCGCATGTATTCTTCAAAAGTGGGATGCACTTTGGTGTTTGCCATCCAATGTACAAACACGAATAAGCTGGGAGTAGTCAGTGAACATATAGGGGAATCGGGATAAACGGATGACTTTGAGATGGTTGTCAGTATTGAACTTACAGCCACTGGCCAGGCGCATCATCTTTAACCTCGATACCTCTCTTTCCAGCCAACCACACCCACGTCTTTAGTATATACTCAGGCTCTAGCAAGAAGACAATAGTATCTTCATCTTCATCGCTGATCCTCAATACTCGCTCCAGCGGCGGAGCTTCATCAAACTCCTCGCAGTTGTTCAACACCACACAACGACGGTGTCCAGCCAATGCCAGTCCATCGTGTACCATTCGTAACTTGGAGGAATTGCTTGTAGTCATCCGGAAGTGTCGTTTGGAGCGTTGCTTCCTGCTGCTGGATGGCCTCCTGTGAAGTGGGCGCCTTGATGAAAGGATATTCGTCAAAGGCTCGTTGATCGAATTGCACGCCTTCTGCCTCTTCCTTCTTGATGCTTGCGTCGGCCGTAGCTCGTATTTGACTGATAAGTTCCACCCAGCCGCGAAGGTCATCATTCGTAATGTCATCCAACGACGAAGCCGATGCTGTTACCATGACCATATGTGCGAACAAAATTTCAGTTGATAACTTCCAGAGCTCCAGTGCCTTTTCAAACGGTGATGATGGATGAACAATGAAATCTCCCGTTGACTTACGCAGCGCTGCCTGTACTTATATTTAGATATGTGCCGTACAGTGAGTTTTCTTTCCCACTAATCAGCCATAATGGAAGCTCCGCAATACTATCAAGGTCTGGCTCGTATTGACTAAACAATAGATTCAGCTGCTGACACCTTACTCGAAAGGAGCAATGCTGGATTAGCTGCATCAGCACTGAGAGAACCCTATTGTGACATGTGTAATATTTCAGTCTATCATTTTCACGTATAGGCTTATATGAGGTACTCATATGGCAATCCACCGCTTTAGCTCATAACTAAAATGACAGGGAAACAACGAGGCGCGTAGAAATAGAACACAAGCACGATACCATCTACACGCATCGGAGCTCTAAAATAGCAACACATGGTATCATCCTGGTATATTGCTAAGAAACTATAACTACATGTATATGCAAGCCAACACCAACATATATACATCACGTCCCATCCATTAGAACATTCGACGTCTACGAGGTGTAGCGGCCAACATCGCTACCAGGGTTCCAGCCTCCAGTAAAGTCGGGCTGGGCATTGATGTTGGTACCGTCAGCCAGGCGAAGAGCAACCTTGGTGTCCTTGGCGCACATGCCGTACATCTGGAGGTTGGTGGGCGTAGTCTTGATGACGTGCATGTAGTCTATCACAAAGATTAGCAAAATGTCTTCTCATGATGTCTATCTGGAGCATATATCAACTTACCCTGGCACTGGTAACCGCCAGAAGCGCAACCCTGGTATCCCGGGCCGCTGAAGAAGGCCCAAGAAGCAGAGCCGTAGTAGTAGATGTTAGAGCCGCCCTGGACATAGTTGGCAAGGCCCATGTGGCAACGGGCAGTGCTGTCACACCAGGAGAAGTCAGGATCGCCCCAGCCGTTGACATCGACCTTCCAGGGAGCGGGAGGAACCTGCTGAGTGTTGTCACCCTGGTCGTAGTTGGTCTCGCTCTGGAGCATAGAGACAACGACGTTGCTGGCAGAGCGAAGGTTGAGCTGGTACAGCCACCAGTGCTCGCTGCCGAGGCCATGCAGCCAGGTTCCCTTTGTCGACTCGACCAAGGCGCCCCCCTTGGCGGCAATGTTGGAGCCGCCGCTGAAGCCCTCGGTGATGTGGTCGGCAACCCAGTTCCAGGTGTTCTCGACGTAGGCTGACGAGGTCTGGGTGAAGTGGAGGCCGAGGAAGGCAGCCTGGCACTCGGCATTGGCCTTGCCGCAAGTGTTGGTCAGGCCATCGGCGCCGCGAGTTCCACCGACGGTGATGAGCGAGTTGAACAGCGCAACATCGCCGGCCTTGCTACCGGCGGCGTTGAATTGCACGATGATGGCGCCGGGGAGCACATCGGAGACGGTGAAGCGGAAGTCCTGCAGCTGGGCAACGCCAACATCGCCGGCCTTGCCGATCTGGACGACGGGCTTGGGGTTGGAGGCGTCCTTGAAGAAGCTTCCGCCGCCGGAGATGGTCGCCCAAGCCTCGCCAACAAGACGAGAGCCAACGGGAACGACGAGAGTGGACAGGACGCGGTAGTCGCCAAAGGGGAAGTAGGCAATCTTGTTGTTGGAAGCGGCAAACTGGAGCACCTTGTTGAGAGCAGCCGAATCATCGGTGCTGCCATCGCCCTTGACCGTTTGCCCGCCGTTCTGGCTTGGATCCTTGACGTTGACGAAGTCGGTGACTGGGTTTTGAGCGTAGTTGGGCACAACAACGGCCGGGATGCGGCCGCCGGGGGCAACGCCGGCCGGACGGGCAGCGGTGCTGGAGACGGCGCCGAAGATGGGGCTGCGGCCGACGGTGTTTCCGTAGCTGTAGTTGACGACGGTGCTGGACGACTTGAGAGCCGTTGTGCCGCGGAGGACGACGACATCGGAGGCGGTGTCCTTGGTCAGGTTGTCGATGACGATCGAAGGGTAGACAGTGGTGCTGAAGGTAACGCCCGAGTTGATGGACTTGGCATCGACAATGCCGATAAAGGGGCTGCCGCCAGTGTTGGAAACACCAGTGCCGACAGTATCAAAGGTCGGGTTCAGCAGAGTAATGGTGTTGCCTCCGCTGATGAGCATGCCAATCGTGTTCTTGTAAAAGTAGATGCTCTTGTAGAGAGCCTGTTGGTGGCCATTGTGCCAGATACCGTTCTGGCCGTTCTCAATTCGCACGTCGGCAAGGCCAAGAGTAGATCCACGGCCAAGCTGGATGCCAGTGTGACCTTTGCCGCCGCTGGAGGGCGCAAGAACAATCTTGACGTTCTGCAGCTGAGCAGCCTGAGCAACACCCCAGTAAAGAGCAGAGATGCTGGAGGTTCCGCTGACGGCCGTGGTGTCCAGGACCAAGTTCTTCAAGCCAACTGCAAACGAGAGCTCGCCGGAGACGCCTGTGGAGGGATCCTGGCCGTTGACAAGATAGTTGCCGCTGAAGCCAGACGCAGCCTTGATGATGGGAGGGTTGGTGGCATCGCCCATGAGGATGGTGTCGGTGCGCATGTTGAGCGTCTTGGACAGCGTATAGGTTCCCGGGGGAATATACACAACTCGGGGCTGAGATGCCAGCCATTCATTCTGTCGGTTGCCGCTGCCGGCCGAGTCGATGGCACTCTGCAGAGAGCCAGCATCGCCTGCATTTACAGCAACAAAGACGTTGTACGAGCTGGGGCTCGTCGTGTGGGGAGCATAGCCCTTGTACTGGCCGGTGTGGTCCATGGCAGCATACCAGAAGGATGTGTTGGCTCGAGGCTCGAGTGATCGCTCTTCATGACGGGCCATTGTTGGCGAGGCCGTGACGGCGCCCAGAAGGGCGGCCACAAAGGCCAGTGACTTCATCATGGCGAGAAATGAGTGACGGGAAACGAGAGTATCAGGAAGGATACTTGCAAAAAAAAAAAAAAAAAAAAAAAAAGGAATGGATAACGAGACGCTGCCCGTCTTAAAGAAGCAAATCGATACCTTGGCGGCTGGTTACGACCACCTTGACCGCGTGATCAAAGCCGTCAGAAGTGCTCACTGGAATAATACTACCATCTATATAAAGAACTTTGCTCAATCTTACCGCTCGATCCCCAGTCATCATATTCAGCCCAGCGGTTCATGTTCCCCCCATCGGGCCGATGGCCCTACTAGAAGCCCTAGCTGTCATTTCCAGAGCGTCTCGTTCATCACGTCCTGCCTAGACGGGACATACCAAAGACATGTGCGCAGATCGCGACAGCACTTCTCCGCCGATCTCTGACAGCTAGCTGGACGTTTGCCCGTAATGGCCAGCCCTCCGTGATGAACGGGGCACAGCCGTCTTACTTTGGCCTTTACCCAGCGGTCCTGATCATCAAAGACGAACCAGATCGATTGGTCGGACAACTAGTCGCAGCATTTCTCTCTCCACTGCGCTTGACACCGATCGGCAGTCGGAAGTCCACTTCAAGCAGCTATACTTGGGGACAGCTAAGAACTAGTCGGCCGTGCTAATTTTATGACACAGGGGCAGAGCGGCGCCGTTCGGCGGCTTGGCCGAGTATCGTTTGGTGGCAGACATAGTGCTGGGAGACACTAGCAACTAGCAGTGATAATCCATGAGAATCACCCCTTGTGTGGGTTTTGAATGCTGACAGGGGGCCTGACAGTGAGGCTGAGGGTGCGGCTCCGCGCTCGTGCTCGTTCTCGTGATTACATGAGGGGCAACGAATAGAGTTGAGATTGGATGATAAAAGGTTCCTATAAATACTATACCTCGACATCTGATAGAGCGAGATGAGTGATCAAGCCAGCGTCATGTTGGTGCTTTCTTTGCGTCAATCCCCGGGTTGAAGTTGTTTAGCGCGCCCCCGGTTTATGTTACGACGCTTACAACGACAGGTTAGTCATTAAGCTCATGCGACTCGACTTGAAACAAGACGGAAAAATTAATACCGGGGGCGTTCGAGACTGGGCCATTCTCGCGGCTAGATTGATCAGATGAGATGACCGGTTCAAGATGCATGTCAGGTATGCTTGCGCCATTGGCAGTCTGGGGGATAGGAAAGATAAGCACAAGAATAAAGATGGTGAGTGAATATAAATATGAAGGAACAAAAATACAAAATAAACAAGTATTAAATGACGGAATGGTCCGTCGACAGGGTGGGATAAGCCCGACGGCTGAGTCTAATCACTCCCGTTACTAACTCCGGAATATTTTCCGACCTTTCTCAGATACGGATTATTGGCATTTCTGACAGATACATCTTATCGAGAGGAGAAACAGGGCTGAGGAATATTAATAACCAACTTTATCTATGATGTGTAGAGCATGCACGATGTATGCAGCACACCTATTTTTATCTCAAGATGAGCTTGTTCTTACTCATATTACATGGGCGCAATGCCTGCGCCGGAACACACTCGTAAGTTTCGCTTCATTCACAAGCTATGCTGCTCCGAATCATGAATCAGCCGGCGGATTTTTTTTATTTTTTTCCCTTGCTGAAAATGCATTATGTAGCTCGTTCAAATTGAGACAACGCAAGGGGATACTATGTGGAATGAACGAGGCCAAAGACCCAGCGTATTGAGTCCTCCCGAAACTCCCGCTCCTGGCTCCGGACGAAAGCCTTGAATGTCATTGCATGTAGTTGAAGTGCGGCAGACAGTACTCCGCAGTGTAATGCAGTATCATCTCGAACTTTGCCATCTCACACCCTTTTCCAAGCTGCCTCGATAGGCTTTGAAAATTGGCTCTCCATTGAGCGACACTAAGGGGAAACTGCCGGCGCTACAGGTCATATCAGCACATACTCATCATTCGTCATATTTGGCATTCGTTTTCTTTGTCTATTCTGACAGACTTGGACCAAGATGACTTGCTACCAGGTCTAATAACTCCCGATATTTCGACTAGGAGTATTACAAGAGGCTCTTGGGATCAGGAACTCACAAAAAGGGGTTCTGATCCTACAACTTAATGCTGCCCCTGGGTCATATCAACCTTGGCCTTGGCACGCTATTGAAAGCGCTTACAGCTACTCGCATATTAAACAGTAATAGTTAATATGTCATTGCCAACTTCCCCGATGGCACTTCAATACCCCTATTGGGTATGTTTTCCTACGGCGTGGGCTGAGACAACAGTAAGATGACCTTGTAAGATGAAACGTCAGGTAAATTCATGCTTTGTCAACTCCGCCGCAGACGTTCTTCTTCTTCCGGCACGAACACATACATCCTGGCGTGGAATGTCATCTGCGTAATAGCCAGTGCGGCTCCCCAGTTAGTATTGGCATTGCATGCGTCCACGCTGGTGTGGATGCCTATGTATGTAAGTTCTCACCTAAAATTTCCGAGATGATTAGTCCTACACTAGCCAAACGCCGTGGTATTCCAAGCAGATGTCGACGTTGCGAGCGGGTCTAACTAACTCCTGGAGAGGCACTAATTGAATACGAACAGGCGAATTCCGACTGACTTCTCAGAGCCTTGAAGCAGGTGCTTACATTCTTTCGGGTATATGCTTGTTTCTCATAAATTACTTATATAGTAATAGATACAGCGCCCTTTTGCGTTCGACATGACTTCCATTGGCTGTACTATCAAGTCCAACGCCCTCCGCTAAAGATAATGTAAATGGAAGCCAAAAAATAGGGAAAAGAGAAAGTGCTCACAGATTGAATGGTACACACTCTCTGGGCTTTGAGCCCTGGCAACCGACGAGGTGTCCATGATAGGCTGAATCCTTGTCTTCCACAGAATAATACCTGCAGTTTACATGTCTTCCACCAGCCACTGTTGCATCAGCTCGTCAACATCAGCCGCCGTGCTCGGCCCCATAAAGTCAATCGTCGTCATAAAGGTCGGCGAATAGTCCAAGTGGAACGTCGTCCCTTGGGCCACGAACTGGCCGGCGTTCTCCCCAGCACCACCGGCGATTTGTTGGCCGCCGCCCTGGTCCCCGACACGACTCTTTCGCGCAATGGAAATAATTCCAAAGTAAGGTATCGTAAAGTGAAACTTGTCGCCTTGCAATGTCTTTGGCTCCTTTTCAATGGCTTGGAGAAGCTTCAAAACGTCGCGCGCCTGCAGAGCGACTCTGTCGTCAAACCGTTCAACCGCCGCATCCAGAACTCCGATCACATCGGCGACCAAACCCCAGTCCCTCTCTGTACGGCCAGATACGGTCTCCATTTCAACAGCCGGCGACCGTAGAAACATGTTGAAGATGAGAATCACGGCGGCCGTAAATGCCTGGAAATTCGTCGTACAGCACGAGAACATGCCAAACGTCGTTCGGAGTGGGAGATAGACTTGAATGAGCTGTCGCGCGGCTTTGAGGCACGCAATCCTGCTGTATTCGGTCTGTCGTTCTTCTGATGTGTCAAGCATAAACGGCAAATGATTGGACATTTCAAGCTGGTGGTGCCACAGTTGCATGTTGTATCGGGCGTACAGCATCTCCATTGCCTCTACCTGTGTCCCTGAAAGTCTGTCAGAGGGATGCCACCATGATTGCGGCACAGACGTGGCCAGACTCAGAAGCGCATTGTCGATGGATTGTGTTAGAGCCATTGCTAGCCTTGAAGAGCCCTGTTCTCTTTCGATCAAGAGTGCGGCGATGCGGTCGAGTTGTGCAAGATAGAGGGCATCTAGCTTGTGTTGATCCAAATGCTGCATGAGTTTGAGATTGCTTGGAGCAAGGGCTTCATTTGTATCCACCACTCCGCACGGAAATCCGAGAATCTGGGAGAGGTGCCGATCGTAGTGGACGATGTGAGGCCACAGGTCCGCCATGTTGACTTGTTCGTTATTTCTGTCATCGTCAACAGCTTTGTAATATACTCTGTGGAGATCCATTAATTGTGCGATTGACAACGCCCTTCGATTATTGAGCCATGAGCGACGAGGTCTACCCGAGTTAACAAAGTAGATGGAAAGAAGCAAAAGGCATTCAAGCCCCTCGGACGTGGCGATAATCTCGTCATCGGAGGCAACCAAGGAGATTATAATCGAAGCAAGAGACTCCATGTATTCTTTCCGTGGCAACGGCAGCCGGAGTTGCGTGATGTCGACATGCTGGGGCAGCTGCTGGAGACACATGACAATGCACATCAAAGCTCTCGCTATGGTCGTGGGGTGGCTAAGCGTTGACGACTCGAGTGGCATCGTTTTGAGTAGCGAAAATTTATTGGATTGCTTGAGAGATGGAAGAGGGCGAAGAAGTTGGCAGATCCAAGGCGAGCTGTGACTATCGAGAAATTCGATGGCGGCACGAGACGGCATCATCTCCAACAGCAGGCGGGAGACTCTCTTCAGTTTCGGCCACATCCCTGTGTCGTTGTTTGTCGTTGATGGGCCAGTATCCATCGCTACGGTTGAGGCATCTGTTGAACACGCTTCCTTTCCACCAATCTCTAACAGAAACTAAAGGGCGAGAAACTGATGAGTATGCAGCTTCTATAGGAGCGATGAAGGGGAAAAGATGAGCTTATTCTTACAGATGCACTCTGGAAGACGGAAATCACGTCAGAGCTCGATGAAGGAGCTGAAATATTGGATGCTGTATTAACAACATCGATTCCAGTACCGTCACCGACTGTTGCCGGGCGTCTTGGTGGCTCTTCGGTATGACTCTGCCGGCTTACAGAGTCCAATTTCTCAAGAACTTGCTCCAGTAAGTTTTCAACACGCATCATCCTGTTCTCCATGCTCTGGGCGCGAGATGCATCGCCCGTCTCATCTTGGAACCGTTGGCTGATGCACGTAGAACCGTGGGAGATGCACCAATTGCAGATGCTTGTGTTGCCAGAAGGGAATGTGCATCTAATCTTTCGGCGTTTGCCTGAAGAGTAACTCATCGATTAGAAGTCAGACAAGGCAAATAGCAAGGCTGCCGAGAGTAAGATCGGCGTTCAATTTATTGAGACGTACATTCCCAGCAGCTGCGTGTCCCTTTACGAACCTTTCGGAGCTGAGGCGGTGGCATTGCATCAGTCGATTTTTGCTGTCTTGACGGTCGAATAATTGCTGAAGAACGTCGTCTGTGTATGGATCTGGTCAGGCCTCAGCTTTTGATGAGTTGATCAGGACCTCTAGTGAACTTTGAAGCGTTCAAGTCATGACATGGACCTGTCACGTTGAAGCTAACCGTTGGCTTAGGCTAAGTCTTAGCATATAACGAGAAAACCCACGCCGGGCCAGAAGTTTCTGCGTAAGAGCCGCGTCGAATTACTCTGCGGACAAGGCCCCGAAAGATAAGGTAAGATGACCCGCGCCACAGTTTAATTGTACAGTTACCGGTATGGAGTATATATTTATTCATCTTGTCGGGTGGTAGTATTACTCCGAGCTCAATGGATGATTTGCTATATTATGAATCGTAAGCGCGCATGTATTACTCCAAATCAGAGTCAAGCATGTGTTGCTAAGCATAAGGTACATGTATGCAGCTCACTGGAAGTGAGCAAAACAGGCCGCATAAGAGCAGGGATAATCCTACAGAAAGCTACATAGCCTAACTCATCGTTCAATAATGGTTCAGCAACTGGAACCGCGTGCTCGTAAATGAATTTGCTCCTTCATTGAAGTGCCAGTGATCTTTAGGTGCATATATGGCACAACTTCGCTATACTTGGCTTAGAGCAATGGTATCAGGGTAGACGCTTGATCAACTCTCGCTCAATGGCAGCATCCAGCCCTTCCGGCGGCTTCATCCCCAACTTTTCGTTCATAACCACGCCCTCATCATCAAAGTTGCCTCCAGTATTGTAGATGGCCTTGCTAAGTATATACCCCAATTTGCTCGCATCGCCCTGGGCCAGCGTATTCCGCGCCTCGAAAACCTTTTCCTCTAGATCAACACTAATCTGCTTCCATTCAACCACATCTAAGCCTCGTGCACTCTCGATACGCGCCGTAACCGAAATAAGAGATTTCAGTATCTGGTCTTGGCTGGCATTGAACGATCTGACGCGCACGTATTGGTTCGCAACAATGGGGTAGTTTTGCGCAAGCAGAACGCGGGCTACCGCCTCGCCAACCGTAGATAAATTCGACCAGCTAAAGCGGTGACCGTGGTATCCGGGTTCGTGGATTTCCGCCGTTCTGTCCGGAAGATTAAAAGAGAAGAATCCGGTGTCGAGACTCCTGTCCGACCATGGTTGCGTTAGTCAGATATTAATATTTTCCTCTCCGCGCAGGCGGGCGTTGAAAAGATTCCTGTCAAAGGGAGCAATACGAAGTGGGAAGTGTACAATGGAAGAATTTACCAGTCAAAAAATGGTCCTGTAATAATCGCTGTCCAAGTAATCTTGTCCTCGATAGACCGTAGATAGCGTATAATCTGCGGTTTCATGCGAAGGAAAGTCATGATCTCGACTACTTTTTCCTTTGATGTGTCAATCCCGAACTCGGCCGGGATGAATCGCTTGATTCCTGCCTCAACGGCAGCGTCAATAATGTTCTTTTGTTCCTCGAAATCGGGCATCGTGATGGTGTTGACAACCGCATGCTGGCCCTTGAATGCCGATACGAGAGAAGCCCTGGAATAGTCGGTGCGGAAGAGATTGACCTCGGGGGGAGGCTTGGCAGTTGAAGAAGCGCGAACAAGAGCAGAGACTGAGAATCCGTATTCTAGTAACGACGATATTACGACGGGGTTCAACCTCCCTCCAGCCTGCAAAAAGCTCTGTTAGAATATATTCGAGTGTGGTTTGTTAGTGCAGAGGGAATCATACTCCAATGACTATGACATTTTTTATTTCGCTCATACTGATAAATCAGTAGATCACCCAATTTTTTTTTTTTTTTTTCAATTTCACGTGTCTATTATACACCAATTGCTTCTTCTTATTATCTCCCAGGCCCTTTTGATTCTCAAGCTGCTGTCGTGTCGTATTCTCCAAGCATTGGAATTCGGCCGAGCTCGGCGGAACAACGATCGCACTATGGAGACGCTTCTTTTCGCAAACTATCTCAACTGGGATGGTCTCAATTCCCATTTCGGACACATCGACATTCGGCCGAAGCCCGGTCGAAGATGTTCTTCCATGAGTATAAACCATGTAGAAGCACAGGTATATATAGTTATGACTGCAGTAACCAGCAATACAATTAAACATGTCAAATATCATCTCGTATCCAACTTCCACAACTCGACGTTCCAAACCCCAATCGCTATGAGTTCTACACTATATATGATTGCTTTTATTAGGCGCCGTCCTGATCTTACCGAAGAACAATTCTACAATCACTGGAGGAATATTCATGCGCCCAAGATTGCGTACTGGGCCAAGAAGAATGGCATCATTGGTTACACGCAGGTAAGCCATCTCACCAAAGGAATCTCCAGTCAAGTAGCCTATCTGACATCATTCAGATTCACACCCCTAGTTCCCTGCGCCAGCCCTTGACGGAAATGCCACTCCCTCTCACCGTCATGGAATATGATGGTGCCGTGATATGGGAGATTCCGAGCCTAGAGCATTATATAAATGCCTTTAAAGATCCTTACTATGCGAGTGATATTGCGCCGGATGAGGACAACTTTCTTGACAAGAGTAAAGAAGTGGCAACGATAACATTGGGCAATTTTCACAACATTGTCGCTGGGGCTGAGCCCCTTATCGACTACTCGGAGTCTGAACGATCGAAAACAGAGTAGAAGATACGCACACTGAAACTAAATTGCGAGGGTTAGGCAAGTGGCAGGTACATATAAAGCATTCAGGAAATATTCACAACCCTTTCCTGTCTACCATTCCACTGCAATTACATGGACGGTGAATTTCGCCGAATGGCAAGATGATATTGAGGTGAAAGCTACAGGCGATACCTGAATCCGACCGTCTTCCAGTCCGTTACATCCTCGTAATCCTCCGGCCTCAGTTGAATCTCCGTAACTGCCTCAGCAACATCTTTGCCGTCCAATACATCAGACACTTTACCATCAGCCACTGCGCCAGCCGAGCCGGCGTTTCCAACAAAACCTTCTTCCCTCGTCCGCTTCGCATTGAACCATTGCAAATAGAACCTCAAAGTAATAGCCAAGGTAATAACGATGCAATAGCAAACCATGATTGCCTTGAAAGCAGTCTTATACGTCGGAGCTTCCGATGCGCGAAAGAATTGAGGGCCAGAGATGTTGCCGGCACAGTACGCCAGGAAGAGCATAGCCGTAACAGTCATCTTCTTGGTGACGCCGCGGTAGTTGGACTGGACAAGGGCCATTGTGAGAGGCATAGCCGCGGGGCCAGGAGACAGAAGAAAGTAGGCAAACAGCTGAACACCATGAGGCACGCTATCACGGCGGTAGATGACAGCCGCACCGACAACACATGGAATGAGGATAATGACAATGAGCAGACAGTTTAGGGTTCGGTAACGGCCTGCAAGCCATCCGGAGCCCGCAATGATGCCTGCTGTAAGCACAGAGTAAGGGATGTTGATGAGTGTGGACTGCAGTGAGGTGAAGTTGAAGGAACCGATGATGATGTTGGAGAAGCTTTGAGTGCCGCTGTTGGGCATCTGGCCGACGATTGTAATGAGAAAGATGAGCCACGTCTTGGGGTCAACGAGACACTCGATAAACTGATCCCACCTCCACCGCGAATTCTCGGTAGCTCCCGTGCCGGCAATGACTGTGCGATCAGCTGCAATCTGGCGCTCCTCGGGCGTCAGGAACTTGGCCTTGGAGATGCTGTCCGGGAGAAAGAAGAACAAGGGGATGCTCCAGAGGAATGTCGCAACGCCGAGGGTGATGTACATCCACCGCCACGGATGCACATCATCCTTGACATGTCCCAGGCCAAAGGCGATCAAGCTGGACACGATGCCGCCGATGGAGTTGCCGGCAAACCAAATGCCCACGCGCGTCGGCATCTCGTCTCGAGTGTACCAGGTCGACGTCAGAAACATGAAAGCCGGCGTGATGGTGGCCTCTGCCATTCCTAGCAGGAACCGCACGGCCATGAGGCCACCAAAGTTGGTGCATGCTGCTGTCAGGCCAACAACGGCGCCCCATACGAGGGTGTTGAAGGTGAGATACTTGGCGGTAGGGAGACGGGCGATGAGGAGAGTGGTGGGATACTCCCAGATGAGATAGCCAAAGTAGAAGATGCTGCTAACCCAGCTGTACTGCTGTCCTACAAGATGCTGCAATGGTAAACATCAACGTGTTAGTTATTCATCCTCTGTCTATTTCGTAGTTGTGGTGGATGCTATAACAGTTGAGGTGTGTTCTTACCGTATCATCACGCAGGCCAAACACGGCGGCGCTCGACAAGATGACTTTGTCCATAAAGTTGAGCATATAAGTACAAAACAGCAGAGGAATAATGACTCGGTCAATCTTCCTCACCACGCGACGCGCAATGGCGGCATCCGCGCCTGTCTCCATGCGAGACGCTTCCTGAACTGAAGAAGTCATCTCGGCGTCAACGTCAATGGGACTGCCCAGTAACGGCTCAGTTTCGCGAGATGCGCAATCATGTTGGCCGCTCATTGAATGCGCGTAATCCGTATGTATATATGCATGTGTAACCTCGTATGCAGCCAGTCGATCCCTGGAAGACGCCGTCCTCCTATCGCACCGCGTTTCCGTTTCCCCTCACGCTTATCTTGGGAATGCGGCGACGAGATAGAGATAGCACCAGATAGCCTACGGGATGCAAGAGTTTTGTCTCCCGAAATCGGCCATTCGCCGAGGTGAGGGGAGACTATGGCCGGTTAAAAGCTTAGACGCACCCACTTCTCGTGTCTCAACGGTCTCGTGCCAGCAACTCGAACGATCGGGGAAGGGAAACAAACTGAGAGAGACGATGCTATGAGAATCTCTTAGCTCTGGTTTGAAATTCTAGGCCGATAGATAAAAAGGTGGCGGTTTGAACGACGTGCTTACGCCGGCGGACTCGCGATTTACACAGTAGCCTCAGTCCGCTTACTTGCCCATGTGGAGCTCTGATTTCAAGTTATCACCGGAAACGCCCAATGAAGATGCCTCAACCGCTGGAAATTCTCGAGATATAGCCACGATATCCACCCGGGGATGGTTTGAGGCGAAAAGTTGGCCGATGAAGACGATAAGCATCGTCCACAGACTCACCGAGAGCGCCAACAATTCGCAGCTGCATTGCGCTTTCTGCCTGGGCTTCTCTTGTCCTCTCTATTCGTGTGCTATAGAAAGGTGCTGAACTGAGCTACGTTTGCCATGAACGGGCTTGCAGTCTCTCCATTCATTGCCTCCCTTCCCAAGGTTGAGCTTCACATTCATATCGAAGGCACGCTTCAGCCAGCCCTGCGATGGAAACTGGCTCAACGCAACAACATTCCGCTGCGCTTCAAATCCCAGGAATACCACACCTATGAAGAGCTCCTGGAGTCGTACAACGTTACCTATAACCATCGCCCGGAACTCGGTGGCCGCAAGGATGTACCGACGTTTCTAGAAGCATATTTTGTGGGCTGTGAGGTTCTTCTCAAAGAAGATGACTTTTATGATCTCGCCATGGACTATCTGGCGCGATGCCGCGAGATGAATGTTCGCTATGTCGAGCCGTTTTTCGACATCCAAGCACATACACGTCGTGACGTCCCTGCAGAACATGTGTTGAACGGCTATTTGCGAGCACAGCGTGACGGCGCATCCAGATACGGCGTGCGATCCAACTGGATTTTCTGCTTCTTGCGGGATGAGCCTGTCGAAGACGGCGAAGCCGCATATCAAACAGCCCTGCCGTGGGCCAAGTCTGGACATGGTCTATTCCACGCAGTTGGCCTTGCCAGCAACGCCTATGAACGGCCTCCGATGCTGTTTAAAAAGGCATTTGAGCGAGCTCAAGCGGATGGCCTTCACATCACGACGCACTGCGACTTTGGACAAAAGGACACGCACGAACACATTCGTCAGGCCATTTTCGACGTGCAAATAGAGAGGATTGACCACGGCCTTGATGTTCTCGACCGAGATGAGCTGGTCGCCGGTCTAGTCGACCGAAATGTCGGCTTGACTCTCTGTCCGCACGCCTACCACCGACGCACGGCAACCGAGGTCCTCTTTCCAAAGCTACGAGAGCTGATTGACAGAGGGGTGAAGTTCTGTATCAACAGTGACGATCCTGTGTACATGCACGATGTCTGGATCGACGGCAACATGGAAAAGGCGTATCATTATGGAGGGTTGTCGAAACAAGAGATGGTGCAGCTGGCGAGGAATGCGGTCGACATGTGCTGGGCGGATGAGGCTGTGAAGAAGGGCATTTATGATGAGTTGGACCAGATGGATGTTTCATTAGAGACCGTCCAATGATTGTGTCAACAATTATATTGTTGCTAACACGATTTTACTTTGACGGATTCAACGGAGCAATTGGTGTTATGGTGATACACAAGTGCTGTGTAAGCTAACCTTGAAGATAGATATCACATTGGATACGATGCTCAGGAACCTTTGAAGTTGCCCACGATTATAAATCGTTTTAGAAAACGTCTAAACCATAGGGGAGCAATTCTGTCGCAATCAAGTCAGTGTCAGCAATCAAGTCTTTGTGATCAGAAAAAGCCATAAGTGCTTCCAGCGTCAAATATCTAAGCATAACTTGACGCCTTGGAACAATACAGCAGAAAGACATGGGGTTATAGTCCGCGTAATAACATATCGGCAATCGGTCCACGCAATATGCGCGTCTCAGCTGAATGCCCGGGAACGAGTAGCAACTTGAAGACTAGGGGTTGACAGGGTACCCCTGAAACCCAAACATGCATGTGTACACGCACAGCTTCCCTTTGCGGCTAACATTTTGCCTTTGCAGTTGATTCTTACAGTTAATTTTTATGGACAGTTATTTTTTGCTGTTGCAGCCAACCTTTTACGACTTTGCTTTGCAGTCGATTTTTATAGCCGGCCTTTGCAGCCGACTTGTTGCTGTTGCAGCCGGTCTTTTACTGTATTACCTTTTACACCGACTTTCCACCTTTCCATAACAACTAGCTTTAGTTTCATAGTAGCTAGAGCTTTTTACAATCAATTCAATACTTTTTTCGACAGCTTTTACAGCAGCCTTTACACCAGCCTTTACAGAATATAAGGTAGCCATTATAACAGCTGCTACAACAGCTTGTTGTAATTTATATAAGGTAGTAGTTATGTATAGGTATAAGAGGAAAGCTGTACAAGTACATGTTTGGGTTTCAGGGATACCCTATGTACAGCTTAACCATACACTCCTCGGGAATTAAATTACCTACAGATTGGACTATTCTGTTCCTAGATATATACGTAGGTATGCAAGCCAAGTTTCGTCAGATCAAATCTACCGGGGATTAATAGTCCGAAGTCCGAGACGGACCAACTTATACAGCGACCATGAGGGAGCCAGCGATGTATTTCCCCTTAATTGACTATCCCCATGCCGCAACGAATGCTTAGAAACCGTCTGCTTTTCTTGGCTCCATCCTGATGCTACCCCTTTCAACGACGACGTAGGCTCATTACGCCGTCAACATGCAAGATCTCGGCGCTTGTATCCGGTTAGAGCAGTATTGCGGGCAGCAGCAGGCATAAGGATTGGACAGGGCATGGTCCGTCTCGGACCCGAGATATCTGCCGGGCTTCTATAGCTTCTTCCAACTACCGACATATAAATGCATATATATATCAGGTAAATAAGGCAATCGACTCTCTTGCTCTGTATCTCAACTTGGTAATCACACTTGATTAATACCATCATCATGCACTCCAGCTTCTTTTTCACATTTTCAGCATTAATTGCTTCGGTGGCGACTACCGCCGTTATAAACCTTACAGACGAAAGTCCTTTCACAACGGTTCAGGACAATCGCCTCATATATCAGTTCGCCAATGGAACAACGATCGAAAACATTGCCGTCCGCTCCAATGGAAGTCTCCTCGTCACCTTAAGTAGCACTCCTGAGCTATATCAAGTCGATCCATTCAACCCAGAGAATCCAAAGCTGGTCCATCACTTCTCTGGGTACCTAGCTCTTGTAGGCATAACAGAAGTGTCTCCAGATGTTTTCACACTCATCGCAAGCAACTTCTCCGCTGCAACTGGTGAATCTCCAAGTTCGTGGGCGGTCTGGCAGGTGGCTTTTCAAGAAGAGCAGACCGAAATCTCAAAGGTTACCGACCTTCCTGGAGCTGAGTTTCCGAACGGCATGACTACCCTGGAAACCACCCCCAATACTGTCCTTATTGCCGATTCAGCTGCGGGTGTCGTCTACCGTGTAAACACGCAAACTGGAGAATTCCAGGTGGTGCTTGAGGACGAAACATTCAAGGCCGCGCCGGGATCTCCGCAACCTATCGGCGTCAACGGAATCCGATATCTCGACAATTACGTCTATTACACAAACTCCTTTGGTCCTCTCTTCGGACGCGTGCCCGTCAACGCATCTGGATCCGCCGTCGGAGACTTCGAGGTGATTCTTGCAGGAATCATCGGTGACGACTTTACAATTACGCCCCAAGCAGCATATATCGCTGGCAACCCAACCAACGTGGTCACCGAGGTGATGCTAGACGGCGAAAGCAAAGTTATTGCTGGAAACATCAACTCAAGCCTCGTTGCGGGAGCTACTTCGGTCCAGTTTGGCAGGACGGCTCGAGATAGTAATGTACTTTACGTTACCACCACCGGCACCGTCAATGCAACGTTCACTGAAGGTGGAAAGATTGTGGCTTTGGATATTGAATGAGGTAATTGCTGGCTTGAGTGGATGTTGAGTTCAAGGGATCTTGTGGACTTTTCATCTCTTTATTGTAAGAGGATCTTGATGTTGGCCATCTCGGTGATTCGAAAGCGACGGGGACAAAGGGTTCGCCAGATGAAATGTCAACGAAGCCGGTAGAAAGGACTACCTCATGATAGATACGTGTTCAATATAGACTATATAAACAACTGACATAGAATTTGTAGTAGAGCATTTCCACTTCAGTTGAAACACGAGACTAATAGTCCTGCAATAGCTGCCAACCGTGCTGCAAAGAAGATCGAAAGGTTGTCGCAGTTCTAACAGCTTACAGCAACTACTTCCTCTTTCTATAGTGCCGAGATGCCTTATGAACCCCTTCACCGAAAACGTCCCCCATAACAAGAGAAGCGTATATAGAAACTCTTCTTTTTAGTAATACCATTCCATCTAGAGCATCGCGTTCACACCTGTGATGTTATTCGCTGTTTCTTCTTGCCCCGCTACAGGTAGTAGACTGCAAACATCAACCCTTGTGTGGAGCTATAAATGCTATGAAGAGGCCAACAACTCAACCGTGGTATGATACGTTGTAAAGAGTAGGACAATAATTCAGAGCTCATCGATATTTGTATCAACTGTATATACATTTTTATGGAATACTCCTTTCTAAGTCCGAAACATTGCTATTTACAGTAAATATTTGCTTCTCTCAACGGCTCAACTATCAATTCAACTCCAACTGCTTAGTGGTATCTGCTGATGGCATTCAGATACGCCTGGCCCGACTGAGACAGAGATCCATCACTCTTCACAGGAGGCCAAGCAGTTCCCAAGCCGAGTCCATCAGTGTATGCGTACGCAAGAATATGCGGGTTGGTCTCAAACAAGTCCACAATGTCGCTGATCCACTGGTTGATCTGGTTCTGATCCGTGCAAGGCGTAAAGTTGTTTTGGTCAAAGACGCAGGCAAACTCGGTCACCCAGATCGGCTTCTGATACGTGTTCCAGTAGTAGTCAATGTCGGCTTGCACGCCGGCCATGTCCGGCTTGAAAATGTGAATAGAGGTAAAATCCCAGCTTCTGGCGAGTGATTGCTGGTTGAACTGCTTGAGCCACGACTCGTCTTTCTGGCGACACATGGCTGGGCTGCCGAGCAGAGCTCCCTTCTGGCCCATCGGAGCAATCAAGCTATTCCACAAGCTGACTCCTCTGTTGACGTCGATGTTTGCGGAAACATCGGCTCCAGAGCAGTCCGGCTCATTGAAACCCATAACGTAGGCAGGCGTAGTCGTGAGTTGTTGAAACTGCTGCAGTCTTTGGGCGTCGCGCTGCCCGTTGTTGCCGCCACCCCAAAGCATAGAGACGGGAACAAGGCCGGCGCCTTTGGGGCTTGAGGGAGCTGGTGTCCAGTCATGCCACCAACTCAAGTGATCTTTCCAGAAAGCTAGAGCAGTATCACCCGCAGATCCAGCCTTTCGGCCGTTGGGCGTCAAGGGATGCTGGGCCATGACGGCAGCGGAGGCCCCCAACCAGAGAACGTAACTTTTCAGAGACATTGTGTGTTGTATGTGTACGTCCTAATTGCAAAACAGAGTGTTTCAGTCAATGTTGTCTCCCAAACGATTACAACGCGCATGTTGTTTCGACGAGACAAATGGCTTACTTATATAACTATATGCGATCACGAGTGCCGGGCCTCGCGGCAGTAAGCTGACAACTACGTAAAAGTACGAGATGCAAGTAATCCTAGCATAGGCAGCAGTTCTCGATCCGGCAGTTGTATTCTCAGGTGCATGGATTAAAGAAACTAATCACCTCGTAGATCGAAGTTTGGATGCACCACTTTGCACTTGGCAACAGAATGTAAGGGGTAAGAGGTAAGAAACAAAAAGTGCAATTGAAAACAATGTCAGCATTGAATAAAAGGGATGCACCTCAACACTAACAAAGGCTTTAGTGCCTTCACGAAGGAGAACACTTTTAGCTTCATAGTGATGAAACAATGATTCAGCATGATGTTGTTCGCACACACCGGCAATTCGTATAAAGAAAACTAAAACCCCCGGCCTTCGCTCTCGTCCGATGAAGAGAACCCACCTTCATCTGTAGCTGACATGTTCATGTCAATAAGGACCTGAGAAGTGGAGAGGCAGCGGCCTTGTATAAACCTGGCGCCCATCATCTACGAATTGAACTAGGGGGATAAAAGCCGACGGCCAGTTGACATGTTTCTCGATCAAAGCGCAATGTGGAAATGCCGAGTGCCGTCGTTCTCAGAGCTAACGATACAAGGTACGGAGTACGGAGTAGGTGTGCTGTAGAAACGCGTGTACGATCAACATGGAACTCAGGGGCCGTCAGCACGGGTCCATATTCTTGGCGTTACCATAAAGAGAAGCTTGTTTTTAGAGATCGGCATTCGGTCCGAATGAACTTCCTCATTTGCTCATGTAAGAACAATACTACTAAGCGGACAAGCAGAACGCAGTTGCGTGACGGTTCAAACGTTCTGTACGGAGTATGCTCTAATAGTCCGGAATAACTTTGTCAGCAGTGTCTTAACACAATTATGTGACCTAAGTACGCGTAGATAATGTCAGGATTGGAGTATGAGCTGTATACAAGTCTCGCATGAAGATTCCTCGTACTTGTATCGAATATACAATGCGATCGACAGTTCAAGCCAACACTCCACGGCAGCTTCGGGCCTTTCCAGCATCGTCGTATATGCGAATGCCGTTGTTGAGTCTCTATAGTGACTAGAGCCCCTTTGAAGAAGATCGACAACTGTTGATCGACACTCAAGGAACCATCTTGGTAGGATGCTGGTTGTCTCTCATATAGTATAAGAACATGTAAAAGTCATGAGATTTCAGAACTCTTCAGGCCATCTCTTGTCTCTTTTAGACACTTGATACAACTGCCCTTCTTCAAGATGCTGTCCGCAATTGCCTTTTCGATTCTTTTGGCCTCTGCCAATGCTTGGACTCCCCAGTCCAATGCAAAGGGTTAGTAAACTCTCGACCAGCCACTGAACAACAGCTCACATGGTATCAAACACAGTCTTCAGCCGAGACACGAAAAACGTTATGAAGTGGCTTCCCGGCAGCGACAAGTTCCGTGGTGTCAACCTCGGCTCCCAGTTCATCATTGAGCCATGGATGGCCTCTGATGAGTTCTCCAGTATGGGCTGCGGTGGTCTCAATGATGAGTGGTCTTGTGTCCAGAAGCTTGGCCAAGACGCTGCCGATGCCGCGTTCCAGAAGCACTGGGACACGTGGATCACGCAAGACGACATTAGCCAGATCAAGAGTCTGGGTCTCAACACGGTCCGCATCCCCGTTGGCTTCTGGATCCGTGAAGATCTTGTCCAAGAAGGCGAGTTCTTTCCGCGTGGAGGCATCCAATACCTCGACCGTCTGGTTGGTTGGTGCAACGATGCCGGCATCTATGTCATTATGGATCTTCACGGAGGTCCAGGAGCGCAGTTTCCAAATCAGCAATATACTGGCCATGTAAGTGGAAAACTTCAGCCGTTGTGCCGATTCTTGTCAGTTAACAACATGACCACCAGGGAGTCTCTCAGCCAGGTTTCTACACTCAAGACAACTACGGACGAGCAGCCGACTTCCTGGAGTGGATGACTGAGCGTATTCATACCAACGCAACCTACGCTTCCGTCGGCATGCTTGAAGTCATCAACGAACCAGTTCACTCTGGCGACTACCCCAGCCAGGCGGCCGACATGGTCAATACCTACTATCCTCTTGCCTGGAACCGCATCCGTGACACTGAGAGCCGCCTGGGAGTCTCTGATGACAAGCGTCTCCACATCCAATTCATGGTTCGTAGCCCTTCCTCACGCCAACAACCTCTTGTCTTTGCCCATCTTTATTTCTACAGAATATCAAGAGACTGACATGAAAATAACAAACAGGACGCCACCTGGGGCTCCGGTGATCCAACCAGCGCCCTCCCCAGCACTGACTTTGCCGCCTTCGACGACCACCGCTACCTCAAATGGGATACCGGCGTCACTGCCACCAAAGACGGCTATATCAATGCCGCCTGCAGCGATCAACGTCCTGCCAACGCCATCATCGGCGAGTGGTCCATCTCTGTTGCCGATTCCGCCCAGGATAACTCCGAGCTCGGCATCCGTGACCGCACCGACCAGGCCGGCTGGTATCAGCAGTTCTGGGCCGCCCAGGTACAGGCCTTTGAGAAATCCGCCGGCTGGGTCTTTTGGACATGGAAATGCAACTGGATAGCGGGTTACAATGACTGGAGATGGTGTTATCAAAGCGCGGTTGCTGCTGGAGCTATTCCAAAGGATGCCAGCAGTGCGGCGAGCCTCAGCCCTTGCTAAGGGGGCCCATGGACATATTTGTCATATATCTACTATATCTACTTCTTACATAGGTTTCACTGTCATATAGCACCTTCTTGTGAGTAATCGTATATAAGAGAAGTCAAATAATTGGTTGAAGTGTTTGCATTGGTCTAATAACGGCGTTGGTTCTGACAACTTGAGCATTCGCGACTTCACGAACCAATAAATGCAACCAATTCGACCAATCACAATTTCAAAATGATCGAAATTGCATCAATCCAACGAATTACTGACTTCCATTGTAGAAAATCCACCTGTATACGTCCCAGTTTTCCCGTCTATCCATCATGGCAGCCAATTCTCCGTCATCGCCCCGCAAGACAGGAGACAACATGAAGATTAACTGGAGTCCTCCTCTCGTAAAGAGCAAAATAACACTTGTCCTCTCTGAGGACTCTTAAAGTTATGATGCTCTTCGCAGTATCGGCACCTATCTTTGGTGCCATGTTCAACTACCCGTAGGCAACCACACATACACGCGCAAATATGCATTTTGATACGTTGTAGATTGAAAGAGTTGAAGTAGTGATGGCGTTTAATAACCACGAGGGAATGGTGTGAACTTTGAGGGCTTTGTTTTTGAAGGAGCACTTGCTGTTGTTGGTGTTGCGACTTTTCAACTCCAATAACGGCTTCGTGCACACACGTATATATAGATCTAACACATCTGTGAGTCAAGCCAAGTCGAACTTATTCTTGGCATACATTCAGCAACTAATAAGAAATGTTTGTCAAAGTCATTGGATTGTTCTAGACTATCAACTACATTATTAAAAAAAAAAAAAAAAAAAAGACAAAGGCCAACGATCCATGCTGCATTCCGCGACCTAGGCCAGCCAGTGTCAGTGATTCGCTGCTCATTGCCCAGTGCGTCTTGCATAAACTGCAATCTGAGAAAACAACTACATAACACTTTCATAATGATTAAAAGCATCCTACATAAGACGCAGAATCTCACGTCAAAGCCCACGTTGCGTAGCGCACATTCTGCAGCGCATCACCACAACGCCGCATTCCTAGCAGCATCTTGGCAAAGCCAACGTGCCATCCTACAACGACAACGTGTTTCCTTTCTCCCCCTCCTCATGAACCCCCATTTCGCACAATACTCTCACTGCCCAAAACCGCATACCAAAAGATATTTCGTTGTGCCTTGACCTCACTATCGCGTTTCGCTTTCTCAGAAAGCTGGGGTCCCTGGAGATCCTGGAGGAAGCGTCCAACAAAGCTGCCGACGAACGGCTTAGCGTACAGGTTGTAAATCATTTGGGACTCTAAACTCCTCTGTCCAGGCGGCTCAGTCGTTGCAAAGAAACGCAGCGCAAGGGCCATGGGGAAGAGGCCCGAAGCGCCTTGCATGGCACCCGCAGAAGGCCCGTACAATAGGGGAACTGCGTGCGCGATTTTGCGAGCAAAAGTTCCTGGGTTAAGCATCCTTACCCGAGGCACTTCCTCGCACAGCCCTGGCGCACTAGATGTTTCTTCTGGAGAGGTGGCTGGGGTCGACACGGGAGCAGACGATGCTGGGGAGGTGCTGAGAGACGGGACAGAGTCGGCGCCCGGGCTCACAGATGCCGCCGCGTAGGCCATGTTCATCATCCCAAGGGTGCTGTATAGTATCAGGCGAGCTCCCCAGTACACGCTTGAGAGGTAGACGAGCGAAAATTCCGTGTCGTCCTTGGGCTCTGGTAGAGGAGAGCCGACAACGTTGTAATCGAACTGGTGAAGATCGGCCCCCATTTCCTCTTCCCAAATATCCAGGCTGTTTGAAATATGTTCGCAATGTAACATGGCAATCTGGCGGAGCTCGTCGGCGCGATCTGGGTCTTGACAGGCGCGGAGGTTGTCGTAGCTGACCAGCATGAACGGGATGTCTTCCATGATGTCCATCAACTTGTCTTTGACCGACTTGGGGATGGTGCGCCATGGAACGGTGCGCCATTCAGGTGAATGGAGTGGTGAGTGAGTTCGCCTTCCAATACACAACATGACCTAAGGTAGTATAAGTTTAGCTACGGCTGATAGGAGAGGGGGGGTTGAGGTCATACCACGAGAACTCGTCCATCCACATACAGCTGATGCGCTTGTCCAGTGGTAAAGGATTCTGGTCCTCTGGCTAAAAAGATGGATAATTGGCCTTCAATATGAGCACGCCAGTCAGGTGCGCTTCCGAAGAATAGCTGTAGGCCATGTGGTTAGCTTTCATACTGCTATCACTTCATGGAGAACCCTTACCTCGTAAGATTGCAATATCCTCGCAGCCACAAGGACGCCATCATTTTTGGATCGCCTCGCATCTTTCAACCCTTTGACCATTTCGTGGATAGCGCGGTTGTAAGCCTCGAGCCCTTGGAGAGTGAGTTGACTGTACTGGGCAACCTTGTTGTTCCGATCCTGAACCCCCATGAATCCCGCGCTCATTGCCAGAGATGCATATCGGATAGCGGGTTCTCTGTTGTAATACTCGTCAACTGCTGCCACCCACCCGTTGGTCGAGATGGCAGAGGCCTTGGGAGATAGTAAATGGCCATAGGGAAGGGACATGGAGATGAGCATGCCGAAGAAGAGTTCCTCTCTGGCGGATCGAGCGAGCGAGTCATGAAGAGCAACGGCAGTGCTGTTGCTGTTGTTTTTGTTGGTCTTGGTGGTGTAAATCACACTCCACGGCCTCTGTTGACCAGCAGCGGCCTTTCCCTGAGGCGGATGCGGCTTGACCTTGCCATCATCTCCGTCCGGCGTGGTGTTGACCCAGACGAGGTCCCGCCCATAGCCTTCACATTGCAAGCCCGACCGTATACATTGGTGGCACGACGGAACGTTTTTATCGCACTGTTTCGCGAGTCAGCAATACGGATCGAACAAGATCATGTCACATGAGCGGGACCTCTCTCTGTGTGAGAAAGACCGTGTTGATTGATGTGGAAGCTTCTTGGTGACTTACACCCTTCTTTCGGCGTCGACAAGTGACGCAGCCCTTGGATCTGCCAGGGACTCCCACCATCTTGTCACCTTCTAGTTCTGTTGTTAAGACCGCTCAGCAAATGAAAATTCACGGTAAGGAATCCGTAAATTATGTCTCAAGCTCAAGCGGCTCGGGATGCTCCACCTCCTTGATCGATGCTTAAGCTTAAGCACGGGGCCGTTACCGGATAAAGCTGGTGTAACTCGTCGCTTGTTGCTGAATAGTCTCGAATTTCTGGAGAAAAGGCTGAGTAAATCTCCTTTTTAGTTGTCGCGACACAGTCGAGATGCGCTCTGGGAATCCTGACTTATGCAAGTCCAGGGAGCAACACGACAGACTGTGCAATCTCCAGCCACTAGTCAAACGGCGTTGGTATGTGATAAACACCGGTTGTCTCCTGCGCCACCAAGCACAGATTTAGAGGAATAGAGTGTCGGTTCCCAGCCTTTGCCGCAGGAAAATGCCCTGGATGGTGATCGTGTAGAGGCAGCGTGGACATGAATGCTCAATTGTTTCCCCCACAGTAAGCCAGCCCCTCATCAAATCGCCTCTCTCTCTCGATCGCCGGCGATCAAAACCGATCGAGGATCTCGGATAATCTTTTGGGTTTGTCCCTTCCGGGGCTTGTCGAATTCAAAGACGATGTCTAGCCGGGTCGCTCCGCTTACTCGGGCCAGAATATATCCAGCCAGGACCAGCAGTTGTGTCGTTTGGCTACGATTGTTATGGGCGCAAGTTCCGCTGATGGAGACAATTGAGTCCCCCAACGTGTTGCTGGAGATGGTCCAGATAGATATACAGTAACTGATACTACATGGTCGAGCTCCTGTGGACCCCAAGCTTTAGACTACGACCGAGCAGGGTCATGCCGGGTCATGCTAGCACATAGGTAAGCACGAGGAACAGACAAATGGCTGCGCAAATGTGTCAGTTGCCAGGCCCAGGTCGGAAGGGGGGGCCTATCAGTTGTTACGTCCCATATCGTCCGCCTCCGATGCCACGCCGCCGAAACAGGGATCTGGAGTACCGGCACGGTTATTTCAAGGCCCCCAAGATTGAGGCCTTTGCACACCTGGACCACTACCGTGTGTGCATTAGCGGACTCGGTCTCTGCAAGCCACGCATCAGAATCGCAGGTCCAGGTTCGTTCCATGAACGCGGGGGATGCTACGGTACCGTCCATCAGAGTTGATTACACGTATGAGTACATGTACAGTATAGTAGATGCCACTGATGCCGGCTTTCGGCCAAGGTCTCGCTCGACTGCCTGCCTGGGCTCTCTCGGAATCCCACAAAGATGTCATCCTTCCTTGCCAACCCTCCAATACGAGAACGAGGACTGGAGCTTAGCCATGCGACGGGCTCCCTTGCGTGTATTCATCCGAGGCTCGAGAGGGGTCAAGCGGAAGGATCTCAGACAAGACAACTGGGTTGCGGATTTTAGATGGCGCCACAGGCCATCTGGGCTAGTTATCCCCATTCGTCGTGCAAGGATACTGGACTGGATACACTGCGTCAACGGCGTGGTTTTGGCCGACGGCTTGCTTCAACGGCTGCTGACGCGCCACATCTTGGACTGCCGACTTATGTTACCTGGAGATGGCATCAGTCGCGAGCTACGGCAAGGTAGTAAGACGCTTGATCGCAGAGCGGCCCTGTCCACCTTTAGTACATGTACGATAGTGCCGAAACGGCCACATTTTAACGTACGATTCTGGCAGTCCGTTTGTTTACCTTGACTCGGGCTAGTTAACTCCTGTACCATGAGCCATGAACCATCCATGGCATGAGCCTTGCTACTCGCTACTGTACTATTTTACCGGGAGGCTAGGCAAACGTCCTGCAGGTGGACGAAACAGGCTGCGCGCCTTTCCAATCTCGATGAGGCCGTGCAGAACCCGCCGGTTTAGTCTTTGAGATTCAAATGACGGATATCGGGAGTGAGAATCGAGGCCGAGTCAGTGGCGCTGTAAGCGATCCACAACCAACGTGTAGGTACCTGTTGGGAGCAGCTAATCTGTGCAAGCTTCGGCGACGATAGTTGGACCGCGTGGCAAAGCAGAGCTTGGCTTTTGGTTTTCTGCCTCGTTGGTGGTTCAACCAGACTTAGTACTCCGTATTGGCCGGGTTCCTATTTCTAAGCTGTGCCGATGGTGGAGGAGACGGAAATCTGCGCAATTCGCAAGTCCGCTTACCAGGTCCATCCATCCATGACCTTGGCAACTTGGATCTTTCAAAGGCTCAGTAAGCAGTAGAGCGTCCCACACCGAGAGGTGCCATCAATGGCAGACTACCAGTTTGTACTACTTTAGTTCGCTGGTCAGTCAAGGAAATAGCAGGAGATTGTGATATCCGGGCCGTTTAATTGCGAAAAAAAAAAAAAGGCTTCGTTCAAGATGCTCGTATCTACAATGTTTGAATACTCTGTAGCACGTGAATGTGCCAAATATAGCTACAAATTACAGTTGCTCCGGAGAGCCGGCAAAGTCTATCTCCAACGCACGTCATGGTGTTGAGTATTTTGCCAGAGTAGCCTCATCCTAGTGGGAGCCAAGCCGGAACACATTGCCAACCGAACAGGCAGATTCCTCATTCCATCCCGCCCTCCCTCCATCTCCGCAGTGGAAGAAAAAGAAGGTTGTCGCCACTTTCTTACCTGCTATCCGGTCCTATTAGACCAAGGTCCTACTGAGTACGAAATGTACTGCAGGGTAACAGCCGCGGCAAGTCATTTCGGTACTGACTGGAGGGTACATGTTTCTATCACGGGCAAAGACTTCCGATCTCCTAAATCGGAGTACCAGCTACCTGTCTCTCGGCTCCGCCTCTAGGGGGACCAGAGGTAGCGGTTCAAATTAGGGGCCGGTCGCTGGTATTTTAGTGCCAGGCCTGTTCTAGAAGCCGCTGAACCAACCATGATGAGATTGCATCCCGGAATAACTATTTTCCGATATCAACCAAAGCTCGAAACTTCAGAGGCGATGCAGCGCAATTTGGCCACAGCGATCACTTCATCAAAGCCAAACGCGTTCATCTTTGCGCTTCTCTGCTCTGTCGCAGAATCATCACCGCATCAGCCGCCATCATGTCCTGGAGGAGCCAAGGCATCACGGGCTCGAACAACATCCCGCTTGGGAAATCGCGGCGCTTCGGCGGCGAAGAGGAAGAGGATGGCTTTGTCGAGGAACGCGATCTCAAACGAGGCCGCGATCCCGAGCCACGAAGCGAAGCCGATGGCCCTCGCCGCCGCAAGAAGCGCAATCGATGGGGCGACGCGTCCGAGAACAAGGCTGCCGGTCTTATGGGGCTCCCGACCGCCATTCTCTCGTCCATGACGAGCGAGCAGCTCGAGGCGTACACTCTGCATCTTCGTATCGAGGAAATCAGCCAGAAGCTTCGCATCGACGACGTTGTCCCCGCAGATGGTGACCGGTATGTTCGCATCACAGCCTCTCTGCGAGCATACCAACAGCCACTAACGCTGTGACACCACAGATCCCCATCACCGCCACCCCAGTACGACAACCATGGTCGACGTATCAACACCCGAGAATATCGCTATCGCAAGCGCCTCGAGGACGAGCGCCACAAGCTGATCGAAAAGGCCATGAAGACCATTCCCAACTACCACCCGCCCCAGGATTACCGCAGGCCGACAAAGACCCAGGAAAAAGTCTACGTGCCTGTTAACGACTACCCGGAGATTAACTTCAGTATGATTGCTAACCCTTTAACCCTAACCACTAACTCCCCCTTTTTTCTTTCCTTCAACTTGGACTATGACCAGACCCTCAATACTATGCCGATGTGTGGTGTTGCAAGGGGCTCTGGTTTCTTCCGTCGATTGATTGTGCCTGTCTAATCCTAAAGTCTTTCCGATGTTTCTTATCAAGTTCAGTTACTAACACATAGCTCTCCCCCAAAGTTGGTTTACTTATCGGACCCCGTGGTAATACACTCAAGAAGATGGAGAATGACTCTGGAGCCAAGATTGCCATTCGTGGAAAGGGCTCCGTCAAGGAGGGCAAGGGTCGCTCTGATGCAGCTCACTCCAGTAACCAGGAGGAAGACCTTCACTGTTTGATCATGGCAGATACCGAAGAAAAGGTCAACAAGGCGAAGCAGCTCATCCACAACGTCATTGAAACCGTGAGTCTCCCCCTTCCACGTCCATCATGCTGATACCCTTTGATGCTGACACCCCGTTGCAGGCAGCTTCGATTCCTGAAGGCCAAAACGAACTCAAGCGTAACCAGCTTCGAGAACTTGCGGCCCTCAACGGAACTCTTCGAGATGACGAGAACCAAGCCTGTCAGAACTGTGGTAAGATTGGACATCGCAAATACGATTGTCCCGAGCGACAGAACTATACCGCCAGCATCATCTGTCGAGTCTGTGGCAATGCCGGCCATATGGCTAGAGATTGTCCAGATCGCCAGAGAGGTGCCAACTGGCGCAACGATGCGGGTGGTGGTCGCCCTGCTGCAGGTAGGATCGGAGGTGGTGATGCTGTTGATCGTGAAATGGAGGTATGTGTCCATTCCTTTTCCCCAGAATACTGTTCAGTAATTAACGCCCTCTTTCCAGCAACTCATGCAAGAACTTGGCGGCGGCTCCGGAGCTGCCCCAGCGCAGATCGAGGCCGGCCCAGGCGGCAACAACTACAATGGAAACAGCGAAGCGAAGCCATGGCAACGAGGACCTACCGGTGGACCCGCGCCCTGGAGATCCCGCAACCAAGACTCTAATGACGGAGGCAACGGAGGAAGCTCTGCGGCTCCTTGGGCACGCGATCGCAATCGCGGCCACGATAATAGCAACGGCAACGGTCACAGCGGCGAAAACAACAACTACTATGGACAGAACTATGGCTCTTCATCTGGAGGAGCGGCTCCGTGGCACCAACAGGCTCACCAGGCGCCGCAGCACCAGGCTCCTGGAATGGGTGGGTATCCCAACTATGCTGCTGCGTACGGTGCCTATGGCGCTGCACCTGGTATGGGTGCGCCTCCTGGACTCCCCCAGGCGGGTGCTGCCGGTCTATCTGCTCCTCCAGGTCTTGGTCCTCTCAACGCTCTCATCCAGCAGTACTCGGGATCAGCACCGCCGCCGCCGCCTCCTTCTGGGGATGCTCCCCCTCCACCTCCCAGCGATCAGCCCCCTCCGCCTCCCCCCCCTGGCGCGTAATCGTTGGTCACGTAACTTGGGGCTAGCTGCCCTTACTCAAACATACTCAGCAGACTGTAATAGGGAACAAAGTAACATGAGATCTTACTTACAGGATTCATTCGACGGATAGTGCTCAGTTCGGGGTTCAAAACGGGAAATAAGGCCCAAATTACTTTTGGTCCTATTCTTGGGATTTTCGCATTACCTCACTTCTAGGCTGTTATCATGGCTTCGTAGTAGGCCTCTTTTTCATGTTTGTCCGTTTGGGGAAGCAGACTAATCGCACAGGCTCTTTATCTTTTTTTTTTTTGGCAACTTTGCTCCATAAATGTAACAAGTGTGCTCTGTAGCTGTATGGAATAATGTCCTGTTTTAGAGCTTGATGGGACCCGTTGAGACTTGCGTGATGCGTTGAAGCCCAAGTAATGAATGACTGGTATCATGCAGTAGACGTGGGCATAATGTGGCAGTCATGGCATGTTTTGACTTGGAACCGCACGTACCCATCTTCAAGACACTGTGGTGTAACCATCTCGTTGCCTCGAGCCTAGAGAAACTCTTCCAGAGAAACATCAATAGCTGCTCAAGGCCATGTCCCATTCTATCTCTAGAACGATGCATCCTCTCACATTACTGCAATTTGAATTATTTGGGTGCCGGCCGTGTCGTTGAAAAGGGGTTCCGCCTTCGAAACGGCCCGAGACTATCCTTGAGTTGAAACCACGATACGAGATTTGTATTGATTAAGGTAGCACGAAAACGCCACTACTGGTCTCACATCAAAGAAGAGGGAATTCCTAGATGGTTACGCGAAAGAAGTCATGGTGGACAATTAGCATGGAAATTCAGGGGATGCTGATGAGAGCAAGACTCGTGAGACAGTAGCATCTAGTCGCAGGTCAAAATCTGATACAGGCACGAGATCCTTACCAACCATATGGCGGAGGATCGAGATACCAAACATGACCGACATAATATGCGATGGCTGGACCGAGGCGAGCAGTATTTCGATCGTACAAGCAAGTTTGAGTTGAGAGCGGACACTAGCTGTTGAATACACCGGAAGGTTTGGAAGGCGTAATTGCAGTTGTTGCTAGGGAGAGTTCCTTCAGACAAACTTTCAATATTTGGTAAATCATTTGTATAGATGGTAGATTATGCTACTCGTAACGAGGGACGTATGATGGAATAGGGGCTGGGATTGAATCACGCTGATTTGAATGTACTGCCACAAGAGAGAGATGTTAACAAGGTTAGGAAGATGATTTCGAGGAACTGATGAAGACCTACAGACAACTCAATAAGAAAGAAGTTATCAGTATCTGTTACTTCTGTATCAGATGTTGGGTTTTGCTCTTTCTACGCAAGGGGACAGCAGGAACACTCTTCTTGGCTTAGACAGTCTGTCTATACATCTGGGGGGAGCATCTTGGAGAGCAATATGGCTTGACCATTTGTTGTGAGCCAGAACTGGGCCATGCGTGGGAGGCATCGTCTTGGTTGGCTTAGAAAGGACATGGCATCAGTGAATGCTGAATGTTCATGTGGAGAGATACGGGGGGGCGGTTGAGATTGGGCTCTTTGGAGAACTTGAAAGTGGTTGTATTTTGCGAAGATGTATTGACCTGATGCCAAATACCAGGAGAATTTACTACATTACCTAGGTTATGGTAACACAGCCCGCCCACTAGAAGAAGTCCTCTGCATCTCGATATGATGCTGAATCCCACAGCCACAGGCCTGCTGGAGAGCCAAGATGGAATGCTGGGCAGCAACTCCATCCCCTAGTAGTTCCGAGTGCCCCTGAAGAGACCAATAGACGGTATTCTCCCCTTCTTTTGAAATGGAAACACCTCCTTACATGACGTGGGCGTTTACAAACCTGTGAATCCTAGTGTTTTTGCCTAATTCATGGGAAAGGAGCACAGTCACTTTTCACTTCTCGTGCCGAAGAACAAGTGATTGCGAGTGACGCCAGGGATTCTGTTCGTTTGTTCTGAGCAACTCCCTCGAGCTGCTTCGCCCTACATGTGGTGATCCTTGGAGGCCTCAAGCAACACCAGCACCTACCAACGGCGGGAAATTAGACAAAGGCTAGACGTTTCTTTGTACAACCCTGGCTGCGTGTGGTTGGCACCTTTGCACAGACTCCGTGCATATGAGAGACGCCGTTTTGTCTCTCCACAACAGCTGCAACAGCGAATCATATCAGATAATCAACTATATTACGCAAATGCTACGATCCTTTTGTTCTTTCTCCAGCAAAGCCTCTACGACTATCTTCCTGCGCATAACCCAAAGCCAAAGAGCCCTTCGCCTCGGCAAGACTCCGATATGCCCGACCTAGGGCTACAGCAACATTCCGAGACCGTTTGACGTCGAGCTTCTGGTTGGTCAGCGACAAGGGCCCCAGGGCTTGGCTTGGCTTGGCTGGGCTGGGCTCGGCAAGCTCGGCAGGGCGCCAGGCCGACTGGCATTAGCTTGGGGGGGCTTGTTAGCGCTCCGACTGAATGTTGGAAGAACCTCGATGGCGGGATCCGGGATTCAGAAGAGGGGCGGCCCTGTGGTTTCTGACGTTAGTTTGCGGACTTGACGATCACGATCCATCGTTTCTTTTGGCTGAGCTGAGCGCCTCGGTTCCCGGAGCATCCGCGGGATTTGGAGGAAGAACATGGCAAGAACAGCAAAGATCGGAGGAGATGAGAGTTGTCATGGCACGAACAGATGGAAGAAACTTTTTGCTCAATCGTGTGCTGCGACTCGTATGGACGGAGCAGCCAGCAGTGCAGTCATCGCACTCCGTACAGTAGCGCAGAAAAGGCTTGGGAAGAAAGCACAGCCATGTGGTCAGCCGAGCCTTGGCCGGGCGGTGTGAGTGTCCGTCCTTATTTCTCATTTGCCAGCTCAGCCTCGGGTGGACATGCGGTTGGTTGGGATTTGCATCTTGGCTGAGAGGAGCTTTGACTTGAAAGGAGAATTGCCTTTGTCTCGTGTGCCGTGTTGTGTTGGGAGGGACAAAGTGCAAAGTGGAAGGTCGCGAGGTTTCGAGGGAGGGAGAAACAGATGTGCCGAGGGCGGTAAGAGAGGCCTCTTGTTTTTCTGCCCTCGAGCATCTACTATCTACCTACCTCAATGTAATCCCATCTGCGAACTGACATATCTTTTGCCTCAAATCATTGCAAATCCCGGAAAATTCGTGGCTTCAATTTCCGGACCGTCGATGCTCGATTTGTCAAATCTCGAATCTGGCCATGTTCGGACCCTCGAATCGGCGACCCTCTTGGGCAGCAAACGGGCGACAGCTTCTGGGGCCAAAAGGTGGCGCCCTCGTCCGCCCACGAGATAGATTCCACACGCCTGCGGTGCCCTGCAGGGATTTTGCTGCCCTTTCAGGCAATGGGCACGGGCAGATGGGGTGAAACGCCAATCTGCTCACAGGGTTTCATCCTGGGCGTCTCTGCTCTGTCTGCGGCTGACCCGCGGATCTGTGCGTACGAGCCACTGCACAGTGCAGCGTTGCGCTGGCCATGGCCCAGCAGCGGCAGCTTCTGTTTCTCTTTCATGCAGATCCGTCACATCGTGGCTTCAGAGTGCCGTGCGGTTCGCTGCCGGACGTGACAAAGGCCATCCTTGAACGTGTCCTTGCAACAAAGTTCAGGCACACACGCCCCCAGGGACGCCGGAGCTGGACGCTAAACCGCCGGCCAGATAGTTAAAAAATCTACTCGTACGGGCTCCGTATTATCCAGGCGTCGAACACTACTGCTGTGAGGAATTATCCAAGATGGGCAAACAGGGAGCCCGGCGAGAGATGGCAGAATGATGCTCTGGCTCGGGCTCAGTGGCCCTTGTGCTCCCATGGCACCGCCTCGCTCCTTCAACGGGACCACATGTCATCTCCCTCGCCCGGGTCTCAGTTTCGTCACAGCGTCACAGTGCAAGAGCCCGCCAAGGAACGATGTGAAGCGGCTGGTCCCTTGGCAAGCCCTTGGTATGGCGGTTCCATTGGCGGCTGGAGGCGACTCAAATTTCACATGCGTGCCATTGGCGGCGGCCGCCCGCAACCCTAATTTCCCCTTGCCAGAAGCTCAGTGTTGTGTTGTGTTGTGTACGAGTACACGTATGTGTTGGCCATGAGCACTGGACTGGACTGGACAAGGACGGACAATGACATGATGGCGCCGGAGAGGCACGGGAAGCCAAATAAGCGCCATCCGGACTATTCGACGCTCATGCTTCGATAACGGCTTGCAAGCCACCAGGCAGGCAGGCAGTGCGAGCACATTCGCGCAAACCTACCGCCCCCTTGGCCTCATGCAGAGCGATGGGCCCTGGCGCGGATCGACTTGTACTTTGTTCGGATCCGCATGATGCACGGAGGGTGCTGCCAAAAGTGAGATGATCTAGCGGAGAGCGACTAGCACGTTGTGGAGGGCCACAAACATCGACTAAGCCACCGCAATGGGTTCCTCGAAAGGGCTGGTAAGAAAAGGTGCGTGCTAATAATACTTTTTCTGTACCTTGGGTCGATTCACAGAAGAATAAATCTCCGCAGGGTCCCTCTTTGATCCCGTCATCGGGTGTTGCTTTGTTCTCGGCGTTCATGACACTGCACGGTCTGAGCTGATATTTTCATCTTGGTCGTTAATTTTGCTTTGTCTCCTGTTTGCTCACTCGCGTCTTCGCCCGAACGAGCCGTTTGCTGTTCTTTGTTCTCTTTTCCTGCTGCCTTGGGCTTATCTCAGGAAACTTTCATCGTATTACTCTTCTATTTAAGGCTCAGCTCTATTACCTCTTTGGCCTTCCGAAACATCACTTTCAACTTTAATCATGGGCCGTTTGGCGGTTCTGCTCGCTGCGGCGGCTGTCCTGGCACCGGCCGGGGCTTCTGCAGGTACGAATCTAGTCATTAGATGCTGTTGAATCCAGGAGGGAAAAAACAGGAGAATGGATTTACGGGCTCTGCCTTTGAATAAATCTCAGCTGTAATGAGTGTCCATGGTTGAGAATTCGACCATTGGATACTCGCCATCTTCTCATTCCATCCATCCGGTTTGAGGCCTACCGAGATACACGAATCACACATGGACTATGAAGAACATGAAGACTAACATACACTTTTCCCTCTCCCAGTGCCTCCTCACGACATTTACTCTCGTGATCTCCAAGAGTTCCCCCGGTCTCTCGAGAGCCGAGCTACCGATCAGTCACCCAAGGGCTATGCGCCCTCCCCAGTCGATTGCCCCAGCACGCGTCCCCAGATTCGCATCGGCTCCCAGCTGAGTCCCCAGGAGAAGGAATGGCTCCCTCGGAGACGCAATGCGACCATTGCGCCCATCCGTGCCTTTCTGAACAAGGTCGCCATCCCTGGCTTCAACAGCGACAGGTATCTGTCCAATGTTGAAAAGGACAGCACGGCGTTGCCCAACATCGGCCTGGCCATCTCTGGAGGTGGCTACCGAGCCATGTTGAACGGAGCCGGAGCCATTGCCGCCTGGGATTCTCGGTCACCGGGTAGTAACGACACAGGCGCCCTGGGCGGTTTGCTACAGAGTGCAACCTATCTCTCCGGCCTTTCTGGAGGTGGCTGGCTGGTGGGCAGCATCTACACCAACAACTTCACCACCATCCAGGATGCGCTCAACTCGGATACCATCTGGCAGACGCAACACTCCATTCTAAAAGGTAGGTCAAGTCTAAGAGACTCTAGAACAAGGCCGAAATCACATGGACTGACATGAAACTCCAGGACCTGAGCAGTATAGCTTGGTAGGCTACTACAATGAAATCTTCCAAGACGTTGATGCCAAGGATGATGCTGGCTACGACCGTTCCATCACCGATTACTGGGGTCGCACGCTGTCATATCAGCTTGTTGATGCTACCAATGGCGGCCCTGGCTTCACATTCTCTTCCATTGCCGATGATCCCGACTTTAAAAACGCACAAACGCCTCTCCCTTTTCTTGTTGCAGACGGTCGTGCACCGGGTCAGATCATCATCTCCAACAACTCTACCGTCTTCGACATCAATCCTTGGGAGATGGGCTCATCTGACCCAACCCTTAATGGCTACGTGCCGCTCAAGTACGCCGGCTCCAGATTCGCCAATGGCACCTTGCCCAGGAACGAGAGCTGCATGGTTGGCTTTGACAACGTCGGCTACATCATGGGCACTTCCAGTACCCTTTTCAACCAGATTATCCTCTATCTCCAGGACGGCAACAGCACTCTTATACCCGAGGGAATCCCCGATTTTGTCATCAAGTTTGTGAGCGGCATCTTGACTACGCTTGGCAACGATAACAACGATATTGCGGACTGGACACCCAACCCCTTCAAGGGCTGGAACCCGGAGCGGAATCCCGGCGCCGGCAGCGAGCGGCTGACGCTGGTTGATGGTGGTGAGGATCTGCAAAACATCCCCTACCACCCTCACCTCCTGCAGGAGCGCAAGGTCGACGTCGTCTTCTCCGTCGACTCATCGGCCGATACCGACAACGCCTGGCCCGATGGTGCCTCTCCCATTGCCACGTATGAGCGTGCCATTGACAAGATCTCCAACGGCACCGGCTTCCCCTACGTCCCCGGCAGGAACACGTTCCTCAACCTCGGCTTCAACACCAAGCCCGTCTTCTTTGGCTGCAACTCCACCAACGTGACGAGCGAATCACCCCTGATCGTCTATCTGCCCAACTACCCCTACCAGTTCAACTCCAACTTTACCACCTTCACGATGACGTACGAGCTGGACGAGCGTAACGCCGTCGTCACCAACGGCTGGGATGTCGTCACCCAGGGCAACTCGACGCGCGACTCCAACTGGCCCGTGTGCGTCGGCTGCGCCATGCTGTCCCGCAGCTTCGAGCGCACCAGGACCCCCGTGCCAGACGCCTGCAGCAAGTGCTTCCAGCAGTACTGCTGGAACGGCACCCTCGCAGAGCATGAGCCGGCTGAGTACAACCCGACCATTTTCGGCACGCCCATTAAGATTGAGAGCATGGGCGCGAGATCGGCTGGCAGTGCCACGATGATGACGGCGTTGGCGGCGGTGGTGTGTGCGGTTTTGCTCATGTAAAGCAGGGCTCTACATTTTAAGGATAATTTCTTTTTTCTTCTCCTTTTTTTCTTCTTCTCTTCTGGGTGAATGGATAGGATATAACTCGCCATAGCGACAGCGCGTATAGAATCATGACCATTTCTTTTTTTTTTTTTTTTATTTAACCTTGATGACTTTTTCTATCTCACGTATGTTCTTGGTTGTGATGCTTGTTAGGCGGATAGCTTTTTCATATCGAGTATATGTGAACTATTTTCTTGCTGCACTGCTTTGCTAAATCTCAGTATTTATCTTGATGTAGCCGCAACGAGCCAACCCGATGCAATGTTTCAGCTTCCGTGGCAATCATGCTTCCTACAATAAAAATCGACTTTTCCAGTACTTTTTGTCGTAAACCTCATCGACATTTTTGCTGCTCGTATGTGTACAGCTGGTATATACAAAATTCATCTATACAATCTTATGCACTCAAACTCTCCCCCTTTCCGCATCCAATCTCCCCATTTAAGCAAGAACAATGTCCTTGCCCGTCTTTGCGCTCTCCAAAACGCCCTCAATGATCCTCAGCACATCCCGCGACTGCTCAGCCTTGACAGGAACATCCTCGGCCTTGCCGCTCTGCAAAGCCTTGGCAAACTCGCTGAAAAAGGTGCGGTATGTCTCGGGCGCGAGCTCAGGCACAGGCACCTGGCTGGACTTGCCGGTGGCCTCGTCGACGGCGGTCAGGCTGCTGCGGTCGACGCTCTCGACGCCGTAGCCCGCGTCGGTGGGCTTGCCGCCGGCGCGCAGGTAGTCCTCCTGGGGGTCGAGGTGGAACTTGCGGAAGCTGCCCTTTGTGCCGCGGACCCAGTAGCGCAGCTGGTCGACCTCTGCGCTGAGGGCGCTGATGTTGACGTTGACGATGAGGCCGTCCGGGTAGGTCAGCTGGGCGACGACGGCGTCGGGGGTCTCGAACTCGGGGCGGCCCTCGCGCTGGTTGAGGAGGCGGCCGTGGACGGACCGGGGCAGGCCGAAGAGCACGTAGGCCTGGTCGATGAGGTGGGTGCCCAGATCGAACAGGGCGCTGCCGCCCTTGGAGATGCCCAGCTGGCCCTTCCAGTTGGTCGGGGCGTCGGCGCGGTAGCGGTCGAAGTGCGTGTTGAACTCGAGCACGCGGCCCAGGGCGCCCGTCTGGATGAGGTGCTTGGCCAGCAGGAAGTCGGCGTCCCAGCGGCGGTTCTGGTACACGCAGATGAGCTTGCCGGATGATTTGGCAACGTCGGCGAGCTTCTGGGCCTCGGCGGAGGTGGGGACGAAGGGCTTCTCGGTCAGCACGTGCTTGCCGGCCTCGAGGGCCTTCTTGGTGAGGTCGAAGTGGTTGTCGGGCGGGGTGGTGACGACGATGACATCGACGTCGGCGTCGGCGATGAGGTCGTCGGAGGAGGTGTAGTGCTTGAGGTCGGGGTAGTCGGCGGGGGCGGAGTCGTTGGGCTTGGGGGAGCGCTGGACGATGGAGTGCAGCTTGAGGCCGGGGGTTGTGGTGATGAAGGGGATGTGGAAGACTTTGGCGGAGAGGCTGGAGGAGGAGAGAGAGTATGTTAGTGGTTGGTTTGCAATTGGAGCTGTTGTGTAACTTACCCGTAGCCCACGACACCGACGTTGAAGGTCTTGCTGGCCATTGTGTTGGTTGTGGTGATGATGATGATGGTGTTGTTGTTGTTGTTGTTGTTGTTGTTGTTGTTGTTGCTAAGAAGATTCAAGTACAAGAGATGACACGAGAAGAGATGGGTATAGACTGAATTGGAGCTTAGAAAAGAAGCGAAGCTCCAAGAGGATATTTATACTCTTTCAATTTGCAGCTATACTAACTCGATGTCATTCATTATCCACCCAATTGGCGATTCATTATTAATGCACCTTCCCCAAATTCGCCATCCATCAATTACCTATTAACCTTCATCGTGACTACCCAAACAATCATCATGCCATAAGGTGCAATACAAAAACAAAAACGGAAAGAAGCAACGGTGAGGCCATTTGCCAAAGAATGGCAACTCTTGCCGCACTGAGGCTTTTGGCTCTGCGTGGGCAAGTCCATCCGTGACCCCTCTGAACCCCTCCTTCCCCACCTCCTGCCCACTTTGCATGAGTCGCCAGCGGATGACGTCGGTTTATTTGGACGAAAAATCGGGGATTGTTCCAGGGAAGGCTTAGTGGGGGCTCTGCGTAATAAGCATAGTGCAGAGGTTATTGGGAATTTTTTTTACATCTGGGAAATGGAGAATTAAAAGGGGATTCATCGGAGTAATTATATTTAGCAGAGGCGAAAGAGCTGGGCTGTGGCACTGGAGCGGAAACTAAATACGTTGGTGGTGGAGAATGATGGTGTAGAAGAGGCAGTGGAACTTCTAAAGGCCTTCTAGTTGGCTACACTTATCAAGCCATTAACTTAACAAATTATACAGATATTTGCTTTCTAATTCATTATTCGTATTTATGATGTTGTTCCCACAAAGACTACCAAAACTGCGGCATATGTCGCTGTAGATACCATTGTGTCCGTGTTAGATGCCCTCAGAACAAGTGACAGCACCACGGCAAACAGCAACACAGCAACAGACACCGTAACCAAGCTCTTTGTTAATGTGACTTCCGGCAACCTCATAATCAGCATCGGCACCACAAGTGCCGCACCGCCGATAAACGCAACGATAAACCGTGCCAACTTGTCCACGAATCCTGACACTTCAACAGGCGGCTGGCCCTCTAGGAACTCTGGCGTCCGCCGCTGTATCTCCCTCTTGGTGTACGTCAGAGACTTTGGTAGAACGGCCTTGAGGATATCGCGGAGTGGGTCGCTGGCTAGCATCGAGGTGTCCGGCAGTCGACGGTAAGTCCCTGGGTCTTCGGATAGGTTTCCCACTTCGGCAAAGGCTTGCTCAATGTCGAGGCGCTGGTTTCGGGCCTGAGATCCGGTGATGGGGATTAGTGTGTTGAGGTATTCGTAGTCGCGGATGGCGTTGGCTACCGTATAGTTTATCTTTAGTTCAATCAATGATACAGCTAATGAACATGAGCATCTTACTATAGTCGTGAAGAAGTTTCGTTAATTCTTCGCTCTTAGTCTTTGGCAACTGCTTGGTTTCCGAGGAGAGCTTCTTTATTTTTGCCAGTTCAATTTGTAACTGGATAATATTGAGTCGTTGCAGACCTCGGAACATTATGAAATGAGGCTCTTCGGCGCCTGTACTCAACGTATACTGAAACAGGCGCTGCTCATATTTCATATCTCCGGTGATTATCCCGTCAGCTTTGGGAGCGGCCATTTCTAAATGCGCGAACATGGTAAGATGGACTCAACAACACTTCTAGAATACACAATCGGACACACAAACGTAGAAACGTATTCAACAACACTATGAGAGACTAAATAGACCAATCACTAGATTTTCGAGAGGATATATGCCGACCATCAGGCCCACAACACCATTCGATCACGCTGCTGTAATGCAGGATGGATTGCCGGGCCTCAGCCTCATTTGAAGCGAGGCTATGCTATCCGTAGGCATACTGAGAAATCGCCTTTGTTTGCATGCGGGGTGCCTGAATCGAGGCCTAATGCTTACATATACCGCATAGGCCTAACTGATAGTATTACAGCTGGTTCATTCTAATGCAACACAGGACGTCAGCAGCTAAACCGAATAGTCGCGTAACAAGCATCAAGTCCAGCGTTAAGTGCTTGTAACTAATAGCATTTTCACTCTAGAACAGGCAGCAATTGGCGCTTATATCCAGTTCAACGGTTGACCGAATACGTGTAGTGTATTCTTAAACCTGACAAACCTCTAACACCAGTCAATCACCATCCTGAACTACCACTCTCAATGCCTCCACAGCGCAAAACGCTTCATGTGAGCGGATCTACAGAGTCCATCGGTGCCTTGGATATCCTGGCGCAGATCAAAGTCGACTTCAACGAGAGCAAATCCATCCTCCAAGAGACTACCCGATCGAAGGGTTCTTTCTTTTCAGCATTTACCGCAACCCGCAAGCCTAGCGATGGCGCTAAGAATCTAGAGAAGACGATTTCGGATATAATAGCCAAGTTGAACGATTTAACTGCCAGGACGGATATTCCTCTGGATCGTCTACCCAATGGTTAGTGTGTCATATTGTGTTGCTGAACTGTGCGTTGCATGCTGAGAAGAGGGGAAACGTAAAGCAATTATTTCTATGCGTCAGATTGAGAAAAAGCTTCGCGACAGCATTATTGCTGAATTAAAGGCTGGAATGATTAATAAGAAGTATGTAGTAGACTATGGGGAGCTCTCTAAGCAAGCGTTGACAATCTGCGCCGAAGCGACAGAAATTTATGAAACTGCGTGAGGATTAGACGGTTTGATGGTTATCTTGCCTCTATATGTCCAAGCGATTAACCTGCGAAAGAGTTATTGCTATTCGCTTTGAGCGTTGTGAGACTAATTATCATAGCATCATGTTTTAAATGCCTAAAGAAAATTGTCATATAGTCTCATTACGTATGCTGGGTTGCTGAGAGTGAATGGTGGCTTATAAGGAGTATTCCTTATCGTTTGCTCTGCCTCATAGGCTAACCAATGAATACTCCAATGAATACTCCAATAAACACGCGCGAATTGCAAACTGGCTGAGGCTGCCTTGAATCACCGATTATTGGACAAATGTGACCTATCGCGTCGCGGTACCTCCGTACTTACAAGTCACATCCGTGTGCCGTCCTGAGAGCCTCATCCTTAACGCTTCATTGATGCCCAAGCGAAGTTCAATTATCTAAAAGCGCTTCATGTCCAGTTTGCTACATCTAATTACATGGAATCAATGCCATATTAACAGACCCGGCCGATGTCAGACGATCATATCCCGCCGAAAAATCGGCATGAGTTCAAAATCGCTATTCTTTGTGCCTTGCCACTGGAAGCGAGCGTCCTCCAAGGACTATTTGATACCCATTGGGACGCTGAAAAGTATGGAAAAGAACAAGTAGACACAAACGCTTACTCGCTGGGTGTGCTTGGGCCTCACAATGTTGTTCTCGTGCACATGCCCAACATGGGGAAGGTTGCCACCGCAGTTGCCGCCGCCCATCTTCGCGCCAGCTTTCGCGGTATTCAGCTTGCACTGGTGGTTGGAATATGTGGTGGTGCTCCTTTCGGGCTCTCCGGTGAACTTTTTCTTGGTGACATTGTCATCAGTGAAGGGCTGATTCAGTACGATCTCGGGAGGAGATTGCCGAACACGTTTGTGCGAAAGGATACTCCTGGAGAAAACCTGCCAAGGCCTGGACCTGAAGTTCGTGGGATTTTAGCCAAGCTACAGACCAACCAAGGCCGATGTAAATTGCAGAACAAAATGTTAGAGCATCTTTGGTTATTGCGCCAGCGATCTGGCCTTACGATACCATATCCGGGGTTAATGAATGACCGGTTATTCAAGCCGAATCATCTCCACAGGCACCATCTGCCGACAGAATGTACAATATGTTATAGCACCGATGGTGATGATTTCTGTTGTTCGGCCATGGAAGCGAACTGTGAGATGCTTGGATGCGGAGACCTGGACACACGGACTCGCACCAGGTTATTACAAGCATCAATCGAACCCCAGCCCATAGTTCATTTCGGGCTTGTGGCCACGGGAGATACCGTCATGAGATCTGGAAAAGACCGAGATAGTATTGCTGCCCGCGACAAGGTGATCGCTTTCGAAATGAAGGGCGCGGGAGTATGGGAGACATTTCCTGCCGTTCTAGTCATCAAAGGTGTTTGTGACTATGCAGACAGCCACAAAAACAAATCATGGCAAATTTATGCAGCTGCCACAGCGGCAGCTGCTGCAAAAGCCTTTTTGGAACATTGGAATACAAGTAAGTGTTACTCTAAGAGCAAATCCGACGCGCGCATATTCTTAGATCGGTTACAGCCGTTTCAGTACCAACAAATTTGCCTCAGCTTTTACAAGATAGCTCTACTGGTTACCCAAAGATGAGGCATTTTGAAGCGAGAGAATTGGAAATCTTGAAAAGACTCAATACCTCGCCCTACCGCGATCGCAAGGAGTGAAATCCAGACCGAGTAGCCGGAGCATGCGAATGGTTTATTCGGCACCATCTTTTCAAAGATTGGAAAGAGAGTGCGTCTTCAAGACTGCTTTGGGTATCTGCTGACCCAGGATGTGGCAAGTCAGTCCTGACCAAATACCTGGGTGACAATATTATTTTGACTACGACAGAGACGACAGTCTGTTACTTCTTCTTTAAAGATGACTTTGATGATCAGAAGAGCATTACCAGTGCTCTCTGTTGTCTTATGTACCAGCTTTTCCAGCAGAACCCTAGTTTGCTCACTAAAGCCATCGTCAATGAAGTCGAAGCTGGTGGGGGACGTTTCCTCGCCTCGTTCAGCGATCTGTGGCATATCCTTCACACCGCAGCCCAAAATGTTAACGCTGGAGAAGTAATTTTTATTCTTGACGCAATTGATGAGTGCGAGAATTGCGGACGGTCTCAGCTTGCCAAAGAATTGTGCAAGCTATATGGCCCCGCGAGCAGCTTCAACATCAAGTTGAAATTTCTCGTAACAAGCAGGCCGTTCAGTTACATTCGACGGGGCTTCCAACCCCTACAAATGCCTGGAATGCCTACTATTCATCTGAGCGGGGAAAGTGATGAAGAAATGAAAAAGATCTCTGCAGAGATTGATATATATATCAGGGCTAGGGTAGAGGATATTGGTGAACGTTTGAAACTGAACCGAAGTGAACGATATACATTATTGGAGCAGCTTGTTCGAGTACCCAATAGGACTTATCTTTGGGTATACCTCATTCTGGATCTTATCGAGAGCGACATAAATATTGACAGAGCCGGGATACTTCAGGTTACTGCCAATACCCCAAAGACAGTTGATGAGGCCTATAACAGGATACTATCCAAAAGTCATGATCTTAAAGAGGCCATAAGGATTTTACAAATTGTTGTCGCATCTGAAAGAGCCTGTCATTAGGAGAACTAGGAGTTGCGTTGTCTATCTGGGGCCATCATCAGTCTTATAACGAGATTGGCATCAAAGGCGAAGATCGTTTGAGAGAGAATATACGGGATACCTGCGGACTTTTTGTAACGATTATTCACTCAAGGGTCTATCTACTCCACCAGACTGCGAGAGAATTCTTAGTTCGAGATGGCAGGTTACCGTCAACTGATTCCATCAATCCGGACTTTGAGTGGAAGCATATTCTATCACCGCATGAGTCCCACAAGATGTTGGCGGAGATTTGCATTTTTTATCTTCTCTTGTCCGGTACCTATGATCGGCCAATCCCAGAAGGCCACGAGACCCAATCCACGAAGAATAGCATTCTTTTCGACTATTCCGTCAGCTTTTGTGCTACACACCTCCGAGAATCGCACGCAAAGATACGCGAGCCCATGGCGCAGTCGATATTGAAGTTATGTGATGCCAATTCCACGTTTGCAAGAATTGGTTTCAGGCCTTTTGGAAAAAGAATTCGAATATAAGTTTCCCCAAGGAATTAACAACGCTCATGGTTGTGTCATATTTGGGACTTGATGGAATGGTAGAGATGATTCTATCCACTATGGCCAATGATGACGAGGTAAATGCTCGAGATTGGACATATCGCCGATCAGCCCTCTCTTGGGCTGCTGGAAACGGCTTTGACGGTGTCGTTCAGTTATTAGCTCGAGGTCGTCGCAGCTGGTACAGAAGACTCACCTTACTACTGTTTGGCAATACTTCTGAGATAAATTCTGCGGATGCCTTTGGCCGGACGCCGTTGCTATATGCTATTTGGAACGGAAACGTGGCTGTAGTTGAGATACTTATAAAGGCCGGTGCTCGACTCGATGTAACAGATAATATCGGTGGTACGCCGTTGTTTTATGCTATGTCCTACAAACGAAAGGCTATTGTCAAATTACTGCTCAAACATGGAGTGACTCCCAAGTCATGGGATGAGATGGCCACCCAACTATTTTTCTCCGCTCTAGAAATGGGTGATTTACAAGTTGTTCAATTATTTCTTGACTCAAATACCGATATTGAATCGAAAAATCATAGGTATCAGACGCCATTATTAATAGCCTTCGAAACGAGACACAAGGATATTCTTCGAGCTCTCTTGCATAAAGGGGCCGATACAGAAATTAAAAATGCTTGTGGACATACGCCGCTTCATTCTGTAGTTATAAATGGAGATATTGATTTCGTCCAGTTCTTTCTCAGCAGCGGCGCTGACATCAATTCGGTTGATTCAACCGGAGACACTCCATTCTCATATGCTATCAAGTCTGGAAATATTAAGCTTATTCAGCTCCTGATTAACAAAGGTGCTAACTAAACTCGATCGACTTCAAGAAACACACGCCACTCTCTTATGCTATTGATTCTGGAAATGATAGCCTTATTCAGCTCTTAGTCGACAGAGGTGCTGACCGCCAGTTACTGAATAAGAGGGAGCGAGCATCGTTGATAAGGCTCCTATGTTCAAAATAAACATCCCGTGATACAGGGTTATATAATAGGAACTAGGATTTGAGCATTTTAGAGCAGATAGATAGTAGGTTCCCAACACGATTCTATCTTTTTGTCTCTTTGCTGCTCTGATACACCCGGAAGGATGCGAATATTGCCTACGTACCATTTTTAAAGCACTGATCTAATTGTTCCTTTTGTACCTGTATCTCAAGTAACATTCGGAGTTACAGTGCTCTATGTAAGGTTCAATTGCAATATGCTTTTTTGCACATCGTAGCCACTATTAATGTATTATCAATGGTATAATTCTAATGCATCACTACCTATGTACCTACATGTATCCAGAAAAGAAGCCCAATTCTGTATTACAAAACGATAGTATAGATAAACACTCCCCTCATCTCCGTCACCAAAACGCCCCCAACTGCCGTGCTAGTGATCCGGTCTCACGCTACTATATCCTAGACCAGACAATCACCAATTATTCAGCTCGAGCCTAGGCTTATGATACTCTGAGGAAGAAGAGGGAACTGTGAGCTTTTGATTGCGATGTAATATTAGAATATGGATTTAACAGGAGCAATCCCATTTGTACCGTAATAACCGAACAGCTGATCGGCCCGCAGGAGGCATGAGCCTTCATCATCTCGATACGGAGATATGATTTTTGCCGACCGGCATGTATATCACCCCATTGGCTTTCATAATTTCTATTGATGAGGCTTTGAGCAAGCTTCAATGTAGGCAGGATTCGGAGTTTTTGACCAATGTGCTGAAATAGGCAAGAGTTCCGGATCAACCGGTGAATGCATCGTTAAGAATCAGTCCGATGGCTCTTTTCACATCTCACGTGTAGTTTACAACTATTTTATTTGTAAGCCCTTTAACGAAAATATGCGGGAAAATCAGTCTCTGGCGGAAAAAGCAACTACCGGATTATAAGCATAATTTAGTAAGCCGAAGATCTACGGTTTGGCATCAACGAACTGAGTCTATATAAACCGTCAGCTGGAAGTTGTCAAACATAACAACAATCTAAAGTTGTCTCTACTCTTCAAGAGATCTTATTTCTAAAACTTTGATATTTAACTTAAACTAAATATGGTTTCCTCTCAACGTTTTGGGAGTTTATCCCAACTTCTGTTATTCTTCAATTCTGTCGTTGCTGCAGCACCTGCATCCTCCACGGCTGACCACCATGGCAAATCAAATGAATACGACTACATTGTCATAGGAAGTGGCCCTGGAGGTGGTACAATGGCTTCCAATCTGGCTCTTGGAGGATACTCTGTGCTACTACTTGAAGCCGGCGATGACAGCAGTTACCAGGGAGCTGACGTACCAATCGTTGGAAGTGGGTATCCTCTGGGGCTGACTTGGGATTTCTTCTGCAAGCATTATCCAGAGGGTGATCCACGCAACTTGGAGTTCAACCATCTTACCTGGATGACGCCCGAGGGCCGTTATTGGGTTGGAAAGACAGATCCTCCCGAGGGTTCTGAGCTTCTTGGTATCTACTATCCTCGGGGTGCCACACTCGGTGGATCATCCATGATCAATGGATTAAATGTACATCTCCCTCCGGATAAGCTTTGGGATAGCTATGCAGAGCTTCTGGGAGATGACAGTTGGAGGTAAGTCCATACGTTGGACCCCCTAGACCGCCAACCCCTTTTCTTTTTCCATTCTTCCTATACTTTTACTAACCATTGAATGTGTCTTGTCAATCATAGTTCCAAGAACTTCCGCTCGATATTTGAGAAAATTGAGCACAACAACTATCTGGGCCCGAAAACTCCCGGCCATGGCTTCAAGGGCTATTTCCAAGCGTCCATGCCCAACCGCGTGGGCGAGCCCCAGCCAGTGACAAACCCCTACATGAAGGCACTTGCTGAGGATATTGGCGAGAAGCAGCCGCTCACCGACCTAGTGAGGAGAGACCCTAATGTGCTTAATCCCCGTCGTGATACTCAAGAAGCAATTTACGGCCTTGCCCTGCATACGTACGCCAACGGTACCCGGTACAGCTCTCGCTATCTGGTACAAGAAACAGCGGCGTCACACCATCCGCTGACCATCTCACTCAACTCTCTTGCTACTCGTGTTCTTTTCGACAAACCCAAGCATGCTAAACCACGAGCGGTGGGTGTGGAATACCTACAGGGCAAAGCACTCTATCGTGGTGATATTCGCCATAACGATGATGATTCTGGCGTACTACGCAATGCCACAGCTCGTCGGGAGGTTATCGTTTCCGGCGGCGCTTTCAACTCACCGCAGATTCTCATGCTTAGCGGTGTTGGGCCAAAGGACCACCTGGAGTCTCTTGGAATCGACGTTGTGGTTGACAGCCCTGGCGTGGGTCAAAACTTGATGGACAATGAAGAATTGCCGATTGTCGCGCAAGGCGCGGCATACATCAACGCTTCATTAGTTCTCGGTTATCCTCTACTCAAGACAAATGCTTCTCTCGACGGTGACAACGACATCTGGTTGCTGCAAGCCGGCGTTCCTTTCCGTGGGTTCTGGCCAAGCAACCAGACGAACGAGAATCTGCCAAAAGATCCCCCAGGCACATGGGGTGTTGGCATGGTCAAAGGCAACCCACAAAACACCGCTGGATATGTCCGCCTCCGAACCAAAGATCCGCGCGACCGACCCGAGATCAACTTCAATCTCTTCGCCAGCGACGGAGATAAAGTTGATCAGAGCGTCATGAGGGAGACAATGAACCGCATCCGTCCAAACTTTGTACGCAGCGGCGCTGAAGTTGTTGAACCCGCATGTCCCTCCGGATTAAACGCTGATGGCAGCTGCTCTGATCCTGATGTTGATGCAAGTTGGCTTGAGGGACAGACTTTTGGCCACCATCCAACTTGTACGTGCCGCATGGGTCCCGATGGTGATGCCAATGCCGTTCTGGACAATAAGCTTCGTGTGCGAGGAGTTGATGGGCTTCGAGTCGTCGATGCAAGCTCATTTCCTAAGGTTCCAGGGTGGTTTCCGGCCTTGCCTACCTTTATGATTGCCCAGAAGGTGTCGGAAGAAATGGTGAAGGAGCTGAAGTATTAAGATAGACATGATATAGTCAGATTAGGGAGAAATGAGAATGTTAACCAGTTGTAGATTGAATAGATTGAGTCTCTCGCGCTAAATCCGGAGTCCCCGAGACTCATATATCCGTCTTACCAACAGCCGGCAAAGCGCAAAGTCTAGTGATACAATGCTGAAACAAAGAAAGCAATTGTATCTAGAGTTTTTGCCTTTTATTCGGCCCTAGACTCTGACTCTCATCTCCGTTTCCTCTTTTATTCTCGTTTTCTTTATCATCAACTTCATCTTCGTCCTCTGTAAACTCATCTTCGTCATCATCATCCTCATCATCGTATAGCTCAGCATCTTCCCCTTCTTCCACCTTGCTTGGGTCTGTTTGATGTCTGCCCCATCGGCAGCCTAATTCATCTCCGCTTTTATCGCAACAATTCCATATAAACCCTTCTGGGAACTCCTCGCGCATCTCATCAGTGTCAATAGTTCCATGACAATCCTCATCATGGTCGGCCCAAAAGTCATCATCATAGTTGGCTTCAAGCTCGCCTGCGAGGGATTAATTACTATAGGAGTGCCAAAAGAGGTGCACCAGAAACCAACGTCGCCGACATACCATTATGGTAGAAACAATTCTTAGCGGTATCACTAGGATCGAATGTTGAGTTGCACTGTACGCATATTGCCTTCACGCGAGCATGAATTTTCATGTCTCTTGCGTACTTGCTCACTTTATCTGCGACTGAACGATTGTGAGACAGAAAAATGAGAATTGCACGAGCTTGCTCAGCCGTGAGGCTATTGATGAGTTCTATGTCGCCGGCCATTGTGACGTTGCCGTAGTATTAAGTGAGACGCGTTTGGAGTGTGTACATGTAAGTTCGAGTTTCGTGGGTTTAATAGCGGCCGGCTGGGATTACATCACAGTGGGGTATCAATACAAAACGCGTTCTCAGCAACCCTGCAACGCGTTTTTGGAAAGATCAGACATATGATGTAAAGCCTCTCTGTTCAGGTTTTTAACTCCTACAAGAGAGAAAAAAACTAAGTGAAATTGCTTCTCAGGCAGAGGTAATAAAGTTGACTCAGTGGAGTCATATGGACGAACAACACTCTCTTACACAGTTGACTCTCAAGATGATTTGATGATTGCCTGCCTTCTTAGTGATGCTAAAACTTTTGCCAATGAAACATCGATAGCTGTGTGACAGATAGATGAAAAAGCTGACAACCCATACGACAGTTTGAAGAGCCAACACGCTTTGAATACAGCTAGATATACCGCACATGTAAGGCAAAATCGAGAGGTGGGCCTAGATTTGACTTATCTATCATGAAATCTCGACTGATACATAGGCATCAATGAAAATAAGAAGATAGCTTCTTTGTTCATTCTTTCAAAGATCGTAACGGTTACCTAGGAGTAAATGAGAGATACAATGCAGGCGCCACCATGGCCACATTATCAATAGTATCCTCCTCAAACGTATCCCCGCCCATCCCCAAAGGAAGCGTAACATCATACTGCAAAAAGATCCGGCTAAGCACCATCCTACACTCCATCATGGCAAGACCCCTCCCAGGACACGACCACGTCCCCCGGCTAAACGCAATCCAGGGAACGCTATCAGTCGAGCAGTTCTCCCACCTCTCCGGTCGAAAAGCGAGCGGCTCCTCCCAGTATCGCGGATCTCGCTGTATCGTATAAGGGGGAACCGAGGCGATTGTTCCACCAGGGATAAATTCGCCGTCAAGCATGATGCCTTGCGGGGGCAGGTCTCGGGGCATTCCTGCTGCCGCCGTGGGCCTCAATCGTAGCGACTCGTAAACGATCCAGTCGAGATAGGGAATTGCCTTTGCCTTTTCATATGTCCAGTCGCTGATTCCTCCTGGGAACTGCTGCTGAACTTCGGCTAGTAGGCGCTCGTAGGTGTGGGGGTTGGTTAATAAGAGATGAAACCTGACAAAAATCCACATGTTGGTCAAAAGGAACCCTAAGTCAAATCCTGAGGAAATTATTTAGAAAAGACTTACGCGCTTGTCAATATTCCAGAAGTTGTGTCACTATAAAATATCAGCATTTCCCACTCTTATGTAGATGTAGATGAAGGGATATTTATTATGACACACCTGCCAGCTATAATCAAAAGACGAGAATCTTCTTGAACGGCCCGTTCTGAAGGTGGTGCCGCAGGGTCCCCTTTGTCCATGGCCTTTAGCAACCATGACATGACATCTTGTGGCTCCTTTTCCTTCTCGCTGGCAAGTACCTAAGCCCAGATGGTGATCAGTATCAGTACACAAAATCTGTCAAAGAAGGATGAAGAAATAGACCCACACTTCGCTTCTCGTTGAGTTGTTCATGGCACCAAATAGAGAAACGACTTAGGCTATTCAATCCCGGCGTTGAGCCAACCATGTACAGCATCCACGGAATGGTAGTCAGCAGTCCGATAAACCACATAGTATCGTGGACACCCTTGATGGCAGGATGAATGTTTGTCGACTCCAGCATATTGAAATTTTTGGAGAATCCTGTGAGCAACCTCTTAGTGTACTGAAATGCATGAACCAATTAGACCAACCACTTACCAACATCTGCCATGACATCAAAGCTAAAATACATAAAGTACTTTGTCATATCGACCGGGACGCCATTTGTCTCCTCGATTTTAGATAGTAGAAGTTCAACTTTTGATTGCACACGCGACTCATACACATCCAACGCTTTTCAAAGCAGGTCAGCATAGTTATCGATGGGAGATGAGAATTGTTTTCCCGTCTTCGTACCTCTAGACCCCAGAGCCTTTTCCCAAACCTTCTTTCGTAGCTTATGCGCTGCTGAATCCCGTGTATTGATCAGCGAGGACTTGGATGGGTGTCTCGACGTCTGCGAATACCACGGCGGTCTCGACGTTTGTGAGTGGGCCGCGTAAAGGGAACGAATGGCAGAGGGACGGTTGATGGATAGTTCGCGAGGTCCTTTTCAATCATGGGTTAGTATAGGTAATTTGATCTTGGTAGAGGTATGTCGTGCTACCCACCCACTCGTACAATATCTCCGTACTTTTGATGGAGCTTCTGTATATCTTCGTAACCCTTTTGGCTCTGAATCATCTTGCCCATTGCATGAAACCGGGAGACTCTGGCCCAAAACGGACCGGGAAACTTTTGCAAAGGATGGAAGAATGCTCTATACACAAAGATACTAGTGAAAACTCCAACGTTGTATGTCGTTGCAACCAAGGCGGTCTGTAGCAAGGCCGCTCCAAACTGATAGCCTCCGATTCGGATATAGCCTCCAGTAATAGCAGCTATCGTTGCTATATAGATGAATAGCAATCGCCACAAATGGGTGTCGATTTCAACCGGCCGAAAGACAGCATGATGCGAGGCAACGCCAGCAATCAACGAAAGACCGACCGTGACCTGCCACGACGACGGCACAGCAGGGAAGAGGGCATCGCCAAGGCCTTCCAATTCCAACGGTTGAGCCATTCTTCTTCAGATGGGAGCACAAAAGATGTTCAACAAGCAAAGAAGCTCACAGCGATCCTGTGCTTCCGCAGAAGAGGGGGTGGCTTCCGCCATGATCCGTACTTTATGCTTCATTCCTTAAATAGCGCTGCCTGTTACTCCGCACCCGAGTGTGGTTCTGCAGATACGTTTGCTAACATGCTTACTGCTATACAGCGCATAATGCAATCTCGATCTGTTTCTCGGGCCCGGATTCGCCTCGGATTGGACCGATCCGGCATGCAAGACCGAGACGTACGATCGTTTTACGGGCGACTTGCTGCGGACTTATGCATCTAATCGTTCACCGCTGCTGGGGGAATCCGCCGCTGGAGAAATTCTATGGGGATGGGGGAACAAACACCTACCTTGCTTGCTTCGCCTGCCTTGCTTGCCTTGCCAGCCTCGGCAACTCATCTGCTATACCATGACCTAACAACATATTGCCAAGTAGATACATGTATGCATTGCGACATGACTGATCTATATTACAGCACCATCGTCTCTTGTTCGGGGTTGGGATTGGACCGGCCGCAGGCTTTAACCCACACAAAATACGACCCTGGAGGGCGATTTCATGGGCGATCTTCCCGCTTATTGGACGTTTGCCGACCGATGCACCCAAATATGCGGAAGCGAGTCCTGTTAGAAATGTCCGATAAGCGATTCGGATCGATCAAGCCATGGAGCGCCCGAGTCATGTTTACGCCATCGCCTACATCAAGTCTAGTGATTTCGCGAATTGGCAATAGTTTGAAGCGCAGCGGCTGCAACGCAAGTCAATTTATATTGTGGCTTATTCCAACTAGTTCATCGTATATACGCCGGAATGAGCGTGTTAGTATTGAGCGGCGGGTGGGAAAAAAAGGCCTTGGCGGTGACATGAGTTGATGGGATAGAGAGGCCAATGTCTCAGTTTAGTCTCACCAATGCCAATGTAGTTGACAAACATAGGTGTGTCTAGATATAGATACACATGTATTAGATAAACTCGAAGATAATTGTTACCCAGACGTTGATCATGGTGCAGTTGCCATGCCTTTGAACATGCAGCTAAATGGAGCTGCAACGTACCAAACAAATCGTGCGTCAGCATTCTCCAATGATGGGAATTCTTCCACGTAATTTATGTACATCTAGCAGATGAAATTAAAGGCAAATGCTAGCATTTATTGAAAAGTGATATACTTGCTACGCCTTGGAGTAGTGACGAAGTTGCATGGAGCGATTGCTCATCAACATCCTTCAACAACGTAAATCCTCCACCGCTGTTAAAGAGAACCAAAATCTCATCCACATCTCCTACATTCACTCATTCATTCAATAGTTTTTGCATGATTCTAGTTCAGTACGATGCATCAATCAACACATTACCCAAACTCTGCAACCGCACAAGAGAAAAAAAAAACGCGCCAAATCTTCCGCAGAGCAACTCCCCCTAGCTTCTACCCTACATATTCTCAAGACAATAATTCGCAAACCAACAACGCCTCATGATTCCTTTCCATATAAAAAAGTAAATTTCAGCTCCCTTTTCATATGCACGCATAATATCGAGTTCTTCAACACGTCAATCTTTGCGTTCAAATGGTCTCCCTAAGTCTTTGTCTCCATCTCAATAGTTCACTTCTCCAGATTTCCACGCAACTGACCACCCCACATTCATCAGCATACTATAAACTTCCCTTAAACAAGAACACCTTACTACTTTGAACTACCTTCAGTCCTTCAAGTTTTCTGGCGTGTCAAGCATAAAGTCAATACCTCTCAACAGTACTCGTTGACGCACCCCCTAAACTCCTAACAGTTCTACCTACCGACGAAGGAGTCGAGATTCGATAAAACTTCAAGGACTTCGGATACAATGGTATCAATAGATCCATCAATCTCGTTTGTCAATACAAGTCCGATTTGTTAATTAGCTTCTCGAAACTGCAAGATGATAGTGTCATGCAGTACATCGTTCGCAATCAAGCAGATCAAATCCTAAACTCAGCCATCGGAACATTCTCCAGATAAAGATGGTTCAATACAACAGGAAGAGCATGAAAGCAGCCACAGTCGATGCATCAAGTCTACGAATCCACCTCCAGGCTCTCCCTTCTACAGGCCGATATCCCCCCAACCACCAGCAACTTACCGCAACATCCTCCCAATCAAGCCCATACCAAGACAACATCTCTACATATACGAAGCACATGCACACATCTTACGTGTCAGTCAACCCATCAAACCTATCACGAACCAAAAACAAAAAAGCACTAGCCAAAAGCACAAATATACTCTGTGCTCTGCATAGCCCTGCATCCCGTACCACTCACCAACAGTCATGTCTCAGACGCACGTCCCAGCCTCTCTCGCATCGCCACCACAAAAATAGAAACCTGCATCCCCCAATCCCCATCCAGAGCCTCGGATTCACCAAGAGGGGCGTGTGGCTATAGCGTTTCAGCGCTGCATCAATGGTGCTTACGTATGGCCCTCGGGACACGGCTGGGAAAGGGGGAGGGCGAATAGAAATCTTGGGGCCATCGCCAAGGACTCATCGTAGAAACCATCGATGCAGTATTTCGTACATTAGGTGAATTCGCACATCGATCCGCAGACCAATTATACGTACGAGATCATCCTCGTGAACTCCCTAGGGCTTGGTCCGAGACATCAAGGGAGTCGAATCAGAGGCGCTATATATGGGTCTAGGCGTTTCGCATGTTGAGACGGCGTCGGAGTAATGAGGCGATAAAGTGACACTCCCGCTCCGATTGTAGCACCTGGACGTGTCATGGAAGCCATCGGTGAGATAGCTGCAGTGTTGGGGCTTCTTTGCAAGACATATGCACACCTGCTGTCTCGGCTCGAGATGACACAACACAGCCTGGCGGTAGTGCCGGTTGTCGCAGCGAATACTATGGAGGTGCAAATGGCCAAGGGAAGCCGTGGGAGCGGCCGTCCATGTGAGTAGTATTCTCAGCTGTGGCTTGCACGCCACCTGCAGCATGAAGGAGTCCAGCAAGACCAGCCGTGTTGCCCGCCCAGGGGAACACGGGATCGACCAACTCATCAGCGCCATCCATCTGTAAGGGGGGGAAACACTGTGACTGTTGCCACAGCCGACGGACACCAGTTCATCGCCGGGCTGAGCCCCTAGACGACCCTGATTTCAATGGGAATAGGGAGATGTAGATGCTCGCGGCCTCGTGCAAAATGCATGGATTCCACATAGGAATAGACGTTCTCCGGCAAGGCAAAAGTTCATCTCGTACTCTTCATTTGCCTTGGTCGCAGAAAGGGCGTAGTCAATTCGGAAGGAGGAGCTTTGACTCGTATTTTTTTTCTCGCTACCGTGCTGCATGTAGAGCCCGTCCGGGCGCCTCGACCTTGAAAGTCATTCCTGTTGCTCGTATGCAGACTGGTGACTTGACTTCGCACGGACAATAGGCGGGAAAAAACGGCTCAGGAACGTGATCTGAGTCGAGATCCTTGTTGATTGGCAGTCAGCGTAGACGCCTCGAGAAGGAAGAAGGAGAGAGAGAATAGAATAGAGTTTGAGCCGTGCAGCTGAAGCTTCCGATCCCATCTGCCCTCGTCAACCAAAGATGAACGGTCGTCTCAGAAGTCCATCCCCTGCAAGGGTAATAACACTGTATGTAACACATGGTAATGTCGGTGTTGTGCAAGTCGTACAGACTATAGACGAGGCACAGCACTATTAGTGCACTCCACACTGAATTTCCGTCCACAAGCAGCATTGGGGCCGTGTCATGTCCACCAGTCCGGCAAGGATATTGGCTTCTCGGGCCAATTCTTGTAGCGTCCAATTGCAACCGTGACAGCAACGGGCTGCATCAGGTAAAGCATGTTCAATCTCCGAGAGTCAAATGGTTTCTCTGTAATGGTTGCCGGCAGTGCAAATATGACGATCAAGTCGCCATGTGCTAGGAGAAGTATGTTAAGAATAGCAACATGAAGAGCATTGGCCACGAGGAGAGCCCTCGCAGCATCGCATCTTTGTCCCTCACGGCTCGAAATGCAGATCCTGCGAAGACGGACCCAAACGAGGACAAGCTCAAGCCGCCAACCAACGTGTAGCGTGAAGCACTTTTGCGTCTCGTACCCAGTAAGATTGCTGTTGGTGAGAGCGAGAACAATACCACCTACTGTACGAGTAATACCAGTCGCTGCTTGGACAGGCCCGGAAATGATGCCGCGCCGTGGACTCGCCCACAATAAAAAAAAAAAAAAAAAACCAAACCCTGCAGCTTCCAAGAGTGCATCGTCTCTGGATCTAGAGTCAAAGAGTCAGTTGGCTGGTTCGGAGCATTACCCGACTCCGGCTGCACGCGGGTGGCCTGACTTTGACCAACACTGAGACTCAAAAGAGACAGGGAGGCATGACTCCGTACACGAAGTAGCATCTCGGCAAGATGGAGAGAGAGGGGCATTGGGCACGGCGGCATCTCTGAAGCAAAACGTGAGAACAAGCTCTCATCGGCTGTTTTTCTGATCTGCGGCACTCGCCAATTCGATGGATGGCATGGCACGGCAAGGATCCAAGCAAGTCACGACTACCCACACGGGTCCTGTGTCATGGCCTCATGCCAGACTGGGGGCTTTCCTCCGTGGCACGGCAGAAGGAAGAGAGAGAGCCAATTCTCGTCAACGGAAGTCCTCCGTTACTGTGTGTACCACCAGATCTGACTACCTGAATGTACCGAGTAGGTAGTACCAGTGGACTCGCTGGACTGGACAGGGCCCGCATGAAATCATCTCTTGTTCTGGGCCGGTATGCACGCGGTAGGAGAGCATAATTTGGATCAGATTGCGATCGGTGTCCGACCATCCCTTACAGTTTACCGCCAAACGGCGTAGAGATTGGTGGCGTTTGTGCCGCCCCTATTAACGGAAAGTCAATAACAAGATGCCGTAGCATTGCTCTGCAGAGAGAGCGCGTCCTGCTCTGCCCCCAATATCACATGGTGAAAAGGGATTTACATGCGCACGCTATTGGCCTCGGCACGGCGCGCTCGACAAAGGTGAAGCTGTACCAACTGGGCTAGTGGAACGAGAGGGGGGAGTGTGTGCAAAGCGTGTGAGTGAGGAGGAGGAGGAGCGAAGCATGGCGGACCAGGGGGGAGAGGAGAGGGAGAGCAGAAGCAACGAGAAGGACAAAAAAACTTGGTTGGCGCTGGCTGGCTGCATGCTGGCCCGCAATAGTATTGACATGTTGGAGATTGGCTGGGAAGCCAAGTTGCCAAAAAGCCAGGGCTAGAGCAAACTAGCCGATGGGCCGTGGACCATATGGAGATCCCATCGGATCAGGCGCCTGGGATAAGCAACTGGCGTCAGGGGGTGAAGCTGCGGGGGAAATTGCGTCGAGGAGCGATGGATGGGAGAGCGATTCAGGCCATGTCTCCCAAGCGCTGGCTGACCCTCCCTGTTCCCCGGACTTTTCGAGCCCGATTCGCTCTGCTCGACTGTTAGCGAGGGTCATGGTTGACCAGGACCGGGTCCGGGACCGGGGATGGGATAGGCCGGGGACTTGTGTAGAGGAGCTTTTGGCGAAGCGAACAGTCGAGTCGAGTCGAGTCGAGTTGATTGTTGCGAGCCGGCCTGTGGGTTTGGAAGAGGAAAGGCGGCGAGCTTGGCCAACTTTTTTGCAACCGTCGACGGACCTGGTCTGGGTCGAGGAGCAGCAGCAGTAGCAGCAGCAGGGCTAGCAGACTATTGCTGATGAGCTCAGCTCATGCGGGCTTTCGAGGTCCTGTTCCTGCATCAGGCGGTTTCTGGCTTTCCCGTTTCCCTCTTGTCATAGACGCTCAAAAGTCGAGTCCTTTTTGTCCATCCGTTTCCCGTCCGTGTCTGAGCCAAGCGTCACTTGGTGGAGCCGCCAACCCCCATTCCAAGCCGCTCAAGCCTATTGTTCGCCTCGTTTCGAAAGCCTCCCTGTGCTGCTGTGCCAGAGCTAGCTTCTCGAACCTTGGCGGAAAGTCGGGCTTGTGGATGGAATGGGCAGAGCGAGGTCCGGCGATCGCTGATTTCTGCCAGGAGCCAGGAGGGCGCGCCGCATCAATTTCTCCGCCAGTTCGTAGCGCTCTTTTGCTTTTGGGGAGGACAAAACAGGCTGAAGACGGCCGTGTGTGTGTGCCTGCAGAATCGAGCAAAGCGCAGGCTGGGGGGGTGACTCAAGGCGGCATAGCCCGGGGCAGGTATTGTGCTGGTAGCCTGATGACGCTCGCCGAGCATATTTCCGGCACGTCGTGGTGACATGATGCTGACGAAAAGAATGAACCTGATGTTTTCCACGGATCGGCCAAGAGGGTTGAGATCCGCATTCTGCGCATAAGGTACCTGCCCTGTACATGGGCGGTGGGGGCCGCCGGGGGGGGGGGGGGGGGGCTTACGGGGCCTGGTGGTCGCTGTAACGGTTTGCCACAGGCCGTCAAGGGACGCTGTGGCCACTGAAGGGCGACGCCTTGGACGAAGGAATTACAGCGCCGTAGCAGGCCGTTGGTAGCTGGGGGGGAGTAACGTGAAGTCATCAAATGGCCAGCAAATTCGGCCGAACCTAAACCGAAGTTGGAATGGTCCTTTGGCACCTCGTTCTTTTTCTCGAGAAGCCGTGCTGTGTTGAGACTGAAATTCTTGGATGTCGGCCAGTCCAACAAACAATGGCAGCACTGGCCGCTGGGAGGTCAATTGTCACAAAACACTCGCATTGACCTGTGATGCCATCAATGACATGGCCCGTGAAATAGAGTCGCAGCCCCAGCCACAGCGCGAATGCAAGGTTACGTGCGCCTTTGCAACAGTGAGTGACTGACTGCCCACTCACACACACACCACACACGACGGAGGCAAAAAGACGGCCGCAGCAGCTGCAGCTGGCCAACCACAGCTGCACATGAAAACCCCAGATCTGGGACTGCAAAAGTCGAGAGGCAGGGTGCTGGACTCTTCTCTTTGGGGGCTGGGCCAATGGCAGTGATGCGTGCCGACGAAGAAGAACAATTGGATCTGGTGAAGCTGGAGCCTCTGTCGATTTGATCAACTGGCAATTTCCGCCACGAGGCCAATGGGGGAGAGCAGCTGCTGGGCAAACTGGATCCGTCGGGCCGTCGTGCGGGCATCCCCGTTGCTCGTTCATTGCAGCAGAGAGACTTCTTTTTGCATTGACGGGGAAGCGTAAAGGCCCCAATCCGCGGGCAACGGCTGTATGGCCGGGTGTGATGTGAGCATTCACATGTTTTCCTGGGGCATGTATGTAACATTGTAACCTCACCTGTGCCAACTGGAAACTGGCCCTCGTAAAGTCGGCACAATTGATGCTGCAGCTCGAGTAACAGGTACCGCTGCGTGCGTTGCCGGCTGCTGTCGATGCCAGGTTACCGTTACAGCGCGTGTCCGAGCAGAGCTGCAGTCATCCCCATCCCCATCCCCCATACAAAAGCCAAGGCCCGTCGATCGCTGGGTTGCCCGGCTCGGCCGTGTGTAGCAGATGAGGTTAGGCCACAGTCCATCCCAGCCAGCCCCCCCTGTTTCCGGACGAGGTTCAGGTTGGCTTGCCACGCTCCAATCTTCACTAACACGTCTGCCTGCTTTGCTGGAGCACGGAGGTCGCAGTGACTGGCCTTCCGCTGGCAGCCATGGCCAACGACCAAGTCACTGGCACTTTGTAGCCCCTGTAACGAATGGCCCGTGGCACAGCACCCACTCTGCGTGGCTGCCCAGAGCAGAAGTCGCGCTCCGGAGTGTACTAAGTTCTGGTGTGTATGTTTTGTCCAAGCTGGCGCCACAGGTACTTGTCCCGCCGGTAGACGCAGCATCGAGCCACGGCGACGAGCGCACCGCCAGGACTGGCCGCGAGGTACTTGTCACCGCGGTACTGCTCGAGACGCCTCAATCCATATGGTACCAACTTTACTCTGTACAGCCAACTCCATCAACAACAAGCAAGGAAATCGAATTGCAAGAGCCAAAAAAAAAAAAAAAAAAACCTTGACGACCTTGTTCGCCCTTTCGGCCCTGCTAGGTACCTCCAAGCAAGTACTCGTAGGCCGTGCTAGCCTTGTCCTTTCATTTTGCACACCCCGGCCCGACGATCGAAGGGGAGGGGCGTGAGGCCCCCAGCTGAGACCAAAGGAGCCACAGGCGGCTTGCACAGGCTAAGCAACTAAGGCAAGGCAAGGGAAGCTCAAGCCAAGGTTGGTTGGACTTGGACTTGGACTTGGACTTGGACTTGACGGGAGAGAAAGAAGGACGGAAGCTCGTCCACAAACACAAAACATACATAAAGAGGCTTCCCTCCATCTCCGAAGCCTCTCTTCTCCTTTTCTTCTTCTTCTTCTCCATCCACTCGCTCGCTTTCACAAGTCCAGCTACATTCGTTGTCTGAACACTAAACCAAAAAAACTCACAAAAAAACAACTTGATACACACCCCCCCCAAAACACCACTTTAATACCGACATCATGAAGGCCGCTTTCGTTGCTGTTGCTTTCGCCGCTCTGGCTTCGGCTCAGACCCGCGCTGATATCCCCTCGTGCGCTCTGCCCTGCCTCGACGACGCCGTCAAGGCCAACACCAAGTGCTCCACCACCGACTACGCCTGCATCTGCAAGGACTTCGACGCCGTCCAGGCCCAGGCCACTTCTTGTGTCATCAGCAAGTGCGGCGCTGACGTTGCCATCAGTATGTTTCCTCTGGTCCTCCTGAAACCGAGTCCAAAGGAGCTTTGTTTACTAACCAATTCGCTACAGGCAAGGTCCTGCCCGCTACCCAGGCTCTTTGCGCCGCCGCCGGCTCTGGCTCTTCTTCTGCTGCCAACACCACTCCCGCCCAGCAGACCACCTCTGCCGCTGAGACTTCTGCTGCCCAGTCCTCTGCCGCCAGCGCTCCCCCCAGCTCTGCTCCCGCCTCGACCACCATTGTCGAGACCACCACTGCTGTCGAGACCACCACCGCTGTCCAGACCACCACTGCTGTCCAGACCACTGTTGTTCCCGTCGGCACTGGCACTGGCGTTCCTCCTCCCGCTGGCAACAAGACCACCACCGGTGCTCCCACTGCCCCCACCAACGGTGCTTCCACCATCCTGCCCGGCCTCGCCTTCATCGCCGCTCTCTGCGCCTTTGCCCTGTAAGGGGTTTGACCGGGAACGACGAGATGGGAGAGGTGACGATGTTTGGAGGATTTGGGACTACGGAAACGGTTTGGCGAGACGGAAGGATTACTACCACGGTGTGATGAACATATGAGCTGGACCCCCAGACGACTTTTTTGTTGGCTTTGGATCGTGCGCCCTTTCGAGGGAGTGTAATACACAAAATATACCAGATTACTGGCTTTAATGCTAATGTCTTCGGACGACCTTTTACGATTATAAACAAGCATTTTGCGCGTTTTCCATTGTGACTTTAAAGTGATGTTTACGACTGTTTTCTAGTGAATTCTCGACTGAGATCGATTGTAGAAATCAATGCCTTTGAATATCGATGTTTTGACAGCATCAGGATTGGAGCTGAACTGAGCTGTGCTGCTGCTTACCGCTCTGCCGCTCTACTGCAAAGTGCGGGCTGTCGCTGGAGACACCTTCAGGCTGTACCAAGATGTACTTGACCCCCGGTACCTCTACTTCCGCTCAAGCAAGCAAGAACCTGCTGAGACCCGCTGAATCCGAGCTTCCGCGAGCGACGTGCATCCAATGGATGGTTTTGCTCTCCATCGTTGACTAAGAGAAAATGGCCCTGGTCCTGGCTAAGCGTCTGGTACCACCGAGGATGCCATTCAGGTGAAGATACATACTGTACATCCCAAGTACGGAGTCTAGTTTCAAGTAGTATGTACCTCGGAGCTACCAACCGCGGCAGCCTTTTCCCAGCTGTAGCACTTGTACTGTACTCGTACGTTGCGGAAGGAGCTGGGTCGGGTTTCCGGTGGCTCCGCTGGCTTGGATTTTATGGCTGAGGGGCGTATACTTGTATACTGGACGAGTACATGGTACATGGTTTACGTTTCTTTTTGTGCCAGTTTTTTGGTGGAGTTGCTTTTACATGTTTGTTTTGGTTTTTTCTTCTTTCCCTTGCCTTGCCTTGCCTTGCTCCCCTGTCTTTTTGGGACGGGGACGAGGTGTTATTTGTGGGGATGGGAGGAGTTGGGAAGGTGGAGAAGGACTTGCTGCAAAGGGAAGGGAAGAAAAAAAAAACAAGTTGACATGGGATGGGTTAGGTAGAGAGAGTAGGAAAGAAGAGGAGAAATGATGCTGGGGGTTTTTTGTGTGTGAACCAATGGATGAGGTTTTTTTGGGGGGTTGGACGGATACAGCATGGTTCTCCGGGGTTGTACGCGGGTAGAAGGGAAGTTGGGCGTGGCATGTATGTAGGAAGGATGGGAGAGAAGAAAGAGAGTTGGGATTAGGCTTTTGACGTGGCACTATGTTGTTGAGCTAGATGAGTGTGTATTTTGTTTTTAATTTCCAGTGGTGGTGTTTTATGTACATTTGTATGTAGTAGATGATGAGGATGAAGAGCAAAGACAGAAGGAGGAGAGGGACGCGCAAGATGAGACAGATGGGAATAATGGCTGGCTGGCTGGCTGCAGGTCGGTGGTTGGCAGCTCCAGCACCACCTGTTGCAGAGGACGATGGATCATGACCTGGCGCTAAAGACGGCATTTTGGAGACACGAAAGTTGGGTTGCAGCAACAAGAAAGGATGGATGGATGTGGTGCTCAGTTGTTGGACTCGACGTCGTGTAAAGACAGAGACTGGATCATCCCACCCAGCTTACATGTCACAGACTGTCAATATCTTACTCTCTGGATTCCCTCGAGAGTTACCCAATTCGGGCACTTTGCAAGAAGGATTACGGCCAGCACCTCGTCATCCATCAAAATTCCTGCCCTCGTACATGCTGTAATACAACCCTCCCCTCTCCCCTCCCATCCATCCATCACAGATCAACCCTTGAAAATCCGGGGAGGTCATGCAGGCAAACAAAAGACAAACAAAATCCTCGACGAGAAAATAAAAACAGAAAAAAAGTGTGGCGGAGGCGCACACACACGCAGGCGTTTATACGCACTTTGCATAACGTACTGGGCTCACCACCAAGCGTTAGTGGCGCCGTGGCTTGCGACGGAGGGTGGCATTCCTTCGTATTTTTGGCGGACTTGAGGCTAGTTTGCTTTTTTGTCTTCTTCTTTTCTATTTGTGTGCTTAAAATAGGATTTGGAGGGTGCGGGAAGGGAGGAGAAGAAAAAAAAGAAGGAGGAAAAGCTGGGGAATGTTGATGAGCTGGGATGGGCCAATTCGCGCCCTTTGAAATCGCAATTTGGCGGGTTTTACGTGAGATGTGTAGGGATTGTTGTAGAGAAGTTGATGGTGCCGAGTTTTTCGATTTATCGTGTTTGTTTGTTGCGCATTTTGCCTGGATGAGGTTATACGAGGTACGGAGCGGTACGTACCTCGTGCCTTGCCGGCTTTTGTGTGGATGGGGTGTGGAGGAGTGGGGCGGGATTATGACGCGGCTTGTGCATGATTTGTGCATTGATGGTGCATTGAGTGGGGAAGCATGTGCATAAAGCTGCATAAAGTCACTTGATGAGTGTGACGGTGACAAACTGCAGTGACAACTACAGTACAGTACTTTTGACTCAACTGGGAAATACCGTAAGAATAAAGAAGAAGCAAAAAGAGAAGAGGAAAAAAAGGCCGAAAAGTGTATTCTCCATGATGGGTGATGCTAAGACACATTGAGTAATTCCCTGCGTTGTGGCTACCAGGTAGTGACATGCGCCTCACCACCAGCTTTAACACCAGGTTCAACACCAGCGGCAAAAAATTGTTCTTTCTGCCTTCTACTGTCTCTTATTAGCCCGTTCTGTGTCCAAGTCGCACCGAGGCGCATTCCAGAGAACACGCCACGCCTATTAACTAACATTTTGACTTGCACACATCGGCACAAGTATATGTAAACTCGTACGAGTACTACGTCCCTCAAGGCAGCCCCCGTACGTACAACGCCAACAGCCAGCCCAAAAAGCCAAAAAAATAATAACTCACAGACGGATCACCGGCAGAGGCGACAAGAATCAAATAGCTTCAACATGCCCATCCCAATAGATCCATTGCCCAATTCCGGATCTGCTCCCCTTCGGCGAACAAAATGACGTCGCGAAACATCGCCCTCTCGGCCAATCATGATGGCGAAGTCGCCCGTTTACGGGCACCTTTGGAGGGGGGGATTATACACGGAAAACTCTCCACGTCAGACGGACAGGATTCATAGGCAGCCGGGGCATTTTTTCTAGCCTTGGTTTTTTTTTTTTAAATTCTCCTTTTAATTACTCTTTCTCCGAGTGTGTGGGACGCTGCAGCTCTTGGGGGGTCCTTGGCACGGCATATGTCAGTGTCAGGAGGGTGATCGACGACGCTTGTCTGCAGGGGCCGCCTTCACAATGTGTACGAGTACTTGCTGCGAACATGACGATTCACGGGGAGTCTTTGGTTGTCAAAGATGGGGGGCAGTCTCGGATTGGCCGGTCACAAGCATCTACAGTATGCTGATGCTGTGCGCGTGTAGTGCAAGCAGGGCGTTGTGCTCCCCCGTTATCCATTTATCGTCACTCACAGAAAAAAAACTCCCAATCCATCTCACGGGAACACAGAATGGGACCCAAAACAAGGCAATACCGAGATACAGTGACGTCAGGACCCATGACCGGGCAGATTGACGTCTTACTTGCCCCCCAGCTGAATTTGGATTGAGTCCCCCAGTCATCCTAAAAAATGCCTTTCAGCAAGCCCTTTTACCAGCAAAAAGGTTTCCTTCACGAGCTTCTCATTGGTTATGTAAGTCTTCCCAGCTTTGCTTCGGCTCGTGCGGGATCTCGGGAAAAGAGGCTTCAAGCCATGAAGCTTGAAACCACCAGGCTTCCCATGATCACGGGCTGATACAATGACTTCATCCGTTTCACATCGTGCTGCTGTCGTTTCTATCGTCACCCTCCTCATGCTGCCGGCCTCGCACCTTGAGTGTCTTCTCAAGGTCAAAAGTCAAAACAAAATGGTATTATCACGACAGGGAACCCCCGTCTCCGGTCTCGTGTCTCCGTAGGCCCGCGCCGTTCGTGCCCACCATCTCCGTAACCGTGTGGTCAATCGGGATGGTCGCGGCGGCCCACAAAGCCGGTTGCACACTACTCTCGCTGTTCCACAGTCGGTGCCAATGAACGACTGTTATAAGTAATCATTTAGAACGCATTTTCTCCAGGTTGGTAAACATGGGCCCAGTTTCTATGACAATGGGCCTGGGAATGACCCATTGAACTTAAAATGATGGTCCCTGAGTCGAAATCAACGTCGAACTACTCTTTATAGCCCACAACAAAGTGAACTAACGGCTAGACATTTCATCCTTTACACTACAAATAGCTCCCAATTCTCTTTAAGATGCTGTCACAGATAATGGAGTTCAGATTTTACTCATAACGTCTCCAGGTCGCATGGCCGCAGTCTTTTGAGTCTGCCGATCATCTCCTCTAAAACCTCGGGAGAAACTCCACCGAGGGAACTGCATGAATCGCTATCTAGGTGCTGGCCCTATAACTTCTTTTCTTTATAGTTTATGCCAATAATATCTCTGCCGTCGGTACAACCACTCTCTTCACCGGCCGGCTTCTCACCTCGGTCTTCTCCTCATATCCAAATGCCAACCCGATCAGAATCTCCTCAGACCACTTAGCACCCATAAAAGTCACTCCAAAAGGAATCCCCGGCCCCGTTTCCACCAACTCACCATCCTCGTGCACCGGCTCCGTGTCCGAGTGATGCCCCATCGGCACCGTAATGGCCGGGGCTCCTATCACGGCGGCCCACACCGCAGCTATGCTTGTGGGCATCACCACCGCGGTCAGGTTATGCTTGGCCAGGACTCCTGGGAGACCGCCCGGGCCACCAAGTTCCTGGAGACGCTCGTAAGCCGGTTGGAATCTCGGATCAGTATTGCCCCACCCCTGCTCAAAGATGATGTCGTCCCAGATGCCCGTGTCGCGCTGCGGATACGTCTCTAGCGGGTGTTTCTGCGTCTGCTCGCGTATGTCGGCGAGAGTGTGAATGTTGTTTGGATTCGAGGTCAGCTGAGCGAGATAGGACGCAACGTTGGCGTAAAAGTCTGCCCCCATAATCATCTTTTCGGCGTCGCGGATGTCCTTTAATGGTGAATCAAAGTTGGCTTCGACGATGGTTGCGCCGGCGGCCTCCAGGATGGCGAGCGTCTCTCTAAAGACTTGGACTTCTGAGGCGATATGTGCGTATTTTTCTAGGCCTTGCTCGATGGCTTTCCAGGGCACGCCGATTCGGGATCCTGGCAGCATGTTTTTGCATGCGGCGAGGTAGTCTGGTATGCGAGGGATTGCGGCCGTGTACTTGTCATGGGGATCTTCTCCCGCGATGGCCTGTAATAGATACGCTGCGTCCTTGACTGTCCTTGCTATGGGCCCAACAGTATCTTGATGCTCCGAGATTGGAACAACAAGAGCCCTGGATGTTAGTCCAACGGTAGGTTTGATTCCCACAACACTACTTCTCTGTGCCGGACAGACAATCGATCCATCCGTCTCGGTGCCAAGCGCTGCCCATGCGAGGCCCAGGTCAGCAGCTACTGCGCTACCACTGGAGCTTCCAGAGGGATGCTGTTTGGTGTGATATGGAGCGAGTGTCTGGCCCCCGTGAGATGACCAGCCGTTGATGCTGTAGTCGCGAGCGCGGTAGTTGGCCCACTGAGACATGTTGGTTTTACCTAGGATCACGGCTCCCGCTTTACGAAGCTTCTGTGCGACAAAGGCATCTCGAGGGACAGTGGCGCCTATGAGAAGCTGCGAGCCGGCTACATAAACCATGAGAAACAGTCAAAGCGACTTTGGGGTACAGTTAGGAAGGTAAACCTGTTGTGTCCATCTTGTCATGTGTGGCAATGTTGTTCTTGATCAGGACTGGGATTCCATGAAGCGGGCTGTCCTCTGTGAGCTCGAGTCTGGTAAACATGTAATTTTGGTGGATTTACCCTCGAATAGAGCCAGCGGCCCTCTCCTCGTCGAAGCTCTTGGCAATGTCGAGCGCATCGGGGTTTGTTTCGACGACGGCGTGAACTCCCTCGTTTACTTGCTTAATACGCGCGAGATATGCCTTGTGGTGATGAGCGACAGGTTCTTTGACAAAGTGAAATCATTTTTACATACTTTTGTGAGCTCAACACTGGTGAAATGCCTGCCTTTTAGGCCATCGGCGAGCTGGTCGAGCGTTGCATCAAGGAGGCTAGGTATCGGCCCCGATGAGTCACTGAGACGTAGTTAGACTATTGCCTCTCAGAGACTTGGATAAACGAATTACACATGGCCAGTGTCTGGTTGGAAATCCCCCATTTTGCTCGGCTCAAGCAGGTGAATTGAGATGCAAAAGCTTTCTTGTCGTGACTTTTGATCCTGTGAGTGACAGTGGCTTGGAGTTGAATGCGGGGCATGACAAAAGTGCCATTCATTGCCTGCCGGCGGCTGACACGATGGCTCCGCTGATAGATTGAGGCTAGGAATTTGAGTAAATAGTTGAATGGGTATGTTTATGCCATTAGAGAAATTCATTTAATACAGAGAGTTTGAGGAATCTGCATGTTGAATGCAGTTCCCCAAGGGCCTAGTCTTTAACGTTTTGCTCCTCTATCAAGCAGCAGCTGTACAATATGCTCATGCCCTTTAGATGCTGCAGCCTGAAGTACAGTTCCATAAATCTTCCCCCAAGTTCCCATCTTTATTCCCTTTGCAAGAAGCATCTCCTGAATCTTTGTTTTGCCAACGTCATCAGAGCCGTCAGTGAGTAAGTATCCGGGACCTATAAGCCCTCGGGCGTTGATATTTGCTCCCTTCTCAAGAAGCATCTCCACAACATCTGTGTTCCCCTTCATTGCTGCTCCGTGAAGTGCACTACCAAAAATTCCTCCCCAGTCGTTAACTCTCGCTCCCTTATTAAGCAGCACATTGACCATCTTGGCGTGTCCTCCTACTGCTGCGCATTCAAGCGGGCTGCCGAAAAGTCCTCGAACATGTATGTTCGGCCCCTCATCAAGAAGCAACCCCATAACCTCCATGTGTGTTTCTAATGCTGCGCATGCAAGCGGGCTGCCGAGAACTCCCCGAGTATCAATCTTTGCTCCCCTCTCAAGAAGCAACTGCACAACCTCTATGTGTCCTTCTGCCGCTGCGCATGTAAGCGCGCTGCCGAATACTCCCCGAGTATCAATGTTCGCTCCCTTCTCAAGAAGCAACTGCACAACCTCTATGTTTCCTTCTGACGCTGCACATGTAAGCGCGCTGCCGAAAAGTCCTCGAGTATCAATCTTTGCTCCCCTCTCAAGAAGCATTTGCACGATATCTTCAGACCCTTCTTTAGCTGCTACGCAGAGAACGTTACCCACGAGTCCTAGAGCATTGACCTTTGCCCCCTTATCGAGCACCATGGCTATGATATCTTCATTACCAGTTTCTACTGCGTGATGAAGCACACTGCCTTTGGAAATTCTTTCGAAGATATCAAGTGTGGCCCCCTTGTCAATCAGCATGGCTAGAATCCTTCCGTTGCCCTTCTTGAATGCTCTATATAGCGTTGTATGGCCACGGGGTTTTCCATGAGGATCGATTTTGGCTCCCTTGCTAAGCAGCGTTTTGACAATCCCTTCCCTTTCAAACTCTATAGCCGCTTGAAGCGCAGTCCCACAAGGTACTCCTTCAGCATTAATGTCAGCTCCCCTATCGAGTAGACTCACTACCAGCTTGGGGAGCCCACTAGCTGCCAGGATCTGCAGTAAGTTGAGAGGCATGCGCCTTTGACCGTAATTCACGAAAAATTTATGAAAATGCTCTATCCGCTTAAAAACGGTGTCGTACTCTAAAGTCCGTAGTAACTCAGATTGGCCCACCGATGTCGCTTCTTCGGCATGGGCAAACAGATAGCGAGACGCGTATTTGAGGAAAGGGAAGCGAGACTTTGTTTCTTCAACGTTTTGAAGTTCTAGCGATTCCATCATTAAGTATGCCATACAGCAATCCTTGAGGCGATCATGGCTTTTAGCGATGGGATCTGGTGAAAGCCTCGGGTCTAGTTTTTGTAACCTCCTGTTACGAAGTAGAAAGTCGTTGACGGATCCATGAATAAACTGCACTGTTTTCCTTTCGCCTTCTTGCGTCCCAGCAAGCTTTGCGTCTTCTTCCGTCTCGTAAAGCTCTTCGTCTTCTTCCGTCTCGTAAAGCGCTTCGTCACGGTATATTTTCCGAATTTTTACCCTTCGGAAACCTCTTCCGGACCTATAAATAAGCCGAGATGTGTCATTTTGCCTTTTGCGGATTTCAATAAGCCCCCTGGATGAACTGATGATGCGTCGTCGGATGATATCGCCAGTTACCTGCAAAGGATTCCATTCGCCCAATGCTTTGCTATTGGTGCCAGCGACAATAGCAAAGAATAACTCCTCTGGTGTGAATGGTCGTTTTGCCAACAAGACGCACTGCAAAATCAAGATAGTCTCATCCTTGTCAGGATTGTCCCTATCAAGCAGCATCGCAAACATTTCCTCCAATTCGTTTGGGATTTCGTCTAACATGTCTTTCATAGCCTCAACTCTGCCATCTTCATATGCCCTATTCAGTAACCTGATGACGAGCACAACCCACATAAAAATACCAGACGACCTTTTTCTGATCGCTTCTTCAACCTCTTGGTCTTTTTTCGTCAAGTTGGAAGAGATATACTTGATAATGTCTTCATCGTGCTTTTTTTCCTTCTCCAAAACCAGTTCTTGATATTTTGCGCAGCGGATGGATGGGAAGTGACGGCTTGATAGACAAATATTGAGCAGAAGACCAGCATCTGTCGCATTCTTGATCAGAAGCTGGAGAAATTCTGCGACGTTCTGCACGTCGTATTCGCTGCACTCGTCTAACGCGTCTATTATGAAAAGGAGCGGTCCCGGCTGGCATTTTGGTATCTCCGATAGGAAGAAGCTTTTAAGCTCTGGCTCACGCCACTCCCAGTCCCCCGAGCTGTGATCTTGCTGTTTTTGGCGATAAATTGGAAGAAGCTGGTCATATAAACGAGGCTCATGCGAGAGTAGTTGAAATAGTAAAGAGCGTAGCATACCCAGAGGTGTTTGCTCTAGTTTGGTCCCTCGAGCGTTAAAGAAGTATGCCGCGATAGTATATTTTCGTTTAGTTTGGCAGTATTCCAAAATATGCTTCATCAATGTCGATTTTCCAGTGCCAGGGTTTCCTTTGATCCAAAGCAATCCATTATCGTGTTGAGCATGCTCATACCAATTCTGAAACACTGGCATATGAAAAATCCACTCGCAGGTACCTTGCTGTACCGGAAAGATATTCTGCAGGCGGGCGTCAAGATCGCGGAAGCTGAGAGAGCGCCGACAGTCTATGCAAAGTCAGTTTTGAATCTCTTCTAGAGGTTAATTAACTGACCCATCCTCTCTTTCTCTTCCAACTGAGCTTGTACTGCAGGGGACGGTGTGCTTTCGCGGGAGACCGCTGCGTTCTATTAGCTTGAACCATGAGAGGAAGAGGTTCCGGAACTCACTTGTCCGGCTACTAAAGAAGATATTTAGAAATCCTTGGTTTATTCGGATGTTGTCCCCAAAAGTAGATCCACTGATGTTCGCAGAGTGTGCTGGCGCACGGGTTGCACCCATTCGGTGCCCTGCGTCATCGGTCATTGTTCAAGTGCTCGGGGTAACGGAGTCGGAGGTGATGATGAAAGATGGAAATGCGTCAGATATGTTGCAATGGAGGGCATCGGGCTATTTAGGCATCAAAAGGGGGAGTGTCAGGTACATGTAGGTTATGTAGGTAGTATTCAGCCTTATTTACGCAGGCCAATCGCGCGAATCCATTGCACGTGGCTACATTCAAAGATTTGCTTTGGAAAGGCTGCCTAAAACATGGAGCGCGGAGGACCGCAATATGCCTTGAGATGTAATGTCTATACCGTTTATAACGTTTGTTGGCCGTGTTCAATCTCCTTCACCCACTCGTACACCCTTTTCGCAATTACCCAGCTTGTGTCTAGGTTGCAACAAATTAGCATCTTTTACATGTATGTTGAAAAGCACAGCCTAACGGACAAAACTCACGCTCCTTGACGCAAAATGCATGCGGAATATCTCCCTCGTCAACTAGTATCTTGGTGTGTTCCTTTTCGCTCTTCCTCTTCTCGATAAACGCATCTCGGACATGGTTCGCCACCCAGTGGTCGTTTTTGCCGTAAAAAATGAAGAACTTTGGAATCTGTTGCTGTGGTGTCTCGGCGCCGCCTTGAGACTCTCCATTCGCAGAAACCTTGCTTTTACCGTGGTAGTAATTGTAACTGTTAACGTCTCCGTCTTCAACTGTCGTCTCCCAGAGCTCTTCCTCCCACTTTTCCTCGCAAATGGTGCGCATCTCTGAGAGGCCTAGGTGAATCGCCTGCCAAACGCCACCTTGACTCTTGAGCCACCTCGCCGTCACCTCTGCAGTCTGAGGCGTGAAGCCCAAGACATGTCGGATGATCCACAAGACACACGCATAAGGAATACAATTAAGGATGAATTTCGCCAGATGATGTGCGTTGTTTTCCAGCCCGGGGATGCTCATTAGCAGACCAACATTCCTCCCTTTGGGCGAGTTGGCAATGTGGGTGAGAGTTGGAAACAGCAAGAAGCCGTGCCGGAGGTTGAGATGCGGCGCTCGAGATGGATCCTGCATGTGCCGATGAAAGATTTCGACTGAAATGTACGCGCCTACCGAGTGGCCCATGAGGACGACAAAGTCATACGGCCGCGCTGCCTCTCCCTCTTGGCCCTCAGCGCCAGCTTCGTCGGGAATGACGGTCCTGGATGCGACATCGCGATACATGCCGTCGATCTGGCCGTCGAGATCCCATGGCTCGTTGCTGGCGCTAAACGGCTCATGCTCGTCATCACTGAAGCCCAGTAAATTGCGCCCGTATATGTCATAGGCAGTTCCGCCTGAGCCTTCATCTTCCGCATCGAGCATCCCGCGCAAGCAATCTAGGAAGACGGCGTAGTAATTGACGAGTCCTGGGTTGCCGCAGATGAAGTAGATGAGGCCGTGTCTCTGGTACGGACGGACGCCTCTTTGTCGTGGTTTGGCGAGGAGTGAGATGGCGGGAGCCATTTTGGCTGGTGGTTGTTGAGGATTATTAGCAAAGTCTTGGTATCCTCATGGGCTCTATTAGCGATCTATAGCCGGTTAAGTACTGAAGTTGATGATGATGAAGAGCGATTTGCATTGGATGTACAGAGTTGAAGCTTTGGAATGAATGACGACGGCAGCTAACGTTGGTAACAGCCCGCAGTGGGTCAATGCCGAGACTCTAAGCACATCATGTAGATGCGCTGAATTGAATCCATCGCAATGAACTATGTAGTGCCCTCCATACGGGTAGACTCTGCCTCATCAGAGTCATCGTCGCTAGAAGAGAGCTAATAATTGATTGTAACTCCAAATACATCTCTTACCGATGGAAACGCACATGGGTAAGAAGTACCTATGCATCATACGTGAATTCATCGAATCCTCTGAGGACGGGCTTCCTCTCCTTACCAGGGCGCATTCACAGCCTGACGGGATGCGTTATAAGTCCTGGATTGTCCACTATTTCGGCGCACCATAATTCTTCCGTCATTTTCCTACGTCTCTCTCTTTTCAAACAATTACTAGAAAGATATTAGATTCTTTTTACAGCCACTTCTGTCCATTTCGTCAGGTATGGGGACAGTTGGGGGAGGGCTTCTGAGGAGCTGAGGGGCGCATCTAATATTGCCATTACACACTTCTAACCGATTCTCTCTAGCCACTTGATAGCAGTAAACCACTCTGCCTAGACACCAGGCATCGAAAGTCTTGGATATTCGCATTAACAACAGTTATCTGAGCTTATCACATCCGATGCATTTAATGCTGAGGTAAACGATCATCAAACCATTCGGGAGCGGCTTGGTGTCGTGACTGAACTATAGCGTCGGACCAAGATATAACCATCACACTCTCAGAAGTGTTTGGTCGAAGGTTGGGCCATTGCCCCTCCACGAGTTTATAATTGCCCTCCAGCAACAGCCATCCCAATACCCTTAAAGCGATTTGTTCTCTCCATGAAGCATCTTGCCAGAGGATATTGCAAGTTCATCTCGGTTTATTGAAGAGATATGATCCGGAGTATCTTGGAGTACAAAAGTGCTTTGCTTTGAGCCACCTTTGAGGTTTCCCCCTCTTTGACGCTTATGTTACAAACGTGTGAAGTTTATAACGGCATCATGACCTCCTCCTTGAACCAACAAATGAAAGAGGCTCTTGATCAAGGAACTTCAACAAAGTTTCACCCTCTGCTACGTCAAGTTTCTTCTTCTGATGTTTAGTTTGGCCAGTATTTTGAGGATCACTCCGATAGTTCTTTCGGGGCCAATTCATTACAAGATCCAAGTGTTCCGTTTCATGATACCGGAGACACAGCTGCTATCTCTGCACTTTGGCCCAAATCGTATACAGTTAATTCTATGTATCCAGTACCGTGAATGGCAGAAATACCTTTCAACAATGCAGCAAACCTCTCAGCAGCTCAGCGATACTTCCATGAATAAAGCCTTAGAGGAAACGCTTGGGGAAAAAGACGGATGCCTGAAGACGGCTTTGGTAGTATCTTGTAGAATGACAAACCCAAAACACAAAGACCGAAAATTGAAAAGAAAAGGGTACCCAAGAGAAAATTAGAGATGTGTAGTCGCATCATTTTTATATTGAGACGAGAGCGGCTTAGAAAGGCCGTGTTGTTGTTCGGCCTAATTGGGAGAGGATGGTATCATTACAATAGGGCACCAATTGCCATCTGGAGCGTCTGCGACACAGAACTCTTTTTATATGCATGATTAGTTAGAGAAGCTTGTGTGTAGTAACTAGGATTTATTAGACAGGCCTTGTGATATCCGAATATCTCGTCGCTTTGGCTTATAGAATTACCACCTTCTTACATCAAACCTGAACTTTTAATCCGTCTCCTTTGATCGCCCGATCATAGTTGTGATGGTCGTCTTTACAAAATGAATTGCGTTCATATTGAGGAGCGTGGCTGTGCAATAAAAAGGGAGTGGATGTAATTTATGTGTATTGAGTTACTGTTACACTTGTTCATCCAACCTATCCAACCAACACAGGCACGACTTTACAAGTAAGTAGACCTATTGGCTGTCTTCTTTATTCAGGTGCTCTCAATAATGACTCATAGATAAGGACAGGGATTCTTAAGCAAGGAAGTCGTGTAAAATGAGGCATCTTTGCATGATGCTATTTACCTTGGGCATCACCGCAACTAGGCTTGCTATTCGTATCACAGCCCCAAGTCTCTACCAATACTATATTATCTTCTACGAGCTATAAATGTTGCAACAACATAGGCTGACGTAATATAAGTATCCTCATACGCATTTATGCCACGCTTCCATCGATTCTATCCAGGACTACGAAGAAGTTCTCATCGGTTACGTTCCAGTGCGAAACACAATCCATTGTGAAAGCTCACGGGCATGGACCAAAAGACATATATCGAAATTGAAGGTACGCAAGAGCTTGAGTACCACCTACCAAACGAGTTGGATAAGTTTGATGGCCCCATACGACACCGGAAAGAGATCACGGGCACCGACAGACAGGGCAAGGCCAGGCTTATGTCTATAGTTGGAATCATGCCTACAGTGGTACACGGATGGGCTAATGGCGAGATACACACGCTCATAATCTATGAATGGAAGACCGTACCTGGGCACCAGGGCCTTCGCTTCAAAGACTTGATAATCGAAGTATCGTTTGTCGCAAATGGTCCCCGTGGTGCGGCTGAGGATGAGGCCCGCGACATGCGCAGCCGAGGATTTAAATCCAACGTTTCGGATCCCGAGGTGGTATCAGCTGTACCAAGTGCAGTGCAGTTGTATAATGTGACAAAACACAAAATAGGGGGGAATAATACAGGCGAATTCGGGTTCAGCGCCGGCTTTGCGCCGTATTTTTCAGCAGAGGCCAAGTACATCATGGAGCGCAACTCCGCTGTTAGTATTACTGATGCCGTACAAGTTGCTGGCCAACCTTACGTCGTTGGCTCTGGTCGCAGCCGCCTGAATGCCATTCGATGGACTATTCTAGAAAATGATTCCCAGCGCCCAGGTATTCCTGCATACTTACGGACCGCCGTACTGCTCAAGCGCCAATCTGATGACGACGGACTATTCCTTGGGCATGTCAAGATAAAATCGCACGTTTCCTGGTGGGAAGATATTATGGAAACAAAGGGGAAAGTCTTTGGCGACATCAAGCCAGATGACCCCATTATCTTTGACCCAAAGGAACCAACAAGCTCGGTCTTTGATCATCAAAAGGCGAAACTTGATCTTGTTGACCTCGACGCGCAGTTTCGAATGGTATGCTTAGCAACGCTACAGACAACAAAAAGCGAGAATATTGGCGAAGATAACGAAGAAAGATTGACTGAAACCTCAGGCGAGAATTGAATTGGATCCCTAGCTTACGCTGGTAAATAGACACTTTTAGGTGCTTCAATATATCCCGCTATATCTACATGATACTGTTGAAAAGCCAAAAGGTTAAGTGCCCCGAGGCTATTGAGGTTTATATCTCGACAAATACGTTTATGCATGTAAGCTATAGCACCTTGCATTTGCTACCGAGAGCCGATTTCTCCAATAAAGCATCCTCTTGTTTGCTTCCCTGCCCTCAAGGTTGTCACCGAAGTACAGTAAGTTACAACTTCGTCCATAGTTTTAATGTCTTTGAGGCCAATCATCTTGGTTACGTTGATCCATTTGCTCCCAGAATCTTTTAGGCTCTCAAAGACATAGTGCATGTTCGTCGGATTGAGAATGCAGGAAGGGATTTGGTGAGGAGGATTCTTCCTGAAGCACCAGAGAATGAGTGCCGAAAACCCTGCAGCCAGGGCGGCGGCGGCGGAACTTCCTTTCTGATCGTCGAGCTCGGTGATTCCCTCGCCGGGGAAGAGGTAGTCGACTTGTGCGAGATTGACAAATGAAGACTCTTCACCATTCTCCCTAGCTGAGCCGACTATTAGGATATGCTTGGTATCGCTATCTTGTGGATAGAGTCTTGTATCATCGTCATAGGGTGCTTTATCAGTAGCGGCACAATAGAGAAGGATATTCTTGTCAGCAGCGATCCTAATCTGATCCTCTAACTTTTTGATACCCTCGGCATTTCTTGGCGTTTCAACTAAACTCCAGCTCATGGATATGATATCTACCTTCTGATTGATGGCTCATTCAATTGCTTACGTTTATGTCAGCACGAATCAGTTCAACCGGAAAGAAAGAGAAGTTTCGCACATCAAATACAGTGTAAACCTCTATCGCTACTGTTAGAGGCCAAGCTACAAAGGAAGAGCTGCCTCCTTCCATGAACCCGGATAGAGGCGTCTGGGTTCCCAACTAGCAAGCTGGGTGGCTGAGGAGACTGAACAAAGGATATAAGAAAGGCGTTGTCGCCCCTTCATTCCAGAAAGGTTAGAGACAAATACAGTCTTTTGTGTGACCCTAGCTGCGTGGTCCGTGAGAGTGACTGTGCAGAGTTATCCTTGAACCTTTCACTCTTCCTTTGTGCTGACATTCCTGACAGCTACCATTGCTATTCTCTCCGATAGCTGTAAAAACTTACTTAAGAGTCACAGACACTTGAGTTATGCACTAGATTCTATCTCTCACAACATCATACAGTACACTCTAATTCCTTCTACGTTAGAGACGCTGATTCTATCCAATCTCGAATTCACGAATATATGTTCATGTGTAGTCAACATCTTTATAATGCCACGGAATCATATGCGACGATGGAGACTGAGAAGGCCACTTCACCGGAACTCTTGGTTCAATGATCTTGACGATTTTGATGAATCGGATGAGCCATCGACGACCTACGAGGAAGCAAATCTCAAAAACGAGACACCTGTTCTTCGTCCAAATCAGAATGAAGAATTAATAAGTGAAAATGAGATCTTTTTCTCCGGCATAGAACCTTCTGAGACCAGTGAGGACGATACGGTGGAAGGCCCCGTGGACTTTAGGTTAGTGATACTTGGAAAACCAAGATGCATTGTCTAAATTGATGATAGGCTCTTCAGCATTCATGGGCTCAGTGGCAAACACGTCGAACTCGGTGAAAGCACTTTAGCCGGTTTGGCTGCCCATTGCTCGTTTGACTTCGAGAATCATTGGATGCTTAGTGGACAAGATGTACTAAACGGCGTTCGGACTGCTGCTATTGAACTCCTTGATATGGTATTAAAGGAGTTGTCCGACTTCGATGAACAAGTATTTTCAAAATCAGCTGCGAATTGATTTCTTTTCTTACGTTCTCGAACAGGAATCTCTGGCTCTTATGTTTATTGCGCAAGACATCGGCGGGATTGTCTTGAAGCAGGTATGTACCATTGGCTTTTCGAGAATGATTCAAGTCTAGACGAATACTAACTCTTTTCTCAGGCCTTGTACGAAGCCTCTAAAAACAATGACAAATATGGCCGTATAATCAGCAACACAACGCATCTGGTGGGTTGTATTCTCCATTGCATACAAAATGATCATAGATGGATGTCTGATGAGTATGAAAACAGTTCTTCATTGCTACGCCGCACAGAGCCTCGGTCGAATTGCCATGGCGCCTGTCCCTCTCTAATATACTGAACCATCGAATGCAGCGTATTTCAGACGCTCAGGAATTTCTAAATGTCACACAATTGGCTATTGTTCACGAAAATCTATGCACCAAATTCGAATTAATTTGCCAAGCATACTCATTTCAAATTATCAACTGTTATCAAGAAACATCAGCATCAGATACTTACAAAACCGTAAGTAATAGTCAATCCTTATCAAGATTCATCATAGAATACATAATAACGCGCTAATGCGCCTAGGTTGTTCCAAAGAAAGTTGCAATAATCGACCAAGGAAACGAGCTGACAGTTGGTCGTCACGCAGCTCATGATGAGCTTGCCGATTTGTCACATCCTAAGATACAAAACATATTACTTTCAGCGGTGCATAACGCGCATACACGTATGGATTCCCAAAAGCGACTAAAAGTTGACTATATATGCATTTACTAACAATGCTGGATTAGAAATAAAACCCAGCTACCGCACTGCTATCGACCTCTTGTCCATTTACAACCTCGACATTCCACTCAGTAGAGACTTTGAACCTAATTACCAAAGTCTTTGCAACTTAATCTTTTCAACTGAGGGTCTTGAAAGTTTTGTCAATGGAATTCATCCCAGGACAACTGTGACTGTGTCCACGTCAACGCCAGCTACGGACGAGCAAGACAAACATAAGTCGTTCCTGTCTCCGCAATCCATTAGACGATGTTTTCGACAAATTGAGCTTGGTCAGTTGAACCTTTACATGGACTCCTTTATCAAAACCTTAAGGCGATTCATGGCGGATCAAATTCTGGAACATCAGGGGCCCGTCCAGCTTATCATTCTCACTCACCATCCATCTCACCAAACGCCAATGACTAAAGCAAATCTACTGGCCTCGGTCGCTCGACAATATCTGAAATACCATCCCCGGGCCTTCGATCAAGTTAGTGACCTCTTTCAGCAGTTACAGGTAGCTCTTTCGACATTCAACACCGCTTGGATAGAGTCAATTTTATGGAGAATCGTCAGGTCTCTCCTCGCGTATAAACCCAACGGACAGATGTTTGTTCTGGTATTCCAACCACTTGAAGAGATACTAGCTTCTCCATTTAGCAGACTCTTGGTAGATATATCATCCTGGCTACTCCAAGCTGAATCTTCCTGCAAATTTTTGGTTTTCCGTTGTGCACACTATTGGAGTGATGCACCTGCCACCCACCACAGCCAGGAAACCTCAGCATATAGTTTGGCAGTGCAAGAAGACCATAATGCAGCAATTCGAGTTACCTCTCAAGATGTCTCAGATGGTGCGATAGTCCGAGAGTATTTGAGCGGTTTCTCGGATACGGCTTGTTTTCCCACCCTTGACCCCTACAAACAGTCTTTGAATGGTCATGTGCTAGCCTCGCTGGTATTGGCTGATAAAGAGTGGTTATCGAATATGGGTAGAAAGGCTATTGTGGAATTGATCTTTGAATCAATTGCGAAACCCATTCAATCTGCTGTAAAGACGGGAGTTGTCTGGATTACGCATGCAATTCGTCCACTTACGTTCGACCAGTTGGCATCAGTTATGCATCCTGATGGCTTTGGGTTCAATACGAGTGGAAATGGATGCGCAACAGACGCTCTTATTCGGCAATTTCAAACATTATTATGTGGACTTGTTGAAACTCACGGGAATAAGATCCATCTTGCGAATTCATTCGCAGCTACATTACTATCTTGGAAGTTGAAAAAGCCGCAGGAGCAATATAATCCCCATTCGTGGTTAAATCCAACGAATAAGGCGCAGTCTGAAGCAGAGTCTCCGATTCCGGACCATTTGTCGGCTCACGCTCATCTAGACATCGCAAGATACTGCATTACTCTTCTTGAACAGCACTTCAATATTAACCCGAATAAAGAATACATTGCAGTCGAAAGCGAAATTGAAGAGAAAAAGAACACCGAAGTGTCACCCGAGCGAGAAGCCTTTGCTCTTCAGAGTGAAATGAGTACATCGCCTCTGCTTCCGTACGCAGCTCAGTATTGGCCCATTCACATCCAATTCTGGATTGACAATGCTGAAAACGCAAATGATGACAGTCATACTTCTCATGAGCTTGAATTCGTGGCCAACTTTTTCAGTGACCACATTCTTATGAATAAATGGCTGAGACTTCGAAATGCTCTTAATGGGAAGACGATTCAGCACGTTCCACAATTTGACGTTCTTGACATTGCCAAAAAGCTCAATGTTGATTTCAGCAAGGGCAGCACATTAAGCAAACTGATAAATATCGTTCAGTGTGCTAGTGAAATAGACGCAGGAGACAACCAAAGCTATTATTCGTCCATCGTCATTGCATTGGCTCAGCAAGGAGACATTGAAGCGCTAGCCAGGATGAGTGACAATGAATTTCATCCACTGTCCTTGAATCAAGCATTCAGTACAGGCAGCGACTCTGCTCTATGCTACATTGCAAAAAGATTTCCAGATTTTGTTACCCAGAACAAGGATAATCTCATTCTTCAGGCTCTTCGACTTGGCAACACTATGCTTCTTGACAGCCTCTGCGATGATGAAATTAGCTCACACACATATGCTGAGCCGTGTCATCTTATTATACACAAATTAGCAGAAAATGATAATATCGTTCCTTCAGAGAGAGTTTGGCGCCGGCTTAAAAGACATTGCGGTGCAATCTCTGACGATAAGAAAACTGCTTTCCATGTGGCAGCCTTGTCCGGAAATTATGCTATTATTCCAAGGCTTGTGACAGAGGGTGTCGACATGAACAAGCAGGATTCTTCGGGGGCTACTGCTCTACTTCTTGCAGTAAAATATGGCCATTTCAAGGTCGCCACCCAGCTTCTCGCCGCTAAAGCCAATCCTTCCCTTGGTGACAAAGCTGGGCAAACGCCACTTCATGTTGCCTGTGAGAATGATCGGTTCAATATTGTCAAGATATTGACCGGATACCATCGATTCCAGATAAATGTAAATGCGAAGGACCGCAAGAAAAAAACAGCTTTGCACCATGCCTTGGCAAATAATCGCAGAGACATCGCGATGCTTATTCTGCAATCATATCTAGGTGCAAACATAATATTTCGTTATAAGCGCCAATTAGAAGGACCTCAAGGATCTAAGGGACATATGTCAATTTGCCTTACTTCTCATGATACGTCATTCACTACAACCTCTACACTCCATGAGAAAACGGATGATTTTATGAACACCTTGACATATCCGTCCGAAAAGTTTGTTCTCAGTCTTTCAGAGGTGGCAGTCTCAACCGTATGGCGGACCAAATATTCTCTCGACCCGAACGTCAGGAACTGTATTGGTGAAACTCCTCTTATGCTCGCCGTAAAGGAAGGCAACGAAGAAGCAGTTCGTTATTTACTTCGTTATGAAGCAAAACTTCGCATCCTACATGGAAATGCAAAGAGCCCCTTACACCACGCAGCGGCTCTCGATACGCCTACTATTATCCGACTACTCTTGGAAGCATCAGATGCCGATATGAATCAACGAGATATTAATGGCGCAACTCCGCTACATATAGCAGCAGCGAAGGGTTCTATCAAAGTATTGGAAGAATTGATGGAGCGATCGGCGGAAATTAACGTCAAGGACAAACTTGGTCATTCGCCATTGGACCTTGCTTGCAAAAGAGGCTCTGTTACGGCTGTAAGGATGATGTTACGATCAAGTAATTTGGAAACTATCACTTCCGGATTTCTTGAGGCTGTAACAGAAAACCAAGCCGAGATTGTAGAGTTACTGTTAGACGCTGGAGCCGATAAGAATGCAACTACAGCTTCTACAGGATGCACTGCCCTGCACATCGCCGTCTCCAACTCGAATGCGCGGGTGTTGCATGCGCTGTTGGTGCGAAACGTTCAACTGAACTCACTAAATAAATCCGGACGGACGCCATTACATGAAGCAGCATCTATAGGCGCAATTTCGTGCCTAAAACTTCTCATTAATGCTGGCGCTGAGATAGATAGAGTCGACTCAAGTGACACCACAGCGCTTATTACGGCCGCCAACGCAAACTTCGAATCATGTGTTGCCATTCTTCTTGATGCAAAAGCGTCTATTAGCTTCGTTTCACCAGTTGGAAACCTCATCGAAGTTGCTCTATCTACTTTTAAACCTGATATGTTCCAGAGATTAATACAACGATTAGAGAGTGATAATGGCCGCACTTGGAGTATCTCAGATGATGCACTGCGGACTTTTCTTCGAGAGGGTGAAGATGTCACAACTAAATTGGGTACACTTTTCAATCATGGGCTGTCGCGCGACCGCGAAATTGGCGAGAAGGGGACTATACTTCAATATGCCACTGCTTGGGATAAACTAGACCTTGTGGAGATGATCCTAAACAGCAATCATACCACACCGAATGGCGTTCCTCTCTATTACGACAAAGCATTGCGGGAGGCGGTGATAAATATCAAACCGAATTCTCCAGAAATTGTTCGAATGCTTCTGAAAGCTGGGGCCGATGCAAAGCAAGAAATTGACGATAAAGGCACCATTCTGCATTATGCATCACACAAGAATCGATCTCCCGATGATGAGTACTTTCAAATTGCGCGCAACATCCTTCAGCATGCCCCAGACTATGTGAACATCATTTCTGGAAAATATCAGACTGTGCTCGTGGCAGCTATTTCCGGGGGCACCTTTGAGATTCTCGGGCTGATCTTAGACTACAACCCTAAGTTAGGTCCATATGGCCCCTTTGACACGCCGCTACACCTCGCTGCTTTCTGTGACTTGACAGAGGAAGCAAGATTCATGTTGAAACATGAGAATACAAATCTAGCCATTGATGCCACCGACCAGGAAGGAAGGTTGCCGTTGCACCTAGTGCGTTACGATAGCCCCATCTACGGACTACTATCTAATGATCAAGTCATTCCCACGACACCCGATCTTCAACAACGTCATTTATTCCACTTTTGTGCTTTGCATGGTTCAGAAAGACTACTATCCAAAGTTCTGAAGAGTTATCCCGGCAGTATCCACGATACTGATCTGGACGGCTGGACGCCATTGCATTGGGCGTGCCGGAGAGACAATTTACGTGTGATCAAACTTCTTCTGAAAAATGGTGCGAGAAAAAATGACATCACAAAGCGAGGTTGGCGTCCATTAGATGTGGCTACATACCATAATGTAAATCTCGAAGCCGATGCAGAGTTAGAGCGTGCTCTGCAGCCAGACGAGAATCTCGACATCGCCCAAGACCGCTACCCCTTAATTCCGGGGCCTCAGATTGCAGATGAAGAAGTTTTCCCGGTAAAACGAGCCCAGTGTCCGAAAAGCGTAAGCTGTGATTCATGCCTACTAGTAAGTCCATCGCCTTTAAAGCCAAGATTAATATTAGAGTAACTGACCGTTGATATCAAGGAGCCGGTGTATGGACCGCGATATAACTGCCGAAACTGTGCCGATTATGATTTGTGTTTTAAATGCTTCCGGCATGCTAGACTGTTTCATGATGAAGGTCATCGTTTTGATTGGTATGATGAAGACGAAAATTTAGTAATGCAAAATATCAATCCCTGGTTGTGACGATACTAGTTGGAGGAAGTTATTTCAGAATGAGGAAGCAAAATCACTTGAACACATAATATTACATTGATGTCATTTTTCTATTCAAAAAATGGTGCTCCGAATGCCGAGCGATGCAAACTAATTCACAACATCGCGTAACTGAAATCACCGTCGCGTTACTTGTTACCCTCTTCCAAACGTGCCTAGTAACCTTCTTTAGAATAAAGGCAAATCTTGAAGTCCCAAGTACAACGCTAGTCATTAACGTATAGAGTAGAAAAAAGATAAACCCTATTTGGACTAATGGGGAGTGGATGGAACGAAACTATGGGCTCTGGTTGTCAAATCAAGTATAGGGGCTCGAGCAACCATACTCGAACGATCATATACCTAAGTGTTGAAATGTATAATCAATTGGCTTGCTTCCCTATTAGACTGGTCAGTCAGAGAGTCCCTTTTATAGTAATTACATCTAGTCCCCTGTTATTCGGCTTGTACAGATACTTTCACGGGTACTGTCCCTTTTCAGCGCGAAGAAGATTCTCTTGATTTAGATAAATTGGGATCTTGGGAAATTTATTCCACTTAATGAAGGGATTTAGGGACCAGACAGGTCAATCTTCACCAACTCGGACACTTGATCAACCATTGGTGCTGCCTCCCCAGCGTGCTCATTGTTCGTCCCAGAACATTCTTCATGCAGCAGATAGTCTCTAGTCTTACCACTGGCCATCTCAGAGTTTTTCGCGCTCTTTTTTGAAGGTATTATGATGTACAACGTCACAATAACAAGATGTGCGTCTCTAAAACTCCTCATCGCCTGGACTGCGGCGTTGTATGCAACCACGACTGGCGCATTGGTCCCTCATTCCTTTGCTATGTTCTGAACAAACCATCTAATAATTTCCTTTCTCAATCGGAGGCTCTGGAGGTATTCCTCGTGTTGATGATCCATATAAACTCGCACACGATCCAGGAACGAGCGTTTGCTGTCGTCTTCCTCTATGCCCAGGTACGCATCCAGAGTAGGAATCAAGGGACTTTGACCAGCAGTCGAACTACTAACCTTTGTTAGCATTTCTTCCGAGTTTTCGATCTCCTCCTTACCCTCCCAAACCCATTTCCAACCCCACTTGTCGGCATCAACCCCAACAAGCCATGGTCGAATGTCGTTGAAGAATATCTCGGGTCTAACTAGCTCCTTAGTAGTCATCAAGATACCTTTCAGCTCTTCGATGACTTTAGCTGTTTGCGTAAGATATGTTACAATGCGATCAACGTCGATGTTATTGCCAGCTTCGATCGCTTTGGTGGATAGTCTCAGTAACTCAGTTGCCTCAGCACCTTTGAGCTCCATTCGTATACCGACAAGATACATTCCAGCTTCGTCAGGAGTTCCCGTTAACGTGAGCTGAGACTGAACATTGTCACTCATTGGAACAGTGTCCTGACCGTGGAGGTCCTTGAGAGACCAATTTTGAAGATCATGATCGGAATACGTAATGAAAGGTGCGTGGTTCAGCCCGCCTGAGACACCAAGCAGAGGTACAGTAAGCGAACGAGGAATAGTAATGGACTCCGTTGAAGGAGTAGTGTGTGCGTAAAATTAAACCATAAAGGTAAGAACAAGATGTGCTCTTCTGAGCTCTCGTTCACATCTTCTCATGTTGTCAATCGACAATACTTGCATCTAAAGTGGAATTAGAACAGCACAACTTGACATAGCAGTAGGTTTTCCTACCTTATCGACCAACTTCCTCCATGCTGAAGCTTTTTCTTCCTCGATGAATTTCTGTGAGCCATCCAACGCTGCAAGTTGCTCAGCTGCCTTGAAACGTTGCGAAGTTGCGGCGTCCAAGGTTGCCTCCCATTCTTCCCATGCAGTAGGGGGTCTTGATAGTGGCATTTGGGGTGGCAGGAATCCCATTCGCCGATCCACTTGTAAATCTTGGTGCTGCCGTCGGCTGATTTGTACGGTGAGATTTGGGAAGATATTGTTCAAAACTCGGAACTTCAAAATTAAGGATTTCTTCAGAATTTATTTAGTTTGAGAATCATTAACAACATTGTAGACTTGTTTTCTGTTGCTCCAAACGGCTCATGTAAATATTGAACAACTGGGTACATTCGACATGATGGAGCATTCATCATTTGTCTACTCACAAAGTTATTGGTTAGCGCTTACCGTGGCCGCTCACTGTATCATTCCAAAAAGCAACTGGTATCTTCAACTGATTGAAGAATTAAACTTCACAGATATACTAAGACGCTAGTACAATGATTTGAAGTAATAAAATGTCAATAGTATCCGCTTACAGTAAGTTTCGATCCAGAAAAGCAGAGATACTATCCGAACTCCGGATTATATCCGAAACTCGAGTTCCATTACCTCCGTCATTTATTTCAAATACATCGTCATTAGCTCTCTTCACTCGTGAGAAGAGTTCGTCATCAGTTCAGTCTTTCTGAGAGGTAGTGGTTTACCCAAGCCTCTGTGTCTGCCGTTCTCCCAAAGTTCCGTAGGCCTTTTCTTCATAATTTCACCACGTGCAGGACTACGAGTTCCATCCGCATGCTATGTTACTGCTGTAGACCTCAGGGGTTGCAGTCTATCACGGCAGTTCCTACGCACAAGGTCTTCAGATAGCATACCCTGTTAAGCCTGTATGCGGCAGTTGTACTTGGCAAAAAGAGTTCCAAGTAGTTGGCCTATAAAAATAGTAGACATGTTCATTTACGAGTGAATCGAGATATGTTGCGATCATCTGCAAAAAGATAATTCTCCGATACTGGGAATCGAACCCAGGGCTGCTCGGATCTTCAACTAAAGTTGAGAGCGAGCGATGTTAGCCACTACACCATATCGGATATCAAGATGAAGCGAATTGTTGTCGCCTGACTCGTGGCAGGGTCGGGACATGAAGTAGACGATAACTCCTTGATTCTGATCATGTAAGTAATTTCTTGGGATTCTAGGGATAGCGAGACATCCTGCCGGTTGAGAGTCACAGTTCAATTAAAATAAGAAGAAACAACCATCTAGTATTTATGGTTTATGTGCATTGCTGTTGGGACTCAATCTCGAGGCAGGTTAGTTAATTTCATCTCACTGAACTGAACGAATGGCAGTGTTCCAGGATGGATGCTTGCATAAAATCATGTAGCAAAAGTCTTCAAACGCAATGGTTTCAACTCAAAGCATCCGAAAAGCCACACGGGTTCAAATCCATAACTAAATATCTGCATTGCGAACCCCATCAGCCAAACCTTGACACAACCTTTACTTCTTCTCTCAGCTGAGAATCCCATAAAATCCGCATCATACCTGTTTAAACCAAGCACGTCTGGTTGCCTCTGATGGACTTCTCCGGAGGCTCCTCCGGAGGCCGACTCTCAATTCTGATTACGATCCATATTCTCAACCTTCTTTCTGAGATATTCAATTTCGCCTTCGATATCCTTTTGCTGCAACGAGAGCATTGGGATGAGGGGGGTAAATAGAGGTGCATGCTTCAGCACCTTAGCTAGAAACTTTTCGTTCCGCTCATCCTCCATATAGCGCATATCGATCAAAAATCGGCTTATCATGAAAGTCTCTTGACCAAAACGATCTCGTAACTTTTCCTCACCGTTTGGCGCACCATCTTCAACATTTTCGCCGAGAATCCGGGAAATGGTTTGTGGCAGCCAGTTCCACAGGTAGGAATCCTGCTCTTTGCTTTCATCTTGCAAACTGTGGAGTTTTTCTTGGTCCAGTCTAGTTATTTCAAGGCACCTGTCTAGGATTTTAAGGACGTCGCATACCAATGGTCGTTCACCAGCATGCAGGGGAGACGATATTTGATCTGCTGCCTCCTTCCAAATGTAATGCTTTCGGGGTGCCTCAAGTATTTTCATCAAAAATCCATGTTCAAACTTCCCCAAGCGTGGGTTCGTCAGATCGTTTTCCAACACGTACAGAGTCCCATGATTGTCGACATGTGTTCTATAACGCTCGGCCCAAGACGAGTCCTTCTTCAACTCGTTGGCGACGAGCTCTTGCTGCTCAACAAGTTTCTGAATTTGGCGTCGCTGTGGGCTCATAGAGAAAGTCGTAATTTTAGCAAGTGCTTTTTGTGTATCATTGTTTACGAGACTTAAGACGTAATGGTAATCTTCAAGGAGCGGTGCATCGTATCTCTCATCAGTTGTAACTAGACCCTCAAGTCTAGACAGCTCCATAGATAATGTTTGGCGGCAGCTCTCCTCGTCCAAAGAACGAAGAGATAGCATGACGTTATACATCTTGGTAACTTCGTCTGCATAGGAACATTTTTTCGGGGGTTGGATTGCTTGTAACCGAATTGCCTGAGGGGACGATTTCATCAAACTCAGGACCATCATCAGAGAACTTAACAAACAAATTCTCATAAGCCACTTCTGGGCCCGTAGTGTCACGAGACTGCATACGCAGCGTCATCTCATTGTTGTCTGCCATGTAAACATTAGAACCTGCAATTGACCAGACTGAAGAGTGCTCACCAGCTGACATGTTTAGGGAAGCTCTGACGGAGTCTTAACCGTAGGAGTAATAGAAAGGCTTTCTGCTGTGCTGAGAAGATGAAAAGTGATTGAGATAAATGAAGATGAGAGAGCCAGAGAAGGGGTTTATATAGGAAAAAAGTGTAGGGGGGCGGAGGTGGGGGGAAAGAGAGAAACAAAGAAGAACGAAACAAAAAAAGAAAGAGACAAATGGAGACACAGCGAAAGGAACACAGAAAGGGGAGAAGCGGGACAAGGTGGAAACCGATAGAACATAGACATGTGAAATGAAGGTTATTGAGCATGTGCTCATGATGAAATTGCCACATGAAAAGGGACATAGACTAAGTTACGAAAACACAACAAAGTATCGTACATCGGCCGTGTCCGAAGACGTACCTACTTTGTCGCATACCTCCATTTCCACCAGCCCGTAGGCGTTGAAACTGTTAGTGTCCTTGTTTGACGGCAAAAGTATGGTAATTCAGACATCTATATAGAAGATCACTACATGCTTCAACTTGCGTAAATACAAATCTTCGAGCATCCGAGTATGATTGACGAAACAGTTCAGAATATTCGGTCATGCTTGGATATCCACAATTTCGCCAAACAATAATGATACATACAAGTTCAATAGCTGCTAAACCAACTGGCGCTTCATCATGATACAGTAAACTTCTTCCTAACCTCAACAAGACCAACCGCCGTCTTACTGATGACTGCCCACTTGGGCATGTACTGGTACAGCTCACGCAGCACTGGTATTGTCTTGTCGTCATTCATGTCGCTGTAGGCACACTTCACGGTCACCTCCAACTCGTCGTCACCCAGCAGGACGCGGCCGTTGTCGGTGAGCTCCAGCGTAAGGTCCCACGGCCCCTCCCACTCTCGTCGGAAGAGAGTAATGGTTCGCAATCCACCGCGCGGGATTGTACCAAATCGGCGGTCTGCAGGGGCTGCACCCTTGACTTCAAATCCAAATACCGGCAGAGAGAGGCTCAAAATGCACATCTTGGTATCTAAAGCATCTACCTTGAGATTTGCAGTCTTGCCGTCAAGTGACTTTGAGCTCGTCACAGTGATCAAGTCTTTCGGTTCTGTGCCATTAGCAAGATACGGTGGGAGAGATGACGCATCATACTCGCAGGCAGTGAGACCTGAACGTGTCGATGCTTTGCATTGAACCTCTTGGCCAGTAGCAGAGGGGATAGTTGAGACGACTGAGTGAACGTATTCCGAGATGCCCGACAAAGAAGCCACATTTGTTCCCGCATCCACGTCGATGACTTCTTGAAAGTACAATTTGTAGCGAGCGTTGTTGGAAAAGGGGAAAGCAGCAAGATTGTAGATGAATGTGACGACGAAGACGACGAAGAGAAACAGCGGCACGTGGTGAGTGATGCGGTGCATGAATGGTGTCAGAGGGAGCAGCAGTAAGATTGACATGATCCCGACCCCCATGATGGGAGGCAGGAGACTGCCACCATCGGCACCGTTCATGGCCATTGCAGAAGTCTGCACTAATCCTAGATTGCCCACCAAAATGACGTGGATAGGGGCGAGTAGGAGGAACTGGATGATCCAAGTCCAAGTTGGCAGTCGTCCAGACCACGACTGTTCGTGTTCGTACGGAGGGTAACTCTCTAGAGGCGAGGGAGCAGGTTGATCATATGTCTGAGCCGACCGTCGGTAGGTGCTGGCAAATGTCGGTTGGTCGCTCGACCCATAGCCTTGTTCCCCAGCTCTCAGCGGCGTCGTCTCTGTAGCACTCTCTGCCGCAGCATACCCTTGGTCATCTTGATCGTCTTCGTTTCCAGTGATGGTGTTATCGGAACTGGTAATTCGGGTGTGTTCTGGAGCTGCGTCGTCTTGATACTGGTTGGCGAATTCTTGCTTTCCTGGAAGAGCGAATTGCTCAACCAGCGAAATGAAGAGCGACACAAAGATGGCCGTGTGGAAGAATGCTGTAAAGTAGATGCCACCGATGTGCAGGCGGTCTTCAGCCAGGGCGGCAATGACTTGAACAATCCAAGAGAGGATAAACAGCCAAATGAGGGCAAACCCACGGTGGAGAGCAGTTGGCCGAACAAAATTGGCGCCTCTCACGATGAGCCAGAAGCTGCAGTAGAATAGAGATAACAATTGAGCCCAGCTAATAGTATGTCAGTTAAAAACAATCACAATGAGACACCAGGATAACTCACACTGCATATCCGCTGCTGTAGATGATGAGTGGGTTGACTTTGGCAACGAGGAGGACAGCACCAATTGTCAAACCGACGGCGAAGATGAGGGCCAAAGGATATCGGAAGAAGCCACGCCATCCGCTGAGAGCAATAGGGTCATCATGTATCTCGGAGTGTTCCAACTGAATGTCCTTTGCCCAGAAATAATATTTATCAGAACGAACGAGCAAAAACGTAGCAACGACAAGGACCAGGGGCGTCACGATGAGCAGCGTCAGCGACCACGCAAACAACCCTCTAAGCGGGAACGCCGACCATCCACTGCCATACCAATCAAAATAGACACCCTCGGTGGGCTTGCCGGTCTGAGCCAGGTTTTTATCGCCGTCCCGGCGATCGCCGCTGAAGACTGTCCCAGTAACCTCGGAGAATCTCTCTGTAGAAGCTAGGGCGGCGGACAGCATGTGCCAAATGCTGCGGACAGAAGTGTGACGAGCATCGTCATCCTCGGTGTGATAGCGTGAGCGAGGATGATAAAAGGCAATGTCCATGCCTCGCTGTCCAAAGTTTGGCGCGAATACTTCAAAATCCGTTCCGCTCTTGATGACTCCTCGTTCGAACGCGTTTGCCGCAACAACGGATCCAAAAGGATGGGGGCTCTTGGAGTACACCTTGGCAGCTTCAAGATCGGTGGTTCTGAAAAGCATGGCACGGCCTCCGGCTCCAGCTCCCTCCAAGTTGACAAAGGTATGGCAAAACTTGAGAAGTGGGCTGTAGCCAAACGCACGAGCTCCCAAGAGACCGTCTTCCTCCGCGTTGTTGAAAAGAAGCACAACACCATGCTTCGGCTGGTGTCCCTCGGTGGTGAAGTAGCTCAGTATCTGCAACATGCTTACGCAGGACACGCCGTCATCAGTGGCGCCATATCCGGTTGACACACTGAAAATGTTAGCATACTGATAATTAAGTCCAATCGACCAAGGAGAAATCGCATATGGACTTACGAGTCGAAATGGCAGTTGACAAGGACACCACCGGACTGGCTGTACTTTGCAGCGCCAGCCTGGGAGGCCCACCAATCACCCTCGGGGTCTTCTTTGCCGTGAATATAGACATAAAAGTTGTCACCCTCGAAATAGTAGCCTTGCCACGTCTTTGGTCCGCCCTTGGTGCTTTGTAGCAGTGAGTCGACGGTCCAAGTCACGTTCGAAATGCGGTCATCGAAGATTGTGGCACCCGGTGCTCGCTTGGCTCTCGGCGCGTCAAGGGTATCTCTAACGGCAGGTTGTTCGAACCTATGATGTCTGTCAGCAATCTGAAGAAAACGACTCCTGGGTATCCTCGGTAGACAAACTTGTCGTCCCAGATTACTCCTCCGGTCGTCTCAGTCTTGTAAGGAACGCCATTCCGATCCAAGATAATTTGAGAGCGTTTGAGCAAGTATTCGCGGACTTCAGCATTCGCGCGGCTGTTGTACGGATGGTACTGTTTCGTGATGGTTTGCAGATCGAACCACGCTTCGCTCAGATTCAATCCTTGCTTGAGAGAGTGACTGGATGGAACAGGCGGCACCACTTCGTGGACGTAAATCAGCGGTATGGTGACGGCAAGGTAGATGGCCGTCGTCCAGAAGGTCACGGGCCCCGGACTGAAGCTGAACGGATTGAGGAACTTCATGACGATTTCGCGACCGAGTGATGACAAGGGCGCAAACCGGTGAGCAGCGCCCCAATCGTGGAACGACGCAAGACGAGCGCGAAGAGCTGCAGCTCGGCGACTGGATGAGGTCTAGCGGCGCAAGCGATGGAATTGGACGATGTCAGAGTTGTTGTTGAAGGGCGTAGAGGTTAAGAATAAGAATAATGGGAATCAGGTCGCATGCGTCATCCCTTGTCCAGCGCCTCTCGAGACGCTCAGCGTTGGAAGTGGGAGAACAAAGGAAGAAGAAGAAGAAAAGGGCTGGCTGGCTGGTGATGCACAAAGATGCAAGATTAGAGTACGGGTACAGGATCAATGCATCATGGATCAATGGAATGTGATAAGGCAAGGTACCGGCCATAGTGTGGGGTGTCATGTGCAGCTCAGCGCAGCAGCGCTAGAACAGTAGCCAGTGGGAGCGCTGCGGCCGACAAAAGTCCCGCTACCACCCGCTGTAGCTCCCCGTAGCTGCCCGCAGCTGCCCGCTGGAGCTCCTATGGGGTCATGGCTGACGTCAACTTGAACCATCTCACCTCGGCTTTTTTGCGCTAGCTGGGTGACATTTGGGGCTGGAGATGCATTCAACCGCAACGCATCAACCAGCGTTGGACTGTGGAATTGATATCCTCATTGGGTTGACTTCTTCTGAATCGACATCTACAAGTTAAAACTGCCTTTGAATGGTGGTTTACAGTCACCAATAATAAACCTTGTACTCAGATTCTGCCCATTATATCTGATTCAATCCTGCGAATACCACCATTTTTGCATGATGATATTGATACAGCTACCACTTCAACAAGCAGTAGAATAGGGTATCATTTTCGTGGATTTCGAGGTATCCAATATAGATTTACGAGGCTCTAGGCCTATACCACTAGTCAGAAAAGTCCTCGTTGGGGGGCTCTCTGCCAAAGGGGTGGTTGAACTTAAGGAGTCCATTGAGGCCGCCAACCCATGGATCATCATCCTCTGTTCGTATCACGCACGGGACGCCGCCGTGCCACTCCTCGCCAGGCCCTGCTCGCCCAACGAATTCGCCTTCAACGTGAATCTCCGACCCGGGTGAGACACCGGCACATCGTCGACCGTCGATGCTGAGATCTAGTTCGCGACCTCTGTTCTTGGGGCTCATCCGAAGCGTCACCTTTGTGTCCAATGGTAGCACGAGGGATCGGAAGCTGAGACTGCAAGGACTGATGGGGGTAATGAGCAGCGACTTCACCAGTGGATGCACAATAGGCCCTCCAGCGCTTAGACTATAAGCGGTTGAACCGGTAGGGGTGCTGATGAGGATGCCGTCGGCCGTCGTTTCAGTAAGAAAATGGCCGTTTTGGTAGATGTCAATGATGGCCAGGTGCGGGTGCGAGCCACGGTGGACTGAGATTTCGTTGATGGCGCGCAGGGGAGGCGATATCTCTTTTGGAGAAGCAATCCCCGACTTTGGCTGGCTTGCCAAAGTATTGGAGACTTGGTGGTTGATGTTGTTACCGGCCCGGTCAAAGATGTCGGCCTTGATTCGGTGCCGCAGCAAGACTCGAGATGCTCTGTTCATTCCCATGCTCTTGCCTTTGACCCTCTCCCAGCCCTCGCCAGAGGTTCTGCTCGTGTCCATGCCATCATCTCTTCTTCTTGGTACCGCTGCATTGCGCCCCGCGCTGACGTCGCTCCCGCTCATGTACATTTCCCTCCACGCCTTCTTGTGCTCTGCAAAATTCCATTCCCCTAGAAATCCCAAGGTGCCCATACTAAAAGACAAGATTGGGGGAACGGATCCGTGTAGCTTGAATAAGCTTGCAGCACGCAAAACGGTGCCATCGCCGCCAAAGGTCGCAATAGCATCGATCTTGTCGGCAATGCTGGTGCCGTTGTCGACGACAAAGATGGGGAAGTCGAGCTCTTGTTGGATCGGTACGGCAACGCGGGCTTCAATGACAATGTTGACTTCGGGATAGTCGCTTCGGATGTGCTTTGCAAACTGGACGACAGACTCGGTCACCTCGGGAGAGTAGAGCTTCTGCACCAGCAGCAGATTGCGGGGAGGCCGTGGCCAGTTGAGCGACAACAAGGACGATCCGGGCTTGGAAATCTGAAGATATCGGGGATGCGTCCGTTCTGGAAGCTCTGTAACACTGCGCGACTGTGCGGGACTCGGGGGATGCGTGGTGGACAGGTGCCGCTGATTAGAGGCCATCGACGGCAGCCGAGCTGGCCGAGCTTGAGCAAGTTGGCGCCATGGTCCTCGGAGAGCTCGAAAGTATGTAGACATGGCTTGGGATCAAGAGGTGCTTATCATGTTGGCAGCGCAACAAGGAGAAATCAGCTAGACTTGGTGATGGCAGAGTCGTGAGCCAGGCTCTTTTGCAGCAGAGCAAAGATACATGTAACTTCCATGATGATGGAGCTCTGCTGTGGATGAAGTTCTTAGCGTTGCAGCGAGCAGATGTCTAGCAAAAGACAAATTTATTCATATAGAGGAGACGTATTGCTGTAGCGTGGATCTACCCAACTATCCGGTTTGATGCTACCGTTTGGTGCTTGTACAATCCAGCAGCTCATGACGACATTTCTCCAATACTCGTCTTTTTATATCAAATTGGATGTCAAACGTTCGTGCGCCTGATCATTCATGCCAAGCAATTTGTGAGGGTTGCTCTGTAAGTACGTCAGGCTGCATAATGTACAGGCAGTTAGGCGCATAGAGTGATCCATTAGTGCTATGGAAGGGAGTTGAGGCTGAGATTGAATCCTGCAGCGTCCTCGGTTGCGCTGGGCTGAATGCTAGGCTGAATATGCACTCAATCTGTCGAGTTGAACGAGTTCATGCATGATTATACATGCATTGTTCGTCATGTTTTATCTACATGTACTAGGCAACATGTAGGCATACAAAGCTGTGTTGCCTCGTAAGTGTCCGTAGACACATCTGCAGGTACACATCCATGGATATTTAATCTCAACTCCCCATTTACTCCTCGTCACTTACATATCGTGCAATAAATTCTTTACTTGTTTCATCCCTTGCATATCTCATTGCAATTTTGCATCGCCATACCTCGTCATGAGCTACCAATTATGCGACCAGTGCCAAAGACTTGAACTTGGCGTTGACATGTTCAAGATTGGCGGCGGCAGCAATTGCAGCACCTCATCACAATCTTTGCGGCCAAGTAACGGAAGTCCTTTTTTTGCCACCTTGAAAACAATCGAGGCGAGAGCATCCGAGTGCTCGCTTTGCAAAATCATCGCTGCTGCTATTCCTCCTGAAGTTCGTTCCGAGGTCAAGGCCAGAAACACAACCTGCCGCCTGGTGTGGGAACTGGACGGTCGCGATTCTCTTGATCCCTCAAGCAGAAAACGAACTCGGCGACTGAGAATTCGATGGAACCAAGAGCGCCTCAAAGCTTATGAGGCATATCTCGTACTCGCTGCACCTGCGACCTACGATGAATCTAACCTGGACTATCCTCTTCTGTTGAATGAAGAAACACAGTTCTTGGGTCGACGCATTGGGCCGGTCGTCAATAAGAGAAACTTGATTAGAGAGTTCCTTAGACTTTGCGAGAACAACCATGATGAGCGCTGCACTGGAAAGCTCGGTATTGAAGACCCCTTTGCTGAGACGCTCAAGCAGTCATATTTCGGAGTTATCGATATCCAGAACCAGAATTTGGTTCCGTTGCCTTATACAAACAACAAAGATTATCTCTCGTTTCAACCATACGCGACAGTGAGCTATGTATGGGGCAACATTCGAGATCACAGAACAACTTTGAGCAACATACAAGACCGATTAAAGTCTGGGGGTTTGGCAGCAACCATCGACGCACTACCTGTGGCACTTAAACAGAGTATTGAGCTGATTGAGAACTTGGGTATCCGCTACATATGGATTGACTCTCTCTGCATAATTCAGGACAGTAGTCATTCCTGGAACTTGAACTCTCGCACAATGCACCTAAGTAGGACTCAACCCTTCCATCTTTGAGGAAATATTCTTACAATCTGCAGTTTATGGCAACTCTACACTGACTATTTGTGCCGCGGATGGCGCCAGTGCTGAAGTAGGCCTAAGGGCTATTGACAAGAACCATTCGGTAGAGCAGAATATTGGACAAGTCGCCCGTGACGTCCATCTCGTCTTGCATCAGTCGCCAGAATCCAACATAGAAGACTCTGTGGTAAGCACCCTCGGATCGACAAGAACTTGTCAATCGCTTACTTTGAGTAGTGGAACCGGCGTGCTTGGACATTTCAAGAGCGTCTCCTCTCTAGAAGATGCCTCATATTCACCAAGGGTCAGGTCTATTTCCAGTGCAGAAGTACTGGAATGTCGGAAGACATATTTGTCGACAAAACCGGCCAGGGTTGGTCTCTGGATCTCACTGGAGCGCCTTTGCAGACACTAACGCAGCTGAGGCAGAGAGCCCTATGGTTCTATGCAAACTGTGTCAGTTTATACACAAAGAGGGAGCTTTTTGAGCCATTTGACATCCTTGCAGCGTTCAATGGGATGTGCAAGCTCATCGAAGGAACATTGAGATCACCCTTCACATTCGGACTGCCAACCTCACACTTTGATTTCGCTCTTCTTTGGCAGCCTGTTGGCAAATCGTCTGTACTCCACAAACCCATTTCGAAAGATGAAAAGTATCAGAATATGAAGTTCCCAAGCTGGTCATGGTGTGGCTGGAAAACCGAGGGTGTGTTATATAACCGGCAAATGATTGAAGGATGCTTGTCAGACGTTCGTGCCTGGCTGAGGGATCATACTTGGATTGACTGGCATATTCGAGACGGTTATGGAACGCCGCAGCGAATTTGGGACAACGCCTGGGCAAAAGAAGATCGAAGCACTGAGGAAAGATGGAGAGGATACCGCGGCAACGACAACGACGGCTACAGACGGACCAGAGACAGGAATCCAAGCCGCAGCCGCAGCCGTAGTCGGGACAGCAGCAACATTGTCAACGGAGCCATGGTCAGGGTCGTTAACAGAAACAGAAGTGGGAGCGGAAGCGAAAGTGGAAGTGGAAGCAGGAGTATGAGCAGGAGCAGCAGGGATGCCAGCGAAGCTTCGCATCCTCAAATCTGGGCATCAGTGAAACAAAAATCGAGAAGTCGCACCAACAGAGCATTTCTCAATCGGATTCCGACTTCTCGGCCTCCTCCAGAGTTTCTGAGACCTGCGTATGATCGTCACCACGACTACGATATTCGCCGCGACAGGGACTACAGGCCCCCAGCTATTGATCCTTTTGGTCGTCCATTGGAGGATTCTGCCAGAGCCCACGTCAAGAATCCAACAAAGCCTACCTTTGCACTTACATTGCCTGAATACCCTTTCCATGTCCCAGCAGCTGAGTCGAAGTGTCGGACCGGGGATCACAGAGAATTTCCCGATTTGCCCATTTTGCAATTCTTTACTTGGTCAAACAAATTGCGCATTACGATCAAAGAATCTGATGCTACCACTGACATGAAGAAAGAAAAGCTTCCCAACGGCACCCCACCACCATCAGGCGCACAAGGCATTTCCAGCCAAGGACCTCTCAGTCAATGCTACATCCTAGACCGACGAGGTGACCGCTGCGGTTCCATCATGGTTGACTCGGAATGGCTGGCAAAAGAATCTTTGCCGCGTCAATGCCGGTTCATTGCCATTTCAGAGGCCAAGTCATTTACAACGGAAGAAATGCCCGAGTGGACGTATTACATTCCCAAAGAGAGGGTTGAGTCTGAGTGGGATATATACTTCGTTTTGCTTATTGAGTATCATGCCCAGGAAGGTCTTTGGAGAAGAGTTGCTCTTGGAAAGGTGTTTAAAACGGCATTTACTCATGACGAAGACACGTGGAGGGAAATTTTGTTGGGTTAGATAATATGTAGTTGCATGGCGATAGCAATGTCAATTCTATTCACTCTGTGGCCCCTTTGCATCAACTCTACTGCTTGTACCACCCCCGGATTTTCGTCTATTTACCCAACCAACTCCATTTAAGAACAATAAGAATAAAAATGCAGCCAAATAACAAAAAACTGTTCCGAATTGCCTCATTTCGGGCTAGCTGGCGCTGAATCGGCTCCGTCCTCCGCGGTATTGTATGAAGAAGGAGGGCCATCATCATCAAATGACGGGCTGGGAGAATTCAGATTCTGAATTTTCTCACCCATATCATCATTCAATATCTGAAAGCTCGTAAACTGTGTAGCAGACGACTGCGTTACTCCGGTATATGAACCAAAGCTGGTTGGCACGGAGTAATGATGGTCGTCTTCTTCACTGTCGTAATTCGGCATAGGACTGGTCGGACAATCCACGTAATGGCTGCTGCCGCTGTTAAAGTAGTCTTCGTTACTCCCAATGTTCTATTTCAGCAACAGCTGATAGCACCTTCTTACCTTTCGCTATCATACGAATCATCCCTAACGAATGGTGCCTCATAAGCTAATGCACTGGGAAACTCGTCAGCGCCACCACAATGATGTTGAGTGATCCTGTGCTGCTTCGTACCTCATATTATGTAATTCTTTCTTTGGCCAGTATTGATGTAAATATCTGGTGAGCCCAGAGACTTTGCCAGTTTTGGGTAGCGGTCTAGGTGGACGATGTGGGACGAGCCTCATGAACATTTCCGGATTACCGTAGGAAGCAGGTACCATCTGTATTATCTGCTTCAAAACCGATTGTAATGGAATGACGTATAGCTCTTGAAAGTGATTGATCCCAATTATATAGCCATAAAGCTTGCTCGTAACGTAATCTATGACAAGGGCTCCACTGTCTCCAACAGATATTTCGCCTGTGCCATGCATGCCATTAGCAGCGATAGTAGCAAGAAGATTGCAAAGCCATACTTTGGTCTATAAGGGAAACAGTCCAAACTTTGCATAGGGAGCTAAGCTTGTCGGAATTGGCAATGAATGAGGGTATGCTGTTAATAGTGCCGAAGAGCGGGCCCCGAGATGTCATGACTGCCACGCGCCGTTCTTGATAACCCGAGCCAGGGATATCATGTAGCGCTAAACGGGGTCTTTCTGCCTTCCACTGGTCGCTCTTTTTAATCTCTATCAACGCCCAATCGAGATTGAGAGAGTTGTCCCATTCAGGTTCCCGAGATCGACCCCAGACTCGGTCGGGGCTGATAGGAGCTCTGTCTCCAGAATTTCGACCAAGGCCACTGGATAGGTCTTGTGTGTGTTGTGGGAGATCCCGTTGCTGTTCGGTGGCTTGTGGCGGTTGATTTTCTCTATGCATCTCATTCTGGGTCATTTTAGTATCTTTGCGATCAATATGCAGCTTGACACTCTGAGCTCCTCGCAGATAACGTCTCTCAATGATGCTATTATAGCTCTTTGCAATGTAGCCGAACCTGTCAAGTCTCAGTGTGTTGCTTTTCGCCGATTTTATCACGAGATGACACACACTGATGAGCAAACTGGCGACATTTCGGTGTACAGTGGCAATCCAGGGCTAACATCTCACACCGCTGCCCTTCAGGCCGTTGACGTACTAAAGTCTCTATGCAATGAAGCATCTGGATTGGAAGCGTTTCAACAGGCTGCTTTTCCGGATTGCTCACCTAAAGAAAGAGAAGTGGCGGCAAGGATCACCGCCCGATTAGCTTTCATGATCGACCCATCGTCAAGAGATATCTACTCAATGCTATACAGAATCGAGAATGAGGATGCTTACCCTGTCAAATGGTTGCCAAAGCAGACATTTATCCAGTTTTTTTATGCTGCTTTTCCAACCGAGTTGGTGGATTGTTGGTCTAGTAATACGGATTGCATGAGCCTGACAGCATCGAGATTGCGAAAGAGATTGGGCGTCGTGATAATTCCTACCAATGACCTGGCCGAACATCTTGTATACAACCCAAAGAGGAAGACGTTGGCGGTTTTTCACCAAGTCGAGTACCTCAAGGCCCAATTGCGATACACAGCGGATAGGAGCTTGGAGGAAAGCACGGAGATGAGTTTTGCCAAGTTTGACATGTCAATTTTGTTGCGGGAATCTATGCGAATGCTAATCCGTAACCAGCGGGACTCTGCCTCCACGGCTTCTTTTCGAGACCCTGTACACAATCTACGAAGTTTTGTTCCCATACGTAACGAACGATGAGTCGGATGCGGTGGCAAGAGAGCTTACTTCAACATATGGTTTGAGTAGTTCGTCCGACTCTGCCTTTGATCCAAATCTCATTGTATGGGACGGCCCAATTCGCACGGCCCCGCCCTACTTCAAGTTGATATACTGGACGAAGAGGTTGAGGAACCTACAAGCAGCCGTGGATCACCCTCCGCCATCAAACAATCTTGTGTCGTGGGTTGAGAGGCACACGTCGGAGAGAACCGCACTTACGGTGGCCATTGTTGGTCTTTTTCTCACAGCGTTGTTTGGGCTGCTGAGCTTTCTGGTAGGGATTGCTCAGCTGGTGGTTTCTCTAGAACAAAACAGACTCGGTTCATAGCTATAAATGTTAGTCATCCTTCTTTACTGCCGCTTTCTTCTCCAGTTGCTATTCTCTTCTTCTACTGCCACTCTCAATTCTCCGTCGCCGCTGTTATCATCATCTCATCTTACCATCTTCTGATGCTATACGTGCATGTGATTGATGAACATGTTACTTCGATGTTTCCTGTAGATGGACACGAGCCACCAACCTCGAGCATGTTGGGCTGGCCACTCCTACAGGTGGCAGATGAAGCCAAGGTCATTGAAGAGCTAAGAACTACTATTTGCTGAGAGTTTCATCACGTTTCTGACAACTCCACAGGCTCATTTCAATGTGATGCTCCCGGATTTATCGGGCTGGTTGGCTCCATTTCAGTGAATGAATACAAGGTGCCACCGCCTGCCAAAAGCAGCAGGCGGGGTACTGCGTTGACGAGCTACCGCTGATACGAGGTTTGCGATGGTATCAGGACGCAGTTGGCATGTGATCAAGTCACTTCTCAAGAGGTCTCACAGTTGCATGAAGTACTAACGAGAGAAATTGTCACAAGAATTCATGTAGAGATGGGTGACCATTTTTCGAGTATCGGGTAGAGAATACCTCAAGTCATTTGTTGAACCAGTACATCAGATGTCAAAGTACCGGGTCAAGTACCCTCAGCAATATGTCCGCCCAATCCCGCCGCCGCCTTCAGTCACCGCCCAAGAATTAATACATGTCCACTACTATCCATACCAAATAATGCCCGTCACCAAACCCAACACCAATCAAATCCAATCCTATCCGATCCATGCCAGACATCAAATCATTTTCCTGTAGCCACTTTACGGCCGCTTTTCCCTCCACTGCCGTCGCACGACTCACGGGCTCTGGAATAAACCCGAGGCTCCCGCTAAAGCGCGTCCCAGCAGCTTGGCTTTTGGCCTTGGCCCCAGGGCTGAAGGAATCCGCCGTGGTTGGACCAATAGCGCATCACAGCTCCAGCTAGGCAGAAGCAGGGAGCGAATAAGCAGCCGCAACACCTGCGTCATCATGTGCCGTTGTCGAGTCGGGCCAAACCTTGACCTTACAAGTACACCGTCTGACCTCGACTCGACTCAAAGCGGAAAAGCGAGCAAGTCTCGAGGGCGCTTGAACGTTTGGCCTGCTGTTCTGTTCTGTTGCGTCCGTCCAGCATCTGACCAGCTGCCCTGACTGGCCGTTTGCTCTAGCCCGGCTTGATCGAGGGCTGTTGGCATATCCTATCCTATCAGGAAAAGGAAAGGCGTTGCCTGGCGGGCTGAGCTGCCTGCCTGACCTGGCCTGACCTGACCTGACCCAATAGCTGCTGCGAGGCGAGCTTCACCACCATCAAGCCACATCACCGCCTCGCTTCTGGATTTGTCCCTTATCTGCCTTGGGGGCTCATGCCAGGCTGCTGGACTGAGTCTTTTCGCGCACCTTGACCTATCTTTACACCTTAAACCAGCTCATCTATCTATATACTCCTAGACATTACGCTTATGGCGGTTGATACCGAGGGGTCCGACATCAACATTCCTGCTCCCGCAGCTGCCATGGGACTCACCCAGACGCCCGGAAAGGGCGCTGCAAGCCACGATGTTCATCCGTCGGGCAAGCGGGCTCATGGCCGAGGAGTGCAGATACTACGAGGTCTGGCTCTCGCTGTGTACTTTTTACTCTGCTGTGTGACGTACGTTTGCGATTCGCTCGCTAGTGATCATGACGTGAGTTTGGATAGGACCAACGCTTACGAGAATGCAGTATTGTCGCTTCGCAAGTCCTTGGGTGTTGGCTGTATTTCGTGAACCGCGAGATATACTATGATTACATGGCCATGACCAAGCGGTGGTTTGCCATAGTCGTCACTTGGATGACGCAGATTTGGGGCCCGGTAACGATCCGAATCAGCGGCGATGAGTCGGTAGAGGGCGAGATCCGTCCCACGGAAGGTGGCGGAGTGCAGTTCAACTTTCCCGAGCGTTTGGTGATGATAGCAAACCACCAGGTAAGACGATAAACCACTCTCATATGCAATCTCATGCATACGAATACGCTTTGGCTTCGATTTGGCTTCCCCGGACACTGATTTAACATTGAGCTGACGAGCTTCAACAGATTTATACCGACTGGCTGTACCTCTGGTGGGTTGGCTACGTCAACCGAGCTTCGGCGCACGGCCACATTTACATCATTCTGAAGCAGTCACTGCAGTATATTCCCATCATCGGCTGGGGCATGACGTTTTACAGCTTCATCTTCATGTCTCGGAAAATGGCAACGGATCAGCCCCGCCTTGCCTACCGATTGAAGAAGCTGAAGCAGACCAAGACCGATCCCAGTGGAAAAGAGTATCGCGTACCCATGTGGCTGCTGTTGTTCCCTGAAGGCACCAACATTTCTGGAAACGGTCGACGAAAGTCTGCCAGTTGGGCGGAAAAGAAAGGGTGGAAAGACCCCGAGCACATGCTGCTCCCCCGTAGCACTGGCAGCTTCTTTTGTCTCAACGAACTCAAAGGAACGGTAGAATATGTCTATGACTGCACCGTGGCGTACGAAGGTGTTGGGTGAGTTTCCTGAGACAGCGTGATATGCCAAAGATGACTAAGAATACCTAGGCGAGGCAAATATGGCGAGAACATCTTCACCCTCTCCAGTACCTACCTCCAGGGTCGGCCACCTAAGTCGGTCAACTTTTATTGGCGACGATTCAAGCTTTCAGACATACCACTCGATGACGCAGACGAATTCGATGCCTGGCTGCGTGCAGAGTGGTACAAGAAGGACGCATTGATGGAACAGTACCTGACCACAGGACGATTCCCTACCATGGCCGGATCCAAGGTCGACTTTATCGAGACCAAGGTCCAAACGAAGACTCCGTTGGAGATTCTCCAGGTTTTCTCCGTTGTTGGCGTTGCCGGTCTCGTCTGGCACAATTTGCAGCGATTTGGAGGTACGGTCGGCAGGAGGTTCGGCTTCTTTGTGTAGAGTGAAGGGTTGTCAAGTTGGCGTTATCGAATGGAGGAGAATGGCCTTTTCCGTCAGCACCTCACCTTTTCTTCTTTTCCTGGGCTTTTTGGCGATGTTTGTGGGTTCCATTAGCGTTAGTATGGTATTCTTTCTGGCATGAATTTAGTCTTTTCTCTCTTGGATAACCAATGGGGCAGGATGATCAAGACGGCGAATACAGAAGATGAACTGCAGACTTTTGGGCGTCTTCTGCTGGTGCGGAGTTTTGAGGAGGGACTTTGCCTTGGGTGAATCATGAATTGCCGAGGCAGCGCGTATCATGGTGAACGGAAGGAATCGGGTTTGACTGGGCGTGGCTTGTTTGGCTTGGGTTGATTGGAATGATTGGATTGGATTGGATTTAGCACCACTGTGGAAGTGGCAATAGTAGATAATGAAGCGTTCTTCAACGGACAGTTTGCTGCTCAATCTGTTGATGCTTTATGCCCGAGGTCGAAGCCAGGATGAGGGGACAAAGGAAATGGACGGAGCAAGTTGAGCGATGAGGCGCCGCGTCACCAAGCCTCGAAACGCCAACTCGACCGAATCGCGGATGCAGATGATGATGGTGTAAGAGAAACGAATGACTATATGCCAAGGATAAATAGTCGCAGCCCCGGACTGGCCGGAAAGACAAGAACCTTGCGAAGAAGGAATACCAGCAGGTGAGCAGCGAATCGGGGATTTTCTGTCATGTCTCCTGCTGGCTACCATGTCGAATGCAAAAAGTCTGGAGTTACGTCCTGCTTGGAGCTGAAAGCCAAGAAGCGTGTCGTTGTTGAAATTAGCTTAGCTCTGGGGGAAGGGCGGGTAGATGAACCGGGGGAAGATGGCGAGCCTCGGCATCTTGGAGGCCAGAAACGCTTATAATTGGTCGAAAGGGGGAAGATGAGGAGAAGATGGGAGGGGAGGAGAATGTGGCGTTGTTTTTTTGGGAACCTGGGGAAGAGTGGGTAGAGTGTCGGGAGTTTGTTCTTGTGGAATGAAAGGGTTGTGAGGTTGTGGGTGTGTGTACTGACTCTTGGAGGTTCGCATAGGATGGCGATCAATCTGATGTTGCAGCACAGATGCCAAAATGCAAACATCCGATACAACGCGGCATCTCAAATCTGGGTGATCCATCAACCGACTCCTTCGCTTCTTTGGTGCTACTACACTACTCGTACACACAGAATCTCCCCCTAAGCTTCATGCACCCCAGCATGAAGCGTTACGCATGAATCGCCAGATCCGACCTAGACAGCAAGCCCTCGGACGGAGAGAGCATCGCCACGCTTGCTGTCTGTTGTGATATACACGGGACTAGCCATTTAAGCTACGCAGCTAAGGGTCGTTAGCAGTCTTGTCTAGCCCTGCTTCTTCCCCGCGGATGGGACAAACTTCCAAATATGGGGGTGATGGCCGGGGGTGGCTTGTGAGACATGGGATTTTCTGTTCGTTTGCTTGATGGTATAACGTTGTGATGATTCATGAGGGACTGCTTACTGTGTTTCAGGCAGGCTTATCTTGCGGTGAAAAATCTATTTCGATGCGAAATGTTGAAATCTATTTCCGAGAAACCAGGTGTCACACTGCAAAAGGACGTGGGTTTGTATTCCCGCTCTATGAAGCCAAGAAGCATCCCCCGTTATCCATACCCATACAGTCAGCATTGCATATCTCGGCCAAAGACGTCAAATCTCACATTTCGCTCACTCCGCATCGTTGCCCGGCTTCTACCCCAGCCGCAACATGGATGTACGAGTACAGTATGATGTATCCCCTCCCAAAAGCCTGGTCAAACACCCTGGTATAAGCATAAAATAGGCTACTGTTAGGTAGGCCCAGAGCGGCCCAGAATCTGGACCCTCACAGTTTAAAATGGCGGACCCCGCTTGGCAAAAGTCTGGGGGAGAAAGCGTCCGGCTGTTTTTTATGTTTCTTGGCGAGAGGCCGGGATGAGGGATGGCTTGCGAATGTTTTCTACTGTAGCTGTGTGCTGTTACTACGATGCCAGGTATGTATGTGCTGGAGGGGGGTGAGGGGAATTGGGGACGCTGGTTTGCTCGCCACATGGATGGACATGGATGAGATGGGCTTGACATTAGACCGATAGTGCTGGTTATTGGGGGGGGGCAACTACTAGCAGTATTTGGGTTTTGATGTGGATGTGGATGTGGGAGTTTAATTCCTCGGTCGCGAGAGACCGCCAAGTTGTTGCTGGGGGGGGATTGAATCTTGGCGACGCATCTGCTTTTTGCGTATATATAGGTAGTACATACTCGTACATGAGTCTCCCTGCCGATCCCCTTTTCGCGTTGTCTCTCCATGTCTCTTGGGCGCGGGAACACAAGCACCCTTTCCATCCACCTTTCATCTTTCTCATTAGTTTTCTCCATCTCTCAGGACTTTTGACTGCTTCTATTTCATTACTCGTAAGCGAGAAGAAATAGGACGCAATGGATAAGTCCGAGAAGCAAGAGTTCGAGGACGTCGGCGTTGATCCGGTCCGCGACTCGGAGAGCAATGCCAAGCCCATGACGCTTCAGGACAGTGAAGAGGACTTTGGCTTTACGCCTGAGGAGCAGCGCAAGATTTTGTGGAAGGTCGATAGACGCTTGGTCGTCACTGTTGGAGCTATGTATTGGTAAGATTTGATCCCAATTGACCATAAGACTTTGTTTTAACGCGTTGAAGTGTATCGTTGATGGATCGCACCAATCTTTCGGCCGCGAATATCGCAGGTATGTTCTTCCACTGTTGTAAAGTTGGAATACACAAGCTGATTCCCTTAGGTATGGGCGTTGAGCTGCAGCTTATCAACAACCGCTATGTAAGTCGCCCTTCAACACCACATCTCGTCGAACAAACCACTCACAGACGCTCTAGAATATCGCCAACCTCGTCTTCTTCACCACATACATCGTTTTCCAACCTCCTTCCACCATCCTCATTCGCAAAGTCGGGCCTCGTCTGCACCTCGCCTTCATCACACTGTTGTGGGGAGCTGTCATGATTGGCATGGGCTTTGTCCAGAATTTCGGCCAGCTCGCGGCCATGAGGACGGTCCTAGGCGTCTTGGAAGCAGGATTCTTCCCTTCTTGTGTGTATTTGCTTTCTACCTGGTACACCCGCTACGAAGTTGGAAAGCGATATTCCATGTTTTATCTCCTAGGCTGTGTCGCTTCCGCCTTTGCCGGCATTCTCGCCTACGGTGTAAGTCACATCCATCAAAACCACGCGCAAAAGGCTCACAACATCCACAGCTTATGCAACTCAACGGTCGAGAGGGCCTCACCGGCTGGCGCTGGATCTTCATCATCGAAGGCACCCTCACCTGCGTCCTGGGCATCGCCGGCTACTGGCTCCTCGTCGACTTTCCCGACTCCAAGCGCCTGACGTGGAATTTCCTTGGCCAGCGTGAGCTCGACTGGATCGTCCATCGCATTCAGCGTGACCGAGGCGACTCAAAGGTCCCAAAGTTCAATCTGCGAAAGTTCCTTGGCGCTGGAACTGATTGGAAAATCTGGGCCTATGCTCTAATTTTCGGATTTTCGACCACCATCACCTATTCTTTGGCCTTTACCCTTCCTTTGATCTTGAGACAAAGCCTTAAATTCTCCGTCGGAGCGTCTCAGTGTCTCGTTGCTCCCCCATATGTGTTGGCAGGTATTGTCATGTTCTCAGGTGCCTGGGTGGGTGATAAGCTGCGTCTCCGTGGTCCCATTGTCATCTTCAACATGGTGCTCTGCCTCATTGGACTACCCATTATGGGTTGGGCTCCGAGTCCCGGCGTTCGTTATTTCGGCGTCTTCCTCGTCACGGCCGGTGCCAATGCCAATATTCCCGCTGCCATGTCGCTGCAGGCGAATAACGTCCGTGGACAGTGGAAGCGTGCCTTTTGCAGTGCGACGCTCGTTGGGTTTGGTGGCCTCGGAGGCATTGCTGGTAGTTTGGTCTTTCGCGAAAAGGATGCATTGACAGGCTATAAGCCAGGTTTGTATGCATCTATTGCTTGTGCTTTGTTGAATATTATCCTTGTTTTGTTGCTCGATCTTGGGTTTTGGAGGGCGAACAGCAAGGCAGACAAGGATGGTCTTCTGCTTGAAGCTCATGATGTAAGTGACACACCCAGCCTTCTACATGTACATGCGACAATACTGATCTGAAATGATATATAGGAGGATGCTACACCTGATTTCCGATACACGTACTGATGAATCTGCATGAATATGGGCGAATCAAGGTTGACGTGTGTATGACCAATGATGGCAACAAATGAGTTGTGATGCTACGTATAATAATTCTTTCTTAAAAAATGACAATACTCATGATACGAATTGTATCATTATGCACCACTATACTCTCTTGGATATAAAACGACATAGACTGGTCGGACTTGTCGTGGGTGACGGGCTATACATCAAACTACGTGATATGACGACTACTCGCCGTAGGTTAAACACCCCACAACCGATTCAAGTAAAGGACAAGCCCGTTCAAGGCGCTCAGATATCCGAATAAATGGTATCGAAGAAAATGTGCGTTCCAAGAGGTGATCTGTCAAATACGGGCGTGGCATAGTCTATACTTCAGAGTCTCGCGTCTCTTGCTGTCCTTCACCTCGGTAATAGACCCTCTTACTTTCCCAAAGCATGTTGCTCATCATCGTATCAGCCAAGAGTTCCCAAAGTAGGTTTATTACCGTCATCAGATCTTTCGGAATCGCAAGACGAAATCACATAATGTCTCAACGAGCTCGTCAAGGATCGAGAGCGGTGGCGCATGCACAAGCATCCGACTATGAACTGATCCACCCCCTTATGTTAAGAAAGATGAAGAGACTATCCTTGGTTATAGTCAGATGCCGCAACAGAGATTGAGTTCTGCTTGTAGCCCTCCTCATCTGATTAACACCATCTGTGAACAGACATGACGGCATGATGGTAGATTACATGGGCCGTAAAATAAAAGTTTGGGAATCTTGGTGCTATCGTCCTCTCTCAGACCGACATGTTGAATAAATAATCTTCTCGCCCCGTGTGCCTTTCATTCTCTTTTCCTTTATCCCTCTTCGTCCTCCCTCTCACAGGTGCGTGAACCACCAAACTCGACGCAATTGACGACAACCCATCTCTATGATCTAGCGCTTGACTGCCTTCCCCCGAAAGCGTTTTCGGAGTGAGGCTCTCTTGCTCTGAAAGACGCCTATTACGCACACTGCTGCCCTGCTGCGAGTTGAACAAGACCCTTCGTGCCGGCGTCTTCAAAGGCTTCGAGCGCCGTCTCCCGTCATCATGAGAGTTCCCAGTGACTTGATTAGGCGGAGGTTGTCTTCTAGGGCGTGTAGTCGGCGGATTGTCACTTCGGCGCAAGAATTTCTGCGGAATGCCAAACATTGACGCGGTGCGCCTGGGAGCCTCATCTTCAAAAGGCCCGGTAACGGATCTTTCGAAGGTGTAATATCTTTCGGCTGGAGAATCTTCTCGGGTGGCGTTGCGTTCGAAAATTATGCTGAAGACGGTATATGTGAGGCATGCTAGGATGCCGATGGAGATGAGGAGACATATGAAGAAGAGGATTGGCCAGAAGGGGAGAGGGAGCATTTTGGCTATTTTAAAGATATCTAGGAGAGTACTGGGTCTGTCTGTGGGGTATTAAGAGAGTCAAGCTATATAGAGGTATCGTGTATATCACAATCACTGCCGTATGTGTGAAAAGGAGCAAATATCCATAGCACGCTCTTATACATCATCACAAGTGTCATTTATTTGTTGTCACACACCGTATCTCATCAGAGTGTGATTCACTCACATCGCCAGCATCAATCACAATGAGTGAAGAAGTAGTTGTTGTAACACGAGTTTCGTGACTCCTCCCAACATTGGCCTGATGAAATGTTAATTGATGCTGAATAACTGCTCCTTGAAAAAAAAGAAAACTTCCAATAGAGCCTGATGAACGAGGTCTAACAAGCTCTTTTGCCTTGTAGCTAAATAGTTTCCCTAAGGGTAGAAAGCTCTCAACGCTCCAATGAAATGCCGCCCCCTGGTCAAACGCCATAGACATTTCCATCGTGCAATTCCATGCTTATGGACCCGTCGTCTAGTATATACCCGGATCTTACCAAAATAGCTTCCCATAGACCTCCATGTCTTCTGCTTATAGCAGCCAGTTTGTCTGTTTTCCGTCATTGTTTACTGCGTTTTCCATGTCTACACGACGTCTTTTCCAGCAACGTTCGTCATTCTCTTCGAGGGAGCGGCGAATGAAGCTCACATCAGCTGCCATCGCTGCTTGGCGTTCGAGCAATTCCTTGCTAACCTCTTTGTATGCCCACGCCTTCCATTTCTCCTCCATTCCCATAATGTATTGCCGAATCATGGCTGTTCTTTCATGAAGCTTGTGGCGTGCCACGAAAGATGTGGCGTTTTCGTTGTGTAATTTTTCCAGTTCGTTGATGGCGGCGTAGATTGGCTCCATGGCTGGCCGACCCTGTACCACTTGACTCTCTCTCCATTCGTAGGCCTCGAGGTCTTCAGTAGCCTCTCTTACCCAGACCTCAATTTCCTGCTTCCCTGCTTGTCTGCTCCACATCTCTAGCCATTCTTTAATCTCTGGAGGTAATACTATGACGATCTCCTTGGTCAGGGCCGCCGCACACTCATCGTTTGTAGTCGTTGACCACAACTCCTTCATAATCTTGACCATATGGGGGACGACCAGATCTACTGCTTGTTCCCTGGTAATCTTCTTTGTCGTCATGGTTGTCACAGGTGGAAATGACATCTGGGATTTGAGCATCATGCCCGCCTGACTCTTGGTATCCTCCATCTCAAAAGACTTGTGCAGGAGTGGTCGGGATATTCCCATCTCGCCAAAGCCGCCAGGAATTTCAGTCTTGACCGTTTTGGGCTTCCAGTTTGGTATGACGTGCTTTGTTCGTATGATCTTGTTTTCTCGCATGTTATAGTGCTTGACTGACGCGTGTGCAAACTCAAAGACTTTGTATCTCATCATGAGACAGGTAATCTCATCCAAGCCACCTATGTTAAGCTTGCGAAGCTGCTTGACAACAATTGAAGCCACCACACTTGTAGCAGGCAGAATATGGTACTTTCCGTGTAGCTCCGAAAGGTACGCAATGTCCCTCATCTTCAAAACGAAGACGTGGTAACCACCCCATCGGCTCCAGCGTTGTGCTTCCAGAGCATGCGAGATCATACATTTGCGGATGCATGCCTCGAAACAGTCCAAGTAATCTTCAGGCCGGAGACGCAGAAGCCGAAATGCGCCTTTCACTAGTTGGCGGCAATATTCGTGCTGCTCAATCTCGCTCAGGTTTCGGGTGTCGATGGCGTCAACGCCTTTGTAATCTTTCTGCAGGGTCCTGAACTCCAACTGTATTCTGCCCAACTCGCCCTCGTCCCATCGTATCGGAGGGTCTGAAACCTCAATCATCGAGCCATCTTTGTAATTCTTGGCCATGATCGGCCTTTACTCTGTTCGCTTTGTGGAGTATGATGTGTGTGGTTGTTGAGAGGAGGTTGTGGTGCTGGTGCTGGTGTTGGTCCAGGGCCAGGGCCAGACACGTTGATGAGAGAAGAACAAGAAGAAGAGAGCAGAAATGAGTCCTCCCTTTTATAGTGAGTAGAAAGCACTACAACACAAAAGAGCTTCTCAAGCACGTGCAGCTGTAAACAATTCACACGCTCATCAGCTACTTCAAGTGGCGTACAGTTGTCAAGTTCAAGGCCGTACCTTCGTTACCAGCTTTGCGCTTTTTCACAGGAACAGCCATTTTCTAAGCATGTAATTGCTATCTCATATTACCAATCTTGATTTCAAAGATACCAAACATGTAGTGATAGTGCCAGATACCGGAAGAGAGTAGCGATAGTAGCAGATAGATGCCTACAGCAAACAGGATGTATTTTACGGGATCGATGACAAAGACGATGTAACATTTCAGTATGAGGATCACATAAGAACCCGAGAATCATAGGGCAAGTTGCCCGATACTACCATGGGGGGGAGAAGAATCCCAGTGTTCAGTCCTCACGGTCACAGCGAGCGACTCAACGGAAGAAAGCTTGTCGAGCGAAATGAAGAGCAAGAACAGGGAAGAGGAGCTGCTAAACCCAGTAATAAACAATGAATCTCCATTATCGAGAGACAAATGTAGAATGCAAAACAACAGACAAGAGCTTCAATCATTTGTGTGCTTGGGGTCTTTATCCAGGTGTTGGTTATTCATGTTATCAGTCATTATAACCTGTGTCTCGTGCTATTAGAGGTTGACTTGTCTTCCCTGCATCTTCACGGAGAAGCGCCGACGGATGATGCCGAGCTGAAGCGACCGTTATAACCAGTGCAGATTGAAGATGCATGAACAAACGAGATAAGATGCTGATGCCGATACCACTCCCAAAACTCCATCGCCAACTGAAAGCTGACACAGTGCCTCCCGCACCGTGACGTGACATACCCACGTGGACCTTGGCAACACAAGCCCCATTCGTCAAAGCGAGTCTTGGCCGTCAAAAAGTCCTTTCAAGGGGGGCAGGTCAGAAAAGGGCCTTCAAACCCACAAAGTCTCGGTGAGCAAAAGATCGTGGCGGGCGAGAGTCGAGCGCATAGAAAAACATTGAAAGCGAGCGTCTGTCGTCCTGCGGCTTTATCGATACCGTCTGGTAGCTTCAACCGCCAGCCGTGCTTTTTGGGTACAGTTTGATTGCGATTCTCCGGCTAGGCTTCACCGGGCCGTTGTTGTACGAGGAATCCAGCCGGCGGAGGCATCTCATCTTTAGAGGCTGAAAAAACATCATGAAGGCCTCGGTCGTGCTGTCGGCTCTTGCGGGCTGTGCGGTGGCCGACGATGTGCTCTACAGCAGGCGGCTGCTCAAGCGAGGGATTGACGATGAAGGGCACTACAACATGTGTAAGGCGTCGCTTCACCGCTCACTCATCCAGATCTATCACGCTGACTCAATCACTCTTGAACAGCCTTCTTCCACGTCAACGACGTCCACGCTCATCTTGATCAGTACGTCAAGGCCGGCACAGACTGCGTCGACCCTTCCAAGGGATGCTTCGGCGGCTACGCCCGCATCAAGACAAAGGTCACCGAGCTGCGCGCCCAATACCCAGACCATCTGTGGCTGAACGCCGGCGACGAGTTCCAGGGCACGCTGTTCTACTCGTTCTACGGCGGGGAGAAGATTGCCGAGACGATGAACGACCTCAAGTTCGACGCCATGACGCTGGGGAACCACGAGTGGGACGGCGGCGATGAGAAGCTGGGCTTGTTTCTGAAGAATCTGACGTTTCCCGTTGTTTCCTGCAATGTGAAGAGCGAGTACACTGATCTCAAGGCGACGATTAAGAATTATCACATCTTTGAGGAGCACGGGCTGGCCGTTATCGGGGCAACGACGCCGACGACGCCGACGATTTCGCATGTTGGCGAGCTGACTACCTTTCTCGACCCAGTGCAAGAGGTTCAAAAGGCCATTTGGGAGATTCGCAACACAACCGACATCAAGCGCATCGTCGCCTTGACGCACATTGGCTACGACATTGACCAGCAGCTTGCGGCTCAGACAGAGGGCCTGTCCCTCATCATTGGGGGCCACAGCCATACACTGCTTGGAGACGTGGAGGGTGCGCAGGGCAAGTATCCGACGATTGTCCATGATCTAGCTGGCAACGAGGTCTTTATCGTGACTTCATGGAGGTGGGGAGAAAATCTGGGGTCAATCTCAGTTACCTTTGACGAGGATGGAAAAGCGCTTGCATATCAAGGCGCTCCGATTCATATGGACAACACGACAAAGCTGGAATCCGACCTCCAGGCCAAAATCACCGCGTGGAGAGGCCCGTTCGAGGACTTTGCCAACGAAGTTATTGGCACCACTGAGAACACTCTCGACCAGACTGCCTGCCAGAGCGGCGACTGTCTGCTCGGTCAGGTCATGGCTGATGCAGCGTTTGAGTACCTGTACAATCTTACCACAGACGCCCCGGAACACCAGAGGCCGAGCTTTGCACTCATCAACGCGGGCGGTGTTCGGGCAACCATCGATGCCGGCAACATCACGCGAGGCCAAGTCATTACGTCGTTTCCCTTCGGCAACGCCGTCACCAAGCTGACCTACTCGGGCGAAGATCTGCTCGAGATCCTCGAAGGCTGCGTATCCCGCGTCAACCAGTTCAACAACCAGAAGCTCTCATCCTGGTTCCAAATCTCGCACAACCTCAACGTCAAGTATAACCCGTCGAATCCCCCCGGATATATGCTCATGGATGCAAGGATTTCGGGGGAGAGAATCGACCCGGAGAAGGAATACGTCATTGCTACGGTGGATTTCGTTGCCACTGGCGGAGATAATATCTTGCCCAAGAGAAGTGATTTCGTGGTGTTGGAAACGCTGGATGAGGTGCTGGTAGATTACATTAAAGCAAAGACACCGTTGGCGAATGCGCTGGAGAAGAGAGTGGGAAAGGTTGGGAAATGCACAGACAAGGCACAGAAGATCTTTTCAGCTTAAACATGGAGTAGATTACATTGGTTATAAATAGACTTGTTTTGCAAACACGCCCATGCAACATAGCGGATCGAGCGTCGAATCTTATTAAAGTCGTATTCAAGTTGTGGCAAACCCTTCACACATCCCCATTTTCAGGAAACAATTCCATAAACATGACTTTATCCTTCGATCTCATCCCCCTCACGAAATCTGCTTCACAACAGCCTCAACATCAACAAGATCCCAAACATCCCCAAACTTATTCCCCTCCACCACACGATACAACGTAAACTGCGACGTCGTAATCTTCCGCCCAGTAGCTTCAATTCCCTGGAAACTCCCCCTATGCGTCCCCGTAACTTTGAAATGCAGCGCGAGGTAATCCCCCTCAATCGTGAGATGCTTCACCTCCCAGTGCCAGTCGGGAAACGCAGTCACCAGCGGCCCGAACTGCGCCGTGACTTTCTTTGGGTCCCAGGGCTCGTCGTTGACTTGAAGAGGTGAAGTATAGAAATCCTCCATCCCTTCAAAGTCATGTGCGTTGCATTTTTGCAAATATGAATCGTACAGCGCTCGGTACTCTTCGATCTTGGTCAAAGATGCAGAGTTTGCATTATTAGCTGCCATGGTGACGATAAGTTGATGAGCCAATCAATTTGCGCGTTTGAGTTTGTGGGTATGTATGTGATGGATGATTGTAAAGAGTTGTAAGATAGTTGTCAACTAACTGCAGCGAGAATGGAAACTAAACTACAGAAAGAACAGTTTACCATATATATACATGGGGACAATTAAAGAGCAATACTCACTTGCAACGGTACTATCTGCGCTGACTGACCACAACGCCCACGTTGATTTCGTAATTGTGACAGGATGCCTTCTTGGCGGGCCGCACTGCCTCGGGTAGGAATGGGTTGAAGGATTCATAATGCCGCCCAGGCTCTAGCAGCGCTTTCTAATGCCTCTGTAAGCCTTACGAACAAATGGAAGTCGGAATAGCCTTTGGCTCCCTGTTACATGCGGCTGCTTACTGGATGCCCTAGTAAATGGCATGCAGCGCAAGCCAAGCCAATCGCACGACTGCGAGGGTTTGTCACGAAAGAGCTCAAGACTGGAGCATGATCATGTATGGGTTGTTTTGCTTTGTATTCTCTCTATTGCTCATAAATGGCACTCTGACGTATTTGGAAATGTCCAACTAAGCGGCCCTTCATCTTGGAAATGGCATCGCTACTGGTCTGTATCTCTCAAAAGTGTTCCGGCCTCCGCGGCAGAAAAGAACTCGGCAATTATGGCACCCGTAGATGAATCGATGCAATTTGCCTCCACATCCGTCACACTCGAACCTCCCATCAATCGATTCCCATAACCTTCTGTGTGCGCCGCGGTCGGTCAAAGAGCGCCCGTCTGATTCCCGCTTCAAACGCCTTCCACAAGGTTCGTACACAATTCGCGCAATCCATCAATCGGCCTTCATTCCACTTGCAGCTTCGCCGTGAATGAGCGACGCGGGGGAAACGCCGAACAATTGGGTGGATAACAGCAAGTCCTGTTCTCCTTGCTGTATCAAACCGAGGGGGGTTGCTTTGCCACAGCATCCAGGGGAGGGAAAAGGCCATCAAGAATGGCTAATTGAAATCGTTCTTCGTTGCATCCGTGACAGTACATATGACCGTCAGGGCACTTCAAAGTCTCGGCGAAGAGAATTTCTTCCTTGCAGATGATGCAGCGTCCTTTCTTGGGTTCTTCGAATTGGTTGGCTTCGCGGGCTTCTTCGGCTTGGCCGAGCTTTTTGGCTTTGATGACTTGGCGAGCTTGATCTGTATGGATTGCCGGCCGAGAATCTTTGGTGCGACTGGCTCTGGTAGCCGTAGTGAACGGGTCGGCTGGTGCTTCTTCTCTGGGTGCAGGTCCAGCGACGGCTTGAGGCTGGTCATCATTCTCCTATGGTGATGCAAACCCGTTGTTCAAGTCGTGATCCGCGTAAGATGCCTCCAGTGCCCTCAGTTGTTGCTCATAGAGCCACGCTGCGATTTCGGCGTCGGGAGGAGGATCGCCCTCGCGCTGTTTTCCTTTCATCATTGCGTGAGAATCCTGGAGCTCCAAGGCTACCATCAGCCGGAGCGTTTCTTGATCGATGCCATCGTCCATCTTGGTGGATTTTTGAAGGACCGTGAGGAGGAGGAGGAGAGTAAAAAAGAGTAGGAAGAGAGTGAAGAGGAGAAAAGGGAAGAGAGAAGAAAGGCAAAGGTGAGGTGAAAGTGTTTTGCTCGTTTGTCTGTGGTCCGTGCACATGCATCTGATGATGAAGCTATTCTTCTCCATGTTTCCCATCTGATTACCTCTGATGAGCGTGCGAGATTCTGGCATTGCGGCGAGTATAGGGGAAATGGCATATTTCGCTGAGCAAATATGAACAATGCGACGTTTAAAATTCTAGGCAGTTTGTTGGTCGTGTCAACATTCGTCAGCGTGATGTTGCCATCTCAACAAGTGATTTTGAATACAAATAGCCAATTCACTTTTGAGTAATGAGGCTCGCTTAAGAAACGAGGTTTGCGGGTTCGTACGTGATGACGTGTTGTGATCAAGGAAAAGAGTTAAAGTATATGTCAGGAAGCCATGGTAAGTTGCTGCCAGGTGCCCAAGTCAAGATAGACAAGCTAGACCATTGTGGTTGATGAAATTGCATGCCGATGGTGCTCAGGGCTGCTCAAGGCTCTCATAGTATGGAGGCGAGAGTAGCCGCCTATGTCATTCCAGGAACAAACGATACGGCGACATGCTAGCTGATCTCATTCTCTCGAGTGACGAAGTTGATCAACGGAGCGGCTGTGGGTTGCGCGTATGGAACTGCAGGTGTCTCCCCTGTCACCAAATCTGCGTCCGCGCATGGGCTTGCATTTTGACGGCAGCCATCGTCGTCTGGGGCTTGATAAGCGCGACTGGGTGCCTGTGACATGATCTAAGTTTGCCAGGTCAGCGCTGTCCAAACTACCTAGCTCAATGGTGGCTGTAGAACGTACGTCTGATAACGAGCGAGAACTGAGATTGATACGATGTGTCTGATGCGTGGGAGGCTTCTCGGTTGGGAGAAAAGAGGGCGTCTCCAGCGAGACAACAAAGTGCGCAAAGGAAGTCTCCTCAGAAACGTACTCTGAGGATCGGGTCTGATTTCTCGAACAGGCAGATCTGCGTAGTCCAGTACAGCGAACTAAGAGAGAGTGAGTAAGCTGCACGTTGGTAGTCTCTGGAGAGCGCTTACGTCAAGTTCTCAAGATGAAGGAGTTATAAAAGCTCAACATGTAATCGGAAAGCCACACTATTGCTTCAAATGCAAATCATGAGTTAATCGATCACTTTTTTTAGTTTTTTTTTTTAAAAAAAAAAGGAAGATATTGAACTTTGGTAAGTCACGGGACGGACCTTGGTCGAGTGAATCACTGCAAGATGCAGCCCCGAACACTCCTCATATATGTCACTGTAGCAACACATCATCACATCCTTACAGCAAAGTTCCACCCTCACCTTCGCCTTCTACACTCAACTTTCGTATCAGATTCCTACAAGCTCAATATCCAGCAAACCATCCTTCCATCAACAATGGCAAATCGCGAAGCAGGCCAATCTGCTTACCAGCAGCAGCTTCCCCCAACGTATCCAGGCCCAGTCACGAGCACCACAGAATGTACATCAGCCTCTGTCGGTATCCCCCTTCATCATCAGCTCATCCATGCTCATCATCCATCTAGCACCGTCTCAGAGCCTCCTTGCAAAGCAGCGGAACCTCGCCCCGACACTCACTTCAACACAAGATCAGAACGAGATGCCCCTAGAAGGTCCCGACAAGGAAGTCTTGGTGGTAAATAAGACGATATCTTATATCTAGAGTAATGTTGTTAACGATGTAGCTAGGAGCGGACTCGCAATACGGGTGCCCAGACGCCAGCATCACTCGCCGCGCAGATTGAACACGAGATGCGGCAAAAGACTTCCACCTAGCAGAGCTTATGCCGTTCAGAGTCTACACCTAAGCAAGCCTAATAGACACGGCTATAACGCAGATAGTCTCAACACCTAAGCTATTCATTCTTCAAAAATAATTCACCGTACCGTGACTACACATCACATTCCTCTCTTCGCTGTGCCATTTCCATACCATCGCCTAGATTATTGTCCCGGTTCACAATTCTTACCTAAAACCTGCGATCGCACTTGAAATAGACAGTGTCAATCATACGCTTCGCTACCAGAGCATTACTATCATAAGACGGCAGCGGCCCCATCGCCGGATTCCCATTCTTATCCACGGCTTTAAAGTCAAACATGGCGAAAAAGGTGGCCGTAGAAACAAACAGTTCCAGTTTTGCAATCTACCAACTCGTTAGCGTCTTCTATTCACTAATCATCGTTCATCACGCCTACTCTCATTCCCACTGGGTCAATGTTATCTTGTCGTCCAAATCACAACGGATTGAGTATCAGAGCCTACTTACAACATGGGTGTAATCCAGTTCCCCAGCCAATATATCCATGTTGGCGTTTCTTGTCTTCCCCCCTGTCGGGGAAATATCGCCCAGGATCCCATTTGAGAGGATCTTTGTAAGTAGACTCGTCCATGTGGACATCGGACACATGATACACCTTTCAGCAAAATATCAGCATTGCTTACTCTCTCCCTTTGGCCATAAACTCACCGCAAAAGCTTGATTCGGGACAACGACGCCGGTATCACCCAGCACGATATCCCTCCCAGAAGTGTTCTGGCGAATCGAAGCTCCCATGAGGTTCAGTCGAATGCTATCCCGCACTCCAAAATCGATGCAAGGGAACTCAGACTCCCATGCCTCGAGTGAAAGCCCTGCCAGAACATCTACTGGCGCCTGGTCGTCTGAAGTGCGATATTTCTCAACAGCTGCGTCAACTTCAGCTCTGACCTTTGCATACCAGACGGGGTCATGAGCGAGATAGCAGAGGATCCACGCAGACTGGACTCCCGTATTGATCAAGCCGGCGAACAAGGCGCCAATAATAAACTATTCAGCAGCCAGTTAGTTCAAATTCCTCAACGACCACGTCAGATACTTACAGCTGACGACAGCAAATCGCTCTCTCCTTTGTCCATCAGGTACTGCATCACGTCTTCCGCCTTACGACCAGTTTTTCGCCTCTCCCGGATTATATCCCCAAACAGCATATGCAGCTTTGCCCCCGCCCATATCTTGTTGAGCTTCGTGGGCGTAGGCAGCCACGGAAACATGACCTGTATGGCGGCAGTCTTATCCAGCTTCTCGTAGTACCGCATCGTCTTCTCCTGAAGCGCAGGGTCTTCGGCAACGTCATGGCAGCCGACAGTGCGGTGAGTGAATTTGCAAAGCAAATCGTAAAGAACTACAAAGGGATCCAAGGGAACAGACGTGTCGACTGCGGAGAAGGCATCGCGGGCATCTTTGTTCAGGTAAGGAAGACAAGTGACCAGGTGTTCCTTGGCAGTAAGCTTCTTGAAGAGCACTGTAAAGTAAGCACTCATATTGCAGCCAAGCATACGGTCAATGTCAGGGCCAGCAGAAAAGAGTTTCCTGAATCTATAACCTGGTCAGTCTCTTTTACGAGAAAGCAGGTGCTTATGCAAGGGAGAAGTCCATACCCAGCGCTCAGATCAAGACCTCTCGCATTAAAATACGCTGAGCGAGCTTTTTCTCCTGAGAGAGCGACGATAGGATACGAGCCATAGTAAAAGTTGAAGTAACCGTTGGGGCTACGTTTCGTGCCCTCTCGTAGGAAATCGCCTCTCTTGGTGAAGAAGTTGAGGGAGCCGATGAAGGGCACACCCCATTCCGTAAAAGACGCACCCGAAGGGAGGCCAGGCCGCCTCAGCAAACGAACAAGAAGCGAAATAACAAGAGTAGCCACCAGCAGCAAAGCACTAGCAGGCCAATCCCGCGGCGAAGCAAGTGTAGCGACGAGGCTCACCATCGTGGAAACTCGCCAACGGCGTTGCGAAAACTTCCAAATAAGCAGTCTCCCTTTTCAAACATCCCCCTTTTTTTCGAATGGGAACAAGACGGGCATTTATACCAAGACGATTATACTTTTTTCGGAGACCCTGTCCAACCCGACGCTGCGTATTGGCTGCGCCATGTGAGACATCCCCATATAGAAACCGTGATGACGGGTGCGACAGCCGACTGACATTTTTTAACCTTCAACCTGTCAGACTATAGCTCTCCTTCTAACTGAGAAAGCAACTAGATCGGAGGGACGATCGATTGACACGAGGGGTAGAGCGGCTTGTTGAATTGAAGGCCGTTGTCTTCATTCGTTGCGCGGCATCGCGTGGCTTGGGATACGTGGTCGTGCTGCTGAGGACGATGCCGTGTCCCGCTTACAAGGTTGCCTTTGGATGCGGAGAAGGGGCATGTCATTCAGGTGAGGTTGCTGCAGCCACTTTTGACAAGCTGATGACGGTGAATCAAGGGGGCAATGAGACACTGCCTTGATGTAGACGTCTCATTCACGGGTATGGGGTGGCAAGGAGCCAGAGGAAATGAGGACCATGACGATTAGTGACGAAATATCTATTCGATACAAGTATAAAATAACCAGAATTCATTTATTGATTCTCTAAAAGACTCGTAACGTAGCATTATAAGACTCAACTGACAGGACAAACCTCTCACAACACCATTGCATCCCCACATCCCTTACATCACCACATCATCTCGCATCACACAGCATAACGAGCTGGAAGAATAAATTCCGCCGCCGCCCTCTCCGCAATGGCATACAGCGTCGCAGTAAGGTGTCCGCTGATCTGCAACGGTATCACAGAAGCATCCACCACGCGCACATTTTTCGTGCCATACACGCGAAGCTTCGGATCGACAACTCCGCCAAGTCTTCTCGGAAGCATCGCCGCCGTCCCGATGGGGTGCGAGTTCGATATCATGGTGGTTTCTGTAAACTCCCTCCATTCGTTCCATTGATCGTCTAGTGAAGGCATTCCTTGCTGCCGCTGAGTCTTGATACTGGTAGACATGGGCGGGGTTTGCCAGAACGCTGCGGCAAGGCGTCCGAGGGTGACTTGAACAAGCATGTCAAGGCCAAAAGACATGAATCTCGGGTTGATGTCGGGTCTGTTGATGTCGTCGGTCGAGTTGAGGTGGACACTCCCACGGCTGAAAGGCAGAGTACACCAGTACGCCGAAAAAGTGCCAGTGCCGCTTGCGGTAGATAGGATTTCACCAATGGTCACGTCCTTTTCAAAGATTAAATCGTATTGGATTCGAAGTAGTTCCTCGACTGCCGAGGCTTTTAAAGCTTTCTTTGTCTGCCACTCAATCTGCAGTGCCCAGTACGGTAGGGAGAGCTTGACCATATCAGAGATAGCTCTCAAGTTCTTCCCGAAAAGAGAAGTTGCATTAACAAATGTAGCATATGGTGCGTATCCGAAGAATGTGGTGTTGGTCGAGTAGGACAGGGCGGAGTTGGGCTGATCAATCATGTTTTCTCCCACGCCCGGTAGATCAACAACCGTCTCAATGTCCAATTCCTTCAAGATTTTTGGGTTACCGATACCGGAGAGCTCAAGAATAAGGGGCGTACGTAGAGCACCTGCAGACAAGATGACTTCTCTCACAGCCTTCACAGACTTGTTCTGCCCATTCGGCATTATGTACTCAACTCCATACGCATCAGGTGTCCTGACAGTGCCAGCCTTCCACAGAATCCTAGAAACTGTGCCGTTGATTAACGTCAGGTTCGGCCTATCCTGTACAGGCCAGTAAAACGCCGTGGCGGCGTCGCATCGCGTCTTCTTGACTGGATCTATAGTCTGTGGCCAAACGTCGAATCCAGCCGTGTGTCCGCTATTCACATCTTTGTCGAGATGTTGCCCGAGATTTGCCCAAGTTGCCTTTGCGTCTCCGTAAAAAGATCCATTGAGCAGGACCGGGTTGAAGCTGACGTCAATCTCTCCTGAAGACCCATGGTATTCCTCTTCATATACTGCGCCGACAGCCTCCTGCCACGGCGAAGGGGGGAAGAATCGCTCAACCTTCTTGAAATACGGTAACATGGTATCCCAATTCCATCCTGATCCGGGGTAGAGATCCTCCCAGGCATCGAATTGAGCTCCATCTCCTCGAATATACGTCATCCCTAGCTGACTCAGTATTGATCCCATCTCGATTCACGGGCTTTGTGCATTCATACCATTTATTAAGCTGGTCCCACCTATCCCCTTGCCTGCTACGTATGTGAGACTCCTGTCATCAAGATATCCCTGGGGGATAGTCGAGTAATTCCAGTCAACAGAAGTCCCGCCCAGCGTCAGCCATGCCAGCGGATTGGCAACGTCCAAGTTGTTCCGCTCATCGGCACCAGGATCAATGACTGCAACGTTGAGGCTAGCGTCTTCGGTCAGGCGATTGGCCAAGAGAAGTCCACTTGTCCCTGCGCCAACGATGATGTAGTCGTAAGAATCGATTGGCGAGGCCAGTGACTGAAGAGATAAAAGTGTTGTGGCCAGCGCAAGAGCGCCGAAACGCGTTCTGAGAGGCGGCATGTTGCTTTGAGATGAGACCAAGACACTTGTCACGATCAATGTCTCAAAGGTTCGGCACCTTATTAGTATATATATCGCACGTAAAACACATCGTACTGCAGTACTTTTGTGCTTCTTTCATTAAACTTTGCCAAGAACTCTGTTTCCACGGAACTGGAGATGGAGGCTTGCCCAATCGTCACGACTGGGAGTTTGTTTTTCGGTCCGATGGTGAAACATTAGTCGATAAATCGGCAGTACAACGGAAGGATCTGCGATCAAGCCGCGCGTGATCAAAAAGCAGCGGATTCCATGGAGTTTTCGGCGTCTGCCAATATTTGCCAGATCCACCCCCAACCAGGACATCTTCCTCATCTCATCGTTCCAAGGATAAGGCGAATGGACACAAACTCGGGTATGAGGCCATCACTCCGGGCCCTCAGCACACGTCAAATACCCGAACCTGCACGATTTTGCAGGGAGTTGTGATCCTTGCTCATGTTCTCCGCATGTTGGGGCTGAGGCCAGCGATTCGGCCTTTTCATGACTCCTAAAAGGCTAAATAGAGTTGCCTATCTACCTGTGGAATCAATATCTGCGCCAAAAGTACCAGGAACGAGGGGTAAACATGACAATCGATGAGGAAATGCATGGTTCCTTATGCATATTCGTATCTTTCGCTTCCTAGGTATGTTCAGAATACTCCAAGTCTCGGTTTCGTGGCGTGCTGAGAAGCGTCATGAAGGCGAATAGAGATGCCCGCATGGGCTTGTCTTTGAGGCCACATGTGCACAGTGGATTGAATGCCTAAAGTTCACAAAATAAATGACGAAGACTACAAAATTTGTATAATTATGCTTTTTATTAGACAACTTTAAACCCTTCATGTGTATAGAGACACAATTCGCCTTACCTACATGTACCTACTTAGGCAAACATGATAGTGTTTTGTGTGTACGGGATCCCGTGCATTGTTTGGGGCCGATTTTGAGCTGGCAAGATCTTTAATTACGATGCAAACAACATAAACGATCCATCCGGAGCCGTTCTTCCTCTTGATTTGAGGTAATTATACGCAGTACAACTCCAAGATGACCGAACCTTACTGAGAACTTAGCGATCATCGTGACGTAAAAAAAAATTGAGAAGAAGAAAAGAAAAAAACTACATGTCAGTATGATGAAGCAATAGAACATGAAGCTTTCAGTATTGATGCTGCTGCTGTCCAAGCTTAACCAGCATTGGATTTCCAAGTATCAGCCATGATGTCTTCTTTCAAACAGCGAGCAGAATAGTTCATACTAATAATGGATGTTGATGTAGATAGTACCTCACGATTCACGAATTATCGCGTCACGCCACGGTTTAGAGACCATCACGAACGCATCATGCCAACCCGGCGAGAGTCGCCGGACTCCTTCCCTGAGCACCTGACGGTGGCTGATGTGAAGCCCCCGACAAGAAGCAGGGAGCTGTGGACCTCACCATTGGAACCAACGACTACAAAACCTCCGAGAGAGTTCTTTAGGTGTATTAGGTGATGATAGATCTAGTAGACATGAGCAGATCTAGTAGATGTAGATAGATCTAGTAGATATAGGCAAATATAAAAGACATGTCGTCAGGAGGGACAGGTAGCCATCCAGACTTATGGTAGCCCTAAAGCCCTATATATGCAGTATATCTATTTTCATCTACTAGATAGAGTTATATCTACTAGATCTCTTACTTACATAAACTGTTTCACTTGGGTAATTGTTAGGATATGTTTATTGTTATAGCAGTTCTAGAAGAAAATGTCATAGGGATTTTAGACAATATGCCGACTTGTATTCAGTATAATCACGTTGAATCACGAGACAGCTGAAGGTGATGATGTCAATGTTTCGACCCATTTCCTCGAGGGGCAAGATAGAGATGGGGCAACCGGTCTAAATGGCCAAGCATCAACGAATCGAAGCCAAAATAAAGAAAAGAATTCAATAAGATGAAATTAAACGAAATGAAGCGAAATAAAATACAAAGGCCGTCAGCCCACTACCACATCAGCAAGGCTCGTATATGTACATGTACTTGCACGGTCTATCTACAACCATGGCCAACGCTAACATGGACGACTTGGGTTGCAGCTGAATTGGCGTCAGCAAGCCAGGTCAGAGTCTCTCTGCCCAGAATGGTCAGCGCAAAGCCTTTTTTAGTAACGAGATGAATCTTTAATTGGAGATGAAATATATGATGGGTCATCTCAAAGATTCGGGTGCAATTGTGAACGGTATCAAGGGAGCAGCTCCCTGTAGCGATTCGCAGCTTAGTCATGGTGGCAATCCTTGACCTCATCGACTTGACATGGACATGTCCCATCTTACACCGCCAACGGCTTCAATGAACATTACGTTTTAGACAAGCTGATGCTTTCAATTCATAGAAACAAAGCTCATTCATCACTACTTAATATCATCCCGCATTTTCTCTTAACCAGTCCCTCAGCCATGAAACAAGAAGTTATAGAACCGCCGCCTCCGAGGCGCAGCCTCCGCAACATCAAGAAGCAAGAATCCAACATCAACATCAACCTCAACACCAAAAACACAGCTCCATCCGTCAAGTCAGAATCCAAATCCAACACATCAGATCTACCCATATCCAAAATCCCCTTCTCTACGACTAAGCCCCTTCCTCCGCCAAAATCCCCAGACAAGGCCGCCATCCTCCAAGCCCGCAAGCTCAAATCATTCACAGCTCATTCTCAAACCTCTCCATTCCCAGGTTTTCGCCATCCCACGCCTCAGGAATGCTCATTAGCTCATCGTATCCTCGCATCTCTTCATGGCGAGCGTAAGCGCCGAGCAGAAGCCATCGTCGCTCCCAGTACGCGCGCCGGATGTGGGGATGCTCCCGTCGTTCTCGATGCTCTTGTTCGCACGATCTTGAGCCAGAACACATCAGATACAAATTCAACGCGCGCAAAGCTCGCCATGGATGAAACATACGAGGGCAGCGATAACTGGGAGGCCGTTGTCCAAGGAGGAACGGAAAAGCTGCAGCGAACAATCCGTTCCGGGGGCCTCAGCGTCGTCAAAAGCAAAGTCATCATGAACATCCTCCACCAGACAAAAGCCCGGTATGGGAGCTACTCCCTAGATCACCTCCTCCACGCCTCCAATGATTCCGCCATGCGTGAGCTCCTCTCCTTTCAAGGCGTGGGACCCAAGACGGCGAGCTGCGTTCTCTTGTTCTGTTTGCAACGGGATAGCTTCCCGGTGGACACTCACGTGTATCGCATAACGGGACTCTTGGGATGGAGACCGGCCACGGCAAACAGAGAGGAGGCACAGGCGCATTTGGAAGCAAGGGTGCCGGATGGAGACAAATACGGATTGCATATCCTGTTGGTCTACCACGGCAAAAAGTGTGCCGAGTGTCGCGCCGGAGGACGAAATGATGGTAAATGTGCTCTAAGGAAGGCATTTCGTCAAAAGGGAAAGGTAGACAGCGTAAAGGAGGAAGAAGACTAAATCATACATGTCATTAAATGCGTTTCTTCGATATTTGGCTCCTCTCTATATAAAGACGGTGCTATAACAGCAACCTATTTCGCTCCCACCTCGAATCGCCGGCTTATGTGCATATGCGGGTATTGTATCATACAAGAAAAACTCCAGCCGTCCAGCAGATGGAGACGCTCATCCAACGTGCTCCTCTCACGCCTCCCAATCCATTTCCACCATCCAATCCCACCCATCGCCGTCCCCAGCATCACCGCCCGCGTCTCCATTCTCCGCGAGCCCATCGCCCTCCATCCTGAGCTGTTCAATCCTCCCAGCCGCGATGCCATACGACACCTCCAGGCCTCCAAGCACCTGTCTCACGATCCACGTCAAATCATACATCTTGAGCGGCGGCGTCTCTCTCCCCTCGGCCGCATCTTTCCACCGATTCCGCAGCTCTTTGGCCTTCCACAGCGCATGATTGACATCCCCTCTCCCCAGCGCCTCAAACAGCGGATTGTCCTCCTCTTCCAACGTCTTGAGCACGTTATGATGATATGTATGCGCCGCCTGGCTTCTCGGCCCGCCACTCCCCCTAGGGACCGTAATGCCGAAGACGAAGAGGACAAACACCAGCGCCTGCTCGATGCGGACGTAGAACTCGTGAAAGTCGACCTTGAAGTTGACCTCTGCGTCTTGCGTCGAGAAGCCGTAGTCCTGCGGGGACAGCGCGCGCTGGTACGAGGACTCGAGGTCGATGTACTTCCACCGCAGGCGCTGGCACGCCTGCTCGAACCTGTGAAAGGCCTGCAGCGGCGACAGCGAGGCGGACGAGGCTGAGGGCAGGACGGCCGTCGGCTCGGAGCTTGGCTGTGTCGGCAAGGCTGAAACGGGGGGCATGGATTTCGAGCGGGTGTCGAAAGATCGTTCGTAGGGGCGTCTCCTGGCCGACGCCCACATGGACGCCCCGAGGCCGCTTGGATTCATGGCTGCGTGGGAAAAGTCGTGGATCGCGTGCGCAACTCGATTGCGGGGCAGACAAAACAAGATGGCAGCCCAGCTGCCTTTGTCAGGCGCAGTTTGCGCGCGGCAAAGCTGGAGGGGGAGGCGTCGTGACGTATCGTGTCTGATGCTGAAGGGAATAAGAGGTTGCAGGTAGTGAATACTTTTAGGGTACCGCGTTCGCCATTTTATCTTGGTGGGAAGTGGTCGCAAGCGAGGAGAGCTGCCTAGGTACCTAGAGGTTGGTCGAAGTGTGAAGTTTCGGTAACATGGATCCTTTGGTGGCTGGCTGGCTGAAGTGGCTTGTTGAGCCTCTCTCCCTACCTTGAATTATTAGAAAATAAGCAGCCACGGCGACAAGGGGGCATGGCGGATAAGAAATCAATTGTTATATTGCACTGAACGGTGGTGGATTTACCTAATAAATCCTCAACGGCGGCTATTTATTGATAATTGTTGTTGGGGAGCTGTCTGTAGTAGCGGTATTGCAATTAGTGGAGGAGTCGGTCGGTGATCGCAGCCTTGCGTATGGAGCATCAACCCGCGGTTGAGCATGAGCAAGCTCAACCAAATTCGTCGTATTGCCGTCTTTAGCGACTGATATCAAACGTCCTTCTCTTATATTTTCTAGTATTACTATGTGTGGTTTCTTTTAGATTTTCCAGGAAATAAGTACCTAGTATCTCCCTAGCCGATACTATTTCACGCCTCAAAACTATTCCAACGCCCTTTGGTTGAGATAAAACATAATGCTTATGCCTCTCTAAAGAACCACTGTGCTACAGAGATATTGCGGTTCATTTCCATTTCAAAACGTCATACTCTATCCTTTGCTACCAAATGGAACGGTAACTAACTGGCATATGGCGCCCTAATTGATGGTTATCATGATCCTCGTTGTGCTTGTAGGGTAAACAGGTCTGGCTAGTGCTGCTGAGACCGGAGCTGGAAGCCTCGCAAAGGTGCATCTACAAGCCAACGCATGCAGGGTCCAACCATCGGCGCCTCTTCTAGCTGTAATACTGTGCAGTACAATCGAGTACAAGGGCGCTCCAATCATGGCATGTTGGACAAAGGTCCTCCCCAGTCACGGAATTCGCCTTCGGACATGCATATGATCTGCAGAGTGGACACCCGATCTTGCGGCCGGAATCCTTCGTGACTGTCCGTCACGGCGCCGGCGACGCATCTGACCAAGAAATGACTTCGCCAAGGCACGAGGCAGAATCATATTGTACTGGACGAAACGTACAGAGTTGATCATGTATTGTTTAGGCCAGGAAGGATAAATAAAGCGGCGAACTCATCATTTCGCTGATGGCAACTTCTGCGGTTTTCTTCTCTTGACATCAACATCAACACCTGCATCACCACCAAGACAATTCCATGCAGGCTCACGCTATTATTGTCAAACGCCAATCAGCGCCCGATTGATACAATAAAAGCAATCATATCACAGCAACACTCCAGTTGAAAAAAAAAAAAAAGCACAGACTGTTTCAGTCTCCGGCATCTGCTATCCGTGGCAACGCACTTCCGCGCAGATCAGTACTACTCGTCCATATTAAATATGTCTGAAGGCGAGCTCGTCTACCACCATGCGTGTGGGCACTACCACCGCCGGATCTTGTCAGACCGCGATCGACACCGCCCAAGACGGGAGAACTGGAGCGCCATGAAGTTTTGGGACGAAGTGCTCTACAGCATCGGCGACTTTTACTACAAGGTGCGGAGAGGATAAGTTGAATGTTTTCCATCGATTCCATACTTTGCGGCGTTGCATAAGCGAGTAGTTCCTTTTCAGAGAGCGGGTTGATTACAGCACGGATGACTTGAGCACCATCCAAACTCGCATCTTGACCTACCTAGGCGAGAATAGAAAAAGAAAAACAAAAACAAAAAAGAAACAAAGAACACAGAACAAGCAGCGTGAATGAGCCCCCGGGGCAACTTGCAGGGCCGGATAGTCGGCTCCTAAACGGGCCGTATCCGAGCTCTGATGAATGTGCCGTGGCTCCGAGAAAGGGAGAGAGAGACGTTTGCACGAACCGCAAATCCGAAAGGGCAGTTCAGTTGAACGGGTAGCGCAGCTCCTCAGCCACTAACTACGGCACCGAGGTCCCGAAAAAGGCACTGGAAAAATACAACTGGATCGAGAGAGGAGCAGCGAAACAGAATGGCGAGAGAGAGAGGGGGAGAGGGAATAATGCGAGTGTCAGACGAGGGTGGGACCGGGGGCATGTTTGGTTTGGTTCCTGGACTAGCCGCTTTTTCGATGCGAAACAGCAACAGGTTGGAGAGAGAGGCTCGGCTGGAGGAGAGAGTGGAGGAGGCATCTTTTCTATACGGGATGGTACTCGTATGGTATGGAGGTTAGTTACAGTTGCGGCATGGGAGCAAGCACAGATGTTTTTTTTGCAACAATGGAGCAACATGTGCCAACAAGGCTGGCCAAGACAAGACAAGACGAGGCGAGCACGGCCTGTCGCATGTGAAGAGAGGCTCAGATGAGACTTTGCGGGCCCTTGACGCGTCGCCCGAGGGAAAAAGGGAGAGAGGGCTGTAATTGATACTACCAAGCAAATAAACCAAGCAAATGCCAAGTACCTCGTAATAGAGAATTCTCATTGTATTCGTGACAAGGAATGAAAGAAACATAGGTACTACCTAGCAGGTAGTGTCTCGACAGGCAAAAACCATGTGCCAAGCAAAGCACCAGGAGCCCCGAGAGCTTCATTTCCAAGCTCATTTGAACAGAGTCGCCCAGAAGATGCAAGGACCGCCCAAGTGAAGATCGTTCTGCGAGCAGTCAAATGTCACTTGATTGCTTCATTTCGCCCAGACGGGACCTGTAACGTGCCTCGCCTCGCCTCGCCTCGCATTGCATTGTCGTGCTGTACTGTATAGTAGGTACAAGTACGGAGTAGTCAGGGGAAAATACGCCGTGCTGGTGGATCGTCTCTCTTTAGTTGTATTCGAGAGCCCCCTTTCCGTATTTTCTCACCAGAGCGAGCTGGGGTCCCACACCTTTACACACCTGATGGCACACAGTGCAGGAATCCGGCTTCGAGAAGCCTCGTGTCGAGTTGCTGCTTAGCAGACGTGCAGTAATTAATGTGTGATCAATTGCTAAGGGATAACACGTGTGACAGTGGCGACTCGACATCTCATTCGCTCGCTCGCACCGTCCAACATCCAGCGCCAGGGGTCCTGTGACAGGGGATCTGGGGGTCGCGGGCCCCCTGAACGGAGCCGCCCATTGGCCCTGATCTCCCCAAGAACAAGCTTCAACGTTCCAATTCTCCTCAACTGCGCCTCCCAGTAGCGCAGCGCAGTTGCAAGTGGCTGCAGCAAATCACCTAATCAATCCATTGAATGGATCCGTTGACGGGCTTCAGGGCAAGGTACCAACTATAGGCGCTCGGGTACCTTGGCTAGCAGGGGCCTGGGGCGACAGGGGGGCCCCTGCTGCGAGACTTGGCCTGTCGCATCCAATTTCCCCTGCCCTGGGGATCCTCTTCGCTCTCCTGGCGCGACAACAAAACACTCGCCGCCTGCTCCATGGCGCCGTTTGGACGGACCAGATCTTCTTTTTTTTTTCGCATCTTTCTTTTGATTTTTGTAGCTAATTCATCATTTTTTGAGGGTGGCCGCCTCGTACAGTTGGCCTTTCAGACACTCTTTAGAAACAAGCAATCGTTCTGGTGCTTCACCAAACCAACCTTTTTACCATTCCAACCACTCCCTTGCTGCTCTTCAGCACTTCCAATCGTTAGAAACAACGCAAATATCGCAATCAAACCTCCAAGAATCGTCAAAATGAGCTTGTCCAAGCTCTCCGTCTCTATGCTCGCCCTGGCTGGCAGCGCCCTCTCCGCTGATCTGCCGTCCATTACCGCCAAGGTGAGCCACTTTCCACTTTTCCTTGTCCAGATCTTCAAACTCGCCAACGTCCAAGATCAACCGCTAATCGTCGATTGTCGATGCCAAAAAAATAGGGCTCCAAGTTCTTCTACCCCAACGGCACCCAGTTCTTCATCAAGGGTGTTGCGTACCAGCAGGATGTCGGCCAGGCCGGAACCACCACCTCTGGCAACTCGACCTTCATCGACCCTCTCTCCAACGAGGCCAACTGCAAGCGTGACATTCCTCTGCTCCAGCAGCTGGGCACCAACGTGATCCGTACCTACGCCATTGACGCCTCGGCCGATCACTCCGCCTGCATGAAGCTCCTCAACGATGCCGGCATCTACGTCTTCTCCGACCTGGGAGAGCCCGCCCTGTCCATCAACCGCGACACCCCCAGCTGGAACACCGACCTCTTCGCCCGTTACAAGGCCGTCGTCGACGAGATGTCCCAGTACCCCAACGTCATCGGCTACTTCGCCGGCAACGAGGTCAGCAACGCCAAGAACAACACGGGCGCCTCTGCCTACGTCAAGGCCGCCGTCCGCGACACAAAGGCCTACATCAAGTCCAAGAAGTACCGCTGGCAGGGCGTTGGCTACGCCGCCAACGACGACGTCGACATCCGCGCCGAGATTGCCGACTACTTCAACTGCGGCGAGCAGGACTCCGCCATCGACTTCTGGGGCTACAACATCTACTCTTGGTGTGGCCAGAGCTCCATGCAAAAGTCCGGATACGACGAGCAGACCACCTTCTTCTCCAACTACTCCGTCCCCGTCTTCTTCGCCGAGTACGGCTGCAACTTGCCCGATGGCGCTGCCAACCGTATCTTCCAGGAGACTGCTGCCCTGTACTCCGACACCATGACTGAGGTTTTCAGCGGTGGTATCGTCTACATGTTCTTTGAGGAGGCCAACGACTATGGTGAGTTTTGAAGTACTTGGATAATTGAATGTCACATGACTAACGCAATCCCAGGTCTCGTCTCCGTCAAGAACAACCAGGTTACCAAGCTCAAGGACTTCAGCGCTCTCCAGTCCCAGGTCACCAAGGCCGACCCCAAGGGTGTTGACTCCAGCGACTACAAGCCCACCAACAAGGCCGCCAGCTGCCCTGCTCTGACCGATGACTGGCAGGCCATCAACGACCTCCCCCCCACCCCTGACGCCGGCCTTTGCACCTGCATGCAGACCTCCCTGTCTTGCGTCCGCTCCGACGACCTCTCCTCTGACGACTTCGGTGACATCTTTGGCTTCATCTGCGGCAAGTCCCCCGCCGTCTGCGCCGGTATCAACGGCGATGCTTCCACTGGTGTCTACGGTGCCTACAGCATGTGCGACGACGGTGCCAAGCTTGACTACGTCCTCGACGCCTACTACAACTCCCAGAAGAAGGCCGCCAGCGCCTGCGACTTCAACGGCCAGGCCCAGGTCGTCAGCGGCAAGGCTGCTTCTTCTTGCTCTGCCGCTCTGGCCTCTGCCAGCGCCATCAACAAGGCTGCTGCCACCGCCACCTCCCCCGTCGGCTCCGGTTCCACCTCCACTGACGACGACAAGAGCGCTTCCACCAGCAAGAGCGCCGCTGTTGCCGGCCGCCCCAGTGCTCAGCTGATGAGCATTGGCGAGCTGTCCGTCGCCCTGTACATGGGTGTCGCCATGCTTGCCGGCGGTGCCATGATTGCCCTGTAAACAAAAAGGAGGCTTTGAAGTGGGGGATTGTGTGTATGTAGTAGATTTGGAGGTTTTATAGGAAAGTGAAATAATTATCGTCTTTTTTTTTCATGTATCTTTGGATCCAGGATTTGTATGGCCTCTCTCTTCTTTTTCTTGAGGGACTCGTCGTTTTCGGTTGATATACAAGGCATCATTGGTGTTGCGTGTCCGCGACTCTTTTTTTTATGGCTATTAGAACGGTAGCAGTATTGACTTTTACGATTCTACAATACTTAAGATTTTCTTCTTTTTTTAAATTCCTTTTTTTTAATCTTTTTGCTTCTTTTGAGCTTGTATATATTCGTTTTGAGATGCTCTTTCTTAGAGGGTGTCGTGATGTTCCAAAGAATTGAGAAATACGAGGCCAGTGTTTGTAGGAATGATTTGTGTCTGTGTATGTCACTGTGAACCTTGGTCTGTGAAAGTACTAATTGTTCAAATAATCGTGTCTGGATGTTCAGTTCAGTGGCGATTCCCGTAAAATGAACAGCGAAACCCATATGATGCAATCGTGTGGACCGGCAAGGCATCAAAGAGTCTTCGTGGCGCAGTTGGCTAGCGCGTCAGTCTCATATTGAAAAAGGCGATATGATCTAAACGATAGTTTGGGCCATCTGAAGGTCGTGAGTTCGAGCCTCACCGAGGACATTCTTTTTGGCGTTTTCCCTTTAATTGTTTGAAGGGGTTTTGGGGTTTGTGAGGTGGTTGTTTTGAGTTGTTGAAGGGTGAGCTTTTCTTTTTGTTGTATGTATGTTAGTTGAATGTGGGATGGATGCAGAGCTCAATGGGTGCTGTTTAGGCGAGACGAATTCGTGCAGAGTACACCAACTTCTCTGTAGAGGTATGTAACTTTAAAGAGATAGATAGTTGGTAACGGTATGATAAGAGAGACAATTGTAACAATGGCCCCATGCAAGACATGTTGTTTGATAAGGAACAAGTCAGCCCCCGCCCTGGAATGATAGGTTTGGATCAAAGGATCACGGCCCCGCTCCGGCTTCTTCTGGCATTGGATCTCAACGTCATCTCACTGGAATCATCATCATCAACACCTTGAATCCTACTGTTATACTCCCTTAATATCAAAATCAAGATTCATCATGACGGAATCCTCCAAGGCAATCCACGCAACACTCATCCACTCACTCTCTCCTGCTCAACTCCAAGTCATCCCCGACGCCCTCATCACCGTCTCCTCTTCCGGTACTATCCTCACTCTCCAGCCCAACGTCCCCCCATTGAACATCTCCAATATCCTCGCTGAGCAAAACATTGCGAATATTCCTCTCACTACACTCTCCCATGGCCAATTCCTCATCCCAGGCTTCGTCGACACGCACAACCACGCGCCGCAATGGATGCAGCGAGGCCTCGGCCAAGGAATGCACATCCTCGACTGGCTCGACGGCATAACTTTTCCCAACGAAGCCAAGTTTGAAGATGCGTCCTATGCGGAAAAAGTCTATGAAAAGCTCGTTCGGGGGATGCTCAGGCAGGGCGTCACGACGGCGTCGTACTATGGCTCTCTTCATGGGGAGGCAACTCGCGTGTTGGCATCTACTTGCTTGAGAGGAGGTCAGAGGGCTCTGATAGGGAAATGCAACATGGATCAAAACTCACCATCGTTTTACTGCGAGACTTCGGCTGAGGAGTCTATTTCTGCGACGAAAGCTTGTATTCAGCACATTCGAACTATTGATCCTGAGGGCTCTCTCGTTAAGCCTGTTCTGACGCCTCGTTTTGCAATATCTTGTACGGCACAGTTGCTTAAATCTTTGGGAGAAATGGCGCACGAAGATCCTTCTCTGGCGATTCAGACGCATTTCAACGAGGCTGCTCAGGAAATCAACGCCACGTTATCTCTCTTTCCGGAATTTAGCAACGAAGCTGACTTGTACTCGTCCTTTGGACTTCTCACGCCGCGAAGCATCCTTGCGCACTGCACCATCATGACGCCGTATGAGATCAACAAGCTGCAAGACTTGGGATGTGGCGTCGCTCATTGTCCTACTGCCAATATGACCGTTGGAGGAGGCTTCATGGCTGCTCCTGTCAAAGAGTTTCTTAGGAAGGGGATTAACGTCGGTCTAGGGACGGATTCGGGTGGTGGATATAGTTCGAGCATGTTGAATGCTATGAGGCATTCTCTCATCACTTCGTATGCGCGAGAGGCACTGTATCCTAAATTCGAGTCCGGGAAGGGTGAAAGCGTTAGCAAAGAAGGAGGCGGAGGAGAAACACTGAGCTTGGAAGAGGTGTTTTACATGGCTACCAAGGGAGGCGCCAAAGTCGTGGGTTTCGATCAACAGGTTGGTGGATTTGCTGTTGGGATGGAGTTTGACGCGTTGGTGATTGATATGCGGGATGGGCGGGAGGGGGTCAATGTACCGTTGGATGAGGAGAGTGATTCGGTGGAGAGGATGCTGGAGAAGTTTGTCATGACGGGGGATGATCGGAATATTGCGCAGGTGTATGTTAGAGGGAAGTTGGTTCATGGAGGGGATGCTTAGAGGAGTTGGGGAGATTTGGGGAGTTGAATTTTTACTGCTGTAGAGTGCTTTAGAGTCATGGTAATAGTGACAAACGGCACAGGATTGTGGCAAGTTTCGATTGCTGTAATACTGATCTCTTGGGTGGAAACGGAGTCTTTTGATATGGCTACTGCCCTAGACAAGCACGCGCTGCATCCAGAGATGGCACACGACGGGGAATTTCTGGATCAAGTCGAAGAATAGAGACAAGTTACAACATGACGGGCACTACCATCGGCTGAACTGGAGTGTGCTGTGATTTCATATTGTATTTCCATTTTCCTTCGCGCCCAATGTCTCCTGGAGATCTGTAGCCTCTCTTACTCCTAGAACGCTTCGATTCCCTCCTAGCAGCTACACAAGTGCTCATGTAATACCCGCCAACGACTTTCCACAGATGAATCCTCCCCGTACGAAAACCCAGTCCGATGAGAAAACACAGCCGACCGTCAATGTGGCCCTTCTCGCCTACTTACATCCAGTCAGTAAATATTCACCATGAAACAAAAAGCAGCACGTTGAACTTACCGCGCGTTCAAAACAAGACACCGCCTGACCACTTGAAAGAGCAGCACCGGGAACAACATAGACGATAAAGCATGAATGGGCTGGTCTTCCGCCAGTCTTGTACCAGCGCAAAGACCAACCCACTCATCATTCTCGGCGTCAGTTGAGCCGCAACCCCGACAAGCCATGTAGACGATAAAGCATGAGTGAGCCAGTCTTTTGCCAGTCTTGTACCGGCACAAAGACTGACTCACTCTGCATTCTCAGCATCAACTAAGCCGTAACCCCAACAGGCCATGTAGACGATAAAGCATGGATGGCACTGGTCTTTTGCCAATCTTTGTACCAGCACAAAGACCAGGCCATCCAAGTTTGATGGGCGTACCAACTACCGGCAAACATACACGATAAAGCATGAGTGAGCCAGTCTTTTGCCAGTCTTTGTACCAGCACAAAGACTAACTCACTCAGCATTCTCGGCATCAGCTGAGCTGTAACCCCAACAGGCTACGTAGACGACAAAGCATGAGTGAGCCTAGTTTTCTGCTCGTCTGGTACCAGCACGAAAACTAGGCCCACACTTGCTCGCCACAGGCCATCTCTACAGGCAGTTTTGCCACTGAGGAAGGGCGTGTCCGCAGTTGTAAGGGTGTGATGTTGGGAGGTTGGTTTGTATCAATCTGGGGTCGAGGTCAGCGGGTGGCAAGAGAGAGAGAAGAAGTCAAAGAAGGCCCACCTGTTTATAGCCATCGCCGTACTTCTCGCTGTTGAGAAGATGGTTGGAATGTTGATATGGGGATGTGGTTGGAAGAATTGATGGATGTGACCATGATGAGTGAAGATGGTGAAGAAGAAGAAGAAGAAGAGGGAGGAGGGGAAGGAAGGGAGAGAGAGAGAGAAGAAGGGAGACCCTTATTAATACATAATGAGAGAAGGCGTTGGGCTCAACTAGTGAGTGAATGAAAGGAGTTGGGGAAAACCTCATTGGCCCGGAGAGTTTTGTTTACATCAACAGTGGAGAAGTATGCAGGTTTGAACGCGTTTGCACTGCTAGTTCTTGCAGGAGATGGGATGATTATCCCACCATTACTGGTTGATAAGGGAGTTTGGAGCCTTGGAGAGAATTTCAGGGGTTGCTGCTCCAATGCCCCGTTATCTATTGCTGTGGCTACGTAAGAATGGGTCTGGTGGTGTGGAGAAGCAAACGAAAGAGTGAATGCTATTCTGCTTGCTGCCAGTGCGTCATAGTTTGATAGTACTATGTTGATTTATTGGGGGTGGGGAGAGAGGCGGTTGAATGACTTTAGACGAAGAGCAGCTACATGGCTTCAACTGACTGGAATTGTGTAACAAAGACTGCAAGTCCTCTGCGTGAAGAAATAGAAGAATAATGATGTAGAGGAATGCCTACTGTAGATGAAAGATTTAGAAAGACCAAACGATGTAGCTTGACAGCGTGGAGCTATCGGGCAATGCTCCACCGCGCAGACAGAGGCACTCAGGTCCTGCAAGGCTGGTCTTTAGTTCTTTCAAATGCTACCACTGCACCAGGGACCCAAAGACGGAACGCTCTCACTAGTTCGCAAGTCTAAGTCCTTCTGTGAGAAGCTCTATTCTCGAGCATTCTGGGACTTCAAGAAACAGTCTCTGGGGAGGTCAAAAAGAGACGCTTTGGCAACCGACATTATGAATCGAGCAACGAGATCGAGGTGAAATATGCAGGACAATCTCCGGGGGTTCTCTCCAAGAGATGTTAGAGGGTAATGCGCATTCCACGTTGAGGCTCTCGGAGGTTCAAAAGAGACGGTCAAAGTATGAAGCAGAAAAGACTTTTCAAGTGATCAAAGAGCCACGATAACTGGAATGCGGAAAGTAAGTCAAAGAAACCCCAAAATGGCTTTGTCTAAAAATTATCACGGACTCTTGAAGGACAAGTCTCATGGCTAACGTTTTATCGACAATTTGCCATCTACTGGTCATTACCCACTGCTCTTTAACAAAGAACTGTCAGCTGGCCTGGTCGCCCTCTGTCAGAGGCGTTTGCACCTCAAGCCCGATGGAGCCCAGTCAAGACGGCGGCCCATCGTTCCACGAAACAGATCAACTCTGGATAACATTGATAGGAGTTCGGCTACTCGTAGTTTATTTTCCCTCTAGGATATTTTGGGCCATACGTATTAATGAATAGAAAGCAACTTGTAAATATATGTATATAGATAAATGTAACAAACAGTTATGTTCTGAATTTGTCCACAATTTCATCGGTTCACTTCCAGATTCAGGCGCAATGAGCTTATTTAGCTAGAACTTGCGCCAAGCACTTGTTTGCTACTCTCTTGAGATATTTATTCTCGCATATGGCACAGGCATGATTGAGCTGGCTTATATCGGTACCCAAGGGGTTGTCTCTTCATATAAGTAGTATCTCAAGGCTATCTCTCCTAAGCCAGCCATCAATTATTCCCGACGTACTTCTCAAACGTCTACTAGACTCCTGCCTAGCTCTCTTTAAGCTCGCCATCCTTGCAATTTACGCTAAAACTCACTGCAACACGCTCTATACAACTATAAAGAACAGCAAAAAGGTCCATAATCCACAATAGAACCTCAAATGCTATGAAAACATTAACCCAAGTGCAGATGTTTGCATCTTGAGTCTTGCCAGCAGCCTGAAAAAATTGATACCACTGATCCAGTTGCGAAATGAGTGCGAGGTGAACTCCTAAAACAATGCCACATTTCAGACTGAAGAGAGCAAAATTCGCATAGAACATGTCCCTTTCTACTTCAACTTCTGAAATTCGTCTGCGCCAGCTGCAGAACTTGGGCCAAAGATACCAACCAAGTCCATTGTAGAGCGCTGTGATGGGGAAAACGGTAAATGCTATTATGGCATTGTATCGATGCACGATTTGGTGCTGACTGTTAAACTGGTGGATAAGTCCCCACAGCCAGATTTCGAAGTAGACATATCCGATGGCGAGGATGATTTTCACAGATAATTTAAGCAAAGCCAGTCTAGATGCAAGTTTTTGTCGACTCGCTCGTTGGTAGATTGCGCCCATAGCTATAGATGTCAAGGCGTTAGATCAGCTGGATTATAATATCGGGTGCAGGGGCAAAGCCCGTTAGAGATAAAGCGGCGGATAGAAACGAATGAGAAAGAGATAACTCAGCCGTAAGATGGGAAGAAATACCTTTGAAGTGGGTTGCTCCATGCTTTCAGAAATAGCCCCTAGAGTGGTTCGGATACAGAAATAGTAACAGGTGTAGAATGCCAAGTGTTGAGTGTTGACGATGAGACTTGGATAAAGAAAAGGAGTAGAAATGAAGTGGTATTTATATTTCCTTCTCTGCACCAAAATTGAGTGATTACAGTCCGGTCCTACAAGCCTAAGCTCCTTTGTTCAAACTCGTTGGTGTATGCCATGGAAATTCTGATCTAAACTTGGAGTATTGCGATGGGAGAACAAAGGACCTGGAACTTTTGCAGCAGGCAGCAGTCGGAGCACAAAGAATGACGGGACTACTTCCACATGTTCATTGGAGGACGTCGATGGTCATCTGATTGCTCATACTCGTATCATATTCTGTAGTTTGGGAAGTAGACACTATTGATATGCTTACACATCGCTGGGGCACCTCTCACCTACAATGATAGATAGGTACTTGATCTATGGCCTGGCGGTAGTTGGAGGATCGTCATAGACGATAGTGTTTTGCATTGTCCTCTCTCATTATCGTTCAGTGGCATCTACATGTGCTCGGTGATACGTGATACGCACTCTTGGGGGCAGCAGGCCGATTGCGGCATTCATCGTTTGGCTTTACCAACAAAGGTTCTATGCATCCAGTTTGATGTTCCTTCACTCGGATAGTTTACTAGATAGGCAGAGCCAAATATCAACTTGTATAACAGTAGCTTATCCAGTACATTAAGCGCCAATAGATCATTCTCAGCAGGCACCCTCCTTGCTATCTCGTCTGCTCATTCTTAACGTCCTTCGCTTCCAAATACGTCTCAATACCCCCCCTTAAGATTGTCTTTCGTTATTCCAAGCGTTTATTTCGACAGTTGTATGCGGCGGGCTTCTGTGGCCTTCTCAAAACCCCTCTCAGTATCCTCTTCTGTCTCTACCTGCCTCATTTCGGATTGCTCTCGGCCAAATTTCTTTCGGGGCATTGAAGACAATACCTTAAATAAGAATTGACAGGTGTTGAGGATTGTGGATAGAAGTAGAAATGCCGTAATAGCAATGCATGCAAAACAAAAGTTCACATTCATAGATTCATCGATGGTTTTGAGGTGCTCAATCCACGCGAAAAATCGACTAATGAGCAAAGTATCAAGGGATATATTTAAAAACCCTGAACTTAGATAGTCCACCTTTTCTGCAGCGGTCTCTTTTGGAGATTTGTTGAGATCAATTCGGAATTGTGAGTTTACTGACAGTCCCAACATGATAGCCTTGCCAAGAAATATAACAATGATGACAATGCAATCGACTTGATCCGCAACTCGATTTAGATGGCGAAAGCCGTTGACAAGGTAGATCATCCAGCCGCTGAGCGCCGCGAGGGCAAGCGCTATGCAAGCGCATAATCCAGTGGCGAGTCGGTCAAGGAGTAGTCTGGTAGGAAGTGATTCACACTCTTCCATTTTGACTGTTGAAAACCGTTGTGAGAGGAATTGTAGCAAAGCACGGGGCCGACACGGTTGAGACGTGTTGACAAGGTTATGGCCAGCAAAGGTAATGCGCAACAGCGAAGCAAGAGACGGCCGTGGCGGGATCTTTCCCTCCCAAAGAGATGTCAAGTAGTGGTGAAGAAGTTCAAAGCCAATCCGCGGCAGGCGTAGAGCGTTGAGTGCTGAAGGGGGGAGCTGGATCGAGAAACGCGTAGAGCGAAGCGGTATTTATGCTTCGTCCTTACCGCTAGGGAAGAGAGTCTCTGAAATTACCGGGTACATTTACGCGCAACCAGTCGGAAGTTCTTTGTTCGAATTTGTGCTCCGGAGCTGGGGTGATTCTGGCCTGGTTTGTCAAAGCTTCTAGGGGCGACGAAGGCAACAAAGAGGACAAAGACAAAGAATGCTATAAATACATCAATTTCATGTGTAACTGTAACAGCACGGTTACATAAACACAACTCGTGACTGTACTAATTCGCGCTTTGATCCTATAATGTAATATAACTGGATGGCCAATCCTAGGCAGCGTTCTCTAGATATGTACATATCTACCCTCCCGAGTCATTGATTGCTAGATGCTGATGGTCATCTGATCGCTCGTACATATGTTACCTCTAGAAGTCCAAAGGCAGCCTGTAGCAAGCGTGGAGCCTTGAGTGCTGAAAGGGGGGGAACTGGATCAAGACACTCGCAGAACGAAGCAGGATTTACGCTTTGTTCTGACCAATATGGAAGAGATCAACCGATCTTTATAATATAAACCTATAAGTCTTATCCTTAGAGACTTCATATTCTATCTAAGATTGTATCTTTTATAGCTATAAAGTTCTCCACCACAAAATCGAAACCTCGGAAAGAAAGCCACAGGAACATATGATAATGATATTCCATTGCTAGACGCAGGTTATAAACTTAAGCAGTAACAGCAGCAGGGATGTTGAGAGTGGTCTTTCCATCGACTGCATCCTTGACAACAGCCCATTGCGCCGGAGAGAAGAAGACCTTGGAGTCATCCTTGACGCTCTGAATAGTGCGAGATCCGTCAACCATATCCTTGACAACGGCCCATTGAGCAGGGCTGAAGAAGACCTAAAATCATTGATACCATTAGTAAATCCTTCGATCCTTGAAGATGCCTAGATGGTGTACATACCTTGCTTTCCTCCTTGACTTCGTTTTGTACCTCAGTTCGGCCTTCAACCATATCCTTCACAACAGACCACTGGGCAGGGGAAAAGTAGACTTTGGAGTCGTCCTTGACACCCTGGATAGTGCGGTTACCATCGACAATATCGCGAACAACGGACCACTGTTGCTCAGAGAATCCGTTCTCATCAACGCCCTCTTGGGCAAAGGCGTCGATGACGTTCTTAGCAGCAGACCACTGGGCGGGAGTGAAGGTAGCCATTGGTATGAGTTGAAGATGCGTGAGAAGTTTTAAGCAGAGTGTGCGTTTGAAGTTGTAGTGAAGTTGAGAATGTTGCTGGATGTGAGACTGGTGTTGGTTGTTGAGATGCTTCTTGAGTTCAAGACATCTGGCTGGCTATTTATGTTTGTCACTCTAGTCCCATGCCCCTTCTTTACATCAAAGACCAAGATAAGAATTGCCTTTATTGGTAGTAGTCTCTTCCTAGGTCTTCGCTTGTTACACAACGGCAGGGAAGGTTGTTGAGGCCGCATGACACTTACTTCAACGCTCGTATCCTAGACCAACTAGCAAGTTTGGGGGGCTGCATGAGAACAAGGTATGGGATTAGAATGATACCTTGCTATCATGTCTTGTATTAGCCAATAGAAACTTGCGTATCTCTCTGGATTTTCTCTGATGGCATAACACCCCCTCTCTAACCTTCAAAGCGGCAACAGCTATTGGAGGCGCAAAAACCACCACTAGTTTTCCCTTCTCGAGTGGTTCTTTGTTTTATCCTCACTTGCTAATAAAGAAGTTTCTACATTTTGTCTATATAACACAAAGGGACATAAGGACTCGGCACATTCGCCTTCAGTTGGCCAGTTTCGAACGGACAAGACTCCGTGCCGGTAGTTCAATTAGTGATCTGACATCTTTTGTCCCACCATCCTGGTGTGGATTGGTGCAGCCTGCTTTCCTATGCAGCAAGGGGCGGAAAGAATATAGAACTGCCGATCACATGCTAAAGACCGGCGGCGTTTTCTTTCCACCGCAGTGCAGTAGACGCAAACAAGGATTTGTTTTAGCTTATGGAGTATAACCCCAGTTATTACGCTTATTGCCCAAGTCTTGTGAGAAGTTGAGTCGGCACGTCGGCACGTCGGCCGTGTGACCGGCGTGCTTGAAGTTAGCGTAGGGCTTCGAGGCAGATGCCAGCAGCGAGCATCTTCGTAAATCGAAACTATTGCGATCAGGGCTTCCAAACGGTCTAGAATAACCTAGTGCCGCCTTTACGTCAGCCCGCTAGGTTAGTTAGCTAACTTATATCATGTTATGCAGTACGTTAGTTAGTAAATGGACAAGCTCTTCTTCTTACATTGCCTTACCACAACCTCGACTTACCTAGGTCGTCAAGGCTGATCTTTATTGATACGAAGACTGATGACATGTTTGTTATTGTGGCAAAGTATGATGAAATCAGATTCCTTCCTATGAATAACTGTATGCAAAGGTACAAGATCGTGCCACAAGCGAAAAGGCCGCTCAGTAGCGCTTACACTGAGGTGTACAAGTAGGAGTTGATGCAACTCATTCTGAGTCGTGCCGATCACTATAATGACCCTGCCAAGCCTACAATGCAAGAGGTCACCTATTGAAGGCGCCAAGGCGGAGATTATATATCTTTCCGAGATTCCATTGCTCGTGCGCTAAAACAGTACGTAGAAGAATAAGTCTCATATGTGTCGCTTGTACTCGTGGATGCTTTAGACGTAGCAACACACCGCCCGAAATAGGGGGGTTTAGCAAAGTCTGTTGCGAAACAAGTTTGCAAAGATACCAAATTGTTAACAAAGAAAATTCAAAGATTCTACCGGAGCACTTTTAATAAGAGAGTGACGCTACCTTAGGGTTAGGTAGTAGTTATCAGGAAAAACTAATTAAAGAGGCGAGTTAATAATATTACTCAACTAAGTTGATGACAATCACAGCAACGAATAAAACACTATCTTACCTTTTCACCGCCGCTTCCACCGCCATCCTTCTAACCGACCTTTGTCCTAGTTGCAGGGACATGTATTTAGTTTGCCACTAGTCTATGTAAGTAAGAAAGCTAAAGATCCTTGTTTAGTAAACTCGAGATAACTACGTTGGCAACATTATCATGCGGTGGAAAGAAAACACCGCCGATCTGCTACTATACTTTGTATGTGATCGGTGGCGTTGTATTCTTTTCACCCCTTGATTGTGTAAAGTCCAGTCCTATTTACCATTACAAGTTATAAAGTCATCATTATTCCTCTTTATAAACCTTCTATATTCGCGAGATTATCTAGCTTCCCAACGTTTTCTTTTCATCTTTTACACACAACTTGAAGAACGGACTCTAGCGCCTATCTGTTGCAATGGCCGAACCATCAGATATTATAACACTTCCACGGCCTTCGGTTACGAAATCTGATCGTAAGATACACATCTCGACCGCCTTTGACGTATTTGTGTCTAACTCAAACATATAGTCAAATATGCCGAGACTTTTGTTGTAGACTTGAGCTTGGACGATGGTAATGAAGGTACCCAAAGTCTAGTTGAAGTTATAAAAAAGTCAGCAACGGATGGCATTTTTCATCTTGTCAATCATGGGATCCCTATGGAATTGGTTAGCTCCATCATCTGTGGCTTGTCGACGTTATTTACTGACTTCCTTTTAGTTGGAGCTGCAGCGAGATGTTGCCTATACTTATTACGAAACGACGTCACTGGAGCAAAAGGACGCAGACACAACCAAAAATGAGAGTGGCTTCTTCGAAGGTTACAAGCTACGAACACCTGAAGAGTAAGTATATAGTAATTCGAGATGTAGGCAACAATAACTGACAATGGTATTAGAAAAGAGGGTGGTTTAGTACCAACGATTGAGGAGTACAACTACGATTATTACGCTACTGGCAAGGTACGACGCCCTCCAATTATGGAGAAGTATGAAGATAAGATTGGCGCAGTATACAAGGTTTGTTTACTTCTCACGAAGCTTCTCATTTCCGATGCTGATAAGTGATATGTAGCTCTACCACGAGTCCCTGATCCCAAAGGTGATGAGGCTTTTGTCCTTGACCTGCGGCAAAGAGCCCGATTACTTCTATAAAATGCACGATTCTAGTCAACCAAATTCTGAAATCGGCCATTATCTACGATATCGTGAGTAGAATGAAGTTGGTGGGCAGTTCGGATGGCGTGTAAACTGACTTCTTTGAACAGACACCAACTGGGAGAGAGACAATGATAAAAAACGGGCTTCTTACGCAGGTCACACAGATATAGGATCTGTAACCTTTCTATATTGCAATCCTATCGCCTGCCTCCAGGTATATAGCGTGGACGGTTGGCGCTATGTCCCATACGTGGAGAACAGCCTTATTGTCAATATCGGGGATTGTCTTGAATCTTTGACAGGAGGCAAATTTCCAGCCGCCCTTCATCGGTGTAAGTATAGCGCCAGATTTGTATGGCGGCACACACCAATCTAACCTTGGCGTTATAGTGGTCAAATTTCAGCCGGATCAGTACGATTATAACAGAATTGCGCTTGTGTATTTTGTTCACCCGCACGACAACATCATCCGCGAGCACCTCAGACTAGAGCAAGAACGCCGAAAGGCTCTAGAGGGGACAAATAAAATGAGCGGCCAGGAAGTCAATAGACTGATCATGGCCCTCTCCGCTGACAACGACGACGAATATGCCAAGATTGTTGACAGCAATACATGGCTTCGATCTAAATCTGGGGAATTAGTGGATGCGCCTGAAGAACTTGTCTTCGATTATGAAGCAAGAACAATTCGGCGAAGAGAAAACGCGGATGACGACTTTGTCAAAATCATCAGCGGAGCTGCCCCTGCCTCGAGCGTATCGGGAGCGAGTGCTGAGAGATTCTCTGAAGAGCAGTGGCGCACTATTAAGGCCATTGCCAGAGTAATAGCCAAAGAGAAAGTGACTTTTACTGATGAGGACTGGAAGAACGCCTTGGAGGCTGTTAACAATGGACTGAACGGAGGTGGTGTACAAGCAGTACAAGGGGTTCGTACACTCAATGACTCCCAAGTTGGCGTTTTGAAACTGGCATTGGGTGATCTTTTGGGTAATAATAGCACTGGCCCAACTGCTATTGCAGCTTAGTCTACTGAAAGCACCTAGTATCCATATACCTCTGACATATAGCGGCATGGGTTCCCTTCACCATTGCATAACCAATAATAAGATGTTATGGAACGTCATTGCATCTGATAAACTGTTCTAAGGAATTATAAGTAGAGGGTTCAGTACGCAGGACCTTTGTCTTCACATAATAAAATGTAACTCTAGATGGTCTGTGACTCTGTGTCGCGGAGTCGGATCAACGGTGTTGGCTTGCCATATTGAAATGAAGCGTCAGATGGCAGGCATAGAGCGGTGATTGTTGAGAACGATGACAAGTATCTATATATCGTCGTTGTTATAAACGAACCCAACGTTATCGGATTTGTTTACGCGGCGCTTAGTTGCAAGACAAAAAGCCTCTGTTGGCAGTCATCGGTGTAGGCTGAAGGTTTCTGTGGCTTCGAAGGAGATGGAATCAGTGCGACATCGAGGAGAGTCTTTGCTCAAAATTTCCTTTGATAGAAGAGGGTGTTAGCCTCACTTTGACGAGAACATAGGTGATCAAATGAGAGCAGGATGGCTTCACGGTCAGGACATGCCGCAAGCTTCCAGGCCTAGCGAGACTCGTAACGGAGCATCAGTTTCCCGGTATTATTTTATATCAACATATATTACATCTTAATACCCTGTATCCTTCTCGGTTGGCACTTTTGCTGTTTCTCTCTCTCTGCCCCTCTTGATCATTCTCCCCTACCGTAGAAGTCTCAACACCTTCTGATTCTCAACATCCCACTTTGCATCTTTATTGGACCGTGTCTTTCAGATCTCTTGAGCTATGGCCCGTCATCTCCCGTTTGGTTAATGCTACAGAAGTCCGAAACCCTCGTTCAAGGCTTTTCTAAGTTTGTTTGCAGTAGTTTCAAGGCAGAACGAAGGGATACATATGTTCCATACGTAAGGTTTAATTCTCTGCCACTTTAGGAACATGTACCTAATAGACAGCTTATCCCACACAGTCAAATATCGAAAAGTAAACCGCAATTTGGATCAATTCATCTAGCGAAAATATATCAATCTTAGTAGATGTCTTTGTATCTCTTAGAAGTATGCCCCCCTCTCTCCTGTAAAATTCTCCTCGATTCTCCTGGGGCCTTCTCAGTCATCTTCAAGCAATTTCCGCGGGCATCGCATTCCGTCTCATATTAATACACATAAAGATGAATCTCAATATGCAAGCGATAAGAAAGCAAACTCCCACGACAACAATGCATGCAATGCAGAAGCCAACATTTACACGATCATCTTTGGCCCTGAAACGTTCCAGCCACGCACAAAATCGAATAATGAGGAAAATATTAAGGAAGAATCTCCCGGAGAACATATATGGTTCTCCCTGTCGGGTTTCATCGCTCCTTTGCGGTATGGGTCGCTTGATGAGTGTAGAAACTAATGGGGGTCCAATTCCGCTACATAGGTAGGTAGCTGAAGATAAAAATAAGAGGACGGTAAACATGGCGTCCATCAGACCTGTGGGTCCATTTGAATAGCCACGGTGGACCATAATGTAGACCGTGAAGCCGGTAAGAGGAAGGAATACGACCATCGAGATGCCGCGCAATATCTGGTGTTTCTTGTCCGAGGAAGCGTGTATTTCCATTATTCTTAACCGCCCAAAGGACGTCGCCGTATCAACGAATGAAGAGACAACTGTGGCGGCTCTCTTGTTGCTGGCAAAGGAATACCGCGTAGTAGTACCGAAGTAATAGAGGAAAGAGGAGAGCAGTAACTGTTGTAAAGTTTTGACTGTTGATGGGATTTAGAGATGGGTGCATGCAGAAGGCCACATATATATAGTCGTTACGGTCGACAAAGAACTTATTTAACCCTCTTGAGCACGTTGACGCGCTGTGAGTTGGGGAAACCTTTATTCGGATCCTCTTTGTGAGTTGGGATGATGCCGATCCATGCTTGTTTGCGGTGGTTTTCAGGGGAGAAGAAAGGTATTACCCAAGAAGAGATTGGTACAACTTTAAGAGATTCAAACTTGATGGATGGATGACCGTGATTGGTATTTATTATTATAATATCACGGGCCCGAGTCTCAAAGTGCAATGTAACCAATGTCCAATTGTCCCCTTCGTTCTTTGCCTATTCTCCTGGGCCGTAGATCCTTGTACGCTGTAGGGAAGCATTATGGTACAATTCCAATGGTAAATGAGGGCTCACCGTTTATTCATGCCAAATGCCGCGAGTCTGGCTCTTGAGACAGTCAAGTAATCAAACATGTAAGGTCACAAACACAACACGCCCAATGCTTTAGAGCAATGTAACATTTCTACGGTCACTTGGGTACCTGATAGCTCACAGTGAGGAACCTACATGAATATTGCCATCAGTAGCCAGTACCTATGCGGATCAATTCATGATACCAATGCATACTCATACTTCTCAGCTTGCCTGCTCACTGTGCCTCTTCATCCCTCTCGATCCTTTCCGCCCTCCCCGTCATCTCCCCCCTCTCCGCCCTATCCTCCCTCTCGATCCTCTCCGCCCCATTCAAGCTTCCCACGCCCTGTTGAGCTCCCAATCTCTGTATATTGATCGTCACGGTGTCTCGTTCCTTGTCTTCCTCGGCCCATTTCTTACGGATTTCTCGAGCTTGCCCAACCCACGATTGCCTGTCTGACCAGCAGAACAAAGTATGCTCCAACAATCCCCATGCCAGAACGGAAATACATGCAATGCAATATGCGACGTTTTCCTTTTCTTCACGGATCCTAAAGTGCGATAGCCAAGTAGCAAAACGAATCAAGAAAACGATTCGAACGGCTATGCTGGCAAAGAGGTCAAGTTTTAGTTTTAGAGGCCCGAGTCTTACGCTTACCCCCGCTAAGAGCGTATACATCCGGGGAAAGACGGTGGCGAAAAAACAACAGCAATAGACAATGGCCCAGAACAAAAAGAAGGCAAATGCTGCTTTGCCGTATCTTGTATCTCCGCCTCGATGCCGGTGATCAAACTCCTGAAATTGATTACACAGCCATATATCGAGGACGATGTATCCAGCCGTAAATGATGCAAAGTAAAAAACTATGAGTGCGTAGCGTATAACATCTTTGGATCGCATCTTTGCTAGACGGTTCGTAACGCGGCGTCTGAGATGGGGTGTCGCGTTGCAGTGTTGGACTGAAGCGTCAGGTGGAGATGCAAACAAAGTGCATAGATTGGGCGAGAATAAATGAGCTGGACAACCGCAAAGAAAGGGACAGCAGTTGTGTCGAAAGCGCGTTTCCCGCTACTGGTCGGACAATAGCAAGAGATTAGGAGTAGACGAGCAAGTAGAGATAGAGTGGTGATTGTTAAAGAGAAGAGTTGGGTGAAAGCAGTAGAAGGGCGAAGATCTCATGGGAGGTATTTATACTCGCCATTGCCACCAGCAAACGCACGCACCCCGTGTTGTTAAGTTCTTTTCTCACTGTTTGCGGGATCTGAGTGTTTGTCTAAACGACCATTCTTGATTAAAGCTCATTGTAGCTTCAAACAAGACAAAATTGGTACGACCCAGGAGAACGCTTTGTTCAAGCATGTCTTTGTCCATCGGGGATGCCGGCCTCGGTCTGACACTGAAGCTTCAAGGGAGAACAAAGGCGTTTTATTGAGAACAGAAGAGATTCCAACCGGGGTCAAGCATGTAAGGCTTTGACGCCGTGTTTGTTCCACAATACCTAGGCAACTTCATACAAAGAACCGTATATTTTTCAGGCAGCCATCGGGATTATGTATTTCAGGCAAATACTGATTAGGACGCAAGTCATCCGACCAATACACCAGTGACTGAGTGTGATTCAAGTGTCAGAATGAGACGCGATAGAAACTGTTTTATTTAGCATCTTAGTAGTAAATAAGGGCATCTGGCTCTTCAAATTACCTACTACTATCACTACTTTCAGCTGCTGTCAACATTTTCTTCCAGTATCTACTAGTACTGCTACATTTTTTAGTATCTGCTACTGTATTTACATTCCTCTAGTTGCTAGTAGCATCACCCATAACTAACTTATGTAGTTTTATATTTAGGAGATGAATGGGATACGAAATAGTAGACTTGTAGTACCAGCTAGTTTTTCCCTATATTTAATTCTCGCGTGTATTTCTCCGCAAATGTCCTTGTCGATCATACGAACATAGCTTTCCACTCTAGATCCTCATTGCTCATTCCGGCGACCATCTCAACAGGCTCCTCTGTTCTCTCCAATGTCCGTTTGGCCACTCTCACGGGCCGCCCGCGCTTTACGTTTGCTGACACGTGGGTTGAAATAGTGCCGAGACCATAGATCTAAGAAGCAAAAGACCACCCATGAAAGATGAATTGCGGAGAGAACAGTGCCTAAAAGGCAGAATTCGGCACTCCGAGAATCGCCAGTGGCCTTGAATTCTTTATGCCACTTCGAAAACGGATATACCAATAAAGGATCGAAAACCAGCATAAAGATACCACCTGGCCAAAAGAATCCATAAGGTTTGTACAAGTTCCTGACAAACAATGCTACATGGTAGCCAATCTCTAGGATGAGTGCGGTCACGGCGAAGAGGGCAAAGGTGTTATCTTGGGGTCGATTCTGAATGCTGAACTCGGTTGATTCAGGAAATACCCAGCAACAGACGGCTACGAACCCAATTGCAAAGGCAGCGTGTAGTATAGTCGAGATTATATTTCCACATTCGCGGGAGCTGCGTGTGGATTCATGAATGCAACACTCGTGATGCGACATGGTTGGAAGCGTAAGCGCGGCTTTGGTGGGTAAAGTAGCGGTAAATGGTGATTGAAGAGATGTATGACGGTGAGAGGGCAAAGATCCAGGGGAGCGTTATTTATATGTCACTGTTGCTCTCAAAGAAGCATATGTCCGACGCCATTAATGAGGTTACACCACAAAGTCAAAAGTCTTTGTTGAAATCTGCCTTTGTTGATTTATGCTAGCCGTAGCTTCAAAGAAGAAATGACCGATACGTCCTGGGAAAACCTTTGTTCAAACTTGCCTTTGTTAACGGGATGATTCCGACTTTGATTGGCTGAGGTTGTTGCTTTCAAGGACAATGGAAGCGGTTGACTGAGGATAGAAGATGTTGGTATAATCCCAGAAGTTGTTTGCTTAGACACCCTGTACTTGGTTGAGATATGAGTAGAGTTCATGCATCAATTGCTAGGCAAGTTATGATGGAATTAATGTATTTGACACCCAGTGGAACTGTTACCGTCACTTATATATTAGTACCTAGTTTCATGCTGGGAGACGGTTATCAATTTTCAATCAGCGACCCAAATCATCTTGCCCCAAGGCTGGTAGCTGTGCTTCTTACTACATGTACCCACATCACCCATATCTAGTAGCTTGTAGATGAACCTTTCAGTACATCCCAATCTCCCTCTCAGACTCCTTGTGAATCTGTCTGGTCCAGTACAGTTGAGTTCTTCTCTCTGGGAACGAATATCCTGCCCCACCAGCGCTTTCCACACCACTCCATGAAATTCCCAAACCACTCCGTTTTATCAATCCTAGAATGATGCTTAAAACTGCCGGGGAACTCATCCCATGTCCCTTCCTTCTTGCGGGAGCACACATCAACCACCAGTGCGCATATCCTGATGGTGTGGAAGACGATCAACACGAAGAGTCCAATACCCGTTAGTGCAACCTCAAGTGACAAAACATACTTCAATGCGGTACAAGTCTCCTGTTTTGGAGATTCTCCCAGGGCCTTGAAGTAAGGAAGCCATTTGACCAAACGTGCCAACAGCAGACTGTCAGCAGCCAAAAAGCCAGAAAGTGTGATGAGAGCAACAGCAGGGGGTATAACGTCACGACAGCTCCGGTCCCAGTCCTCCTTCTTGTTGGATTTTGCCTGTCGTACTAAGCAAAGAGAGGCGCACCCAGGAAGCCACAAGACCAGGTTTGTAATGATGGATTCAAGAATATGGAACCATATAAAGCTGGTAAGCTTGAGGATGCAAACCACAAAGCCAAGGAGGCCGAATTCTTCACCTGCGACTTGATGCTGGGTCCTAAAGTTGCGGAACACTGCCCAAAACCAGACGGCGAAGTATATGGTCGCCCCAACCCAGGCCAGAAGGACGATTATCGGGATCGCCGCTAGAAATAGGCCCAATAATTTGGCGCACTTGGTCTTTTTCCCCATTGAGAAGTTTAGAATGTGGTGTTTGATCGGGAGGTCTGGTCGAGGCGCGGAGCTTTTTTGACTGGCGAAAGAGTAGACAACTGTAGAGATTGGAGATTCCTGAAGCAATGGCAGAAAGATGAGAGAAAGCAGTTATGGCGAAAGAGACTTGTCTGAATGGCAGATGGAGCGGTGCCGGTATGTAGTGAGGATTGGCGAAGCGATACTGAGTGCAGAGTGTTGGGTGTTGAGTGTTGAAGAGAGGAGTTGGAGGAAACATTGTAAAAGGACGAGATTCGGTAGAGGATTTTATACATTGTTGCCGTCAAAGAATCATTCACCCGACGTTGTTCAGCGTGCCTGCGGATACCCTACAAAAGGGAACTTCTTTGTTCAATGCTGCCTTTGTCCACCTGGGTGATTCTGGTGAAACACGTTTGCTATGGCTTCAATGGGTACTCACGGCCAGTGAGCGATTGAAGAGCGTTTGGGCCTATACAATAAGACGGCGGGTAGGTGCGGGAAAATGAATCGTCGGATTGTTTGCGTTGCATCAAGACAGTCAAGGGGAACATGATGGTTCTTTGTTCTTCGTTCGTTTGTACATGTAGTTGAACCCATCCACATCCAATCATCCCCAGCTGTATGCTGGACTGGGATATCAGGGCCATCCGTTATCCCGGTTCCTTTTATTTAGTAATACTAGGTGGTATTCAAACTGGATTGTTATTGAAAGGTGGAAAGCTTTGTCTTTGCAACAAGCAACACGAGTGATGCATCGTTTCGCCTTGTAGTCTCTACAAGCGGTTGCGGACTGGTGACACACGGAGCATGTAGGAATCAATGACCACTCTCTTTCACTTGCCAAACGCCTTATTGTGAGAATATTCACATGTATCATACAGATCTTTTTGGTGGGCGTAGTTAAGTTCTAGATACATGTAGTTGGAGTTGGAGTTGATCGATTGAAGTCACTATGGCGAGTGTCTTCGGCTTGCTCTTACAAACATGAACACCTCTACAAACAGACATGGCGATGCCCTTGAATTGGCTACATCGCAATTCAGTTTAATTGGTGAGAATATAATAAATAAAAATCGACATCATTGATGCAAGGAGAGCGTGAGTGTCGCAACGATGAACCACACCCAACCAATCCTTCATCATATTAAAGAAGATGCAAGCCCTGATTCGTTAGGTAGAGGCTGCAGGCTTCATGGTGTGGCGGTGCTGCATGCCTGACAATGGCGGTGCAAACTCGCCCTCACGCTCAGCCCAACGGATGGATCCTGCATTCCTTCTCCTGATTGATCGACTCCAGACTGCATCTCTACTCCGTACAGCTGCATCTTAGCAGCTTAACAGCACATGGGCAATCATCACCCTATGCCGTGATAACTCACAAACTCAACAGCCCCGGCGTGACCACCGGAATCCACCGCCCAGCCACCTCGTGCACCTGCTGTGGAACCACGACACACGACACACACGATGGCCAACAGAACGACAAGGTTCCGCTCAGGCCGCATCCCCCTAGGCGCAGGTGAAGGTTTTTGGACGGCGCTTGCCAGGGGGGTTCGTCGCTAGGGACTGACGCTGGACACGGTTGCGATGAATCAGTGCAGAACACGGGGGCGGACGGACTGACGGGACCCCTGGTAGCTTGAATGCGTTGATGCCCTGGGGCGAGCAAGGACGGCAAAGACTGGGAAAAAACCTTGACGAAACCGAACCGACGTGGCCCTGCTGATGCTGGTGCTGATGCCGGTTCTGGTGCTGGTTCTGCAGAGCTCGACTAACTACTAGCAGCTGATGTCTTGTCCTCGTATTTAACAGACACACAGACCTCTCTTCTCTTTTCCTTCTCGACGACAAGAGACGCAGATACAGGCTCCCTTCCAGTCTCTCCATCTCCAGACTCCCCAGACTCTCCAGACTCCCTCCAACTCTTCTACGATATGCCTGCCTTCACCGGCACCACCCCCGAGTCCATGCTCGGGCGCAACGACTCCCTCAACCCCGAAGCCACCTGCAAAGGCTTCACCTCCAACGGCCGTCCATGCCGCCGCCCCGTCAGTCCAGCAGGCAACCCGCCGCGCAAGAACGGCAAGAAACTGGCGCCCAGCAAGGACGACGACGGCGAGGACTCGTACTGCTGGCAGCACAAGGACCAGGCCGGCCGCTCGCGCAAGTCCAGTTCGGCCCCGCGCCCGTCCCCCTACGCCGGCGGCATCGCCGAGGAGCGCTCCAGCCTGGATACCCTCGCCGACAGGCTGGGGCTGGTGGACTTGAACGCCGCTCGACCTGGCCGCTACGACCCCGAGAAGCGCCATGATAATAACGAGAGGCCCAGGCCAAAGTCGAGCACCTTTTGTTTCTGCTTCACCGTGCCCGAGGAGGACTTTGATGAGCCTCCCCGGCCTGCCCAGCCAAGGCCGCAGCCTCAGCCTGTTCAACATGCTCGACCGTCTACCTCGTCAGCCCGTCCGCAGGGTCACTCTCGCCCTACCACCTCTTCGGCTCCCACGGCAGGCCACCTCAAATCTCTCATCCCCGACGCTCTCGACGCCCACACAACCACGACCCTCATGGCCGAAGTCGCCAAGCCGCCCTCTGACGCCGACGAGCCCGGCTACATCTACATGTTCTGGCTGACCCCCGAATCGGCCGCCGAACCAGCCCCTGTCGATGCCGCAAGAAGTCTCCTCCAGCCTCCCCCTCACAACGGCGGCAGCCGCAGCAGAAGCCCCAGCGACGTTGTTACTTCGTTCCAAAACAAGAACAGCAGGGACCCGAAGCCAAAGACGATGCTTCTCAAAATCGGCCGCGCCGCCAACGTCCAGCGCCGCATGGCCCAATGGTCTCGCCAGTGCGGCCACGACATCACCCTGCTCCGCTTCTACCCTTACATTTCCTCATCCGCCCCCTCGTCCTACGACGCTTCTTCCGCCTCGTACGCCAGGGGAAGAGCCCCTTCACCAGCTTCTGCGGCCTCTCCCCACCCCACGCCTCACGTCAAAAAGGTGGAGCGCCTCATTCACCTCGAGCTCGGCGGAATGGGTCTTCGCGCCGACCTCGGCGCCTGCGAAGCCTGTGGACGAGAGCACAAGGAGTGGTTCGAAGTCGACGCTACGCGGGACGGCGTCAGGATGGTCGACGACATTATTCGACGGTGGGTGGGCTGGGATGACGGCGGTCTTGTAGGCGGACGATGATTGATGAGGGATGCGATTGGGTTTACGAGTGAAGGGATATGTTTATATGCGCATTGGCATGTTTCGTGATGGTTTTGAAGCATGATGTTTATATGGCATGGAACGGCGTTTATGACTCCTAGAATAGAATACAGACAGACAGATAGTATACCGCTTAGAAATGAATTGAGCGCTTGAAGCATTTATATAAATGATCGAGTACACTGCAAAAGTGAATCGGTACGTCTTTATTGCACGAGCATCAAATCTCGACTCCATATTGGCAAAGAATAGCCCTCGAGGCAAAGTAAAGCATACTTGTTCGTTGAAGACTCACCAGTACTAAACTGGGATAACAAGCGCCAAGTACTTTCTCAACAAAAGTATCAATACTTATAACTAATTTTAATCCACATACATCACTCATCGCAGTTCATATACACGCCCCTCATGGCGGACATCCCATACAAACAATACCAACAATCCATCTCACGATCCAGCACAGCACGTTAACACGTTTCCATCCATTCCCCTTAGTATCAAGCCCATAATTCAGAGTTCTAATACGGATCGGAGCAATATAGTTTGGACCTTGTGTATTCAACCCCCGGTTTCAGTTCGATGAGCAAGATTTTAGACATTCGACCCAAACTATCCGAAGCCACAGGATAGGTCATATGACGGTCAAAAAACAAGGCGATTTGAAAATCATAAAAGCTTGAATAATAAACTCAATAAAGGGCTACTAAAGCAAACTTCAAGCCCAAGAATACTCTACATGGATACGTATCGATGCCTTAGTACCTACAAGGTGAGTATACTGGTATTGGATGCTTGTCAACTGGGATTGCCGAGTTGATATGTACACTTTGAACTATCACTTAAGAAAACCAGACGCACTCAATCCAGCTTAATCACTATACTCTAGAGCAAACCTACTTCACCATCACCTCAGCGTCTATACGAATTGCTTGCACCAAGATGAAAAGAATCAATAAAAGACCCAGGTAAATGCAACATGTGTGGTATTGGTATAGTACGACTATTAAACATTGCATCATAAGCTTCCTTTCGGCACAAAGCCACACCTCCACCAGGGTATCAACTAAAGCCCACACAAGATTATCATCGTCAAGATGTTTATTAAATCCCCCATTTACTGGGTAGTCTCCTCCTCGTGAGTGTGGATCGGAGGCTTCTCGGTGTCGTGGGCAATCTTGGCCTCGACGTCGCCGCGCTCGGCACGGACAGTGAGGTTGGTTGCGACCTTGGTCTTCCAAGCGGGAGTTCCCAGGTAGGGAATGCCGTTGGGGTCCTCAAACATGGCCTCGGTCTCTTCCAGCGTCTTTCCGGCAGTCTCGGGGAAGACGAAGAAGACGTGGAAGAAGGCAACGGTGTTGAAGACGGCGAAGATGAGGTACGACTTCCATCTGATGTTGGCAAAGGCCACGGGGGTAAAGAGACCCAGAGCGGTGTTGAAGGCCCAGTTTCCAGACGTGGCCATGGCGACACCCTTGCCTCGGAGACGGAGAGGGAACAGCTCCGGGGGGTAAGTCCAGGAGACGGGACCCCAGGTGGGTGCAAAGGAAGCCACAAAGAGATAGGTGCAGGCGATGAGACCCTTGGCGGGAGCACCGGTGACACGCATCGACTGGGCAGCAACGTGGTCGATACCGCCGGGAACGACTTCACCGTAGGTGGCGAGAATACCGGCGTTGGCGTACATCCACAGGGCCATGAGAACGGAACCAACGAGGAGCGTGGGGCGGCGACCCCATTTGTCGACCCAGAGCAGGGCAGGAATGGTCATGAGAACGTTGATGATGTACTGGATGGACGAGGCGAGCAGGTTGGCATTGCCGCTGTAACCAGCCATGGAGAAGATGTTGGCAATGTAGTACACTGTGAGGAATATCAATTAGTCCAATTGCACTCTACAGCAGCATTGTAAGAGATACTTACTCATGACGTTCATGCCAGTCAGCTGCGACCAGATCTGAGTAAAGAGACCAATAAAGGTACGGTTGAGCATGCGAGGCTTGAACAGGTCGAGGTAGGTGACATCGGAGTGCTGGCGCTCAAACTCGCACATGTCCTTGATGTCCTGCAGCTCGTAGGCGACAAAGGGGTGGTTAGGGTCACCCTTGCCGTGGACCAGAGTGAGGACGGCGCGGCAGTCCTCCCAGCGGTCCTTGCGGGCGAGCCAACGAGGAGACTCGGGAAGAAGCATCATCATGAAGAAGAGGAAGAAGGCGGGGACCATCTGGAGACCCCATGGGATACGCCAGGCGGCCGTGTTGTAGCTGACGGGGTTGTCATCGCCAATGAAGGAGCAGCCATAGGAGATGTAGTACATGATGAGAATGCCCCAGGTGATGGCCCATTGCTGCATACCAATGAAGCGACCACGCTTGGAGGGAGGAGAGATTTCGGCAATGTAGACGGGGACCTGAGCAGATTCGATACCGACGGAGAGGCCGTTGATGATACGGGCGACAATGAGCATACCAATGTTTTGGGAGGCACAGGAGAGAGTGGAACCAATGACCCTGGGGGTGACGGTGGTTAGCAGGTGAAACATTTTGTCCCTTTTTTCTTCTTTGTTCTTTGCTCACCAGATGATACATCCGACCATGATGGAGTACTTGCGGCCCAGTCGATCAGACAGAGGACCCGAGATCAGAGCTCCCAGCCAGGAGCCGGCAGCCATGGAGGCGGTGATGCCGCCCTGGACGAGAGACCGCGGACCACCACATTTGCCGTCGGCCGTGGTTGGCGGGTTCTCATCCTGGTTGAAGTAGCAGAGATACGACTGCTCGGCCAGCTGGGCCGACACAGACGAGATGTCGAAGCCGAAGAGCGCGCCGCCGACGACGGACACGCCGGCAATCACGTAGATGTTGCCGATAGCCATGGCTCTCACTCTTGGTGCGTTGTGTAGAGGACCTTGACCATGAAATCGTGGGTGACAGAGCAAAGAAGAAGAAGAGGAGGAGAGGGGGGAAGAGGATGAGAGATGGAAGGGGGAGGGCCTATATATACTCGCGGTCCGTTACGCCGGAATTGTGCGAGCAGCTGCCAGTGAATGCTGCGGGCAGCTGTCCGAGCCTGTCTGCGGCAGTTTCCCAGATTTTGCCAGGCATGTGGCCCGTGGTCCGTGGGCAGATACAACGAGACAGACGATCCATTGAATCAAATGCTTTTTTTTCTCTCAGACCCCGGTCTCGCCTCTTTTTTAGTGTGCTGGGAAGCTTTCCTGGGATTCTCCATCCATGAGGAGAGTTGCTCGGGGCAAGCCACGGGGCTCCAGGATCGCCAGGATCCGGGGTATCGAGTACATGGCACGCCCATGGGTGGGTTCTCGCGGGAGGAGTACTAGGTAGCATCGCCGTAGCATCGCCGTAGCATCGCCGTAGCATCGCTGTAGCAGGTACTGACGCTTCCGGGACGTGCAGAGGCGCATGTACAAGCACAAGCAGCAAGCAGGAAGCGCGTGTAAGTCGCATGCGGGATGAGGAGACAAGACGGCTGGAGTTGGTGCATGTACGTACGAGTACATGGTCCGATGTACCGCTCCGAGTACTGCCCCATCCGGCACTTTGTACCTTGGACGCCGACACCCCTGACCCCCAAGAGTCCCGTCTGTTCTGCTCCCCCACCACCCCTCCGAGGTTGGTTTGTCTGTATCTCCAGGTCCAGGGATCGGAGCTGGGGAAAGCGGAAATGGCGTTGGATGTTGGGATTGGATTGGAGTAGGTAGTATTTTGTGGGTTGGAGAGGAGGGGGGCGGTCGATGCAAAAGTCCAGAAGCAGCGGCGTGTGCAGCATACATGCAGTATACAGTACGAGAATGAGGATGAGACTTGGACTGGATGGTGGTGATTGGAAAGAAAAGAGAAGAGAAACAAAAGAAAATACACGTAAATGGCGGATGAGCTTGTAATCGAAGCCACTCGAGGCGATGGGTACCTTGCCTGGCTGGGTGTCTGTACTCGTGCTACTCCCAGGTACACGACACGACTGACTCAATTGATGCATACAAGGTTCGCTTCTTCGTGTTACGTACAACAACAGCAGCTTCTGTCTCTCGACTAGCAGAAAAGCATCAAAGCAGCTCCGCCAAACGTGGTGCGATGGGTTATAGTAGGCTAGTAGTACCAACGATACACGCTCGTCAGCTCGCACAAAGTGGTCCTGTTAGTCCTTGTCCCGGTAACACCACCCGCCGTCACACGGCCGAATCTTGCCATTTGCTTCCTTGGGCGCATGTTTCTCGAGTTTCTTACACGTAAATGCCAAAAAAAAAAAAAAAAAAATACAATCCATACGGCACCCCGGTCCATCATGCCGCTTCCAAGGCACACACAAGCTTTCCTTGCCAATGGCTCATCCTTTGCCTGTGCTAGCCGGGCCCCGAGTTAAGCCCCATGCTCGAGGATCGCCGGCTGGTCTGTTGGACTTGCAGCCTCTTGTCCTTGTTCGTCCTCCCGAGTCATCTGGGGGGGTGTTGCATGTCGCCGAGAGTCTGGCCGCCGGAGGGGGGTGAGGTTGGTTGGTTGGGAGTCGTCTAGATGGCCACTAGAAGCTGGCAAGAGATGGCGATGCAGCGAGTATAGGTTGCCAAGGCTGCCTCCTCTTGGCCACGGCCTGCATTTGCTGTCGGCAGCAAGTTGCCGATTGCCTCCAGGGCGCATCTGGCATAGCATTGGCATACTGTATATTGTGGTGTGCGAGGCGTGGCATGGCACCAGGACTTTGTCGCGGTGCTGCTCATTGTTTTGGGGGCGCTTTTGACTCACCCACTCACTCATCCCTTGCTTGCCCTGTCCTCTGGTCTCGATGCACGACGGGCCCAATCACATTCCATCCTCCTAGTACTCGTGCTTACCGCTACTACAGAGCATGTGCGAGCATGTGCGAGTACTCTACGGGTTGTATCGTACTAGACTATCCCGAGCTGCGTCTGGCATACGAGTACCTAAGGTATACATCAAACGACACACACGCCCACAGTCACATTGAAAGCAGCCCGGCCTCGTATGTCGAAAGATGGAGGTTCATGCTAGCGGAGGCGCCCTTGTCCGCTTCGGCGCTAGCTCCCGACTCCCAGTGGCTCGCCGGCCAGGGCTTTTAGGTCTTTTTGGGTCTTTTTAGGTCCTTTCAGGCCTCGGCGCCACTGAAGAGGCGCCCCTGTGGCTCTCTCCACTTCCCCGGCTTTGGCCAAATGACGTCGCCTGGTCGAAATTATCCTCCGCCGGCTTTGGCACGGCAATGCACAAGGAGAGCGGCAGTCGTTCGGTATTGCTAGAGCGATGAATCTGGCTGGTCTGGCTGCTTGCGTATCTTGCAGTATTCAGCAATAAGTAATATTTGTGCTGTGCTGTTTACTAGGTATACAGTACTCTAGGTAGTCCAGGTAGCTGGTAAAGTTACTTGTAGGGCCACTTTCATGGGTGGCTGGTGAAACCCCAGAAGAAAAAAAACAGGAACCCGCCAACTGCATCCATTGTAGGTAGTACTTAGATTCGGATTTACTCGTCACAATAACTCAAACCTCCAGGCAGCCCCGCAGCAAATACGGCGAACCTGGCACTCTGGCTGTCCATCACCGACTCAGAGCGGCAGTGATCGGCTTTTGCGGTTGCAGGATACGCTCTGCCCACGGTGTTTGTTCCGAAATCCTCACACGGTATCGCGCGAAAAGCTGCATCCGCACATGACCAGATCGCATCTTGTCTCTTGTCTCGCCCTCGCCAGGCCTCGTTTGCCAGTCACAGTCACTCGGCCGGACATGGACCGAGTGCCCACTTCTCCTGATCCTGTGTGTACGAGCACAACGTCCAGGTTGCTGGTGCTGGACAGTACTGTATAGCCTCACTCTCACTCTCGCCCGCTGCTCGTCACACCACCAGCCCATGTAGCTCCGTCGTTGGCTGATTCGAGGCCGCTCTGCTCCTCCGCTCCGCATGGCTCCAGCCTGCCGATCCGCTCCCGGCGTCTTGTCTCGTTTTGCTTTCTCACGAGTACCTTCGTCTTTGTGATGATTCACGCCAGTCATCGGGGGAACAGAGCATCTCTCCAGTCCCTGCTTCCCCTCGACTCCAACTCAGCTCCTCGACTCCACTGCGATGGTCCGATGCAACGCAAGATTGTACGGTATGGGTAAGCAGCAACCCCGTCAATCTGAGGGATGGAGACCTCGCACATGGCACGGATCCTTCACATACAGTTCGTTCGACACGGTGCCAGCAGCGGCCCAAGCTCTCCATCTTCCCCAAGTCTACTCTAGCAATCTAGGCATGCATGTCCTTCTGCGTTGCTGAGTCGCTCCATCGTCGATTGTCGACAGCCAACGCCAACAACGACAAGTGCTTCTCTGCACGTCGTCTTGGACCCCCAATCCATCACCTGATATGGCCCAAGCAACCAACCTCGATCCAATCCAATGCTTGCCTCCGCGCTTCGGACTTTATGACGTCGTCCTAACGCCTGTCAAGACGTTGGAGTCGAATCCTAAGAATGTCACCAGCCGACGGCTCTCAACTGAATCCCTCGCGCCTCACCTCGCCTAAATGCCTCCATCTGCACGGGCATCAGCAAGTTTCCGATCAGCCAATGGGACCCCTCGCAGCTCTATTGTTTCTCTATAGAGTTATACCTCCGCGGGCTTTAATCCTCTGAGAGCTGCACACGCCCCTAGCGAGCCGTACCAGGGCCCTGCCGTCCTGAATTCATGCACGGTGCTTGTACGCTCGAAATGGCCGTCGGTTTACCCATGTGGGCGACAGCCGCCGCGGCCCAATCCTGATTATTCTTGCTGAAATGATCATCAAACAGCAGCGGCTTTTTTAGCTCCAAGGCTTTCCACGGACACGAGAGCAAGCCTAACCGCATCCTCATCCTGGCTCCCCGGCCCATTTCCATTGGAGCGGATCACAATTCCACGGAGCTTCTCCACTGCTGCTGTTGTCTCTTTTTTCCCCTTCTCGTCTTCTGTGAGTGAGTATGGTTTTCCGAGGCTGTTTCCGTCTGTCTTTCCGCACGAGGCTGACAGCATGTAACTGTGGAAATGGTGCAGTAACAATTGTTTACTCAGCATCAGACAGACGGAAAACCAAAGGAAAACTCATTTCCTCACAGAAAACATCGACTTTGGTGTATCAATGCGTGCTTTGCTTAGCCATTGGTGCTTCACATCGGCGGCTTGAGCTCGACTTGAGAAATGCAAAAGGTTTGTACCGTACAACGTTGTATCGCGCCCTTGAGCTTGCATCCGAGCCTTAAAACCGCGTGGCCAAATCAGCCCGTGATTAGAAACATGGCCAATGGTGGCCACCTTGTGACCCTTCCTTTCATGCCGTCTCCGCTCATCAAGAAGCCATGGAGCGTTGGCTTGGGCATACTGTACATGTGTTTTGGTATCGTACCATGGGACCGAAGGGATGCCTGCGCTAGACGGAACCAACAAGATTTCTTTACATCAACACCCATCTCCAATACTGTACACAGTACTCCGTATTCGTTGCGGCAACAGATCTTGCAGCACGGACATCTCGTTTCCCCGCCCGCCGTTACCTCGAGGATCTCAGCAATACAGTTACCAGATCTTGTCGGATCGCCAATCCCAAATTCAGTCTCCCATCCCGTCATTTTCGATGCCCAAGAAAGAAACAATGGCTGCAACGCGGGTAATTTCGTCTCGGAGGTATAAGGCGCCACACCAAGCCACCAGTCCCGTCGATATCCTGATTGGGAACCTTTGCGAGCGGCAACCCACGGCACCAACGTTGGCTGACCCGGTCGGATCGAGTAGCGCAGGCGATGCCCTACAGTAGCTTGGGCTGCAGTCAACCGTCCATTCATACCGCCAGAGTGACGCCGCAAGCACGATACGAAAAGCCGCTGATCTTCGGCACGGCGCTTCCATGGCCGGCACCGGGTTCTGAAGCTCGACTGCTCGGTGTTTTGATCGTGCCTACAAGTACGTAAAGAGGAGATCCTGCTCTCGGTGAATAACGCCACAGGCTCCACGGCCAAGTCGGCTGGACGGCGAAGGATTGACACCACAATCGGCCCTGCCCTGTCCCGACTAACACCATGAATGCTCCCAGCTCAAGCCCGCTCTTGGCGGCCATGTGGCCATTTGTGGATTTGCAGTCATTTTACTTGTTTGGTTTCTTCCTCTCCTCGCTTACACACGTACTGTCTCCGGGTACGTGAGCGTGTACGCGTATCCTTGAATACATTCCAGAAGCAAAAGGGGGAACAGCAAAGTACCGCAGCACGTGGGAAACAATGGCAGATGCCCATTGTCTAATCCGAGACTTGCCGATGCCGAGTTTCACCCAATTCTGTTTTGCTTGAAGCAGTTTTGATTTGCTAGCGCCTCGTACCCCGGTCAAGCATGAGCTGACAACTGCCAGTGATGCTGCACGTCGCCTTGGAAAACCCAATCTCCAAGACATCCATGTCATATCTTGGCTCTTGGGTGCCCTACTATAATTTTACAATTGTGATGTGAAACAACAAGCCGCGAATAGACTTGCATCTCGGGTTGTCTTCAATCTCATCTCGTCAGCCTCGCCGGAATCGATATGGCATAATCTGGAGCTCCCCACAACAAGCTATCTCGCCGAGCAAAGATACGCCGAGTCGGCTGCGGGAGGCACATGTCAGATTGCCAACAATGCAACATTCATATTCGGCACCGAATTTCATGTCGCCGGTCAAGAGGGAGCTCCACACTCGCCTACACCAGCTTCAGCCCTCAAATGCTCCGTGGGGGTTGGGAGAAGTCCATGTTGTTCTGAAAAATGGGATACACGACGTCTCTTGTCGAAATGCTGGTGGAAGCGACGGATACCGTGTTTGAATCTTCTTTGCTGCCTTCGGGCGCTTCTCGGTTGCATTGATCGAAAATTACGGGCGTATGGGGTCGGCCCGAGGAGCCTACCGTTTATCTAGTAACATTGCTGCCATGTTTGGATACGGGGAGATGTCCATTGGGATGTACTTTGTGGGGGAACGTTGATCAGGCTTGATGAGGTTATCGTACAGTGGAGTTTGGTATCTGGACTTGTGGTGCTGCGGTTTCGACTTCCTTCGGCCCGGTAGCTCAATGCAAGATGCGCAGTGGCAGATGACCAGAAATGAGACTTCACTGGATGTCGATATTCATGCACGGCCCGGCGGTGAGGACCGGATGCTGTCGAATGAAACGAAAACAGCGACGTCTTGCAACTTGTGACCCCGTAAATAGGCCGATGTGAATGGCACGGAGCTCTGTGCCGGGAGATGATCCGACGAAGAATGCTTCCTGTGGGTATATCACGGTCGAACTTTTGAAAAGTGAATCCATGGAATGCAATATTTTGAGCCTTGTCGGCCAATGCCTGGAAAATGATGGTTTTACGGTGCTGTGTGCGTGTAGTCAAGCATAAGAACGCTGCGTTCGGTTCTCGCGAAATACGAATCCAGGGGATCAAGGGGTCACAAGATCAAAGCTTTGCAGATTCACCGAGAATGGCGCCTTGGATCAGACCTGAAGCATGGAGAGGCCGAGATTGCAAGATGATCGTGGGTTTGACCAGTGACTTGGGTGTCTTGGGCGTTATGACGGGTCACGATTCACTTGGCTTCGCTAGGAAAGACGGAGGAGTGAATTTAGAAGGATGTTTTGGGGTTGGGTGTAGATGGATGGCTTCCCAATAAGCTTCGGATGGTATTGGGCTGGAAGCCGAGGTAGGTTTTTGTACGTGGTGACGTGATTTGGATTCTTGAGTGTCTGGGTATTTAGGGGTTTGTTGGCTGGGCATGAATATGGAAGATGTATAGTGGGCACGAGAGGGGCAATTGGATTCTTTGAAGGTTGTGGAACATTCAGATTCAGAGCCGTTATACGCAAAGAAGCTGTGTCATTGAATGACGAACTATTGACTAGAGAATATGAAAGTTTTACATGATGGCCTACGATTTTGGATTATGAGTTATTGCTATATCTTGTATTTTATTACAGTACTGTAACAGCTATGGGTGATGTGAAATTGTTTAGTATGCTTCATAAATAACTCGACTTTGAGTTATTATCTGTGTTATTGAATATTGGCCGGAAAGCTCATGGAGGACTTGCTATATTCTCTGCCAGTAATTCAATTGGTAGAGGAGAGCCTCTAATGAAAGACTGAGAAATTGAACAAGTACCTTGCGGAATGAGGAGTGTAACTGAAGAGCGCCAATTCGTTAAAGAAAGGGGGAACAAAAGCTTCCTTTGCTCGGCCAAACTAGGGGCGCCTAGCAATTAGCCTTGTAGATTCCTACCCGCCTACCTTGAAGCACTGAACGAACAGAAGAGACCATGTTGTTGCTGTATCGTATACAGCGTATTGTATTTTTTTTTTTCCAAACAAAGACGTGTTTATCTATTTGGACTATTCTATTAAGAAAAGTGCTACGTAAAGTATTGTAGTTGAAATATAATGGCTCTGGACAAGGAGAATCATTTCTTTGTGAAGCGACATATATTTGGTAAATGACAATAAAACCGCGGTCTCTCTTTGTCGTTACATCACACCTCACATGCTTTATATCAATGAACAAACATAATATTGATTGCTTTTCAGACACTCATGAATTTCATACTGTACTCTCCTTCTTTCCCTGCGAATACCAACTCGAGCAAAGATTCGAGTATACACGAAAGAGCGCTAAGATCAAGAGCTCTTTGGACATATACACATACCCTATACAGAAGTTTCTCTTTTGTCGTTGAACCGTATATATATAAAAAGCGGACCCTAGTTGCTCAGCATACCAACCCGAATGCACGTAAAGTCCTGACAAACATTGCCAGACAGAATTCGGTGACCCTGATAGCAGACACGCATATCTTGGCATCTAGTGTAAGTTATTCCAAGTAATACACGTCTATAAAACTCTTCTCCATCCCTATCATACATCCAACTTGCACAGCAATTCAAACCATCAAACCGCAGGCATTCATCAAAATAACAGATTCTGGTATATCCCTACTATGTACATAAAAAAAAAAGGCAACACAAAATTGCCCAGGCCGTAACCCAAAAAGTGCCAAAACTCATAAACAAAGCCCGTTTCGACGCAAGACGCTTTGTAACGTATATCATGTCCATAGCCAAAAAACGCTTCCTCATAAAAGAAAAAAGTACAGTCATATTCATACAAAAAAAAACACATCCAACCACATTTAATCTCCTCTCCATGATCCCTGAAACATGTGCCTCATCATGGCCGTCGGGGGAATGCTACCGTCGTTTGTGCTTTTCGAATGGTCCTGGCCCATGCCGAAGCCGTCAATGGGCAGGATCAAAATGTCGCCGATGAGGGTGGGCTCCTCCATAAAGGACAGATCCTGGGTGTCGTTGAGAAGAGGGTTGTACACCTGCAGCTGCTCAAAGACCATGTCGGTCCAGGCCGCCGGCCCCGTCGAGTTCATGACCTCGAAGCTCTCGGGCTTGAGCTGGCTGATGGGCACGCCGTGAAGAGCCGACAAGTCGTCGAGAGAGTTCAGCACGCGGTTCACCATCCTGGTAAAGACGGGATGGCCCGGAGCAGCAGCAATGGTCCACTGGCAGAACTGGAGCCAGTGGGGGATGTCGGCCCAGGGGCCGCCGTCACGGCGATCGAATTCGATCCCCACCACGAGACGGGCTTTACCCCGGAAGGCTTCCGGGACCCAGACGTCGACGGGCTTGAGGGCGAGGGTGTCGGTGTCTGTGTAGACGCCGCCGTAGACGCTGAGCAGCAGGTAGCGCAGGAAATCCGACTTTTGGCCCACGTTGCTGATGTTGTGGTAGGTGTCGATGATCTTGGGGTTGGTTTTGAAGTGGCTCTCGACGAACTCGTTACCACCCTTCTGGCCAACCAGAGTGCTGCAGGGATCAAAAGAGGATGGATTAGTAAATGGAAGATGGTACATGCATGGCATGGCAACCACTGGGTAGACGTACTATTGCCAGTCTGGGTTGGTGGCCAGCCAGGAAGCGGTAAATTCGAGCTGTCTGGCGTCTATGTGAACGTGGTTCGGGTCGCCCTTGAACGGCTGAGTCTTGGGCAAGACGATCTGCCAGATATTGGCGGGAATCAGGTGGCTGTCGTTGGACTTGCTGACCCGGCTGGTCCATTCGGGCACGCGGTTGCTAACGTAGTCGTCGTGGAACTTTTGCCTGCTCGAGTGAAGGGTCAGGCTGCCGCTGAGCCAGACCATGGAGAGCAGCACGAGGGCGATGCCGACGGCGGCGTAGTTGCGGTAGCGACGCTGGGAGACGTGGCCGAGGATCTGCCTCAGCGGCGAGAAGGAGTCTTGCTTTTCGTGGAGAAGCATGTTTGCTGGTGAGAGTCAAGGTCGCTGTTGTCGCTGTCTCTCTCTCCCACAAGTGTGTTTGACGACACGACAAGGCAGGACGACAAGACGAAAACCGCTCACGATGGTGACAACGACGACGAGGACAAGGAGCGCGAAAGAGACAAGGAGAAAAAGGCAACGACCCCCGGCCGGAGCTAGGAAGCACGACGGAGCCAATACGACGGCTTTACATACTCCTTTGAGCTCCTCCTGGTCAAGTAGGGAACAAAACAGGTGAGATTAAGCTGTCTTGGAGCATCATGCTAGCGCTGCGCCAGCACAGGCACAGATGGAGCCGGGCTGTGCCTTTTTGAATGTTTGTCTCAAATATGATACGGGAACGGGCTGCTTAGGCTGTTGGGGGGAAAAGAATCCATCGAGAGTCGGCAATACTCGTAGGATCCTCCCGAGCCGTACCGGACAGGATGGTTGCAGTGTCGAGACGGCCATGGCGCAATTTGGCTAAAACAATAACTCTGTATTTAAGCCTTTTTGCCCTCGGCCTTGCTCTCTGGACTCTGGATCCTGGGCTCTGGACTCTGGACTCTGGACTCTGGATTCTGGATTCTGGACTCTGGGTTCTTTTCCCACCCCCCAGCAGCCCGCAAGGCCAGTGGATCCCGCCATCGTCTACTAGTTCGTCGTCGAGCAGCTTCAATGGCCCGGCGTCTAGATCCCCTCTGGACCCTTTGAACCCTTTCGAACCCTTATGAACGAGGCCACTCGGGCCGCCGTGATTGGCCGCTGCGCCGCACCATAAGCTGACGTGCCCAATCGCTGAAGAGCGCCATGAAGCTGGTAAAATTGCCATGGGGTTTGGTTTGCCGGCTAATGGCGCGGCTAGATACTGTAGGCTCTATCGCCTCAGGAACGAGAGAAAAAGGCTTGGCTTGGCTTCTTTCTGTTTGGCAGATTTTCCCGAGTGGCGTTGCGTTGCGTTGCGTCCCATTTCTCTTCTCTTCTTTTCTTTTTTCCTTTTTCCTTGTTCTCTTCTGTGCAGTCAGTATAGCTTGGAAATAGCCGCTGCGATGCGACTCGACGAGTGACAATCCGCATGGATTCATTCACCGCGGTTGGCTTGACCATGTGCGAAGGATTTGATTCATCCAGTTACGAACTCGAGAGCCCCGGCGACTGCCTGTTGCAGTTAGAGGTGCGCTGCAGCGGCAGCACGTGAGAAGAGCGTGACGAGGGTTTCGGCCCACGCTAAACCCCGTATTCAATGCGCCCGTTCGGACAAGCTTTTTTAAACAACGAAAACTTCAGGGTTCAATGTTGGTACTATTTACGATGGTGATGGTGATGGTGATGATGATATACTGTAAATCTCGGGGCTGACATGGCCTCTCTAGTTGATGAAGCTCTCGACAACTTGCAGTGATGGCCTCAGTGTACTTGCCCACGCAGCAACACAGCACAACACCAACAGGCCATACATTAAGCCCTGTCAACCACGCAATTAAGCTTACCGCCCCCCCAAGTAGCATCGCTCCAAAGCCCTCTCTCACTCGCTGATCACTTCAGTCGATCCCTACCGCAATCCGCCATCCTTCCAATGTCTCGCATCCAAGCATCTCATCTTGTCTCGTCTCAATTTTTTTTTTTTTTGGCGTGTCTTGTCTCGTCTCACCCACGCATGTCTCAACCCGCCCGTCCATCTGTCTTAGCCTCAATCTTGTTTCTTCCTTCTCTTCTTCGTGCTTTGCTCTTTTTTGCAGCGTCCTCGTAATGCCAGGGATGCGTTAGGCAGTGCACGGGTACTCTACCCTACCCTTACATTAACCCCCCTCAAGGGAAGCAAACAGATACGAGTGTGTTCCGAGAGCTTTGGGCCGCCTGTGAGCAGGGCGATGGACTGGCCCGAGACACACTGACCAGAAGACGGAGCAACATCTCCCTCTGTTGAATCCAAGCTCAAAAAACAAAGGGCGTCGTCGTCTTGGCGTCCGAGTTCCCTTTTTATTCTGAACGCAAAGCCCAGTCCGATCGATGCATCGTATATTCGTGATGCGCATGACAACTCAAGCCCCCTCTAACATCTCATGCATCATGCATCGCAAATCCGCCGTCGGGTTCAAATAGTATTACCCATCAATTCAGCCCTTTCCGCCCCCCCAACATGCAAGCCATTCATTTTTGCCAGCCGACGTTGATGTTTGCCGCGAGGGTAATCGTATATAGCCGGCACAGCGAGCGGAGAGGGGGACGATAGTAGCGCGACGCAGTCCAGTATCAGTATCAGCGACAAAGGTCGACTTCAGCCGTCGTGTTGCCGCTGGACTCATACACAGAGTAGATTTCGCTTAGTCAAGGCCATTGTCGAATCTGCTTGGTGTAGCAACCCCTAGTATCCGCAAGTATATCTGGCATCTTGTGAGCAAAAGGCAGCCGTGTCGTCGATGATGAAGCCCGGTAAAGAGAAGAAGCTAGGTCATGTCATTGCGTTTCTCTTCTCATACAACCCATTCAAATGAGCAAGAGAAAGACGAAATACGCCTCGCAACTCCCGTTAATGTAAACCACAACTCCAACAAGAGTATAGAGCAAACTAAGAAACAACCCAGTATAAGCGTCCACATAAGCTTATATATAGTAAATCATAAACCCATCAACGCAAAGTCGACAAATTAATCCCCATCCCCAAACCCCCGGAACCGCCTCCTCCAGCTCAAACCTCCAGCCCCGGATCCCTCCCGTCCGTCTCTCAAAACACATCCGTCTTCCGGCCCCCGGAAACTCGTCCACCGGAAACAGCCCATCCGCTTCACCTACATCACACAGCACGGAACCATCCGTCGCTAATCGGACTGGCCATGCACTTCATCTGCAGCACATCAACTCACACAGTGCAACCAGCAAAACTCATAACAAAAAATGCTCCTCAGTCTGTATTTTCTTTTACCCCATGGGCTTGTAACAGCCAAGCCGGCATACGGCACATCTGCTCTCCTGCCTACCTTAGGTACATACAAACACACAGTCATACACGCAAGAAGAAAAAAAAGGTATACCGCATGCAATATCGTAAAACTCAGCAATAAACCCGTCGGCTGAATTGCGCCTCCGCTTCCTCCCATCCACCAACCGACCAGGGGGCGTATAGTCAGGTCACGAAGGATCAAGCAACAACAAAACAAACAAACAAATCAAAAAAGAAGAAACAAAGGTATAAAAAAAACACAATCAGTTTTCCCACCCCCTCAAACTAGAGATGCATGCTTCTTCCGGTTCACGGCAGCCTAGGTATACAGTACGCACAACTCCTACTACAACAACACCCAAACCCACACACACACACACACACACACACATAAACAACACATCACCGTGGAACAAACTGCCCCGAATAACTTCCCGTGGAAATCTTCCTTTTTTTATTCTCTCAAGGGGAAAAAAAAATGATTCTATCATAGAGCAAAGTGGCATTTCCATTATTCAGCATAATCAAACAAAGCGCACCTCGTTGAACAACCCGGCGCGGACTTGCATCAAACTAGCCAGCTCCAGCAGGAACCCTTGGTAGATGAGCACATTGGTAATCACATGCGATACCGACACCATGTTCTCGCTCGTCGGCTCGGCATTGTCAGTCGTTTCCGTCACCACGGTTGGCTCAGTGGCCACCTCGCTCCGGTCGGCACTGCTATCATATCCGTCCAAGCTGGACAGCTCGTCTCCCGAGAATAAAGACTCGGGAACATCGGGAGTTGGTTTGCTTTCCAAGCCCAACTGCACCGGCGTGACATGATCGCCCGGCAGGGCCACCATCCGGGCCAGGATGCTTTGGTCCACGGCTGCGAAATCCGCCGGCTGGACGACTACCGAGCCCTGCCGACTGTTTCGGTGCTGGTGCCCACCGGCCTCGCTCTGAGCACTTGAAGGAGATAGGCTCCGGCTAAGAGCAATCCTGTTGGGGTCAGGCAGCGGCTTGGAGGTGTTTGGCATGGGGCTGGGAGAGAGCAGGTCCGACACGTTAAAGGGTGTGGAAGCACCGGATGTTCGAGTACTATTCTTGCGTCCTCTAGGGGTCACAGAGCGGCTGGGCGTTCCGAGTTCAGAAAGCAGCCGCTGGGCGAACCCCTCGAGTCCAGTCGGACGCGACGGAGATACAGACCGAATAACTTCGTCGAGGCTGGAGCTAGGTCGTGGCGGCGGGGTCCTCAGAACGGGAGGGGGCGGGGGGTTGTCGAGAATCGAATCCGCAGTCTGGAAGGCTTCCCGGCGCTGCTGGAGAAGCTCGTCAAACCGGGGCACCGTCTGCTTGAACGCCTCGACTTGGTCGCAGAGACGCTTGAGCACGATGAGGATTCTGGGAAGAGAGTCCTGGGTCCACTTTGGCCGACGCCTGCACTGATCCATCGAGTCCAGACGATCATCCTCTGTGTCGTCTGAGAATGTAGAGAAGCCGCCAACCGAGTAAGCATCATCTTGCGACCCCAGCTCGTCAGCCAGCGACCGATCACCAATCTCGGTCTCGGCATCTGCTCCCGTTTCTGTCTGCGTCTCTTCATCGCCCTCTCCGTCCTGCTGTGATTTTGCGTCCTTCTTTTCGTCAGACTTTGACTGTCGCTCATCTTCGACATAGACGTAGCTGCCGGGGCTCCGAGCCAACCACCCTTCGATGCTCATGTAGCCACAGATCGCCATGTCAACGATGGTATCAGTGATTGATAGATTCGTCTCCACCGGGTTTATGAAAAAGTTTTCCATCAGGTCAAGGATAGAGTTGAGTAAAAGATCGTCGTGGCGAAGGGTGTGCTCCCGCACGTCTTTGGGTGCGCCTGGAAGACTGTCTGGAATGGTGGGTAGTTTGTGGTTGTGCTGCGACAGTCTGGGGGCGACAAGTCTAAGGGAACACGGGTGACTCTCAAGCCGGGCCATGGTGTCTTTCAAGATGCTCTCGTACGTCTCGTCGAAGTCGCCCCGGCCGCCAACGCTCTCTGCCAGGGCCATCAAGTACTCGATCTCCTGCTCGTGAGCGCCCACAGTTCGGTTGATATTGTTCTTCGGGAACATGTCGGTTCGGAGGAGGGTGAGCACTGCGTATCGATGGTGCCTTTTGACAATTGCCGACACCAGCTGAAGAGTCACGTAGATGGTCTGCTGGTTGCGCGATCGGAGACAGGCAAGAATAAGATCCACCAGGTTGAAAAGGAGAGGAGTCGCGGTCGTATCGGGCTTTTCCGCCATCATGGTAGCGAGGTCCATGGATTTCCGCTGGCGAGCAGCGCTTATGGCAGTCCCCGAAGGAGGGCCGTTCGAGTTGACAGTTTCGGGCAAGGCTAAAAGGTAGTGAAGAATGAGGTTGATCATGTCGGGGTGATCCAGGGATTCGATGATGCGGCGGAGGTAGGTCAAAACAGCCACGGACGAGCCTCCGTCTATATCGGACGACTCAAGCAATGATGGGTATCTAGAATAGTCGGTCATTAGCGCATTGCGCAAACTCCAGGGGGGCATCGAGACCTACAGAAGCTGCTGTAAGAAAATAACCTGAAAGTGCTCCAGCAGAGTCGACTTGACTTCGACTGATTTGCAATGATTCAAGACGTCCTGCCAAAACAAAAGGTGGGACAAAAAGGTCTCGAGGTGGGACTGAAACTCGCTAGAGCAAGAGCTCACAATTTCGTAGTTGGACGTAGGGTGTTGATAGTCGGAGAGGGCGAGGATAGGCGGCAAGTTGTTCGGCAGGTGATCTATGACGAGTTTGCGACTTAGCTGACTGTACAAGGCTCCCAGCCCGGTGGCCATGAGAGTAGACAAGTCACTCTCGACAATCCATTGCTCCAGGGACTCGGAGCTCGACGCGGCCTCGATGATGTATAAGAGACCTGTGCGCGCAAAGTCGCCGACCTTGCCCTCGTGGTGGATGTAGTCCATGAGGATGTAAAAGAGTGGAAAGTCAGCCCTCTTGGTTCGGCCAGCGAACTTGTCCCGGACACTCGCGGCCCTGTCACTCGGACGGTTGACATCCTGCTGCGTCTTAAACCAAGCAGGGAGGATCTCGGGGTCCAGGCGGATCTTGGTGGTGATGTTGAAAGCCAGCTCCACGACGCGAGACTCGGTATCCAGCCCGAGACGAGCGCTGTTGACACCTGTGATGCGCACCAGCAGGTTTGTCAGGCTGGCGGAAAAGGTGTGGTTTTCAACAAAGGCCTCCTCCTCGCTCTCGATGAGCGTTGCGAAGAAGAGGACGGCCTCCTTTATGATCCACTCGTTGTAGGACGAGGTGGCAATCTTGCCGATGGGCACGTATATCTGCTTGATGGAGGCATACTGGATGCAGGGATGCGGCAGCGGGCGTCGGCTCTCGTCGCTGAGGATGTTGGTCAGCTCTTGAAGCCTGATCTCGACGGTTTCGGCGGCGTCGATGTCTTGGGACAGGTTGGTAGATTTGCGCCAGATGGACTAGAGTTTGTTGCTGTCAGCGCACACGACAGCGCAAGACGGCCACGACAGACGGTAAAGCACCAGGGAGAAGCAACAGAGAGGACAAACTCACCAGCAAGCCGGCATATTCCTTCTCGAAGCGATGAAGACGCTTGGCAGGGTCCTTTGCCTGGTCCTGACGAGAGCTCCCGGAGGAGAGGGGGCTTAACAAGCGCGACCACTGCACAGACAAGGATGCGTTAGACTCGGATCCCACGCACGTTTTTCTTCTTCTTTTTTTTTCTCTCTTTTTCCCGCTCAGGCTCAGCGTTGTGAGGGGATCATCCATCCCCCTTATTGTCATGTCATGATGGGCTGCTCACGAAATCCATGGCTCTGGCCGAGTCATGTCTGGCTCGACGCTGTGTCGAACTGCAATTGCAACGATCGGAGCAAATGCCTCGCACTCGCAGCTCGTCTGAGGCGCGGGGGGTCCGGGCAGAGGCGGGGGAGGTTCAAAAGGTGGATTGGCAACAAGCACAGGACAGGACAAGCACAGCGCAGGACGGACAAGGGACAAGGACGGTTGGAGTGCTTGTGATGATGCCCGGCGAATCCCAGGCGGTGAAAGCGGTGGGGTAGCCCGGACCTGTGCTTTGCGCGTATTCGAGGCGAGCGATGCGGTACCTGGTACTTGCCAGAAGGGAGCTGGGCTGGGGTTTGGGGCACCAACACGTGCGCTAAAAAACGGACCGTCGTTTAGGGCCCGTTGGATGTAGGGTAGGTTAAATGTTGGGTGATGAGTTGGGCAGCAATACTACTAGGTAGGTATAAATGATGCCTCTTCCATGAGCATCTACTATAGATATCTGCCTGGTATGAAGAAAGATTTGTAGTATTTATTAGACGTTATAGGGACTAGATGCCTTAGATTAGCGTCCATCAACAATAATGTAAATCATCCGGAGCAGTTTAAAGTTGATCATCTCCATCTGCATCTCAGCACTAGAGCAGGACCCTTGACGCAGATACCCGTACCCGCTCTCCATCAAGCGAGGCCTTTTACATAGATTACTTGTTGAAATAGACAGCCATGGCAAAAGCGAAGTGACCGCTTCCCTATGCATAGCGTTGTATCTTGCACATGAAGCATCCATCCATTCCGACATTACTCCTCTACTACCTAACCCACCATGCAATGCTTGATACAAACATATACACAGCATCATTCTATATAGGCACGTACATTTCTCCCAATCTCAACACCAGCCTCCCAACCTCAACATCACCAACACAACACCAGAATCATCACTCCCTCACCCTCCTCACCATAACATCCTCCACCTCCCCAACTCCCCGAAACTCCTCCTCCAGCCCTTTCCCTCCCCCTTCCCTCCCAACAATCCCCATTCCCATCCCCCTCTCGACATCCACCACCCTCCCAGCCCACTCCCCGTTATCAACCCTCCACGTCCCCAGAATCTCGAACCCCATCTTGCCGTACAGCCCGCGCGACTCCGCAGACGACATCAAAAACGTCGGCACCTTCTCCGTATCACTCCTCTCCAGCACGGCGCCGAGTAACTTTCCTCCGATACCCTTGCGTTGGTACTCAGGATCAACCATCAAGTGATTTACATCTTTAACCACATCGTCAGTTCAATCCCATCCCATCCACTCTCAAAAGAAGGGGGAAAAAAACTTACAGACATGTCTCTTCCCATCAGCAGCCTTCTCATAACACCCATCCATCGCAACCTGCTTCTCATTAAACTCCTCCCACAACTCCTTCAAATGCTCCTTGACACCAAAAAGCGATGGCCCATCACCCTCACTCTCGCTCACAACATCAACAGCAGCAGCAGCAGCTTCTTCTTGTTTCTCCTCCCCCTTCTTCTCTTCTTCCACAACATATCGCACAAACCCAACCACCTTTTCCTCCTCCTCATCCACAGCAACCAAATACACATTCTCCGCCTTCTGCACCGCCCTCGCCGTCGCCTGCGTCAAAATGTCGCGCGGGCTGTGCACGAAAAACGCCCCGTAGAAGCCGTGGTACTTTTCCTGCGCGCGGTAGTGCACGGCGGCCATGGCGGGGGCATCGGCCGGCGATGCGGGCCGTATCGTAACCGAGGCCATCGTCGACGTTGTAGCGGGCCGTATCGTAATTGAGGTTATCGTCGACGTTGTAGCGGGTCGTATCGTAACTGAGGCCATCACCAACTTCAAGTTGAATCCAAGTGTGTTTGTTTCGACGGTGCTTGATAGCCTCGATTTTTTCCCTCTTCGCAACCTAAATGGTACTGGAATGAGATATGGAGATGGAGATTTTTAAACCCAGCCACCAAAGGACCTCGACAGAACGGCTCCCCCCCCGTGTCACTTAAAGGGCGTTTACTCCGCCAAAAAAACTAGTATTTTCACATAATCTTATGGATTATTATTCCCTCGCCGTCATGAGTCACTCGCCGATCGAATCAGTGATTTCACCAACTACCTACACATATTGTTGCGAATAAGACACTCATATCCAAACCCATCAAGCGTTGACAAGATCCTGGCTTCATTTCATTCTGTCTAATGCCCCTCCCATATCATTCAAACCTAGTAGTAACTAACCCCAAGAAGAAATCCATCTCAAATGATACTACCAAGTCTATCCCGTTAAAATTGAAAACAAAAAAACATCGATCATGAATGCATGCATCCCGCATCTCTAGGGTATCGCGGCCGTGCTCATGCGCACTCTCTGCGCGGCTTTTGCTTTTTCTCTTTAAACGCGCCATCTTCCCTGATGGCTGGCCTTTTTTTTGCCGCGTGTGGACATCCTATCCCATGTAGCCGCCGTCCAATTCCCTGTCATTCATCATCCGTTCTATAAGAATTTCAATTGCCATTTCAATATGCACTTTTTAAATTTTTGCGTCTCATGCATTCGCTCCGCTTACACGGCACCGGCCGTGATCATCTTCTTGCGAAGGTAGTTCTTGTACTCGCCAATGCTGCCGTCCCATGCTCGGATGGTTTGGTTCTCGCACACCAGGATCTGCTTGGCAATCTTGTCCAGCAATCTGTAGAGAAGAAATTTGTAAGTATCAGCTGAAATGATTGATGGTGGGAGAATAAAAAGCGTACCTAAAGTCGTGGGACACGACAATCACACCGCCGCTAAAGGCGTTGATGGCATCAGCCAGACTGTCAATGGTGGGGATATCAAGACCGTTGGTAGGCTCGTCGAGAAGTAGCATGTTGGGGCCGTCAATGGCTAGCAGGGCAAAGACGATACGGCTCTTCTGACCCTCGGACAGCGTACCCATCAGGGCGGTCTGGGAGTCGCCGGTGAGACCGTAGCGGCCGAGCTGCTGACGCCAGTACTGGTAGTCCTGGGACTTCTCCTTGTACTTGTCACGGACAAAGTCCAGGGCAGACTTGGTCAGGTCGAGCTGCTCAGCACTGTGCTGGGAGTACAGGCCAAGCTTCAAGTGGGTGTGACGGGTGACGGCTCCGCCAGTGGGGGAGAGCTTGCCAGTCATCAGACGCAACAGCGTTGACTTGCCAACACCGTTGGGGCCGACCAGGGCAGTTCGGGAGTCCATGTCGAAACCGAGGTCAATGTGGCGGTACAGGTCGTCCTCGGGGTTGCCAGAGTAGGAAAAGGTGACGTTGTCAAAGGACAGGACGGGAGGGGGCAGCTTCTCGACATCGGCGAAACGGAAGGTGAAGACCCTGTCGGCAACGACGGGCTGAATGAAGCCATCGGCCTCCATCTTGTCCAGAATCTTCTGGCGGGACTTGGCCTGTCGGACCAAGTTGGCGTAGGTACCGGCACTGGCAATGAACTTTTTGATGTGGGCAATTTCTTCCTGCTGCTTGGTGTAGGCCTTCATCTGGTTCGTCTCGTTCTCCTCGCGAGTCTTGGCGTAGGAGTCGTAGTCACCACCATAGTACTGCAGGGCCTTTTCGCGCATGTCAATCATGTTGGTGCACACGCCGTTGAGGAAATCCATCGAGTGAGAGACCAGGACCAGCGTTCGGTCCCACTTCTTGAGGTACTCTTCCAGCCACACACAGGCCTCGAGATCCAAGTGAGCAGTGGGGTCGTCGAGAAGAAGCAGCGAAGGCTTGACGAAGAGAGCCTTGGCCAAGGCAACACGCATTCTCCAACCACCAGACATGTCCTTGGTCTTCTTGTGGATGGTCTTCTTGTTGAAACCCAGACCGGTCAGAATCAGGGAGGCACGGGTGGCGAATGTGGAGGGGTCCATCTTGTCCATGTGCTGCCAGCAAATGTCAGTACTCGATTCGACGGCATTTTGGTTGGGGACGTCGGGCAACATACGTCGTAGAGATCAATCAGCACAGGGCTCTCAGGGCCCTCGTCCTCGAGCAGCTTCTCGGCCAGCTTGTCGAGACGCTCCATTTCGTTCTCAGCCTCCTTGACGACCCATTCCAGGGCACCAAGCTCGCTGGGAGGAGCACCCTCGTTGAGCAGGTAGATGTCGATGTGGTTGGGGATGGGGTACTCGCGAGCAGCGATGGCCTTGAGCAGCGTGGACTTTCCGCAGCCGTTCTCACCGAGGAGACCATATCGGCGAGCAAAGGACAGCTCGAGGGTGGAATCGGTGATGAGGACTCGGCCGTGGAACACGAGAGAGGTGCTGGTGATCTTGACGTCCTTGCTCTGCTGGGTGGACGACAGCACGCCGGTGGTGACTCGGTCGGAAATGCCGTGCTGGTCCATCTGCTCGGCCAGACGCTTCACCTCGTCCAGCTTGTCATCAGTGGTGGCGGGGCCATCGGAGTCCTGGATGGGGTTTCCATGGACGTCGAGCTCGGGCTCAGTCTTGCCCTTGGCTCCCTTCTTGCCCGAAGCGGCAGCCTTCTCGGCCTTCTTGGCGAGTCTCTTTTCCTTGGAACTCGAGGGCGGCATCGTGACGGTCTAGAGATTTTGTTGATGAGAGGAAAACAGAAGAGAGATGGTGGGGGTGAAGTATTGGTCGTGATGGGAAAAGAAAAAAGAAGGAAATGAGAAAAAAAAGAAACAAAGCAAGTCCCAATTTTTTCCCAGGCGTACTATTCAACGACAGCCGAATACCAACTTTTCGAAGAATGCAAGAGAAGAAGAAGAAAATCCGAGTGATGGATTACGGGCTGGAATAATCCGACTGGCCTTGGAATTCTTCGAATGGGCGGGGTGAATTTTTTTTCTTCTTTTTTCTTTTTCGAATGGTGGGGCACGGTATCAAAATTTTGGTCAACAGATAAGGGGGGGGAGCCACAGTCAGGCATCAAGCTAAGGCATAAACTACGGAGTACATGCACATATCATGTCAGCTGGAAAGCGATAAGATTACGGTGAGTCTGTCTGTCTGTCTGTCTGTCTGTCCGTCTGTCTGTCTGTACCTGAGTGAGAGTGACATCTGATGCCAATTGCTTGTCACGCTGCGATATCTGGAGCATCCAACGTCATTCACACCATTTTAGGTATTTTCTCCTCCATTTCCCAAGCCAAATCCAACGTCTCTTCCACAGTCAATCCGCTGCCAAATTATACGGTTTCGCCCCGGCACATGCTAGAAAAAAAACCTTGAAGCAGCTTGACGTCACCCTCGCCTTAGTGGGTCCTCACCGCATCTGAGTTTTCCTCGCCTCTCTTCTCTTGACCTACCCTACAGTCTGCCGAATCCGGTAATGGCAACATTATCAACATTATCAACATTAAACAGGTAATTCTTGGTATCAATTCTTCCCAAACACGTCCTCCATTATATCAACTGTCGCTTTTTTCCTTCCATAATTCAATCTCGGTGTCGCCGGAATGCAAAAATCTTCCCTGTGACATCTCATCTCATCTCATCTCATCCGTCGTTGAGACTCTCCTTCTTCCGCCCCTGCGCCGACATCATTGTCTCAATCACGTCCATAGGCACAAGCTGCGGTTGCGCCTCTCCATACCGCTGATGCTCCATCTCTTCAGCTTCAATCTCCCGCTTAGACGGCACATTTGTATTTCTGGGCGCATCTCTTTGAGCCTCTTCCTGTTTGCTCTGTTTCCCTGAACCAACGTCTGATTGTCGTGGTGGTGGTTGAAGCGACGACTTGTCCTCGGGTATAACGGGCATGTCTCGTGATGTCTTGACGCGATTAGACCGGTCTTCAGGTCGAAAGGTGAATATTCCTGAGTGAAATCGATCGAATAAATGACGAAGCCATCTGGTCATTACACACATCAGCCCATTTCCCCCTTCATGTGCATCCCCCATTCACCTTCTTACAAAATGTTCATCATCACCACCATAAGCGCTGCATGAAACAGCGATGCTCGGAGCAGACAAGGCGTATTTTATTTCCCACTACCACCAAGTAAAATCCCATCCGGAACAAGACAAAGCACGCTTTTGTATATGGAAGGCTCGGCAAAGCGTTGAAATGCTGGTGCCTAGGCCCGCCCGTTTCAACCTTTGGCCTTCTGTTGTGCCATGTCAGAAGTGGCGGGAACTAACACGAAACCCGCGGAGCAGGCAGCAAGTTAAAAAACAGAAGCTGTCCGTCGGCAAGGCTCCATATTATCATTTGTACAGAGACAAATCTATTCTGTATGCTTGCAGTTGAATTAGGGGCGGTGACAACATACGCAAGTCATAAAGGCGCAGCAAGATGCATCACGTAATTGGACGGGTACTCTCTCCTTATACCAAGATTGCAATTTGATACTGCATATACAGGCACGTCTCACAAAGAAGTCTCGCTATCCAACTTGTCATAAATACTCTCCCCCTCCAAATGAGCCTGTCTCGGCCCAGCCCCCCTCGCTCCCAAACTCCCCTTTTGAAACATCTGCGCTTCCGCCAACCTGCTCGGATCGTCCTCGCTCCCCGGCTCCGACCTCAACGCCCTCGCCAGCCCGTCATTCTTCTCTCCAACCCTGCCTCCATCATCAACGCCTTCCTTGATGTTCTTCCCATGAGGGCCCTTTGTATCCTTGATGTATAGATCTGCCACGTAGCCCGGCGCCACACCCACGGACTTACCACCACCAACACCAACGCCGCCTTCGCGACCGGACTGGGTTTTCAGCTCGGAACCTGCAACGCCCTCTTGCTGAACATTGCGGTTCTGCGCGAACTCGCCGCCGTGCTGCACCGATTCCGCGGCGAGCGACTCCGGCGCAACGAGTCCGGCTGCTTCACGATGGACTGGCGCATCTTTGCCCGGGTTGACCTTGTTCCATTTGTCAACACTGACATGCCGATTGACGGCTGCTGTCATGAATGAGACGCACCTTGGTTCCCGCGCCGGGATTCTTGCGTTCTCGAAGAGTAGGCATTTTTCAGGTAATCAATACTCTCTGTGGTATGTATGCTTCAAGCTGTAGAATCAACCCTCTCAACGGCCCATCTTCGAACTTGCACAACCTTAAATATCAATTCCACCCACCGCGCTCGAATGACATCACAACGTCGACTTTCTCACATCCACAACGCAATGGTCACGTCAAGCTTCCACCCTTCTCCAATGACAGCGCAGGATTGCATCATAGAGGCTGCCCCCCTCTAACGCGACAGTTGTCACCTATCAATCTCGACATGGATCTGGCGATGTGGCATGCTGAGGAGGACAACCGACGCCTCTCGAGGGGCCTCATATTCAATTCCGACATTTGAGCGTCCAAGAGCTTATATAAAGTGACGCACATTTTCATCAGCCATCTTTTTCCGTAAAACTCCAATGCCCTTAATACATATCTACTCTTTCCGGAGGATATCAGTTCGTCACAAGCCGTCACAAGCCGTTGAAATCACGCCCACCAAACCATGGAATAGATGCAAAACTCCCACAAGTCAAGGCCAAAACACCAGAACCCTCCCTCGCTGTATGAAACCCATTTCCCTCACCTGAGCGACTCTCCACTCTCATAAATCTCCCCTCATCTTCTTGGTTGCTTTCGCTGTGCCAATGTGCGTATTGTGTACCTATTACGCAGTTAGCCAAATCGGTCTACGTTTGTTGTCGTCACGCATTTTGTTTCTCACCTTTGTAGCAAATCTCAGGCTGGTCAGAGTCTCCTTCAGATGAGTCTCCAATGGCGACACCATGACGAACATGAGTGTTTTGCTGTTTCCGCCCAGGCTGTATTGCAGCAGGTGTGTGAGCTTGGAGTTTCGATACGGAATGTGGCCTGACCCTCTTCCCAGCGCTTCAATCACGTCTCCCAGGCAACTCAGGCTCTTGTTGATGTTCTGCGTCTCCTTCATCCTGTCGCCTTCGACTTGCGAATGCTTGAGGCGTTCTGATCCGGCCAGGTCGACCAAGTTGAGAGTGCCCTCGCATCGTTCGCCCGTTGCCGAGTTTTCACCAATGAGCTTCAGGATGAAGATGCTGTGAGACCGGGAGGATCGCTCGTTGGCCTTTGTGGCTGCCACCGACCGATTCTTCTGTGCCTCTTCCAGCATCAACTCTACGGTATCGGCCGAGTTTAGTCGAACAGACTTGCAGCCCATGATGGTCGTCTGCTTCCGGATTTCGTCGTGTCGAATCTCCAGTTTCCTCGTCAGTCGTCCCTCCGCAGTGCGTTCATTGGGTGTTAGCAAGTCGTTTAGTTCTTCATTGTAAACCTCAACAAAGGAACCCTCCAAGGTATAGTCCCACGACTTCTCCTTGAGCTTGGTTACTGTGTCGTATATCATGTGTGTAGCTCTTGGAATCATACCATCGGGAGATGACATGGTATACGTCTTTCCTGATCCCGTTTGGCCGTAGCAGAAGATACACACGTTGTAGCCGTCGAGAGCGCTTTGTACCAGCTGGGAAATCTCGTCAAAGATCTCATTGTTTTGTATCTCAGGCGTAAACACTCGATCAAACTCGAACGGATAACTCTTCCTCTGAACAACTCCGAGACTGGACTTTTCTTCAGGCCCGGCAACCAGGATCTCGGCGGAAGTCTTGTCGTCGGGATAGGAGAGCTGCGCGACCAGACCTTCGCTGTGTCCAAGGGGCGGTCGAACTCGGCACATGACGCGAATGTTGCCCTTGAGCTCCTGGTACTTGTTAAAGAGCACGCGGCGCTCAGTTTCTTCCTTCATGAGCTTCTGTCGCGCTTCCTCGGCATATTTCAGAGCATCCTGGAGCCTGTCTTCCATGGCGGCGAACGCGTCGGATTGTGCCTTGGTGTCGGATTCGAGAAACTCGACCTGGGACCGGAGAGAGTTGATTTTCGCTTCCAATGTCGTGTTGGAGGCCGAAAGCTCGGAGATGCTCGTTTGCAAACTGCCTGTAAGTGCCTTCTCGCGCTGGAGATCTGATCGTACACCTTCTGCCTCGGAGCGCATATCTCGCACCTCTCGATCTTTTTTCTGCAGAACAATCTCCGCTTCCTGTTGCTCATTTCCCATTTTGCTCCGTAAACTCTGGAGCTCTTGTTCCCGTTTCTGCTGCTCATCGCGTAGTTCTTGCTGATGCCGTCGATTCAATGCGTCAATCTGCTGCTGATGCTCGTTTGCTTCTTGCGTTTTTAGTCGTTCGAGCTCTCGGCTCAGATCATCTATTGCTGTATGGTGTTGCCGCGCGAGATCGTCTATTTCGGCTTTATGCTTTCTGGCAAGATCATCGATTTGTCGAGAGTGTTCCCATTCAAGCTTCTCGATATCGTGCTGGAATTTCCGACCTTCTTCTTTAGAGGCGTCGAGATCTGATTTCAGGGCTTCCGTCTTGTCTTCCAATCTTGACTTGTCGCTCTCCAACTCCGAGACTACAGGAATACATGTTAGTTGCGAGCAACTCAATGAGAGCCCACATTGTCCTTACCTCGTTTCGTTAGGAACTCGGCCGTGCTCTCTAATTTCGACTTGTCGCTCTCTAATGTTGCCTTGTAGCTCTCCAACTCCGAGGCTGGGGTAAACAATGTTAGCTCTACTGCAATCTGGTTGAACCTGGTTCTGTTCTCACCTTTCTTATTGACCAATTCAAGGGCATTGGCCATGTATGTCTTCTCCTGTTGTGTCGTATGTACCATGGCGTCCGCTACGGTCTTCTTTAGTTCTTGAAAGTGTAACTCCGTCATGCGGACATGTTCCTCGGCATCAAAGGCTACAAATCCAGTGAGGTTAGAATCCTTAGTTAAGAAACTCTTATAGCGCATGGGTGACTTGATGGGGGATTTGGTGGGAGAAGTGGGTTTGAAATGAGTGTTGCATCCTTGAGCTTTCTCCGCTGGCCGCTTGACCGGCTTAGTTGGTGTCGTAGAGGGACCTCCCTAGGTTCCCTGCACAGCTACCAACGCGGACGGTGGCTGCTTGCTGCTTCTCTTCTCATTGCCGGGGCGGTGGACAGTGACGTTACTTAAAGCAAGTGTAGTGTCTGGAGGCGAGGCTGTCACTTGACTTGTGTTGTGAAGGGAAGCATTATCGTCGAGACAAAGACCGTTGAACCTCGTGTTCAGAGAGCTATCTCTGGAAGAGGACAAGGATGAAGAGGACTTTGTATTTCTGATTTTGTGGTGTGAAAGCGTGCTGAAAGACATGGTCGTGAGTTGCTGGGTGAGTATCATACCCTTACTATCCGTCGCATCTTTGTCTTCCTCCTCTCGAAACCCCTGTGCTGTCCGTGGCCGCGCTACTTGGCTTTTAGATCTCGCATGGTTGGCTGGTGTGTTTGGTCTGGGAACTAATGATTTTTCTGCGGCGCCATTTCGACCCGGACCGAAGCTCCTTGCGAAGCTGTTGCTTGCTGAAGGGATTGTAGATGCCGGTCGTGGTAGTTTGAGCTATCATGAAATGTCAGTCATCGGGCCACCGGGGCATTTACTTTCGACCCTCAAGGGAAACCCTACTTGTGAGATGTTGGCCAGAGATTGGCCTTTGACGGTGGATCGTGGCAGCGCACTTGTGGGAGTCTTTGATGGATAGTCGAGAGCACGCTCAGCGAGGGGTCTGCGCTTGGCCTCGGATTGGGGTGCTGGCAAACGTTAGCATATCCAAAGAATCTGTCCCGTCTGCATCGCTTCTTTCGTACCGGACGGCGGAATCTCGCGCTTGAGGCCCCTCGGCGCGGGGATGGACGATTGACTTCGAGCATTCTGCTGTGACTCGCTCCACTCGGTCAGTCCCCCGGCGTGCGCTGTCGGGGCCGGCAAGCGACTGATTTTGGAGGGCCGCGTAGCCTGTGGGAGCATTGCAGTCAGCCTTTGCCTCTCTGCTATACACTGGCGATCCATGTTTGTGTGAGAGAGCGAACCTGGTTCTCGGTAGCGTCCATTGTAACAATAAGGGAAAAAATATCAACAAAGAAACCGAAGGTCGGGGATCGCGTGGAACGATGGAGCACGCGCTCCGGCGATTAGATTTCGCTGCAGGGCGGGGTGAAGATATTCAAACGATGATGGAGGATAGGAGCAGTACAAGTGCAGTTTTCGTCCCCTGGCTCGGTTGTTGACGCAAGATTATTTGAACGGAATGGCTTGATGCTTGATTTGTGTTATCGGTGTGGAGCAAGAGTCAAAGAGCACGGGCCAGGTTATTTACTGCTGCAGTTGCGTCGGCCAGGCAACAGTGGCTGATGTGCTGTGGCTTGACTTTTGGGCGACTTGGGGCGCATTCATTTTTACATTGTTCTACAGTAAGCTGGTGCAATTCAACCACGGTGCTAAAGCGGAAGAATGCGACAGTAGTTCACGTTAGTCGCGGCTGTAGGAGGCAATGATCGCATCCTAGGGCTGGAACCCAAGGGGTTGTTGAAAGACACACTGTAATGCCTGCCACTGATGTACTGCCTCTACTACCTACTTACACCATTGTATGTATCCGTCATTTTCAGCAGTCCAAGGTGAGGCAGCAGTCGACTGGCCCTATATGGTTCCTCCTTTACCCCGAATGACAGCTCGCAATCCGTCTTATATCCGCTGATCTGATTTCACATGTCATCTGCAACTGCAATGACGTCTCTACCTATCTCGCCGAGCGCAGAGTTGTAGGTACCATGTACCGGGCTCGACGAGAAGCTGAGAGCGTCCATAAGAGGCTTAGTGTCCTTGCCGCTTTGCAGAGACACGCGACTTTCACATGCCAGTTGATAACACTTTGTTCGATTTATAATGCCTATATTGCATAGTTGTCGCGAGTATTCAATTGTAGCAAATGTAGATTGTTATTGATCATAATGATACATCATTAGATAAAGAGTGTGTCCTTTGTGGCGATGGATTAGTAGTTTCCATCCTGAGACCACTTCTTTGTGCTGAATTCATTGTTACCGCATGCGCGCCTCCGTCAATCACAACACCAAAGAAGTCGTATTCATTTGTCAAAGATTCATTTCTATATATGTCATCTTGAAAACAAATCATTCCATGAGCTTATTCCACACGTACATATGCATCTCTTCCCTTCCCACGACATGCTGTGGTACACCCCAAACAACCCCACCACGAAGAAGCTCTAAAAGCAGCGCTGCTGATGTAATCCCACCTCCAAACTTTCCAAATGTCCATCCCCAAGTTATGGGGACCTTTAGTATTCCCAGAGCTTCCTCCCATTGTCCCACGCAAAACCGCATCTCTACAGCTAAAGTAGATACTCCACCCTCTCTTCTCCTCTGCTTCCCCCCCCCGTCGACCATTTTCACGGTTTCTTTTAATCTCTGTTAAGCGAAGAGGGGAGAGAAGAGCTCCATCCTCTTCGGCTTGGCTGTCTTCAATGTCTCGGTAGCGCCACGTCGTCTACTCAATCTTCGATAGTAACACAGAGCCGCTTTCAGGTTGGAAAAGAAGCAACAGTCTAGGTACTCGGCTGTGCTTCAAGATGGAGAAATACAGCCAGTTTCGCGATAGAGGTGAACCACCTCTTTCCCTCATTCTCTACAAGAAAACTGACTTATACGCCAAAAAAAAAAGCAACCGGCATCGCGCCCTTCCTCCCCGTCTCATCCCCCAGCTCTGCCATCTCGACGCTCACCCACGTCCTGCTCTTCCTCGTCCGCCTCCCCATATTCCTCACCTACGCCCTCGGCTACTTCATCGTCTTCCACCCGCTGCCGCTCCCCGTCTTCGCCCGCAAAATAGCACTATGGGGCCTCATGGCCATCCCGGGCATCTGGTGGATTGACCTCCAGCTCGACGGCGTCAAGCGCGGCACCTTGTCCGAGCAGCCCCGCGAAAGAGTCCCTCACCCAGGATCAATCATAGCCGCCAACTTCACCAGCCCTGTTGATGCCATCTATCTGGCGGCGATATTCGACCCCGTCTTTACCATCTCATATCCGGGCGAGCGCAAGGTCAGGAGGATAGGATTGCTGCAAGCCGTGACGAAGGCGCTTGCGCCAGTCACCACGCAGCCCGCACCAAGTGCCCAGCTGGTGGACCTGAAAGACCTGGTCAAGCAGTATCCGAATCGCGTCATCGCCGTCTTCCCCGAATGCGGCACCACCAACGGCAAGGCCATCTTGCCCTTCAGCCCCAGCATTCTTCAAACCCCCCCGGACGTGCACATCTTCCCCGTCAGCATTCGTTACACCCCGTCCGGAATCACGACGCCCATCCCCGGACAATGGCTTCGTTTCCTGTGGACACTGCTTTCTCGACCAACGACATGCATCCGTGTGCGCATCGCCGAGGGGCAAACGAACAAGGCGGCCGCAAAGTCTGGCGAAACCATTCCTAGCGATTTAGCTTATAGAGGTGGAGCAGGCGCTGCAATCAACAGCGAAGAACAGAAGCTGCTGGATTGGATAGGCGAGGCGCTGGCGAGGCTGAGTAGAGTCAAGAGAGTGGGCTTGACGATGAAGGACAAGGCTGCATTTGTTCGGGCGTGGACTGGAAAATAGGCATTGATTTAGGGCTCTGATCTGTCTGGTTGGTGTTTCTAGGTTATTTGAGGTCTTGTACATTGTAGCAGGATGCAGCATAGCAAGAACTGAGGTTTTCGTTTGCCAAGATATTACGCCCATCAATTATTCTTCAAGTACATGCGTGTCACCATTCACTGGGATATCTCATCTTGACATGTTCAAATATGTAAATGGAACTATAGTCAGCCCTATCAAGCCAATCCATCCGGATATTCAAGCAAAACTCCTCATGCATATACAAAAATAGCCAAGCATCACACTAAACACACTCCTCCTTTTTTCTTCTTCCTTCATCCTCTTTTGCTCGGTCGCCCAATTCAAGCAACCGGGCCATCAGTGACACAGCCAGAGCTGGCATCGCTAACCAGCTTGGCGTACTTGGACAGCGTTCCCTTGGTGTATCTGGGCACGGGAGGCTTCCACTCCTTCCTTCGCCTCTCCATCTCCGCCTCTGAAATCTCCAGGTCAATGATTCGCTTGTCGGCATCAATGGTGATCTCGTCGCCATCCTTGACGAGGGCAATGGGGCCACCCTCCATGGCCTCGGGAACAATGTGTCCGATGATGAAGCCGTGAGAGCCACCAGAGAAACGGCCATCAGTCAACAGGGCAACGTCCTTGCCCAGTCCAGCACCCATGATGGCCGAGGAAGGCTTCAGCATCTCAGGCATACCGGGGCCGCCCTTGGGCCCATCGTAGCGGATAATAACGACGGTCTTTTCGCCCTTCTTGATCTCACCAGCCTCCAGGCTGGCAATGAAATCAGACTCGGCATCGTAGCAACGAGCCTTGCCGACGAATCGCAGACCCTCCTTGCCAGTGATCTTGCCAACACAGCCACCAGGAGCCAGGGAACCGCGCATAATCTGGATGTGGCCGGTGGGCTTGATGGGGTTGCTGAAAGGTCGAATGATGTCCTGGTCGGCAGGGAAATCGGGAGCACTCTCGACGTTCTCCTTCATGGTCTTTCCGGTCACAGTAACGCCAGAGCCGTCAATGAGGCCCTCCTTGAGGAGATATTTGAGCAGGCCGGGGGTGCCACCAATCTTGTGCATATCAGCCATGACGTACTTGCCAGACGGCTTCAGGTCGGCGAGGAAGGGGATGCGGTCAGAGACAGCCTGGAAGTCGTCAATTGTCAGCTTGATTCCGACGGAGTCGGCAATGGCAATCAAGTGAAGCACTGCGTTGGTGCTTCCACCAAGAATGGTGGTGACAATCATGGCGTTCTCAAAGGCCTGTCGGGTGAGGATGTCGCGAGGGCGGATGTCCTCCTTCAAAAGGTTCCGGATGGCAGCACCGACGCTCTCGCATTCGGCCTTCTTCCTCGGGTCCTCGGCAGGGCTGCTGCTGCTGCCGGGTAGGGTCAGGCCCATGGTCTCGATGGCCGTCGCCATGGTGTTGGCAGTGTACATGCCACCGCAGGCACCGCTTCCGGGACACGCGTGACGGATAATGTCGTATCGCTGATCCTCGGTGATTTCTCCGGAGATGTACTGGCCGTATGCCTGAAATGCCGAGACAATGTCAATGGATTCGCCAGCCTTTGTGCATCCGGGCTGGATGGTGCCACCGTAGACCATGATGCTAGGCCGGTTGACACGGCCCATAGCAATCACGACACCGGGCATGTTTTTGTCACAGCCAGGCAAGCTGACGTTGGCATCGTACCACTGTCCGTTCATGACAGTTTCGATACTGTCGGCAATGATTTCTCTGCTCTGCAGCGAGTATCGCATACCAGTGGTGCCCATGGAGATACCATCACTGACACCAATGGTGTTGAATCTGTAGGGAATGAGACCGGCCTTGGCCACAGACTCTCTGACGAGCCCAGACAGATCCATCAGGTGCATGTTGCAAGGGTTTCCCTCGTACCAGACGGAGGAGATGCCGACCTGCGCCTTGTTCAAGTCGGCGTCTGTGAGGCCGGTGGCGTAAAGCATAGCCTGGGAAGCACCTTGGGACTTGGGCTGCGTGATGTTTGCGGAGACCTTGTTGAGCTTTTCGTCGGCATATCGGGCTGATGAAGTTGACAGCAGGCGACTGCGAAGGGGTGATTGTCAGCTTTGATTCGCATTGACTCTGTTTCATGTCTTTACTTACGCCTGATTTCTTGTGGAGAGAGTGCCGGCTCTTGACAGAGCGTTGAACGCCCTTGACGGGGTCTTGAGCAGCGATCGTGAGAGCATCTTGTCGATGGGCTGGTGGAAGGCTGGGTCCTATTATCGGAGCAAGAATTAGATCTCTGCTAGACGGCTGAGCCACGTTGCATTCCGCACAGAGGCGACCAAGAGAGAAGAGAAAAAAAAAGAAGCAATTGCACCAAGATGGCTCTGGTAAAGTATCGAGGAGCAATGGACGATGTCTCTCCGAATCAACGCTGTAGATAGAAGAAGAAGAAGAAGAAAATATCTTGGACCGCAGATGCCTTGGGCAGCTGGCCTAAGCCCACACTGACGTACCTGTCAATAAATCAATCCCGCAACTTGGCGCCAATCTTCAATCCTCAAGCTTCAATGCCGTGAGAAGTCGAAGCAAGTGCAGGTGCTGCCCGATGACTCTTCAGCAGTTGATGTCGCAGATAGTCGGGCCGCAATGGCTGACGTGATTCTCTCAATGGGGGTTTGTCCCTGTGATCTTCCCTGTGATCCCGCTGCAGAGAAGCTTCCAAGGCTCCCACTAAGAAGAGAGATTTGATCCATCCATTCATGGATCCATGGATGGCAATTGGGAAAAATTGTTGCCCCGCACTGCCGCTGAAGCTGCGAGACAGCAGCTAATTGGAGGCGCCTGATTGGCTGCAGCGGGCTTTATAGCGACTAGAGCCCCTGCTAGAGGCAACATGTCCAGATTTCTTGCAGGGCTGTAGCTTATCTGACATGAGATTGATGAGAATCGACATCACTTGGTCAAGTCCTGTTGGCTTAATCGATGCTTTACGTGGCAGATGCGAAACTGAATTACACGGTATCTTTTAGTAGTAGTATCTAGCAATTGAATAATATTGTATTTTAAGAAACTAGGTTTCAAATCCAAGAGATGCAAGTTCCTCGGACACCTGAAGCTGTCCCACTTGAGCCAAAGCTGCCGGTGGAGATGCTCACCTTGCGATGAGCCGATATCGGCCAGCACAGGATATCTTGAGAAAAGAGCATGTACTTGTACTGCTGCAGCAGAGTCTCACTATTTTCAATAAAAATTGGCTTAGACTTGATGAGCAGCCTACCGAAGAGATGGGCTCCATTTCTGTCATGATTTGGTGCGCCAATGCATGATTGTCCATTGCTACCTCCTAATCTTACAATGCGTGCCGGGACGCCTATCGGAATCTCCATTTCTCTCGGAGCCATCCTATGTGATTAGTACTTTCTTTCCTCCTCTTCCTCTTCCTTCTTTGGCTGGGTATCCTTGTCTTTTCTCGTCGTGAATACCTCGTCAATGACGCCCAGCTCCAGTGCTTCCGTCACACTTAGGTATTTGTCTCTCTCCATGAGATCGTTAATCTCTTCCAGGCTATACTTGTCAAATCCCTTTGCCTTGTTCAAGTGGTATCGCATAATCTGGTTAGACTGCTCTCGTATCTTTTGTATCTGGTTCGCGTAGATCAAAATGTCCGATGCCTGCCCTCGAGTGCCGCCCAATGGCTGATGAATCATGATGGAGCTATGTGGAAGGGCGCAGCGTTTGCCTGCCGCGCCACCAGCCAGTAGGATAGCTGCCATGGACGCGGCACCTCCGATGCATACAGTCGCGACGGGGGATTTGATATAAGTCATCGTATCGTATATCGCCATGCCTAATACTGCTGTGAGTCATTGCAGTCGTGTCGCGGACAAGGGTGGGAGCGCACCTGATGTGACGGAGCCGCCCGGAGAGTTGATATACATCGTAATGGGCTTCTCGGGGGCGTCTGATTCCAACCAAAGAAGCTGGGCAACTATGGAAGCTGACATGTAGTCGTCGATTTCGCCGTTTAAACATATTATTCGTTGCTGGGTTGGTCAGAAGCTGTAGACACCATACTCGTGGTTGCCGGCATAGGCTTACCTGTAGGAGCTTTGAAAAGATGTCCCCTCGAAAGTGTAAGTACATTGATCACCTAACCAGTGGTCCAGAAGTGAGCGTACATGTTTTTCTGCCGGTTGCCTGTTCCCTTTTAGCCCATGTTCACGGCAACAGCGCTGATGCCGCCGCTTACTGAAGTCTCTTCGATATACGGCATAGGGATGTTCATTGACGGGGAGGTGCTGGCGGAGCTGGAGAAGCCAAACGACCTTGCATGGCGAATGGGGAGCGCCCGCAGGCTTGGAAGCAGTCTTGATCGTAACATTTCGGAAGTGGATTGACGCGCGACAGAGAGAAGCTGATGAATGGTGAAGGGATCAGCTCTAAGGGTCCGAAGTATGTCATGATGCTATAGGTAGCTTGGTCCCCACATTAGGTATCTTATCTCAGCCCAGCTTATCGTTATCGCGCGTCACTCGAAAATAAATCGCATGCCCAAGCTGCACTACACACAAACGACATGATTCTTTGGAATTCAGTCGACGGGCGATGAAACGATGCACGGTGCTCCGCCCAAGTAGCTTTGGGACACTGGGGCCTCTCCAGGCTCAACGATGGCACTCCTACGACAAAGCTTCCCTGACGAGAGAGGCCCTGCTACGGAAAGTCGAAGCTGGCCTTGGGCGCGATACGGACGGCGAGTCATTAAAGGTCGACCCCGAGGCCAAGATCATCTCGACGGCGGCTGGAGATCTTCCCATCTCGCCGATATTTGATCCAGCATGGATGCAGGCCAGGAGAAGGACTGCAAAGGCTGCGCCGGGTCCGCCACTAGGCAGGTTTCGACGGAAGCTGGCAAACAATCCATTTGGTATGGCGAGCTTGTTCCCCGTGATGAGAGGAGGAAGAAGCTAATGGAAAGTAGCACAGGCTCTCGCTACACCAATACGAAGATGCCCAAGCAGCGCCACGAGCTTGCCACGCTACTTCCTACAGGACTTTGAGCTTATAAAGCACCCGACGACTGGCACGCCCTGGTGGGCTCCCGGCCCGTTATCTTTCGAGCATGTCCAGCCCGCCAAGCGATTAGACGAAGCACAAGCCAATATCAGCGGCGGACACGATGTAGAGGCCTCGGCAGCGGAGCCCATCTCAACCCCTGTTGCAGGTCCAAACGTCAACGCAGAAGCCTCGGAGGAGCACGCCCGGCGGCCGCGAAGAGCACCCATAACGACCTACATGCTGAACCGCAAGCTGCTGGTTGACATGGTTGGTGGGCCAAACAAGAAATACCTCGCAATGCTGCTGGCGGCCCGAAGCGGCATGGCCCTCGCCCCGGACAGTAAGACAGCAGTCTGGAGGGAAGATATGGGCGATGTGCTCCTGCAGATGATGCGTCAACAGGCAACAGATGCGCTAGCTACTCGTGGCAATCGGTTACACGAACCCAAACACAGGTTCATCGAACCCTGTGCCAATTGGAAAGATGTCAGATGCGTCGGATTGCGGGGCTGCGTTCTCTGGCTGCCTGAGAAGAAAGATGCGGCGGATCAGTACGCAACACTGGATATCGGGGAAGCTCAATACGGAAGGAAGATGGTTGTGCATAATCTACATTGGCTACTCGGCGAGCGAGAGGTACAGCGGCTAAGAGATTCGGCTCAGTTGTTTCGGGATGGAGAGATATTCGTGCTGAAGCAATGGCCGAGTATGAGCGTGATGAGGCTGCATCTCTTACTGTGGAGGCTACAGGGCTATCTGGCGGAACCAGATACGAGTACAGGCAGCAGCTCTCCACGGCGACAGTGATGACAAGGGCGATGCCAGGCAAGATAACAACACGGCAGCTGGGCGCAACCCGGACCTTGTGTATCTGTATGGGCCTGTTACGAGGATGAGTCGCATCAGAGAGAGAGAGATGCAGGCAGGACTCGGGATGAAGAAGATGCCCCTCCACGTGTGCGGCACGAGCATCGGACAGGGCAGCATCTGCAAGTTCATGGTCCTACAGTACGTGATTGCCGCTTCCACTTTACAGAGACTAGACCACTCGATGGAACATTCCTTGCACGCATGCGACGGCGGTTTTGGACACCCACGCGAATGAAATCTTATTCGAAAGCAGCAATCCCGAACCAAACCGACCATTCAGAGCGCGGCTTAAGCCCCCGGAGACGCCGGCCCTGGACACTAGCTGACCGCGGAAGGATGGAGACTTTAGCTTCCCTGGAGCTTCAAGGGCCGCATTTCTTGTTTCCTCCTAGCTCAGGTCAGCGTTGCACAGGAACAAGGGCGAGATAAGCAAGATGTACGATTACAGTGATGACCTGTACCCCATGACGGAATGTCTCACAGCCCAGTCCGATTTCTCTGGCCCGGAGTCGCGGAGTGCGCTTTGGCGAACCCGCCTGTGTAATCCAGCAAGTCTACTCCGTAGGTCAAGAAAAACAAAAACAAATGGAACCCAAAGACGGGAGCGGAATCGCGGCGGAGGTCAGGGGGCCCACATGGCCGAAGGTCATTTTTTTTTTTGTTGGGTGAATCGCATACCAGTGGCAATACCTTGTGTCTGCGGAGAGATGCAGAGAGATGCAGAAGGAGACGGGACATATGCAAGAGATGAGTTGTCGGTTGCGCTATCTCGGTTGGTGCCAGAGTTTGGGCATGTGTGAGTGTGAGTTCGGAGGATTAAAACTCCATGACCAATTGTTCTCTCAGGATTCAGCCATTCTTGTTGGTCATTCTTTCAGTTCGGACTCCGAAGACGATTCCATTTGCAGATGCATTCTCGGGGGAAATGTGTGCTTAGATTCGCACGAGGACCTCAGAGGCTCGATTACATTCGCACAAGGCGGCCATCGCCTGGCACAATCGAGAATCCTTGCCGGGCCGGGCAGTTGAAGCATAGCCATTGCGTACCGTCAGCCAGATTCCTGGATGCTCGGCAATGATTACAAGTGGTATTTGCTCCGCATTGCTGCTCGTCCGATCACAGATGCGCAAAAGGCCTCGTCAGGCCAGTCACGAGCTTAAAAGCCCCTCGACAAACGCCTGCTTTCCGTTTGCATTCCCTTCTTCTATATACTACTCCGTACTTAGCCTCGTCTCGTGCTCCTCTCATACTATCATCTGGCATCCTTGACCCCCCGCAAATAGATCAAGAGCCACTGCTGCTGCTAGCATTGGTCAGGGTGACGTCTCGGTTCTCGGTGGACCCAACAAAATCCCATCGAGGCTCGTCTATTGACTTCGTCTAGGGCTCCCTTGGCCCGTTAAATTCGCCGGCTTACGGGCTCGTTTCACTTTCCACTTGTCTTGTGTGATTAAAAATCGCCGAATGAGAGACATTTTTATTCATTCGGCTTCGGGTGATTTCCTCTGCCTTAAAGCTGCATTTCTCTGCCACCGCAAACGAGGTGTTTGTTTGGTACGGAGTGCTCTGTGACGCAGCAAAACCGTTGAGATTTTAGCCTCGCCTGCACAACTGCGGCTTCACCCCAACAACGCCCGGCTCGAGATCCACTGATAAGCGAGGCTAATCGCTGAACCCTGGGGGAACCGGAACTGAGCCGTTTGCAGTCGTTTGAGCTTCTTGATTGTGATTTGGCTTTTCCATAACCATCTCGGTCTCTGCTGTTCCTCTCTGGCACTCTTCCCCTTCCCCTTCAACCTGTGTCAGTCCCGCAGCTTCATCTCCGAGCTCTCAGCTACTGCCCCTGTCTTTGTGCTTGGCGCGTCTCAACAAAACGACCAGCTCAGCTCGGGCTTATCGATAGCCATCCGTCAACACAGTCGCAATGCGTGGTCCCAACCCAGAGCTGATCCAGCCGGAAGACTGGGCTCGTCCGGATCAGCCCTCGTACAACACGCCCGTCTTCCTCATCCACGACGGCGGCGGCACCACCTTTGCCTACCACTGCCTGGAGATTCTCGGCCGCTACGTCTATGGCGTCCACAACCCCTACTTTTACACCGGCGAGGCCTTCGAGGGCGGCATCCCGGAGATGGGCCGCACCTATGCAAAATGGATCCGACAGACGGTGCAGGAAGACGAGTTTCCCGCCAGGCGGAGGAATCACGACGGCACAATCAGCATCATGCTCGGCGGCTGGAGCTTGGGTGGCCTGCTGAGCATGGAGGTTGCGCGGCAGCTGGCAGACGACGACGTCGTGCGAGTGTCGGGCATCCTCATGATTGACAGCATCTATCCGGGCAAGTCCAGGTCTACAGGCTACATCCCTCTCGTTCCCACATCCGGACCTCCGGTCAAGCGGTTTCCCGACGTTGAAGCGCCCAAGATCAAGATTCGTGGCCTCAAGGTCGTCGACGAGGCCTCCAGCGAAGAAGACACGTCTTCGGACGAAGCTTCGACGGATCGAGAGGGCCTGACACAGAACCAGATCCACTCCAGGCGATGCATGGCGGAGGCTGTGCGCATGGTCCGACAATGGCGTCTTCCCGAGTGGTCTGGCAGACTCTACAACCGACGGCCGCGGGTGGTGTTGCTGCGCGCAAAGGAATACGTGCCGGCAAAGGACGGTCGCACGGTTGGGCTGGACCTGAACCGGGAAGACGAGTTGCTCGGCTGGGGCGATTACGACGACGAGATGTTCTGCGACGTGTTTGATGTGGACGGTCACCACTTTGACATGTTTGCGTTCGAGAGGATAGCTGCCATGACGAGGACCATCAAGAAGGGCCTTGATAGGCTGGAGGAGTGTTCGCAGATGATGACGTTTGGGGATGGTTGGTAGAGAGGGAGAGCAGAGCATGCATGGTTCTTAGGCGTTGGCATATTTTTTGTTTTGTTTTCATCTGTTTCAAGCATTGGAGCATTGGTTTGGTTCTTATATCGGAATGCATTTAGCCGGAGTTGTGGTTGCAACATTGTTATTTCTCTTCTCTCTCTGGTGGTAGCTTTATTGGGCAGAGAGTGGTTGCGGTTACGGCCGTTGTGGATTGGTTATTACTTGATATCCCTTGCTATATATCATAAGCATCAGGTTCATCCAGTTTGTTCCTTTACTTGCACCGTGCCCTTTGAGTAAGAATGTCTGGGAAGTCTATAACAGAATCTAGGATGCTTCTCCAAGCAGCTATTTGTTTGAATTGATGCGTAATGATATAATAGCAGTTACTAGAGAAATGAAGATATAGTATATATACTCCTGCTGTAGGTAAAATGTGTAAATCAATATCTATCTATACGATGAAGCTTCTCCTCGTCGGCCACTTTAAAATACCTTTTCAACCAAAGCGATCTGGGTATTATATCAAGGCCATCTTGATAAAACAAACGCACAGACGACATCATATCGTCTCCAAGTTGGGATCTCTCTCCAAAAGCTCCCGTATAGCCGCCATGCCCTTACTCGGCGCCGAAAAATCAACCCAATATCCTCCTTCAGCCTTTGACATGATGAAGGCGTTTACTAAATGTATAAATCAAGTCAGAAAAAATAACCGTTTAAATCAAGGAGATGAAACCACTTACGTCGATTGGGATGGTTCCGTTCCAGCGAATGTCCCAGAATAATCGGCGCCGAATCAGCCCCGTCCATCGTCTTCGCATCATCGCCGTCCTTCCTTTCAGCAACTTCTTCCCCCGTCTTGTTAACGCTGGCTGCGGAGAACTCGATGCCGTGCCACGCGTTGCACCAGTTGGTCGGGCCGTAGCTGAATTCCCACGGTTCGCAGATGTGCATCGGGATGTTCCTTCGGAGGAGTTCTCGTGTTACTGCGAGGCCGCGCTCCACCTTCTCTGGCTTGAGGGTTTCGAGCACGGCGAGGCGTTGGCCGTAGGCAATTTCCGAGGTTGGGGGCTTGGAGCGGCTGATTGCTGTGTGGCTGACGGCGAAGAGGAGGGCGTTGTGGAGGTAGGGGGTGTTTTTGGGGAGGAGAGGATGATTTCCGCGGACTGGAGATGTTTGATGTTAGTTATCGTACATGTGTGTTGTAAAGATGGGAGAGCTCACGGTTTACTGGACCGGTGACGACTTGTTTCTTGGTCTTTTTACGGTGCATGTTGGCAAACTAGAGGATAAAAGGGTCGGCATCAGCATCTACATGTAGATATTCCATCGTGAGGTTGGGCATCGAGTACCTTGGCTACAATCCCGACGAGTACATCTCCATTTGTAATATCCGCTGCATCAGAGCCATACTTGACCTTTAATTCTTTCCTCCATTTGTCCCGTAGCCCATTGACTATGCCCACTGGTAAGAAGATGGTGCCTCTCGTCTCTTTTGGGCGAGCAACGAGCTCTGGGACAATTCCCATCAGAACTTCCGCTCGTTCTCTCCTTGATTTCAACCGATATTCGTATTTTTTGGAAAGCTCTTTGAAGGTGAGGTCTTTGTCGCCGTCGAGGCCACCTTCTGGTAGTTCAATAAAAGGCTGGGGTTCTTTGCCCTTCATGACGTCTATCCAGGAAGTGATGAGGCTGCCAAAGCCCATCTGGTCGCTTACACAGTGTAGCAAATTGAGGCAAATGATGGTGGCATCTTTGTAATGTGTGAGATGGACGAGCAAGAGCGGCGTGTCTGGCTTGTCCTGGTCGCGTCTGACGGGCCAGTCGGATGGGATCCAGCGCCGTTCCATAACCGTCACATCGTGTAAGATGGTGATGCCTCTTTGTGAGTTGCGTTCCGGCACGAGATTGTCTTCTTGGAGCGTTGAATCAATATTGCTGGTGGACCAGCTGAATAATTCGTGATTATCAGGGAAAGGGGTGATGAGATGATACTGCAGTAAGCCATCGGCTCCGCTGGGCTTGATTCGTGCTCCAAGGATGGGTATATGGTTCCTGATTAGTTTATCCAGAGACGCTCTCATGAGCTCTCCATCGAGAACATCGCGGACGACAATGAAGACCAGCGAGCGAATGTTGTGGATGGGCCGCCATTGGTCTTTGGCCGAAAGAGGAATGATCCTTTCGCTGAAGGATTTCGCTTTGACGCTCATGATGTCGCTGTTCCAGATATACGTCACAAGAGCAATTCCGCCAGAGATGGGTGAAACAATGTGTTGATAAATTGTGCTCTATTGCATTCCTATCGTCTAACTATATATGAAGACTCCCCCTGGTGGTCATCAGCTGATAGCTTGAGGAAAGCTTTGAACTTAATTTCATTCACCCCGTGATTAGCGCTTAGGGGGGGCTTGACAGGCTTGACACTTATCGCACGAGGGACTCAAGTTCGCGTCTTGGGATTTTGCCGCGAGCGGGATAGTATATGGCCAGGCAGCCAAACAAAGAGGGATCATTGAAGCTGTTGGTTCTTGTTGCATCTCTAAATATGATTCTGCTCTCGTTAATGGCACCCCGCATGGCGAATTGGGCAAAACGCATTCCATCGCTCACTCATAAGCAAGTTCTCGTTGAAGGATTCGCAATAGCTCGCCGCTGGCAGGTTACCGCTGCGCGCCACCTTTCTCAACCTCTCTTGGCGCTCTGTAAGCATTAATGCCTATGAGGCAAGCGGTCCTTGGGACAATGAAAATGAATTCGTATCGGATCGAGTTGTTTGTGAATAGCCGAATCAACTAGCTTACAACACGGGCTAGCCATACGTAAGATCGGGAAATAAGACAGAAAACGGTTGAGCTATATCTTCGTTGAAAGTGCTGTGCTTAGTCTACCCCTGAATAAAGGGTAGCCTATCCGGGGGTTTGGTCTGACAGTTACGGGGGTATGATAGGGAAAAGGCCCAATACGAGTATCTTGAACCGGACTGCCGATTGTCAGATTTAATTACCGACAATACCTGGAAACCCTGGTACGAAAGCCTGAGTATCGGGGAAGCGTCATTACCAAGAGCCAAATACCGATATGACGGATCGATCCTTTTCATCGCCCAAGTCCACGTGTTTAGAATCCCCGACCTAATTAGTTGCAATGTTTTATCCTAGCATATGACATAGAGTTCCTTGACTCCTAGAATCTATCACAACTCGATGATAAGAGACTAAACATTGGAATTTTGCAGGAGTTTAAACACCCTCAAGACATGAGAAGCCAAGATAAAACAAGTTGTAGACAGAGCTGAAAGGAAGGTTTAGGAGCTTGCGCACAGCCATATAGAAAAGAGCCAGCTCTCTCGAGTACATATGCTTAGAGGTATGCAGTGTCAGTGATATCCGGTAGAGACTCAGCATTAGACCTTGAACCAATAATTTCTTTAATTGGGCATCTCCATTGATCTCCAAGATCTCGCGAGTGCCACACAGTAAGAGGTAAAATTAAAACAACTACATGATGGACAATTCGTGATAAAACTGCTGATTCGCCATCTCCAGGATTCGTAAACATCTGAAGGAACAAGCAACGAGGTAAATATAAATTACATATATCATTACTATGCCCTGTCCTACATACCGCTCTCATGAAAAGATGGAAACTGCACCAAGCAAATGTTCCACTTCCGCATGTCCACTCCGGGCAGCCAAAGATAACGGCGTCCGTCCAGATACATCCTCTAAATCAGTCTTCACATCTTTGTGCATAAGAAGAAGCTTCACTACACCCCGATGCCCATGCCTAGCTGCCCAAAATAATGGCGTCCATCCATCCTCATCTCTCGAATTAACATCAACCTCATTACGGGACAGCAACAATTCCATCACGTCCCGGTGCCCCTGTTCAGCTGCTCGAGACAAAGGCGTTCGTCTAGATGCATCTTTGGAATCGACCTCAATCTTCTTATAAGCAAGCAACAGCTTTACCACGTCATGGTGCCCTTGATCAGCTGCCCAAGACAGTGGTGTCCGCCCTTTCATGTCTCGTGAATTGATTTCGACGTCTTTGCGATCAAGCAACAGCTTTACCACGGCTTCGTGTCCTTGCTCGGCTGCTCGGGATAGTGGCGTTTGTCCATAATCGTCTCTCGAATCCGCTTCGACGCCCTTACGGCCAACGAAGCGCTTCTTGGCGCCTTTGTAATAGCGCGCAAACTTCGATAGCAACAGTTTTCGTTGGGGTTTCTTTTCTGACGCGACTTGAACGTCACTGTGGTCAAGTAGAAGCTTTACTACGTTGTGTTGTCCACACCACGCCGCCCAAGATAACGGCGTCCTGCCATCAAAATCCTTCGAGTCTGGCTCGACGTCATTGCGTTCAAGTAACAATGTCACTATGCTGTCGTGTCCCTGTCGAGCCGCCCATGATAAAGGCGTCCGGTTGTATTGATCCTTCGAGTCCGCCCTGGCAATGTTGCGGTTTAGCAAAAGTTTCACAATGGCATCGCGCCCTTGCCCAGCTGCTCGCGACAGTGCTGTTCGTCCATATCGATCGCTTTCATCGGCCTCGCCGTTGTTCAAAGCAAGCAGTAACTCTACTATTTCTTCATGTCCTTGTTCCGCAGCCAGCCATAGCGGTGTCCGTCCGTGTTCATCTCTCGAAATAGCAACAACATTATGATGGATCAACATGTCGGCAATGGTCTTGTGTCCCTTTTCGGCCGCCTTTGACAGCGGTGTTTGTTGCCATTTATCCGCAGAATCAGCATCAACGTCACTGCAAGCAAGCAGCAGTTGTACCACAGATCCATGTCCTTGCTCGGCAGCCCACGATAGCGGTGTCCGTTCATCCATATCTCTTGAGTTAGGAGCAACATCATTGCGGGCCAGCAGCATCTCAGCAATCGTATGGTGGCCCTTTTCTGCAACCCACGAGAGCGGTGTCCGCCCATCTATATCTGTTGTATCAGCCTCGATGCCATGGTGTGCGAGTAGTAAATCTACCACGGCTTCATGCCCTCGTTCGGCTGCCAATGACAGAAATGTGCGCTCTTTCTCGCATCTCGAGTTGATGTTGGTCCCAGCTGTCAGCAAGATCTCGACGGCCACGGGAAAGTCGTTCCAAACTGCGGCGTGTAAGGCTTGAGCCCTGAATTCCATTGCTTTTCTTTCGTGCTCATTGGGATGTGAATCTTGAACCCTCGTCCCCATATTTGATAAAACCCAGCTGTCCAACAAGTAGGACGATGGGTTGCCGGTCAGGCTGTTTGTTAGTCGAATGGCAAGATACGAAACCCTTGTGTCTTGGTGACAGTGGCTCATATGATGCTTAAGGAAACACAGAGCATATTTTGCAAACGGTCTTTTTTGTAGGTATTTGGCATACTCATAAAAGTGCTCCCAAGTCCACGATTCGAGAGAAGGTAGTGTCTTTGCCAAAGCAGTACAGGCAACACAGAGCATGAGATAGCGAATACAGATTTTAGACATGAAAATGTGAGCGTCCTCGTCGTCGCTCATACGCAACTCTGAGTTTGCTACGCATCCGCTGGAGCTGAGGAAGAAGTCGCGCACGGTTTGATGCATGGCCTGAACAACCTCGTTCCCAATAGAGTTATCAGTTCGAGGGTATGAGGTACTGGAACGGGCATTTGCCAAGGAGGCACCATACGGCTGCTTGACTTCCAAGAAATTCCCTCCGCAATGAGTGATGCGTGTCTTGGTTGGAATTCGTCCGTCAAAGACATCGTCGGAAAGGTCAGATTCGATATCCGCAACACGCGACATGGCCAAGGCGTGCAGCAACTCGTTTACCGTCAGAGGTCTCACTGCCCAGAGAACAATTTGAAACATTTGTTTTGATTCTGGAATATATGGTTTGTTCTCGCTCAAGCTCTTAAACATCAGCTTGTAAAAATCGTCCAATTCCGTGGGAAGCTGTTCGAGGCATCGAAAAATGACGTCTTCAGAATCACCAACCTCTATAGAGGCTTTCAGTTGATCTCCAACAAGCTTCACCCATAGGAACACCCCGTGTGCGTTCTTGATGATGAAATCTGTAGCTTTAGCCAGAAGGCGCGAGATATGCAGGTCGTCTAACATAGAGCGCGCGAAACGAGAAATGTCGGACACGGTCTCTTCGTGTAGCTGTATCATGTTGTTGACATTCTTCTGGCGGACGTCGAGCTGTTCTACTGGCCGGCTCGTTATGAAAACTTTCACGACGCCGTGTTTCATCTCCGCACACAGTTGAAACAAAAGTTTGAGAATATTGCGTCTATCCTCGTATTCAGATTCATCCACCGCATCAATGATTAGATAGAGTGGTCGCCGCAAGGAGTAGTCGCGTAAGGATTTGAGGATACGTTTTAACGACTCATATTCCCAATCGACACCGGTGTCACTACGAGGCTGGAGACGATACTCTGGTTGAAGATGATAAAAGAAGGCTTCATCCTGGTATAAGATATCATGGATGATGGACCGTAGCATGTTGTAATGGCTTCTTTGAAGGATATCCTCTCTATAGCTGTAAAAGAATCTGGCTATGACGGCTGACTCTGCGGCTGGTTCCCGTTCAAGTATGTGTTCATTGAAATACCGTGTAAGAGTGCTTTTGCCACTCCCAGGTTTTCCCTGAATCAGCAGTACACGGGAGACGCTTGGTTTTGACCATGCATTGTATTGTGCGTGTTCCCAGAGCCACTCAAAAGTGCCCTCAGATGCCTTTACGATTTTGCTAAAGCGGGTGTTGACGAAGCAAAGGCTGGAAAGACATTCTATAGTCTATTAGAGAAGATTCTGCGGCATATAGACACAAGATTCGCAATCAAACCTTTTCTTTCTCTATCGTATTCGATATGAGGCAACCCGTTGAATATTTGAGCAGTATCTGATTCTAGCCCACTAGTGAGTAGAATCTTCGCCTTGGACGTTCGTTGTAGGTCTTGGACAAATTCGCGGATTCTCCGGATGAATTTGCCTCTCTGGTCACGAATATGTTCAATTCCATCGATGACAATGGATAATTCCGGAATTCGTTCTGTCGGCATGATGGCCCATAGAGCTGTCCATAAGCTGTCATCTGGAGACTCGAGTAAGTTTTTTATATTGGAATTCGAGTCTGTGAATGAGAATCGTCGCGTTAGATTCGGAGACATCCTTTTAAAAGTATGACTCAAAATACTCCTCAGAAATGTGCGAATGATTGGCATCTGCTTAGCCTGTGGTGAAGTCGAGACAATTTGATGGACAAGAGCTCTGATGAATACTGCGATAGACGATCCTTTTACTGAGGCTGCAGAACAGAAGAAGTGCAACACGAGCCGTTGAGTCTTTGAAGATTTCTCCATCTCTCGATGTAGAATAAAGGACGTCGCTTTGCGTATGTTACATTCTGGTGGCCCAGTTAGCCACAGGATTCGGGAAGAGTCGCCTGTGTCCCAATCTTTAAAATCCGCATTTCTGAAAATCCAGTAATATTCTGGCTTCTCCCAATCTGGCGATGGATTATCGAAATTATATTCGCCTTGGTCCATGGCTGGCAAAACGGAGAGAAACCAGCTCAAATTCACGGTATCAATATTGGAGTCAATCTCAGCTCGAAGCATTTCCTATGAACGAAGTGAAGTCAGTCTCAAGCTTTCTTCTCATCGTAAGAATAAACCAATCATACAGTCTTTGTAGTGTCGTCGACTATGTGAGCCATCGGTGGCTGATTTGCATGGACGGCAGCCAAGACTTCTCTCGCATAAGAAGCTGCAGCGGACGCAGCATAAGGTTGCCAGGCCTTGTTCTTGTGTGAGTCGGCATAGTCGCAAATGCCTCGTATGACCAGGCAAGGGAAGCTGTTCATAAGTCCCGCTGCTTCCATTTCGAAACAAAGGATCCCTCCGAGCTTCGAGCTTAGTTTATCTCTAGTGATGCCATCTCTTATGACTTGATTTCCAGAGGCCACTGTGCCGTAATGAATAACAATGTCTTGATTCCGAGGTTTTCTGTGTACCAGTTGCTTGTCGTCACAGTTCTCGCATGTCGGCCCTTCCACATGCTCATAGCTCGACTCAAACAACATGTCGGTCCTGGTGTCATCGGGCATGACCCCAAGCTGGTGATTGGCCCTTTGCAAGTATTGCGAGAACTTGCTATTTCCAGACAAATGATCCGCTTGTATTTTTGAGAGTGCATCCAACAGCACAATCGGAGGTGTATTGAGAAAGCCAGTCGTTTCGAACTCCCCAGGACGAGTTTTACCAAAGTCATACTGCACCACTCCACCATATCCGTTTCGCGGTTGACTGACGACTACATCTCCGAGCCGTATGTCGGATTCTCTGCTCGGAACTCCTCCTCCAATGCCTACCAAAAGACCAAATCGAATAGACGTAAACCGCAGCATCAACTTGGCCGCAACGGTGGCGGCGGCATTGGTTCCGGTCAAACCCGCTGGTAGGCACGCAATAACAACGTTGTGGTCACCGATCCTGCCGAGCGTGTACTGGCTGCTGTTTGAACCTCCGTGTTTGCAGTCTAGCATCGCCTCTGCCGCGGCGCGCTCGAGAGGGAGCGCGCAAATCCATCCTACTGTATAGTCTGTGGATTTATAGCTGGACATTCGAAGCCTCAGCCTGGCGACCTAGCTGTGCCAGCTGGTAGATGAGCTGTCCTGATTTCTCCTCTATGCCGCTCAACGAGTCCACAGGGCGCCTTTCGCGCAATCTCACGCCTGGGCCAGAAAGCAAGGCAATTTCATGTGCACGCACCATCAAGGCCAAGCTCCGGATTGTCAGCTCCCTCAGCAGTCGGGGTGGTAGATGCTTTTTCGTATGGGCCGTGACCGGCAGGATACGGGAATATTGAAGTTGATGCAATGATCTGCGAGGCCTCCCCGATAGGATTGATCAGCGGTATTCAAGGGAGGATGGAGGGGTTATTGCGGCATCTGCTACAGGCGGTTCATGACTAGAACAGTTGGGAAGTTGTCAACATGAAGTTTGTGCACTGGTCAACTGTTGGGGATTTGGAAGGCTTCCAGGTTGCGCAGCCTCATTTTCAGGTAACGCCGCCGAGCCTTGTCATTGATGTACGAAACACATGAACATGAACGCAGGATTCCGCCCTGACAGGTACTAGATCGGTATGTGTATGTACAATGAGGATGCTGATGCATGTACCGCTGTGGAGAACCCCTCTTCATGAATGTAACATTCAACTGAGATGAGCGCTTACCAGCATGAATGTTACAGTTGATGAATAGACATCCGAACAATGAAAGTGAGGATTTCTTTAAATGAGCCATTCTTACTCTCTGTTGTTGAGGGATAATTAACAAATCGCAGAGGAATGAGCATAGAGTCATGATCCTCTCCTCGTAATACATGATGAGAACACTCCGTATATGAAGTTGTCCCTGTGCATGGACGGCGAACAGCTCTTCAGACAGGACCGGCTTCACCAACCGGGAGATTGCCTTTGAATCATTATCGTTTCGACTTATACAGTTCCTCGCCTCTAATACAACTGAATCGGCCATCCACATAGCCTTCTTCATCCCACAGCATCTTCCATTTCTAATCTTCCGGCTGGTCAGCATCCAATCGAGCGGATCCGATCAGAGCGGCGACGCTAGCGGTCCGTCGCCGCCGCTAAGACAAAGCGCCGACACTCTTCACCGTTGGATATAACGGACATTAGATGTGAAGAGGAATAGTTACTATGAGTGCTTGTAAAGTAGAAAAAAAGGTATATATAGAAGAGCTGAGCCAGCCAAGATGTAGACACTACTTGAAGCAACAGATCTAGATTCTCGAATACAATACAATCCCCGACTCTCACGGCAAACCTCGAGCATCCCCTCACTTACACCATTGGCACCACCATGGCCGTCCTCAAATACGTCAACAAGCTCCAAGGCCACCGAGTCCTGCTCCTCGGCGGCTCTTCCGGCGTAGGCTTCTGCGTTGCCGAAGCGGCCCTCGAACACGGAGCCCAAGTCGTCATCAGCAGCTCCAACCAGTCCAGGCTGGACAAGGCCGTCTCTCGCCTCAAGGAGCACATCAAGGCGGCCAACCTCGGAGACGCGGACAAGCTGGTATCTGCCAAGACGTGCGACCTCGGAAACCCCGCCACCATTGAAGAAAACGTTGTACAGCTCTTGGAATTCGCTACCAAGGATGGGAAGCTCGACCATGTGGTCCACACGGCTGGCGATGCTCTAAACGTCGGCGGTCTTGCCGACATAACCATTGAGAAAATCAACGCCATTTTTCAAGTCCGAAACAACGCCGCCATCATCCTCGCAAAGTACTTGAGCAAGTACGTCAACCAGGGGGTGAAAAGCTCATACATCCTGACTGGCGGGACAATCACCTGGCGTCCGCTGCCCAACTGGTCCGTCGTGGCCGCCGTCGGAGGCGCCACCGAAGCCCTTTCGCGGGGTCTTGCGGTCGATCTGCGGCCGGTGAGATGCAACTGTGTGGTGCTCGGCGCCGTTGAAACGGAGCTGCTCGACTCGGTTCCAGCGGACCAGAGGAAGGCATTGCTGGACAGCTTCAGGAAGGACTCCATCACGGGCACGGTTGCTTCGCCTCAAGAAGTAGCGGAGGCGTATGTCTATTTGATGAAGGATTCTTACGCCACGGGGGCGGTTGTTGAGACTACTGGAGGTCGTCTTGTTGGCGATTCCAAGACTTGGGTGCCGAGTTAAAGGAATCAAGCTGTGATATGGAGGTCGTTTGTGGAAAGGTGTGTAATGCCGAATCTCATTAAGCCATAGATGCGCAATAGACTCCCCAAAACATTGATCTTGAACAAACCATGAGCATTTCTCTTCAAGTTGGAATAGTCAGCTCATAGTCATCTGGAATTACGGTCCAGCTGTCGCACACCCCGAGCAGACTCCGCGCACCGCCGGCCTTTGTCTGGCGCGCGAAATCTTCTCCTTGGTGCAGGAAAAAGTGCATTCCCTTGCTAAACTTCTGGCCCAGACCTTGCCACACTTCCTTCATCCTGAAAAACGTCATGGTAACAACCTCCAGGTCCTCACGTAGCTTCGGGTCGCGAGCTGGGGCCGAACTAACACCATCCCCCGGTTTGGTCTTTCCGTCATACCTCGAAGGGCAGAAGTATTCCGTCATGAGGATCCTGCAACTGGTGAACAGCAGACACGGGAAGTGCGCGTTGCTCACAAAGTCGACGGATACGCGAGAGGCATCTCGAAGAACGGATATCGTGTTTCGTGCAGCGGCGACACAGAGCGGCCAATTCTTCGCCAGCTCCGTTCCCGCATCGTCGAGGGATTCTCCTTCTTGAAGAGGTCGATGATGCAAAAGGATTGTGCAGCAATTCAAGATGACGTTGAGCCAAATCACTTCTATGAACTCGTCGTAATTGGCCATGGAGAGCTCCGTGGCAGAGCGAGGAAGCATTAGTCGAATCTTGGCAAGTTGCGTACAAAGAACATCTATTCGCTCGTTGCGCCCATCCTCGTCGCCGTCCGCAGCAGGATCGAGGGCTTCGCTAATGCGTCCTAGCATTGCATATCCCAGAATGAGGTACTGCAGCTGAGTTGCCGAGCCTTGTGAGCTCCTGTCTCTCAATGCCGCAATCAGGTTGTCCATGTTATAGGTGAACCGATTCGAGCAACGAGGCGCTGGCCCCTGGTCGGACTGGAAATCACGCTCCGCCATTGGAAGCTCAATCTTCATCCGCCGATCATCAATTGCATGCATCAAGCCAATGGGAAAGCACATTCCGCGATCCATGATGAAGAGAATCCACGAGATTCGTATAATCTCTTCCTTCTCTATCCACTTCTCCTTTTCTTGAGTGCTCAGGGTCTTGACAATCATGTTTCGCAAGGTGTCGCCAAAGCCAATGGCAACAGTCTTTCTCCAAGCTTCACCGAGCATCACTATCGAAGTTGTATAGTCGACATATGCCAGTCCGAGGTAGACGACTAGGACGGCGGCTTGCATGGTTTGAAGCACGTGGTCCGGCTCCCGTATCTCTCTTGAAACTCGACACTTTGCTTCCTCATACCAGATCAGTTGCAATTTCCGAAACCGCTGGTTGGGGTGGGCACCTGCTGAAACAGCAATGATTGCATAAAGCAAAACTGGTGGAATGCCCTCTGCTCCGTGTGACTTGATGGCGGATAGTATGGCCTCCTTGTGAAGTATAGGAAAGTAGCGGTAGAACTTTTCAAAAAACAGCTCAACTAACTGCAATATGTCTGGCAGCTCAGGCAACTCCGGCAGCTTTGGGTCCAATGCTGGTGGTGTTGGTAATTCGGCAGTTTGAGCTGCAAGAGAATTTTGTCTTTCCGGGCCAGAAGTATTCACGCCAACTGCTAGAGACTCATTATTTGACAACATCCACTCAAACGAATCCTCAAGAGGCGGTGCAATCTCATTGGTTTCAAGCCCCAGCAACGCGTCGATCTCGTCCATCGGCCAGGAATTCCAGGTTGCAAGGCCGGAATCACGGTGTGTGTTTCCATTTGCACGACTCAAAACTTGCCCATGACGGACATTGTGTCTGTTGCTTCTCTCATAGTAACAGAGCTCACCTCTGGCGGAACAAGATGAGCAAGACGGTCGGCTACCCTGGTATTGTGTGTTAGTAAAGCGGCCGCTGGCTGCTGTTTGTGAGTCTCACATCGCATCGCTTCTTTCTTGATCTGCATCCCCGACACACGTTTTGAGGCTTAGCTGGAGTTGACATGATGCGTTTCAATGATGTATTTAAAAGCAATATGTGGAGGACTAAGACTCATCTGGAGTTTATGAACTCGAATGCAACTCTATTCTTTTGATGATCACGTAAGGCGGCTTCGGATATTTGACTCCTAACTCCGCCGCTGAGACTTGTGTCATTGTAGGGCGACAACAAGCTCCGGTAATTGTCTATTCGTTTCTCCTTGAGCCAAATGCACATTCGTTCAAAACAACCGTAGTCTATCTAATGGGAACAAATCTCATGCTGTGATACTGACGAGAATGAAAATTGCTGATGCTTACATCCTGTCAAGGTGCGAGATGACGCTAGCTCCAGGCACTGTTTCTCTCATGAGGACTTCGGACATGAAATGCTCCGGCCCGGCACTCGGAGTCGTGAGCCTTCGCTGATTAAAGCGTAAACGCCATCGTCCGTCTCAACTCGAGATTGCAAGAATCCATGTTTATTGACAACTTCATCCAACCGGAGACAACCTCTACACCCGTTTCATAACTCTCAGTTGATTGTTAGTGCTCTATACCTATGCTCAAAGCTACCGAATCCCGCTTGTCAAAATCCACAGTTCCAACGTGGTTGTGAAGCCACGTTGCGGGGGTCCCGGAATTGAATCCTATCCATACCCTTACTCCAGACTCCTGTCAAAACTCAAAACCCATCGCCATCTATATCCTGTCAATAATAATAGGTGAGGTGCCTGCCCTCAATGTCCTCTTCTCTTGAACACTTCTTTTTCAGGGGCGAACAGTATTAAACGGTCCAGCCGTTACCCTGTCTTCATCCGGGCTGTCCATCAAGGTGCAAATGCCAGCCCTGCACCGAGTGTCTTAGCCGGTGTCTCCATCAGAACCTTGATGTCTCTAACACATCTGACAATGCATGGTTCGTCTCAACGCATGGCCTAGAGAGATGGCTGATCCATGCTGAGGAAATTGAATCCCACGATGCCCTCAGCTACTACCTGGTCGGGGACTGAGCGAGAGAGCAGCGATACTCGGCGACCGATGATTCCATCGTTGCCGACCTCAAGTGAGAGCGGTTTATCGAGTGGCAATTCAATAAAAGCCTTGTCGAATGATCCTGCCGTCGTGGGAAATTGAAACTGCTGAAACGTGCCGCAATCTTCCACTCTCATCGTCAAGTCGCCGCTGGAACTGTGTGGCAAAGTTAGCTGCATTCGAAACCGTCGGGGGCCTCAAGTGAGCACTTACTGAATAACGACTTGGAGATTGGACAGCAGTCTTGCGTCGTAGGCAGCGTCCGGCGTCAGTCTCACATGCGTAGCCTCTTTACTCTCTGGGCGGCCGGGAGTGTGAAAAGCAAGATCGCCGCAAATGGTTCTTGGCTGGCTGGCATTCTCCGGCGAACTGAGGGCAGCAAGTGCCCCTCCGCGAGGCTTGTTGGTGGTTACTGGGCCGCACATTATGGATTATTTCGACGTGGTGTTGGTTGGTTGCTTTGTTGATAACGAAGAGTTGGTGAGAAGGACTACTAGATCCGGCTCTATTCCAGACCCAAACAGTGCCTTTATATGCCAACGAGAACGGCTCTGCAAATGGTTGAATGGCATTGTTCATGCCACATGACAAAGGCCGCATGCGAGCTTGTTTCATGGCCGTTCGTTTCATTTCAGTTCATCCTTTGCGACGCAAACGGTGGCTGAGATTGAACACTCAACGTGTACGCTATTTGAAACGGTGCCGAGTGGCCCAATCATGGCGCCGCATTTCTCGCCTCCTTTCCCCATACGGTAACCGTCAGTGAGCAAGTTTGAGCGGAAATGCTCCCGAATCTCCAACGCTGAGCTGAGCGAGAACCTTGATGGAGAGCCACTTACATGGATGACGATTGATTCTGTTCATGATGCTTGCTGCATTAGTAATTTGAACTGCGGTATTGTTCATCACGCCTTGCTGACCCCATCTCAGGCCGTGTTAAATAGACAAAAATGGCGGTTCGAGTCATTCTCCTGACGGTTCTCTCCCTGCTGCCTGTTGGTTGCTACTCTTCTTCTCCAGATCCTTCAAAGCCCGAGTTTGCCAGTGTCAAGATTCAAGAACCTCTTACCGATTCATTCGAGCCCACAATGTCGATTGGCACCTTTTCACTGCCGGCATTGCCATATGCCTACGATGTGAGGCTGCCGGTCCATCAAGGTGCTACACCCTGCTAACTATGCCCAAGGCCCTTGAGCCGAGCATCTCCGCTCAGATCATGGAGCTTCATCACAGCAAGCATCACCAGGCCTATGTTACCAACCTGAACAACGCCCTCAAGACCTACGCCACCGCCATCACAGACAATGATGTCCCTTCACAGATTGCCCTACAGGCCGCCGTCAAATTCAACGGTGGTGGCCACATCAACCACTCTCTCTTTTGGAAGAACCTGTCGCCATCCTCATCTGCCGACGCAGATCCCGCCAGCGCCCCTACTTTGACTGCTGAGATAGCCAAGACCTGGGGCAGCTTGGATGGTTTCAAGGAGGCGATGGGAAAAGCCCTGCTAGGTCTCCAAGGAAGTGGCTGGGGCTGGCTGGTCAAAGACGGCAATACCTTGCGAATTGTGACTACAAAGGACCAGGATCCCGTCGTTGGCGGAGAAGTCCCGATCTTGGGTATCGACATGTGGGAACATGCATACTACCTGCAGGTGAGCTTCATTTCTCAAAGGCCTTCTCATTGAAACACGGTTGGCTAAACTTTGATTGCTCAGTACCTCAACGGCAAAGCTGCATATGTGGAGAACATCTGGAAGGTCATCAACTGGGCCACTGCTGAAGAGCGTTTCAAGGGAGGCCGGGAAGACGCTTTCAAGATTCTCAAAGCTGCCCTGTAAGAGGGTGTAACCGAGCACTTTGCAAACAATAGGTAGGCTCCTGTAGGAATCTTGGAGATTATGAAATAAATTGTGCCATTCCTTCTGCTTTCCTTGTGTGGCCGGCATAGATCGTATCCCTTTTACCATCTCAACTGTGCGACCCAGTGTGCATGGTGCTGTGTTGTGCTACTAACGCACAAAGATGGTCATCTTCAGGAACACCTCATGGCTCATTTCCATATATGAGGAGCTTGGAATATCGCGTAATCAGACGAATCTCCTCAATAGGGGCATGCATCTTAGATTGCCTCTTCAGCTGGCGTGTCACCATCGCATCAAGTCGAGTTGAACAGGAACGACCACAGCCATGCGATGGTGGCTTGCCGTTTTGTCTTTTGTTTTAATTCGACTTTGAACAGCGACGATATACTGCGCCACCTAGGAACAGCGCACGTGTCTGAGACTTTTTCCGTTGTGTTTACCCATGCCAGCTGGCGATGTTGAAACAGATGATGTCGTAGCAACGAGGGGTGCCATACTGTTGGTGAGAAGATACGTGTGAAGCTTTACTATGACGACCAGAAATGTGCACAGGACGCAAAAGTAAGTCGATCGTCATCAAAAAGAAAAGCGATATTCCCCTATTAGCAGACATCAAAGTACACATGTAGATAAGTCGGACCTTGAGTTACTCCATACATGGGTAACCACTCCCCATCTGATCTTGACTCGGCAAAGGACTCGGAGTAGCATCTGATCGGGCTTTGAGGCTCGAGTCACGGCATTCATGCAGGTACCCAGATCTTAACACGAGCAAGAGGTGGAAACATGCGTACCGTTCGTCAAACTTCCCAACAGATTAGTGGAACCGCCATCCATTCATCCTACCAATCTATAGCTTACTGGGCTCTTATTCCTGCCACAACCAAGGCGTTATGTGTCGAAGAAAGGATCAAGACGCCATCTACAGGGGGATAATACGATAGAGGCTGCGGTCCACGGCAGCTGAACGTGTCTCTCATCTTGTGTAGCTAGACGGCTCGTGGCATTCTGTGCAACTCATCAGCATGTCCCTGATTGAAACAATAGCTCTGGATTCACGGCAGCTATCATCTCCAACCAAAGATTCTAGTGATGTTGAACAAAGAATCTGACTGTTACTCGACATACGGTATGCTCTCAGACGTAGAGTACATGACTCTACCATCTTATCATGATGATGAACATTGGCGGACCATTTCGAGTAACGTGTAGCGGAAATGAGCGTACGGTACGAATCCGTCGGGATGCGGGAGCATGCAGCCGCAATACGGACTCGAACGGGAGGACCTCGTTGTCTCATCCTGGGTGAAATTGGAGGCCTGTTCATGGTGTAAGGCAGCTCCTAACACATATAAAAGATGGTAGCTCTCAGGAGATTCAGGACCAAGACTCTGCTTCTCACCGCAAAGGCGCAGATCGAAACAGTCCCTCGTTAATAGTCACTCGCTACACTACTCTCGTTAGAACATTCTCTTGCTACAAGGCCACTCACCATGGTGAATAAAATGATCCTCATGGCCTTTATGGGCATTGGGTAAGTTTGATCTGGATTTCAGGGAAGATGAAGAAAACGCCATAAGCTAACATTATAGCAGCGCCAGCCTTGTTGCAGCAACGGATCAAACCGTCACTGTCACAACGACCAAGACGGAAACCGTCACGGCATGTGCCTCATCGTGCTATTCGACCGTGACAAGCTGCACCTCGACCACGTCCTTGACTCTATCTACTTCGTCCACAACGGAGACAGAAACGGTGTCCAAGTCTACTTCCACTGCATCTACCACTGGCTCTGTTTCGTCCGGATCAAGCTCTTCTCAATCTACGTATTCCATCCCATCGGTGACTTCAAGCACCAGCACGACTACTGGTACAATTACGAGCAGCACTTTCACTTCGTCTTCCACCACTACCGGAGCTTCCACCACCACCACCGACTCGAGCCAACTCCCCGGAACCACCACGTCAAACTGCTCTCAAGGGTACAACTGTGGATCCCTCACTGCAAGAGGAAGCACAGATTCGTCTGTTCTCCTAAGCACTTCAATTTCTCCATCCACGTCATCTTCTTCTTCTCTGCATTCCACCTCGCTTTCAACTTCAACGTCCAGCAGAGATACTACTTTCAAATTTCCCACTACGACACAAGCTCGTGAGACGCCTTCCTCGGTATCTGAGAGCACGACGGCGACGACTTCTGGAAGTTCTACAGTGACCAAATCTGAAAGCACATCAGAGACGACTGCTGAAAGCACGACTCTGACGACACTCAAGTCGACTATCACGCAGACTGTCACCGTTCCTGGAAATTCTCACTCTGAAAGCTACAGTCACACTCCATCGGACACTACTAAGTCTACATCTGAGTCTTCCACACAAACCTTTTACTCGACCGTGTCTGAGTCTACCGGAAAGTCTTCTACTGTATCCTCAACTGAGTCTACATCCACCAGTACCTCTACTACCACGGGCCAATCGTCCTCGGGAACATCTTCTAATTCCAGCGGTCAATCTTCCACTGCTTCGTCAACCAAGACCTCTTCTACAAGCACCGGTATAATCTCCTCCAAGACATCCACGAGTTCAGCAAGTGAATCTTCTACCACCTCGTCAACAGAGTCTACAACTAGGTCTTCTTCTGCCTCCACCACCGGATCGTCCTCGGAAACATCCACAGGTCCTACCAGTCAACCGTCTACCTCGAGTATCTCGACAAGATACACAACCACACCATCCGGAACCTTGTTATCCTCCTCCACTTCCACATCTGCATCCTCATCCTCCTCATCCACACAAGTCGGGTCCACCGACTCTTCAGCTTCACCCGCCACAACCACCCACTCCTCCACATACACATCCTGCAGCGACTCTTCCACAGGCACATATCCCATCTACACCCTAACCAACTCCACAACAGCAACAACAATCACCGGAACCGGACATTCCTCTCAATCAACATCTCTCAGCACCACTTCATACATCCTCCCCCCCTCAAGCATCTCCATCGATTCTTCCGCCTTGGCGGAAACTACTTCAAAAACATCAAGCAGCCCGCACTATTCCGTTCCATCCAGCGAAACATCCACCACGTCTTATTTTTCATCTTCATTCTCAACTTCCACTTCATCTTCAAATTCGAGCACCATCTCATACGCATCCACCGCCGACGCCGCCACCCAGCCCTCAGCCACTTCCACCACTTTCCACACCACAACCATGACCAAATCATCTTCGAGCAGCGCAACATCTTCAACTGCTTCGGCTTCGTCTACTGGCTACCCTCTTCCGCCTTCGTATGGACCCCCGTCTTATGATATTCCATCGTATGAGCTCCCACCGTCTTACGGATTTAGGGGCCGAAGAATTTGGTAACTTTAGATTACAGAGAGCGGTGATGCTAGGAAGAGATGAAGGAAAGAGCGGTTACAGAATGGTAAGCAAACGGAATGATGATGGTTGTTCTTTTGGTGGATTTGAGAGGTGTTGTAGCCAGTAGTTGGCTGACAAGGGGTATTTTGTCTGTTTCTTTGTATAGGTAGTTAGTCGAATATGTTAGTAAACGCTTCTCATCAGTATCCATATCTTCACAAACTCTCATCCTATTTAAAACCACGGGGAATACTGAATCTATGGCTTTTCCTCGTCTTGGGCTCTATAACTTCTATACATCTATGAGTCCATCTTTTCCAGGTTTTCATTTAAACAAGTTCTTTGACAAACATATCGCTATAGTACCTTTTTTTTTTTCATTTGCCTTCAGACAAAGAAACAACCGCCCACTTGCCGCTCCATGCCCATTTTCTGGCGCCAGAATCACCGCCTCCGCCCTCGAGGGCTCTCAACTCTTCATCTTTCCCAGCGGGAAGATCAACAACGACGTCGGCCTTGCAGGTTCGTAGAGACATGACGTTGACGCCTGAGCCAGCGCCCAGAGAGCCGAGGGCCTCTGTGAAAGGAGTGGTAGGGTCCCAGCAAGCCTAGAAAGCATTAGTCAATGGACTTGTCAGATATCGTCATAATGGAGTCACTTACATCACCAGTCAGCTTTCGGTAGTTCAAGTCACCCTTGAAGATGACAAGCTCAGCCTGCTTCAGATCTTCGTATAGCTCAGGGGCCTCGTGGGGAAGTCGCCAGAAAGAGCCACCGGCAGTCCAGTACCTGTTGGGCCGGATAGCCAGCTGGCCCTCACCATGCTGAGTCGCCCAATCCTGGAAGACGAACGACAGACTTTGGGCCTCCTTCTCTGACAGAGGTGCGGGGGTCTTTTCTGCCACCGTCTCTTCTTCCGTCGGAGCCTCGAAGAATTTTTTGGGGTTGGCGAGAGCGCTCAGGAGGGCAGCAAAGTCTGCGGGCAGAACATCGGAGACAAACCAGGGGATTGACTTGGGGCGAAGCACAACGTGAGTAGCAAGGCCCGTGTTGAGAAGGTAGCCAGCCAGCACCAGATCGACGTAGAGCTCGAAGCCAGAATTATCAAGAACAAAGTCCACGCGACGCTCCTTCTTGCCCTCGGCCCGAGCCTTGTTGAGCAGATCATAAGCTTGGGGGAGTTTGTTGACGAGGATATTCTTCTCGGCGGCCTTTCTGGCTTCGCTGCCCTGAAGCCTCTGGATATCCTCGTAGGTCATGGTGGTGAGTAGCGACAAATCGGTGGCATTTCCCCAGAGGCAGACCTCGCACATTTCCACGAAGAGAATCTTTTCGGCCTCGGAGTCATGAGTGATGTTCTTATCAGCGCGAATCTTTGTAACGATATCTTCATATCTGGCGGCCAGCTCTGCGACGGCATTGCGAGAGGTCCGGAAGCTGTCGATCTTCTGACGGGCAAAGAGGTCGTATGATTTCCAGTGCTGGGTCGTGGTGAAGAATGTGTTGAGGCGTCTGTGCAGCGATTCAGTAAGGTAGAGCTTGTATGAAGCCGTTCTTGTGAATTTGCGACATACCGGTACATGTAGCATTCGGCAAACAGCCAGGGGACTTGGAACCAGGTTGGGTTACCCAGCTGCTCCAGCTCCTGGTTGTAGGCGGCCGTCTCGTCTGAGAAGCCGTCCTCGACCAGAGGCCTATGAGGTATATCGTTAGCATTCGTTTCTCTTGTTAATCGAAAGTCGAAGACTTGGGCGCATACGTCATCTGGCGGTCGTGCAGCATCTCATACTTGAGGGCGCCCAGCTGCTCGATAATCTTCTTGCCCTCGGCCTGCTTCTCGGCGTCGTCCGTGGCAGAAATGGTCTTGTAGACGTCATCCACAGCCCCAGTCTATCGAATAAAACCTTGCATTAGATGAATATATAAAAAACGCTTTGGTGGAAAGCTGTCGAATCGAGAGATCACTCACGAGAATGATGGGCCATCGCATGCGAACCGAGTCGCTGGCAAAGGACGTGGGGTCGTTGGTGACCGACTTTGCTGCATCACGAGTTAGCCATGAATCGATCAGAATAACGGGGGCAGCAGATGGAAGTCTCCCGTACGTGTCTTGGTATCAAACTCCATCTTGGTTAGATCAATGGCCGTGATTCCTGGCAATGTCTGTTGATGTTGAAGATGCGAAATGGGCAGAATCAGAATCCCAACCCGAACCTTTTGGAGGGGTCCTTAACTGAAGAAAAAGGGACCCATGGCGGGATTGGCGGGGTACATGGCGGGGTTGATGTCGGTACCCTGATGGAGCGCCTCGACTGTGTGCACGAGCAGGTACCGCCGCGGTCAGCACCCCGTACCCCATGGATGCAATCCATACCGCCCGCTTTCAAAGGGGCAATTCCGAGCTCGAGGATCCATCTTCTGCAGCTCGCGACGTCATTCTGGAGATGCTTGTCTAAATCTGCCCTTGTCATGGTTATTTTGCTTCTTTCTTTCTTGGCGGAACGAGGCATTATTTTACTATGGCGTTGATTTGTTACGGTTCCTGAATATCAGTTATACTGTATATGGCCTTTTCGGCAGAATCCCTCGACTAGGCCTAGACAAGCATAGCGATGGCGGCGCGCAAGATGAATCTGGGCGTGGATATTTAGTAGTTACCGGGAACGGCATAGCAACCGCATTGGCTAGGTGGTGACAAGATCACGTTGATTAATCATTGGATGGATATAAACACCTCGAGCTTTCATTTTTTAGTTACTGAAGGCGGTGAATGCTACATGTACTGTCCATTAGCTTATTCAGGGTCTGATGAACGGAATACCCTTTTTGTCATTCCGCCGTGTTTGATAGCTCTTCGTAGGGTAAGGCTAACCAATAGATGTCTTCTCCTGTCAATCACCGTCACCGGCTATGTTGCCCCATTTGTCTCGAGCAGTTTGTATAATCACATGTCAAATAGTGTTGCCTTGATGCCTAGTAAAGTATCTTGATGATCCATGTCATGGGGGTTGCTATACATGGGTAATATGTAGAAGGACAATGACCACTTGTACTCAAATCCTGCTGTAAGTGCTACTACCACCGAGCTTGCTTTCTGGCCTTTATTACCATCGCTACATTCCTCTAATGTCTGCTACACTCTCCATGTTCCTCTTGTATCCGCCAGCGTCAATGAATGTTAAACTTGGAACGCGGGGTTTTGGTTTATTCTCCTTTTAATAAACACACTTCATGCTATAGCAATAACATCTGGATATCGAAGAGCACGTCTAATCTGTGCCACGTGCTCCCAACGCAAGAATAATATTATGACGCCTGTTGAAAACCATGAGACTCATCCTTCTCTCCCAGTCCATCACTCCAAGCTCTTGATGTCGTCCAACTGATCCTCCTTCTTGACTCCCACATCATTCGACACTACCAACTCGGGTACAACCAGCGTATCCTCGCTTGCCGGCGATTTTGTATCATTCCTGTCCTGTTGAATTGCCGCCGGCGCATAGTGGTACAGCTTTCTAGCAACAACAAAGCTCCCCACTGACGTTCCCCAGCATAATACTGCGAGAGATGCCGTAATGAACAAAGTCGGGATCAAAAAGAGGCACGCAATGCCGATCCAGAAAAACGCAAAGGCAAACGCAGCAGAGAGGGCCAGGAGAATGGTTGACAACGCAAAGGAGAAGAATAGCAGAAGGGGGAGAAGCGCGAAGAGGGCTTGGAAAACTGTAAAGGACTGTTGAACATTCACATGTATGTGTTAGTTAAAGGATGCCAACTCTTTCCCCCCTCGTGTTTCCTTATAGGAGAGTTTTACGTACGAAAAGTACGGGTTGATTAGAGGCAAATGATGATGCTGCGTCGTATGCGTGTTGGCGAGAAGACGGCGGAATCAAAGAGTTCAAAGAGTTTTGAGCATAAGAGTACGCAGCGGATAGCCTCGCTGTTGGACGGCTCTTTGTTCCAGTATTTGCGTCGCCATCGCTTTGCGTGGGCTCTATTGCGGCGCCCATCGTTTTGGAGTAAATCAAGATGGAGCGGAGATATCTCGTGTATTGCTCTAGAGCTGTTGCCGTTGGTAGCAACGGGATAACAGGGGCGAGCTCAGAGATGAGACGAGACGAGACGAGACGAGACGATGTGAATAAGATGATGATGGGATCAATCGCTTGCGGGATGGTGGGGGCAACTAGCGAGCGATTGCGGTTGCGGCTGCAGGAGACCAAATGCGGAGGTGGAGATGAGATGGGAAAGAAAGGACGATGATGGCGATTGTGCAGAGGGAAAAAAAGAGAAAGGGCGGGATGTGCAATGAGTATGTGTTTGTTTGTTTTGTTTTGGTTCTGCCTTGTATGAGATGAAATGAATGAAATGAGTGGGAAGAAGGGGGTGAGGTGACGTGTGCGCTGGTATTGGCTGATGTCACCACGTGCAAGTGTCTGATACGTGGACAAGAGATTAATGAGATGGACGAAGGGGGGAAATTAAGCGGAATGAGCGTTTGGATGCTGAAATGGTGATAAATGTGACCAAAGAGTAGAACGAGTAGTGCTGTTTTTTTTTTTATTATCGTTATCATACAGGGTAGGTATTAAATGCGTGATGAAGAGTGTATTTGGGACGTGGAAAAAGAGTTGATTGCACAGGACATTATAAACCAGGAATTGGGTATAAACCAGAGGTTGGGCATAACACAGCACATCATTGATATTGATCCAAACATGGGCTGATGCATAGGTAGCAAATTTGTTCAGATGATAACCTGTATACTACAGGGCACGCGTCAACACAGCACAGAGGGCACCGAGGCAGACGACTTGGGTTCGCTCATAGACACGCTTTACTGCATCATTACTTTCGCTCTCCATGTACAGCTCGCATCAACTGGTGGCTGAATACTTTGCCCCGTGGCCCGGCCATTTCCTATGCTTATAAAAGATTCGGGTCACAGCCATCCCCGGCTCCCTCGAGAACCACTCACTACCATACCTAATGCCGCACATGGATGCCGCAGATTACAGATACAGACCCTCCGGCTCACCCTCCTGCTTGGTGCGCAACACCCGCTCTCGAGCAGATCGGAAATCCGCCATCTGCACCCGCATACGTCGCTCCCGTAGAGCCATCATACCAGCCTCTGAGCAGATGGCCTTGATATCGGCACCGGACAGGTCATCCTTCTGGGAGATGAACTCATCCAGATCCACATCATCGTTGAGGTTCATCTTGGAGGTATGTAGGGTGAAGATCTTGCGTTTCGTGTTTTGATCGGGGTTCTCGAACAGAATCTTTCGATCGATTCGGCCGGGTCGGATAAGCGCAGGGTCGAGCGTATCGATCTTGTTGGTTGCCATGATGACCTTGACGTCGCCGCGGTCGTCGAAGCCGTCAAGCTGGTTGAGAAGCTCCAGCATGGTTCGCTGAACTTCACGCTCTCCTCCTGACGTGGAATCGTATCGTTTCGTACCAATGGCATCGATTTCATCAATGAAAACAATGGAGGGTGCGTTTTCACCAGCAACCTAGTTTTCTCTGTGTTAGCATCAAATGGCAATTGAAAAGTCGGGGAGGTGGAGAGGTAGACAAACCTGGAACAGCTGTCGCACCAACCGGGGGCCATCTCCCAGGTACTTCTGAATCAGCTCGCTGCCCACAATACGCAAGAATGTGGCGGATGTCTGGTTGGCAACTGCCTTTGCCAAAAGGGTCTTTCCAGTACCGGGAGCACCGTATAAAATGACGCCCTTGGGAGGCTTGATGCCCATCTCCTCGTACAGCTCGGGGTGAAGCAGTGGCAGCTCCACTGACTCTCGAACCTCTTGAATCTGCTGCTCCAAACCACCGATATCAGCGTACGACTCTGTTGGCGCCTTGTCGAGCTTCATGACGCTGACAATGGGGTCTGCGTCGTCGGTCAAGACTCCAACAATGCTGACGCTCTTGTGGTGCAGCAAAACGCTGGCGCCCGGCTCAAGAAGGTCCTTGTCGACAAAGCTCATGATGCTGACGTAGTATTCAGGACCGGTTGTGCTGCTCACGATGGCATGGTCGTCGTCAATGAGCTCCTCCAATGTGCCGACGCTCATTGGGCTTCCTCGCATATCGTCGACACGGCCCCGCTCGTCGGCTAACCTGTCGACGTCGACATCGGGGCCGGCAGTCTGACCCTCCTTGGCGGCCTTGGCCTTGCGCAGTCGCTCCTGGTTCTCGACATATTCTTCTTCAAGGAGGAGGTGGTCGTGAATTCTCTGCATTCGAAGCAGTCGAAGCTTGCATCGGCTCGTGGGATAGACAGCAGGGAGCTTGGCAGCAGCGCTAGTACCGCCAGCCTTTCTCTTCTTGCGGCCGACCCGGGTTGTTGGCCTCGGCGGGGGCTCGTACTTGGGCTTGTCCTTCTGTAATGGGCGTTTAGTTGTGCTGCTCCATGTCGATATCATGGAGAGGGAATGGCTGTACCTTTTTGTCTTTTTCGTTCCGTCCCCCCTCACCACCCATACCAGATTGGCCTTGACCCTGGAGAAGCAAATGTCAGCATAGCTGCACCACAGCAAGATCAACAAAGACGCAGTGTAGCTCACCATCTTGACCGGTCAAGCTCTGGAAGGCTGCGATTTCAAAAGCTTGTTTGGCGTTTCCTCTCTCTCCAAGCGGCACTCCTCTGGGAATCGGGCAAAGCTGGAGAAGAGGCTGAATTGATGATGAGAATGACGGAGAGGCGAGTCGGCACTCGCTAGGCTGATGCTGCACAAGCACCCATGCCTTTGGGCTAGGCGCCAGAGAGACACGACAGCTCCAGGCGGATCACGTGCCTCCAGCTGCGATGCATCACGTGATTGGACGCAGAGAGCTGGACGCTGGGAATTGTCAGCTTCTTCCATTGGGCTTCTGTTTCGACAATCCCGTCATTGTTGATGCTAACCCTCAAGCGGATTAGATTCGGTTCAAACTTGTCCGTATTCATGATGCATGTTTGGTTACATGACGGAGTACATACATTAGTACATGACTGAATGAAGCAGTGCTGCAAGATGCATGGATGAATGGATGAATGGTACGTTGAGGATCACATAAGCAACGTGCTTGGCTACCATTTATCCACAAGCCAGACCTGATTGTAACGACTGCACCATGCCTGGATCAATGCTGCGTGTTGCTACTACTCCTTCCATTCAATGTCTTGTTTTGAAATGGAAAAACATGACTCTCGCCCATGCTGCACACTGAATTGACCTCTCACTCACTGCAGCCTGGCACTGGAATCTCCCAACGAAACAGCCCGCATATACGGAGCCAAGCGTGCCTGGTTCACAGCCCGGAAAAGCCACCCGAGCTTGTTCACGAGCACAGCCCGTTGCCAATGCCGCCTCAATATGGCTTGTATGGGTACCGGTACCGCTATCGCCAGCCATTAACCACAAGTGACCGGTTGGCTGTCGGTTGCTCTGCGGTGATGCGGCGCAAGGATTCGGTTCCCTGCACGCACTTGGCCAAAATATGGACCTCGATGCCTTGCTCTCTCAAAGTTACTTTGCTCTCTGCCCGATCAAGAGCAAAGGTGCCGTTGCATGACACCCGGACTGCTGCAGTGGACGGTTTTGCTCGGAATGTTCCAGCGCTCGAGTGCCACTCACAGCGCATGTTGAGTTGCACTGAGGGACCCCAACCCGGTAGCCGCAGCGCTAAAACGGGCCTGACGTCGATAGCCGCAGCGCCCCTCCTCAATCGATTGTTACGCCGATAGGCGACTTTCTCTGCCCATCCAGCCTAAACCCAAAGCCTCCTTTGATCTTCCCTCTGCCATCGCCAGACTTCGACTCTCTCACCAAGCCTCGGCAACGCAACAAATTATCGCCAGGGTGCTCCAACGCTCGCTCCGCCATCGCTAGTATACTTTGGATCCATACCCTCGCTCTACACGACACACAACCCCTCTTACGCCCACGACGGCTTCGGCTACGATAAGTCCGGCATCATGTCCAGCAGAGATCGTCGTATCATGAAGGAGCTGCAGGATCTGACCGAGGACAAGGACACCTCCGGCATTCACGCTGCCCTTGAGCATGAGGGCTCGCTGTCTGCTCTCAAGGGCTGGTTCTTTGGCCCAGGAAATACGCCGTACGCTGGTGGCAAATTCGTGATTCACATTCAGCTTCCCAACGATTACCCCTTCAAGCCTCCTAAGATGAACTTTGAGACTAGGATCTGGCATCCTAATGTCAGTAGTCAAACAGTATGTGTCCTCCATCTGCCGGATTTGCTGGACTGCTGGCGCAAAATCTTTACTCACGATCGATTTCTCTTGCTTTAGGGCGTCATTTGTCTCGACACCCTCAACAAGAACTGGTCCCCTGTCCAAACGATAAAGACGGCTCTTCTCTCAGTCCGAATGCTTCTCGAAAACCCAAACCCCTCAGACCCGCAGGACGGCGAAGTTGCGCGGATGCTGCTCGACGATCCCGACTCGTTTGTCGAGGTGGCTCACGAGTGGGCGGTTAGGCACGCTGGTGCGCCGCGACAGCGGAACCCCGACGTAACTAGATTCAGAAGCCTGGCCAGACCAAGAACTGCTGTCGATGCGAGTCGGTATGCCACGATTCTCATGGATGCTCTCAAACGAAGGACAGAAGGCTGACAACGAGGCGCAGATACCATGGATACAAGCCAATTTTGGTCGAACAATTTACGACTATGGGATTTGACCTCGACAATGTGGTGGCCACTCTCGAGTTTTTCCGCATCGACAAATTCCACGAAAGCCTACCTCCGTCCCGCATGTCGGACGTAACATTCAGACTTCTGGGTGAGGGCGCTTAGGAGGGACGAGGGAAATTTAAGAGACACCAACCTGCCCCTTTCCCAACATCGAGTGGCGAAATGATTCGGAGTTTATTTTGAAGGTGGAATTGTTTTTTTCCCTGGGTTTTCCGTTTCTTCCCTGGGGCCCTGTTCTTTGGCTCAGTTCTGCTCCCATATTCTGTTCCTGAAACCAGTAGACTCGGGATTGACGGGACAGTTGCTTACGAGAGCCGAGTCACTTGTTGAATGGTGGTGACTAGCTTGATACCTGAAGAAGTCATTCAGAGGTTCAGGAGAGCCCCGGGAGCGCATGCTATCAGGTATACAGCGACTCTGGAGTTATCAAGGTCGGAATTAGGTAGCATATTGCACTTAATACAGCGTTTGTTCTTTTTCAATGTCTGGTTGCTATGTCTTGTTTGTCGCCCTTTTGGGTAGAGAGGCTGTTGGTTAGGGGAGAAGGCAGCAAAGAATCACAGGGAGAAGCACGCCTACGTATGTCCCACAAATGAAGAATAGCGAAAAGGCACATTGCCCCTCCCATGACACCGAATCTATCACGTACCTACGAAACAACAGAATTAAGCGAAAACAAACAAAGAAGTCAGCCCGTCGCCCTGACAAGGGACATGTTGTTCCGTTTCCTTCCTATCCACATGCTCCGGAAAGCCATCACCAGCCATTTTGAAATAGCCACCACTCCCTCCATGTGATGATTTTTTTTTGTATATATAGATTTAATGTATCTGAATTAAACACCAAGTCCACTCTTGTTGCCTCTTTTTTTTCTTTGTTTCTTTATAAACATCAAAAGAAGGAGAACTTGATTTACAGCAGGTCGCGGCGGACAAACTCGTTGTACAGAGCCTTGCCCAGACCGGCGGGGGAGCGCTCGACAATGACGCCGGCGTTCTCGAGAGCGGCAATCTTGGAGTCGGCGCCGCCCTTGCCGCCGGAGACGATGGCACCGGCGTGGCCCATACGGCGGCCGGGGGGAGCGGAGATGCCGGCGATGAAGCTGACGACGGGCTTGCCGCCGTTGACGGTGTTGGCCTGCTTGAGGAACTCGGCGGCGTCCTCCTCGGCGGAACCGCCAATCTCGCCAATCATGATGATGCCGTCCGTCTCCTCGTCCTCGAGGAAGACCTTGAGGCAGTCGATGAAGTTGGTGCCGCTGAAGGGGTCACCGCCGATGCCGACGACGAGGGACTGGCCGAGGCCGGCCTGGGTGGTCTGGTTGACGGCCTCGTAGGTCAGGGTGCCGGAGCGGGAGACGATGCCGATGCGGCCGCGCTTGTGGATGAAGCCGGGCATGATGCCGATCTTGCACTGGCCGGGGGCGATGATGCCGGGGCAGTTGGGGCCGACGAGGCGCGTCTTGGACTGGGTCTTGAGCATCTGGGTGATGCGGACCATGTCTGGAGATTTCGAAGAAACCGGGGCAAAGGGTTAGCTATCGAAGGGGGGAAACTTTTTTTTTCTTGTGATATCTAGGTATGGTGGGGCTAAATTCTGACCATGTTGAGGAATTCCCTCGGTGATGCAGACGGCAAGGGGGATCTCGGCCTGGAGAGCCTCTTCGATACCGGCGGCGGCCAGAGGAGGGCTTTATGTTTTTGAGGAGCGCAGGTCAGCTTTATGCGATTGCATCTTTGGAATTCAAGGGGGGGGGGGGTTTCGGGTTTCGCATACGGGACGAAGAGCGCGGTAGCGGTTGCTCCCGTCTCCTTGACGGCGTCGGAGACGTTCTTGAAGACGGGCAGGTCGAGATGTGTCTGGCCAGCCTTCTTGGGGTTTGTTCCACCAACAACCTTGGTACCTAGAGGCGAAAGCGGTGTGAGTATTCGCGGCTCAGTGTTTGTGCGCAGCAGCAGTATTCCGAGGTCTTATCGTACCGTACTCAATGGCTTGCGAGGCGTGGAAACTGCGCATATCTCCAAGTCAGCATGTCATTGGCACTCTTTACAACAACCCCCACGCGGGATGGCTTCTCCTGCAAGGCAGCCAGAGTTGAAAAGACGTACGTTCCCTGCTTTCCGGTAAAGCCCTGGAAGATGACCTTGGTCTCGCCGTTGATGCGCAGGTTCTCGATCGTCTTGGAGTACGGAGAGCTGGCCGAGCTGTAGTTACGGCGGGCAGCGTTGCGCAGCGCCGAGCGCGCGGCGGTTCTGGGGATGGCCTGCATGGCTGTGGGGAGGGGAAGAGAAAAAGAGAGAGAGAGGAGAGGTTCCAAAGAGGGAGAGAGAAAAAGAAATCTAGAGAAGCGCCGCGGGTTGCAACGCTGCGAGAGGGAGAGCGAATTGAGTTTTGAGCTGCGAGCTTGCAGAAAGGGAATATCGTCGGTCCAGCCAGCAAATTACCGGCTCTGGCAGCTCTGAATTTCGGGTGCTGCCGGGCGCCCGGCAGTTGGTTTTTTCCGAGCGGTGCAAGCATTTTTCTGCCACCGAGGAGGGAAAAAAAAAATTGGTTACGGTGAGGGGCATTACGGTGCTCCGTTTGCCGCGAATTCTCCGTCTGTTACTGTGAGCCATGGAATCTCGCTGCGTAACGCTAACGGAGCAGGCTAATTTTTTGGCTGGAGATCAAAACGGCCCCACCGAGGCGATAGTCTGCCAAAAGTTCTTATCAAACATCAACGAGGGGCATCAAAATCGACTTTCAGTCCGTATTTCACCTTGTCGTCTGTTCTGTACAAGCGCGCGCAAACGGGCGCACACGAGATCCGATACAATGGCCACGACCACGATGACGGCGATCGCCACGTCGCAGAAGAAGAGTCTCGAGCTTGCACCAGAGAGCGAGCGCTTCCTGCGGTGCTGCGCAGATCTTGCCAACGCCCTGATCGAAGACCACGAGGCCACCAAGAATGGCCGGCCGGGGCGAGACATTAACCTGAATGCGCTGCGTGCGAAGCTGGCAAAGAAGCACAAGCTGGCCAATATCCCGCCGCTCACGGCCATCATTGCTGCGATCCCCGAACACTACAAGAAATACATCCTCCCGAGACTCATCGCAAAGCCCATCCGTGAGAATAACCATATGCACTGAAACGATGATCGAACCAAAGGACTAAGTGAAATGCAGGAACATCATCTGGTATTGCCGTTGTCGCCGTCATGTGCAAACCGCATCGATGCCCGCACATCGCATACACTGGCAATATCTGCGTCTACTGCCCTGGAGGACCCGATTCAGATTTCGAGTACAGCACACAGTCATACACTGGATACGAGCCGACTTCAATGCGAGCCATCCGCGCACGATACGACCCATTTGAGCAGGCTCGAGGCCGAGTAGACCAGCTCAAGAGTCTGGGACACTCGGTCGACAAGGTGGAGTATATCATCATGGGAGGAACTTTCATGTCCTTGCCTGAGTCATACCGAGAGGATTTCATCGCCCAGTTGCACAACGCCCTTAGTGGATACCAGACCTCCAAGGTCGACGAGGCAGTCGAGGCCGGCGAGATGAGCAACATCAAATGTGTCGGCATCACCATCGAGACACGGCCGGACTACTGTTTGCAACCCCACCTTTCAGACATGCTGAGATACGGCTGCACGAGATTGGAGATTGGAGTACAGTCTCTATACGAAGATGTCGCGCGAGATACCAACCGAGGACACACCGTAGCGGCGGTGGCAGAGACGTTCTGTCTGGCTAAAGATGCCGGCTACAAGGTGGTCAGCCACATGATGCCGGATCTACCCAACGTGGGAATGGAGCGTGACATTGATCAGTTCAGAGAGTATTTCGAAAACCCTGCCTTCAGAACAGATGGTCTGAAAATTTACCCTACACTTGTCATCCGAGGAACAGGTCTATATGAGCTGTGGCGAACAGGAAGATACCAAAACTATACCCCCAACCAACTCATCGATCTAGTGGCCAGAATCATGGCTCTTATTCCACCTTGGACACGCATCTACCGCGTCCAGCGAGATATTCCCATGCCATTGGTCACGTCTGGTGTCGAAAACGGAAACCTGCGAGAGTTGGCCTTGGCCCGAATGAAGGATTTCGGCACAACATGCCGAGATGTGAGAACAAGAGAAGTCGGAGTCAACGAGGTCAAGCACAAGATTAGGCCAAACCAGATTGAGCTGGTACGCCGAGACTACGTTGCCAACGGTGGATGGGAGACATTCCTCGCCTACGAAGATCCTAAGCAAGATATCCTTGTCGCACTCCTGCGACTCCGCAAATGCACTGAAAAGTATACCTTCCGAGAGGAGCTTACCGGCCAGCCAACAAGCATGATCCGTGAGCTTCACGTTTACGGCACTGCCGTGCCTATTCACGCGCGCGACCCCCGCAAGTTCCAGCACCAAGGCTTTGGCACTCTGCTGATGGAGGAGGCGGAGAGGATAGCCAGGGAGGAGCACGGAAGTGACAAGATTAGCGTCATTTCGGGTGTGGGTGTGAGAAGTTATTACAAGAAGCTTGGCTACTGGCTGGATGGCCCGTACATGAGCAAGTGGCTGGATGGACGGGATGTAGCAGCATGATTATGTGGAACTGCTGGGATTTTTGGCATGCAAGTGATGATAAAATTGGCGAATTACATGGCGCAATGGATAGGATATGGATGCTACGTCTGAAATAGAACATGTTCGATATACAGGATGCTTTAACAAAACACAATTCGTGTTGGATGGTGTTGATATATTGCCTCCTTCGTCTCTTCACAAAATAGCAGCAGCGTCGTGTGGACTGTGAAAGGGAAAAATGGCCAAAGTCACAAGAACAATCAGTCAATGGTTTTCTTGAATGTATTTAGCGAGGACTGGATTACAGGGAGGCCCATACATTTCGTTGGTAATGTGGCCAGCCGTCTAATATAAGTTCAGACCAGTGATGCTGCTAAACATGCGACTGGCTAGAAAGACAGCAGTATCTGCAAGATCTTGTATGGCTTGTTAAATTGCCTAAGAAAGATGCCATTGTACCACTTCCCGCTCAGTCTCGATATCGTTCGTGACGGATGAGATCATTATGGTTCGTTTGTGTGTCTAGTGTTCAAGCCTAGTTAGATGCGAGACCACGTCATTTTAGGAGGATCGAGTTGTAGTGAATGTCGTGGAGGGCAAAGTTTGTAACAACTGATCCTGTATAAAAGCAACCGTAGCTCCCTGGGTGGCCAGATATGCTGGCATATTGGTTTGCCATTGTGTAGATTGTACCGGTTTAGGCTGGGGCTGAATACTGTTTCCAAGCTGACATGGAACATCCTCCATGCAAAATAAACAATCTAGTAGCCATGTATAGAGAACAAAGACCAAATGGGTATATTCATCCGTTGTGTAGACTTTTGGCGGGTAATTGTAAAAGAACTCATGGCGGGAGCTCTCTGGCTGTCTTCTCCTGATCATCACCACCATGGTCTCCCTGCCCGTTCAACTCATCGTCGCAAGGTAACTCCTGGGATGCTTTTCTAGCGGCCTTGGCTGCGGCTCGTAGTCGACGCTTTGCTAATATACCTAGTTTGGGCTTGGTCTGAAGTGTTTGTGAAGCCGCCGGTGGTTTCTCAGTCCAGATTGGAATCGCGACTGGGGCATGCGCAATTGCGTCAAGGATACGGAATAGGTCTTGGTGTATAGGCGTAGTTGTCTCCGGTGCGGATGCCATTTGACCATCGCGAACAGCAATCATAAGCAGTGCTTTGAGCGCAAAATGAGCATCATTCCCAGCGGCGTGGAGCTTCGCGTAGCGGATGTTGAGTTCGTCTAGAAGGTTCTCCAGACTATACCGGTAGTAAAGTTGTAGAGGGTACTGGGCAGCCTTGACCGTATCCAATATGTAGGAAGCGCCGGTTGCAATTCCCGGGTTGAGGTTATTAAAGAACTTGATCTCTGTCTCTATTCCGTGCGCTACTAAAACATAATCGCGGCCTTGGGTAAGCGAGAAGAAACTTGCTGCGAGGTTGGCGAGTTCAATCAGCTTTGATTCGCCAAAAAGAAAGGACTTGGCAGCCCATCTGCACGGCTTTGAGTGATTGTTGATAAATTGATAAGACTTGACGGCGTCGCCGAGGTCTTGGGGTCGGTCTGTGAGGCTTCGCGTATCGAAAATGGATATGCCAATGTGGAAGCTCTGCTCTTCCGAAATGGCTTCATAGCCGCCCCCTGTGTCGACATCAACGCTGACGAGTAAGATATCCTTTATACGAGTCCCTGGCAAGTACTGGCCAATGGAGCACAGTCTGTACGGCGAGGAGGTGATGGTTCCAAGGCGATAACCCAGAATTTGCCTCAAGGCAATATTCTCCTCGCGCAGAATCCCAGTATGCTGTCCAGGAACCGAAGCCATGTGTGCTGATAAAGTTGAGAGGACGGTTGATTCCTATGATAAAGAGTAGAACTTGAGAACTTGCCCGTGTTTTTGGCTGAGGCGATGAATCAGATCTTCTCGGAAGATGAAGGATTGGACATGGTCAAGTAATTTGGGTTTGGGGGCACATTTCGGCGATGTCACGGGACAAAGGATGTGCAAAATCCTAAAGTTTATAATAAAAGTTTGGGGCAGCTTTGTCGAGTTGGCAGAAACAAAAGTCTAATACTACCCACTGTAATCACTGTCGTAGAATTGACAAGGCAAGAAGCCAAAGACCATGAGGACGATAGGAATAGCGTTTCTGGAAGAAAGTTTAGCGGAGTTTGGCTGGATATATCATCATACCGTTTTCAAAACATTTGACTCGAATCTCGTATATCTAAGGTAGCCTTTTGCATTTACCATATTCATGTATATTGTCCATAGAAACACAGTAATTTAATTTTGCAAGAAGTATGTCTGGAGTAAATACCGATCACAAAATACACCTGCTATCGTAATCAATGTTGTATCGCCCCCAGAATGTCCATTGACGCCGCGATACCTAGCACGTGCATAGTCATGTAACACAATTGTCTCAGAAGACGTCAACCCCAGGTGGTTTATAAAATGGCCTTGACGTTCATGCGGGGAACCGAACGCACCAGCCAGGACTGGCGGAACAGCTCGTGATATTGTCTATCGAAGTGAAAATATGGCGCTGTCCGTGCTAGGGAAACATGCTGTCATCACCGGCGGTGGTTCAGGTACGACGTCTTGTGATTGAGTGAGGTAACCTACATGTAGGCTGACTGCTCTTTAGGGATCAATCTTGCGTTTGCAAAGAAGCTCCTCTCTCGCGGGTGTTCCGTCTTAATCGGAGACTTGGGCCTTCGGCCAGAAGCCCAAGAGCTTCTGAAGCAATATCCACACGAGCCGTCGAAGCCGCCATCTGCTTCCAGGCCGGCTGCACTATTCAAGAAGACAGACGTGAGATCGTGGCCACAGCTTACAGAATTGACCCAGGCAGCTGAGGCTGCTTTCCCACAAGTTGACATTGTCGTGCCGGGCGCTGGAATCTTCGATCCCAAATGGAGTTCTTTCTGGGAGCCGCCAAAGTCGGCAACAAATCCAGATAGCCCATCAAGAGATGACGCGCATGGCGATCCGGGCCATTATGCCGTGCTTGACATCAATTTGATACACCCCATACGGCTGAGCCAGCTGGCCATTGCCTATTGGACCTCGCGGCGAATCCCGGGCTCGCTTCTCCTGGTCGGCAGCATGGCTGGTTATTTATACGGCATCGGGACGCCTCTGTATTTTGCTAGCAAACATGGCATTCACGGGTTTGTTCGAAGTCTCGGTTATTTACGAGAGACGACTGGCATTCGCACGGCGGCGATTGCGCCAGGCGCTGTAAATGTAGGCATGCGAATGTACCTCGGAATAATGAAATCTGGACGGTGACTGACTGCGATTCACATATAGACACCACTATTAACTGACCATCCAGAAGTAAAGAGCATGTTCAGGGCGGACTTGGCAGCCAGCGCTGAGGATATTGCAGAAGCCATGTTGGAATTGCTGGAGAATCCTCAATATGGCGATGGGACGATATTTGAGGCAACTGCTAAAGGGACGAGGGTTGTGCCCGCGTTCAATGCCCCTGCGCCAGATCTCAAGGATGGAGCTGTAGCAGCGTACCAGGCTGAGGTAGAGAGGCGATTGATCAAGAAGATTACGGAGGGGGGTCTCAAGGTTTAAGTAGGTGACAGCATGCGAGTTCCGTGTGTGAGGGCAACGTTGTTCATTACGTTTTACAAGTTCTTCTACGAGTGGCTCGACTTTGGGTTGAATTGATTCAAATGGAACGGGGTGGAAGAGACGGTAGACACTCCCAGCACAATTTACATGTACACAGCGTTCAATGTCAAGAGTGGTAAAGAAGTGACGGTGAATTCAAATTTGTAATAGCCTCAATTAATTGGACTTCTGAGTCATTTGTGATGCGGACCGAATTACACTATTGACTCGGGCTAGTTTTATTCAGTGGTAGAAATATTGGTGCCATTTACCATGCTCAGAATTGGGTCGCTGTTGTCCATAAGTCATTCCATTCATCTAGTTGCTATAACGAATCTTGCACTGAAAGTTCTATATCTGATACCGAAAGAGAATCGACAAGGTCCGAGAGTACGTAGATTGAATACACCTTCAGATTCAAGAATCTGTAACTTGGATCAGTATAAACAGTCATTGCAATCAAGTGCAAAGATCTTACAGGGAAAAGTCCCTAACTAGGGATCTCATCAAGACTGGGTCACGACGACAGTGTTTGCAGGAACTAGAGCCCAATGCTGCCCACTGTAATCGCCGCCGGCCAGATGAGCCACATAAGTGTCAGAATACACGTCTAGGTGTTGACCTGGTCCCGTGAAGCTGTTGCTCAGCCGGTACGGGTAGGCTGGGTTTGTGCCCCATTCGTCGAATCTCCAATATTGCCCACTATATTCTCCAGTATTCGCGAAGTGGAGGTTGACGCTGTTAACTCCATTGTCATTAATGACGTCGAGTGACTGCTTCACGCCGTTGGCAATACTGTGCAAGCGATAGTAGCTGGCTGAGTTCGTTGGAGTAAGGAACCAGAGGCTGTTGGAAGTAACATTATTGGCGTCTACCAAGGAGAGAGAGTTGCCGTTTCCCGTGAGGGCAAGTATCTTAGCTGCAGCTGTAAAGCTGTTCTTTAGAACGTAGATTTTCCCTGTATTGATCGACGCCATTTCGTCTTGAATCTGTGCTAATATGCGTATATGATTGTGAACTTCAGCTGGATGATCCTGGATGATGAACCTTTTGGATAGCATGGAGTCTTTATAGTTAACAACGGATCATTATATACTAGGTGGGAATGAATGATCGCAACTACGGCACATTATGAGAGCTGAATACCCCTCTCTGCGGCTGATGTTTGTCTCAGAGCGTGGACAACACTTTCAGCCCCCTTGCATCTATTTCTTAGTCTAGCATCACAAGAGTATTTGACAACTTAGTAAGACGTAGATTATGTTACGAAAAGGAGGCTGTGCTGATGGTCTAGACCGTCCTACGATGTTCTACAACTTTTCGTGCTGCATACGCGGGACGAGTCTCCGCCGAGCCGCGCCCTGGATAATCACATATTGAGACAGTTTTATTCGGTATGAGATGAAAAAAGTGAAGGAAATGGTCCTATTTGCTGTCCTGAATGATAAAATGACCACATGATCCATCCCTAAGGATTCGAGACCGAGCGCCACCGTCCTAGCGAACAATGCCTTCAATGTTGTTGTACAACGATCCCGCGCTTCTATGCATAGGCACTGCATATCTTATGTTACGGTGGTAGTTGTATATCTTCATAAAAAGCACACTGAAATTTTAATTCTTATGCATCGGCAGAGGTCCATACATGACAGTAATCACTGCATTAGTCTGGACTCATTTTATGACTCTTGAATGCGTTGGTAATGGCCTTAATCACTATTACAAATGGTGACTCTCAGATCACATAAAGCAAATACTGACCACACAGCGGATAATACGTGTTAAGTATCGTCCATCTTAGGAGCATGGCAAGGCGGCAATGCCAAGATTACGGCATTGTTCAGTGATTCTGTAATATGGGATGGAGATCACACAATCCTTTGTACAACTTATATGAATGTCTGTTTATGCCGACTAAGCGATACAAAACGCATAAAAAGGCTATTATGATGGCTCTCTGAGTCTCTTAAGACATGTCCAAGTAACTCTTATTACTAGAACTGCACCAATCTCCCTACATATGGCTTCTTAGTGCTAATTTAATTGCAACGTATCACCAAACTATTGGTGTAATCTCACATGAAAATTGCTGTCATACATGTACTTTCCCTCTTTCGTATCCTTGTTGCCTGACAGGATCTCAGGACAGTTCTCGACCGAGCCCTGCAGCTGTTGGTGTAACATTACGCGCATAGCTACTACTACGCTATGTTGATGCTCATCTCCGCCCCCTTGAAGAAAAAGTGGCAAGGAGAGTAATCTTGTTCATCTGATTCATCTACTATTTCCCTGGTTAACATGGATTCGCCTCTGCGAGGATCCGCGGAGCCACAAAAGGCTACCATCACTGTTTAAAAGTCAATAAAGATATACCGGGAGCTTGGAGAAGCCCTAGGAAGGCCCTAGAACGGGACGAAGGTGCCGAACTCAATAGTCCTCATAGCTTTGAGTTTGAGAACATTTTTAAATGCTTCAACGACACGTATAATTGTCCCGAGTGGGTTTGATTCGAGCAATGAGTCCAAACCCCAGACTAACCTAGCCCAGATTGAACATTGTGAGGCTGATTTACAGCATTCCATTGTTTAAGAGAGCTTTCATACACCTAGTAGCAGTTTTAGAAGCATATTTCTGCCACCCTTCCGCCTTGTGGTTATCTGCGTAGCCATAGACGACCTTGATGACGATGATCGGGAAACTATCCCATGCGTCCGCTCCCTCTATCTTGAATCCTACAACATTCCTTTCTTCATATCCATAGTCGACATTCTTGTAGCAATCATTTCACCCAACCCCAATTTGCCCATAGCCTATCGGGAAAGTAGATTGGCCTTGCATCTGCCACAAGTTGTCCCAGAGGCGACGTGTTTGTCGATCTTATAGCATTCAAGCCATCATGTTTCGCATTCGATTCTCTCAAATTGTCGGGTGACATGTGTCTGGCAGCCTACGTATAAACTGCAGCGTTCTGGTCTAGTCAAACTTAACAGCCGCTGACACCAAAATCTCCTATACATGTACTCTAAAATGTAGCACTTGAAATCATGCAGCTTCATCTCACGTGTAAAACGTCTTCAATCTTCAAGAACGAGTACGGACAGAAGTATACAAGATGTACTATTAGCGATGTGATGTGATCTGGATAAGCGCCGATACTAGTGACTCGTCATTTCCAGCCGCTGAGCTGTCGGATTTGTTTTTGACGATCCTTTCCCGTGTCTCGGCCTTCTCCCCGACATGGCAGCCATTGGACGTAAAGATCTGCCAACAGCTCCAACAGTAACCTATCTTTCATACATTACCATCCTTGTAGAGAATGAACGATCAAGATAATCAGATCGATGGAGAAAAAAAAGCTCTCCATAGGTAGCTCAGAAGATACAAACGATGTGAGATTGCCTAAACTGTGGCTGGCTACCGTGCCTAATTGAGCGAGTGTCTAAAACAAGAGGCAAGCGTTATATTACGCCATACCTCCTATCGGATATGTCTTGCACTGTAGAAGCAGACTGTGAACATCTATAATCAGTCAACGCTCTACTATTAACATTCACTGCTATTTTAACTTTTATGTTTTGAATAGGATATATATCCCCTATAGCTAATGATGCGATTTCCTCTCTAGATTCTGATCTTTTCTCTTAACATGTGGCTCTTCCTTACACGAGTTTCGACCAGTGGAGTACCTGATTCAGTGAGATTGGTAAACACGTAGTCCTATCAGACGGGGGCTTAATTGCGGTCAAAGGTTTCAAATTTTGGTGATAGATCAAATAGGGAGACTCCAGTTTTCTCAGACCGAATTCTGGCACAACGAGACATGGCTCAGACCATGTAAGCATCCATCTTCTAACCTACCTATAAGAAAGTCGCCTGGCCCCAGCGACGTCATTTCATATGCAAAATTACACCATTGTCTAATAGACATTAATTTTACATAGCAACTGTAATCTCTCGGATCATCCGTGATTTCACCATGGCGGCAATCGTCGATGGCGAATGGGCGATGAGTGGGGTATCAAAGCTTGCCTGACCTCACGTATTATATAGTCGTTGTAGATAGATGCCTTTCGTACTCTAGTTAAGTATGGTATGAGAGGCAGTGCATTATGGTGCTTCTTTCACCTGGATTTCTCCCTCAAATATAAGTCCGAAGATGGTTGTGGCCGATTCCAGCAAAGGCAAACCAGGGGAGTCACGGCGAATTACAAGACGGTGAGGGGCTTGCAATCGTTGTAGAGCTCGCAAAGTTCGATGTCTGTCCATCCTACCAGCCATTGAATAGCCTAGTTGCCGCTCTAACCCTGGATACAGGTGATGGGAAAAGGTTGTGTAGTGAATGCGAGGTCTTGGTCTCCGATCTAGCTATTTTTTCGATGTGAGACTAATCAACTATTATAGAGGCTTAGCTTTGACTGTAAATATGTACCAACACATCAATCACGATCGTCCATTGATTACCATGAGGCGTTACCCGAGACGCCAGTCTCGCAGCAGATGGAATCGCCATTCACCAATACTCCATTTAGCGAAAATGGCCTATCTTTTCTCGAACCAGAATATCTTGGAGATATTTTTGCACCATGTGTTGTTCCATACTCCACCAGCCATCTGGAGTCAGCTGAGCTTCTCGACCCGAATGCGATTCCTCCTAATATTACGGGCGACATCATCATACCTGCTTGCCATAATTTATTCGATACAAAGGGACAATTTGCCTTCAATGAACATCTATTTGTGGATTCAAAGATGTCATCCGCACAGCTTTTGTCAAACTCATATACAAGCCCCAAACTAGGCCATTCGGTAACAGCGACACCTCCTGGAGACCAGTACATGCCAGAAGCGAATGATGCCGATCCTTTGGTAAGCTGATGTTTTTGCGTTTATTTTAGATATCATTGGGAGAAAATCATATTAACTTATACTCATAACAATAGAACGATTGCATCTTTAAAGGTACGTAAGATTTCCTCCCCATCGAACTGGCGTGAGATATTAGAAACGAGATTGATGCTGAAAGAATTCCAAGTCAAAACTAGACAGCACAGTTTAGTAAAAGACACGATACTGGAGAGCATTGAACAACATTGTAATCAACGGCGCCTGGTTAAACATGACCATATTCTTCATACATTGGAGAAGCTGATGACACAGCATGCCACAATCTATCCTACAGAAATCTTCGGTAGCTTAGAAGTGAACGTTGACGACTTCACCATTCACCGAAGATTCGTGTTTGATTGTATCGATGGTATGTATTATCAGTAAATGCCTTATTCTCACCTATCGAAAACGAGTTCACGACTCACATGTTAAACGTAGTGTGCTTGAGTGATCAACCAGGGTAAGATGTCTACCAACAAATTGTCCACACAAGGATTGTGTTGCTAACAACAACTCTAGTGTCTATGCATTTTTAGGTCGGGAATCACTAGAAAGCGCCGCTCACGATGCTTTGGGTCAGTTACAGTGCTCGACGCCCACAAAAGCCCTTGTCCATATGGTGCTTGCACTTGGAACTCATTTTTTTCATTGCGAAGGCCGAGGTGAAAGACTACGAGAACTCCAATCCAATCCTCTCGTCCGCTTCAATGCCGCTTTGAAGCTTAAAGCACAGCTCTTATATATATTTTCTCTGTTCAGAGTTTACAGGTAAGATTCCATGGAAGTTTAACTACCCCAAAGTATTCCACCAGATAGAACACTAATCATGGAATAAGGCTCTCATCGTAATGGTATAGTATTTCTAATACCTTATGACTGGCTAGCTCATATATTAAACTCACGTCTGCGCCAGGCTAACTTCGGGCTACTCATTGAATCGAGAGAAACCCGCAGTCTCTTATTCAACTGCGTTCAGTATTCACAAATAATGCGCTTGAACAGAAGCAGCTCAGTAAATGCATTGTGTACCACATCCGATGACAGGAGATGGGTGAAGAGGGCCTTCTAGTTTCTATACGCCATGGAGCAGCGCTGTTGTCTTCGGACAGAGACTTTTTCTGTCAGTCTGCTACCATATATTCGTCGGATCCTCTTACGAAACTCCAGCACTGACAAAAACATAGCTTCTCAATCATGACTTTATCGACTATGAGCCGCCAAAGCAAGAAGGGCATTTGGCATCAGTTGATTGGTTGTCGGTATGGTGCCACCATGCAAATCTCTGCGCGTTCATCTTACAGGAGTTCTATGGCCAAAAGCATTGCAAAGCCAAGGTTCGAGTTCCATCTCTTCCCTCGAGGAGCAGCTCCGTAAATGGATGCAGCGAGTGCCGTCGGAACTTCAATTAGTAGATGGCCAAATGACTGGATTGAACACGATGAGATCCCAGGAGCGAAGAACAAAGCTTCACATTTTCTGTCTGTATTATGAGATTCTTCTTGCAGTATATGCAAAGCAGACATCCGCAGAGTCTCTAGCTGTTACCGATCTCAATATGTGGCCGTCATATGGAGATCAGCAGCAAACTTCAGCAGTGAAAAAGCTGCTTGAGGCTAGCCATCAGTTTACCGTGGCAGACGTACGTTTGGATCTGTATGTTTGTTACTCCGACGCATATTCTAATATTGAACGTGGCCAACAAATTTCCAGGTCGTTTTACCAACTGATTCGCGTCGCTTCTTGTAAACTAGCGGCCAGTACAATTTGCGATGGTAACAATGATAAAGATCTTTCTTACCTTTCCATGGCGGTCGGGTTTGGACGTATGGCGATTGGCGATATCGACGGTCCCCAAGAGGAGGTTACAGAAATTGTGAGAATTGTGCACCAGTTGGCAAAAGAGAATCACGACAACCATTAATAGCAGAATGAGAAATGGCTATAGATTAATCAGAAATGAACATAATGAATTCTCTACTCGTCAACGTAAATATTCGCTGCCTCATCTAGCCTTTACCACCCTCTCGAATCTAGTCAATCTTCTCATACTGGTACGTCAATGGTATAAGGTGCAAATCCAACATAAAAGCCCTCATTCAACGTCCATTGGCTTTTTATTTGGATTGCTAAGCTCTTCCAAACAGTGAGCTGCATGCCAAAACTGCTTATTCTCGTCATTGAGCTGCACTTTACCCTCGGCAGCTCGATGAGTACGCCGAAGAAGATATTTGCAATGTGCTAGGTGTTCTTCTCGAGTAGTATAAACGTGCTGGTCAGCGAGAGTTGGGCCGTTGGCAAGAAGTGCAAAGGCACGTTCGCCAATGATGCGATTCTTTCCGTCGGGGTCGAGAAAGTAGGGATAGGGTCCCAGTTTGCGATCATGGTTGCTGACATATTCGCGGTACTCTGATTCCGTCAAGGAATCCATGCATTGCTTTGCTACCCAGTTGTGTGAAAGCAAGTCAAAAGCACATCCGCTCGCCTCTGCTTCTTCTGTGGTGTTTCCGCACTCTAGCGTTTGCTTCTCGTATCTGATGGCACGGGGAGTAGGGTGAAAGGTGGTTCTCCATGCAGTCACTAGAACTATCCAGAGGCAAAATAAACCGATTAATGTGCGAAGAGCGTCGTAAAACTATTGTAGTTTGCTGTGAGGGTGAGAATTGGACGGATGAGGCCCGTCTAGTTTCTCAGCATCGCCATCAGTGAACGAGTTTGAAGCTGAAGAAACATCGCTTCCTTGAACGCGTTCATACGAAGTCCTAACTTTAAGAGGCCACATATTGAGATTTCTCTATGAACAACGGTTATATCTCGATTCAAGATTAGATTTGATAATTCTTTGCCAGGGAAAAATATACTCGTGTACTTACGAGAGCATAATACTAGGACAGCAGGCTCACATATCCCCATGGAACAAAGGTATAGGCAAATTTTAGATTGAACCCTGCGTGTTAAATTGAATGGACCAAACTCATGATATACCGTCGTTTGCTGTACAATGATGACTTGTTGTTTCACTTCGGACCGACTTGGTGTGATGTGCTCGGACTCGGACCGGAACTAATTCTCGATCTCACTGCTCCGAGAAATGTTTTGACAGCATCGAAAGCAGTCTCAGACGGAGCGAACATTTCAACTATTTCCTCTGGCGACATGTGTTTTCCATAATCTGGCGATGTTGGATTCGAGCTAATACATGGATTATGACGGGAACGCTCGTGGAAGGGCTCGGGGCTTTTCTTACATCTTTTGTAAACGACGCGCTCCCTCGTCAATGTTACTCTGCACGAGACCAATGCGCATGGGAAGCAGACCATCTGCTGGAATTCTGATTTGTTTTTCCCATTGCCTTTCCCAGTGGGAGTTTTGTCGCTCATGTAGTCTGTGAGAGCTGGGTACCTCACGTTTAACCATTGAGGCTTTACCGCGCAGTGTCGATTTGTTGTTCGACAAGCCATCGACTGCAGCACCCATAGCCTCCAACACTAGCATATAACCGATGATGATGGATATGACAGTGAAGTTCACGGCCATTGTGTATCGAACGTTACGAGCAGCCGATATTATAATTACACACAGTATCTGTTCCACGTCTCATGGAAGTCTGCTGTCCTTTGTGATTGCTTGGCCGCGCAACTGCTAAGCCTCTCGCGAAGTATAGTATCCCACTTCTCTACTTTATGTGGCTATATGAAGATCCAGCGGTAATGGTTTCCAAGTGAAGATGCTTACAATAGGCTTCACAAGCAGCGAAACAAAACCGAGATGGGGTAGTTTGCCATCTACCTAACAGATCTTGTCGTCGCAAACCCCGTTGACGAATTACCACTGATCAAGGCTTACAACATTGGTACGTTCCAATGATCTACGCTAAGAAAGCTCATTATCGACAGATGAGCGGTTCGGTCCGCCATTCTTATTAGATGGATATGCACTTCGGTCCGTCGGATTTGTGAGAGCCAAGTTTTGCGACATTTCCTATCCTGGTAATTGATATCAGCCACCCGTTATACTAGGCTAAGCTCTAATGATGTCAAGCCTGTCTCGGAATATATGTTGAGTTTTGTTTTGACGTTACTCCTCAGGTGCGACTCTGAACTGACCAGGTCTATTTGCGACGAAAGGACGGTACGAACATTGTCTGGGTTCGATAGAAGCTGCGTTGGTGCGTCAAAATGCTTCGCGTCAAGGCTGTTAGTCGTCAGTTTGCTGTAAAAAAAATGATGCAATATTCTGATCTAGTTTCATTTTTTTTTACGGCTGTCATGTTGAGACGTGACCATGTGACGTTCGTCGCTTTCTGGCTATATAAGAAGTCATCTCCCGCGGTGCTTGAACAGTATTCTTGCAACTAAACAACGATAGCATCGCATTCCAACCAAGATCTTTGAACAGAGTTTGTAAAGAGAATTTGATAACGTGTTTGCATTACGCGGTACACTAAAGCCTTTGCTATGGCCGCGTTGGCCTCCACTGCCATGGCGCTCGCGCTTCCAAAGGCACAACCGTGGGCAAAACATATCCTCCCTACATATTTTCAAAAGCTGATCTGCTGCATATAGCTTGGATCTGGTTTCTCGCTCTGAGGATACCGTTGTTCCTGACAAGCAGCTTTATGATAAGCGCAGTGAGGAGACCGTGGTTCCTGATAAACAGCACTACGATAGACGCAACAAGGACACTTTTGTCCCAGACAAGCAGCATTATGACAAGCGTCATGAAGATACTGTTGTGCCCGATAAGCAACACTATGACTAGTGTGAATCCGATGATATCTACCTCCCGCTTATGTTGGAAGCTGATAGTATCAAGACGAGCATTTTGTTCAGGCTTTGAAATGGCGAGCAGGAGTGGTTCATAACAACAATATTGTGTCGTATGTAGGACATGTGGGGATTGTCAAATTTGCCCCTCATTAGCTCTCTCATAGACAATATACGTGAAATTAATTATCTTCACCGCGTCGTTAGGAGCTGTTCTATGGATTGACAGGCCGATATCTCATACTTCAATGCTATTGCTTGAACGTTGAATTCTTCTGGCTATCATGAGGCCTTGTCATGAGGTCATGATTCTTCCGCCATGACTTTTCTCTTCATTAGCATTCGAATAATGAAGTCAACTAGGACTGCCAATAATTACACTATGCCAGATTAATTTCCGTGGTCTTAGTCAAGTCCAAAGTACCTGCTGTTCAATTCATTGCCGTATACGAATGATGAATTACCAAGCCTTTGAGATCTGTTTAAAGGCATTCATTACGAAGTTTAGTGATAACTTATAGAACGGGTGCAATCGCAGCACGATACAATGGACCCCAAAATACACCATCCTTTTACTAGCCATAGTTGTAATACTTTCATTCAGAGAACCTGGGACGAAGTCATTGAGCGAAATCTAATTGTTGATGACTATTTCTCTATTTTCGCAAGGACAAATTACGTCTCCAACCGTTGGCTGTAACCATTCTCGAGTAGATAGGTAACCATCCGCCAATTCAGGTGCATCCATAACTCTATGTAATTGCAAGTTGCCAAAATCTTGGTCTTGCAAATGACGGCTAAACTTCTTTTTTTTCCCACTAACGAATAAACTTTGTGAAGGAGTGCAGCATAGTTCTGTTGGCCAAGTCACCGCGATTCGCCCACCGTTGCGCAAAGAGCGGCTCTCAGCGTTCAAATCCGAGCCGCATAACCGAATGTCTGACGAACATTTCTCCATGACGTCGTGATTCTCGCATGTTTGAAAGCTGTCCGAGATGTCTGTGTGTCTCGGTTCGGATCGGTGCTGTACTTCAGCCTTCATGTCTCTCACTTCCGAGCCTGGGGCTACATCATCGGGCTCGGACCTTGTCTCCCTGCTTCGAATCAAAAGTCCAGCCTACATGTAGACATCACCAATCAATGTAATACCATACATAATTCAGTTTTCGCATCCATATGGGGTACTACTGACCGTACATCTAAACTAGTTTGCATTTTCGAAATGGATCTTGCGACAGCGTCGCGTGCAGAAAAGGGGCGCTCAAGCCTTGAAGCCGAAAACAAAAAGCTTCTGGGCTATTATGACAGGCCTGAAGATGAGCTCGATTCCACATCGACATGGATAGGAGAAGACGATTCACCCCAGCGATGAAGGAAATGGAAACCCGGCGCGGCAACAGTATGGCGATGGGCTATAGTCAGTCTACAGATTATATACAGTGTACTTGTGGGTGCAGTACTAGGCTATGTGCTGAAGCCAGGATGCAATGAGTTGGAGTGTGTCCGCATGACTTCAAGCTATTGTAAGTTGTTCATGTTTTTGTGGTCAAGTTTGACCAAGCTGACACGTCCATAGCGCCGTTGCTTGAAGCAGTAGAATATTACGATTATCAGTTTGAGGCGGAACTTGACGCCGAAAATGTGTACAAAGGGCACCCTCGACCAGAACTCGACGAAGCCTGGACTCGCGTTGGTAAAAGTAAGCGTTCAGATCAATTATTGCTTCTACTGCCATATCTGGTGCTTACTTTTGATCACAAGTACATCCACCCTCCATGCCTGAAAAGCATCGTGCAGAGTTGAATAAAACAGATTCGGTCATACCGTACCCCAAAGAACAGGGTGGTGCAATTATGGTCGAGATTGAGGTTTTCACCAGCTCCACTGCCTGGTATTAAATTCTTTGGATCTGTTGGCATGAGACATTTGCTGACCCGTCGAGTAGAACTTTATCCGAAAAGTCATCTATGCAGATTATTATTCAAGGCCCGAAAACCTGCCAATTGAGTTTGAAGTAACGAATAAACTATTCTTCAACCACGTCGGTAAGTCTAGCTTGTCTTTTTTAACCATGAATTCATGCTAATAACCCGCTTTCTTCTGTGCCTTATTCTAGACCACTGCATCGATTATCTCCGCCAGGTCATACTGTGTGAGAGTGATGTTACGCCCGTCACGTCCAACTGGGTCCTCACTCACCACACTCCGCACCCTGACTTTAACACCATGCACAAGTGTCGAAATTTTACGAAACTGCTGGAATGGGTGGAAGAGCACGACAATGGAGGTGTGCCAAGACAGACACCAAATCCCAGTTGGAAGCCTGCGCCGGGGCTTGCAGAGACGATATTGGACTACGAACACGAATTCCCAGTACCAACGCATGGACCTCGAATCACAGGAAAGGATAAATGGGGCCATGATTAAGCTGGGAAAGTGTAAGTGCTAGATAGGTAGCTGGTTCATATATAGTCTCTTCATGGTGTCAATGAATGTAATGGGAAATCTCAGCGGATCCAGTGTATTAAGCTATAAGAAAGCTCTTCTACTTGAAGTGAATGAACATGAGGACTAGGGGAGTTAGAGCTGTAGCTGGTTTTCCATTATCATTGTTCACTTCGAGATGCGATAGTAGCAAAGGATAAAATAAATATTATTGGTCGAATTGGCCAATGAAGAGCATCAGATAGAGGGTATTAGATGTATCTGGCAAAATAACATAAACAATCTACTCGTGATATTCTGTCCAAGATAATTTATTCATAAATGGCTTATTAGTTTAGATGCATTTCTTCATTCGTACAACTCAAATGCGCATGCGCTTTGTTCATCTATATCGATCGTGATGCTTGGACGCAACAGCTCCGGAAACCAACAACATTGGCATCTGCTTGTGATTCGGGAAGAAGAGACTTAGCCGATGTCGGCAAACATCAAGACCGAGTAAGACATGGCGACCAACCGAACCGAGCACGGAATAGCATGGGGGGAGCACGCTGCATGGACTTTTAGTTAGGTACATTAATGGGATAAGTGGCCACATCACTTTTCTCCCTCTCGTCGGAAGCGGAGAACTGCCACTATACATCCCCGACAAGCATCAAGAAAATTACGAGTATTCGCATAGCTAGTATATGAATCTTTTGTAGCGTCTAGAAAGTCCCAAATATCTCATTGTCTGGATTTATGTTCCTTTGAGCACAATACAACGTCCCAGAATCCTTATATGACTAAAATCCCACGCAGCCCCGTCGCAGAAAGCCAACCAGCGCCTTCTATCAGCAACAAAATGCCACTTCAGCTTGAAGATATGAAGTTTGGAGATGCCGAGGCGTACGCAAACACGTATGCCACCTCGTTCAACACTGACCCTTACTCGAGAGCTTCCTTCGCAGACCAGACATACGACGAGCGGGTAGCAGGCCTTATCCGCCGCTGGCCGAAAAACTATTGCGAGTCTTTCAATGCCTATAAGAAGGTCGTCGATACCGACACGGGAGAGTTGGTTGGTTGGGTCAAAATTGGGTTTCAGAACACTGATGTGGACCCCGATCGATTTACTCCAGCCGGTTTGTGTCCTGTCTTGTTTTGAGTCCCAAATGCGTCCAACTAATGGTGGCAATAGACGCCCCAGAAGATATAGTCAGAAATCGTCCACCGCCCCCAGAAGCCCCAACTGCTGCTCCCACGGGATCTGGATTTAGTAGTAGGGCCGCGAGGGCCCAATTCCGGGGCTTGGGCAATCGGCCTGCCATTAGTATGTCTTAGGCCATGTTTGACTACGTAAATGTTTTCTGGACATTGAAACTAAGTCTCTATTTTTCCAGTTTTGAAGCTCATTGGCACACATCCCAAGGCACAGCGACGTGGCGCTGGTAGCTTGCTGATGGCCTGGGTCACAGAGTTGGCCGACCAAGAAGGCCTCGCCTGCTGGGTGACTGGCTCACCAATGGCTGTGCCATTGTACAAGAAATTTGGATTTCAAGTGATGGAAGAGATAACCGTGGATCTGCCTGGGAGTAGCGATGGGGAATCTTATACGCACACGTGTATGCTTCGCGAGCCGAAGAAACCTGAAGCGGCTTCTTGAGTGTCAAACGGTACGCAAACAAGATGTCATCTCGGGGTAATCTGAATAAACATGGTATATCAATGCCTTCAAACTTGCATGTCCATCTACTGTGACTCAGTTAACAAAGGCTAGTTATTCCCCAATATGAATTGCTTCTTCGATCATAGGCCAACACAAGAGTCCTTAGGCGTGAGAGATAATTTATAGTATTATTATTGTGGCTAAACTAATTTGTTCCGACTTCTAATTGACTTTGTCACCGTTCTATGGGCTTGATTGTTCTAGTCCTCTAAGCAATGTTTCAGGGGCTAGCATCTGTAGTTGTGAGAGTCGGTTAGCTTGTTGCACCTTCTCTTCCGATAATCCGAAGCGCTCTTTCAGCACATTCCTCAGCTGCAGCGTCTTTTGTATAAACAATATGCTTTGCAAGCCTCTTATTACTGGGATGTTCCACAAAGTGCTTGTTAAGTCCAAGCTCATGGCCCCTCCGTGCTTCTGTAATCTTCACCACCTCATCGACGTCCTCGCACGGCATTACCAAGATGACATTTTCGTATGGCTTGATCAACGCCTCAATATTTTCCAGCTCTTGCGGATTCTCAAAGACTGAGTGTCCGGCTCCGAAATCGAGAATCTTGCCGTAAAACTGATCGCCCTCTTCACTCGCATTCTGCAAGATGTGTACGACGGTCTTGTATTCAAACGTTTTCCAATGCTGGTAAAACGCCCAGAGGCCCCTTTCTTCGTATATTCTTGCGGCAAGGTCTTTATCGTAGCTATAAGGTGCGTAGAGTTCATCGCGGTGTCGATCGAGGGTATACAACTCCTTCGATAGGGTTTTGGCTAGGATTTTACCAATAGTAGACTTGCCAGAACCTTCTGGGCCGATCAGGATGATAGTTTCGTCGTACATGATGTTTTTTATGTAGAAGTTTGGTATCGCAACTCAAATAGAGTGACTGGGGTGAGAACGAAGTTCTGAAAGTGTACGGAGTTTATGTTAAAAATGTGAGTCATAGCCCAGCGACCAAACCAATAATGGCTCCTTCACCCTGTACTTGTAAATTTCTGTAAATGGTCAATTGTGTGGATGCCAATTGTTATTTAGTTTTTTCAACTACTTAGCTTACTAATTTAAGACGTCAACCCCCTTATTTAGGTTCCCAAAGAAGGGAACACTTCCTTTACAACTGGTCTCTGAAACACCTTGACTTTAGCTCCTATATAGTCATCTGGCGCCTAAGGGAATACTTCCATTATCCACATTCGAACAGTGATTTTGTCAGTTGAATATGGTTTCGGACACTTGACATGCCACCATGTGCGACGTTTGTTCTCGTTCGTTGTATAAATCGGCTAGGCACGCCCCTCAGACATTCCGGGGTTATACACGCGATAGTCATTTCCTTCATAACTCAAAGTCGTACAACTAGGCTTGACAGTTTTGCGGAGTTTAGAAGGTATTTCAATCGAGGATAGCTTCGACAGATACAGCTTGGCTTTATCGTTGCGGTTCTCCCACACGTAGTTAGCATTATGGTAGTCATCAATCTTTAACCTCGTGGCCAATGCCCCCACGTGTTCAAATTATTTCAAACATTAAAATCTCAGAGTGTAATATTGACTTGAATATCCTCTTCACGTTCTACATGTACAAAGTTTGAGTCGTCACCAATGAATTCGTGTGAAAGTCAGAAAGCAAATGGCTGGCAGCTGGTCAAGAATAACGGGATGCTGGCTCAGATGTTCACGCACGATGCCGTATCGATCTGAACTCAGGTGACACAATGCACGGGAGTTCTCACATAGGTCCATAAGATCAGACCACTTATTGAGATCCGGTAACCAATGTTTTGTGCCGTCAAGATTTTGTTGCTTCGAAACCTCCTGGGCAAAATCGGCCCACACATACTTGGCAATAGGACATATGATATCGCTTCTCTAATGCTCCATAATCGTATCACTACTGAGACAAGTCATATCATAAAGCAGAGAATTGACTGTAGTTTATTGTTCACTGAGTATATTCTTCTTCTTCTTCCATTGGATCTAGACCTTCCTTGAGGCGTAGATCTACTGGGTCTTTCCATCATCACTGGGTACTACTTGACCGCTGTGATGACAGCTAAAGTCGAATTGAGTCATATCACGAGTAGCTTGGGTTTAATAATAGAAACAACAAATCACATAGGCCGAAGAGTAGAGCATGCTTACTATGAAAGCTCGTGTAAGACTTGATATATCTAGGAAGTGATATTTTAGGTCATTCGGGCCTAACAGTGGAATATAGCCAATATGAAGGCTCATATAAGACTTACTGCATCTAGGAAGTAATACGTAAGGTTATTTGGAATAAGGTTATTTGGAATATCCAAGGATATTTGGGCTTAAGAGTGGACTATACCCCCTGCAAAAGCTCATGTACGACTTAATACATCTACCTAGACAGTGATATTTTAGGTTATTCGGGCTTTGCAGTGGATTATTCTTACCGTAGAAGCTTATACAAGACTTAATACACATGTAGGAAGTAGTATTTTATATTATTCGGGCTTAAAAGTGGAATATACTCTAATGAACGCTCGTATAAAAGTTGATATATTCAGGGGATGTTCAGGGGAAGTGAGATCGTAAATCATTCGGACCTAAGGGTGGGGTATACTGACCTTATAGGATTTATACAGGACATAATACTTCATACTAATCAATATGTATATAAAGTCCTAATAAGTTCCTTAAGAGAAAAGAATATCACACACTTCATCTTAAGTCCCAATATCACAGTCACATCTTAGCTTCCAACCTTAAACTCTTCATTTACACCAACAATTCAAATTCAACCATGAAGTTCTTATATAATTTGGCAGCATTTGCCATTGCGGCTTCAACGGTGGCATCTCAACAGATGACAACCGATACGATTGACCAGATCGCTATTGGTGCAGCGTCCATTATCTATGTGACACCACTAAAACGCGACCTTAACGACACGGAGACTCTGGACGCTCTGGACACGCCGGCGACTCTAGAGGCTCGACAAGGGTCTGGGGTTGCATTTACTCCCGTTGTCATGTTCCACACTCAAAAAGGTCACTGGGCTATAGCGCCATTTCAATCAAATGCGAAAGCCACAGAAAACTTCCCTAGAAGCTTTGGCAAGACATGGGGACTTGTTCAATTCTCTAAGAGTTCCACCAGCAATCCTTTTTATCGTCTCACTATGCATACACCAACTTCAGACGGCGTGGATGTTATAGTGGATATGCCAGCAGGCTCTTTTAAAATGCACTGTCGCTTTACCACAGGATCGGATAATAGCGGCGGGCATAATGTATGCAAAAATGGTAATGGCAGCTGGGGGGATTACTATCTGTGTAATCCAATTCCCCAGATACGCCAGACATTCTCATTTTGCACAAACAAGGGGTCGCCTCAGTGCGGCACTAAATGTTAAGCTATGGAATGTACGACCTGCCGCTTATAGTCGCAATAATGCGCTTACTATAGAGGGCACAGCCAGATTGACTATAATCTGCAACCAATAAGGTCTCACTCGTCGAACAAGGCCAATAACACACTCTCTTTAACTTATTGTATCAGCTATACAAGCCCAGAATTGAGTGGAATATAAGTTTTCATTCTCTACACTCGTTTAAAGCAGTTACTTAACTAGTCATAAATATACAATTGTGATGAACCAGTCTCCTATATAGTGTGACAGGCCGGTCTCCTATGTTAGCAATAAGAGGTAATTCCCAAGGGACAAACCTATACGAGATTTATGTTGGCGCATGGGCCAGGCTGGACTGACAGGCAATCGTATAAGCGAATAACAAGAAGTGTTTACACAACTGTAGAAGATATTCTGTAAATATACTCAAGCGTTATTCTATATTCACAACTACCCAGTTAACTAGGGACCCCTTATCAAGACTGAGCGTACCCTATGTACTGCAATGGGGGGAGAACGGGCGTGCCAGTACCAGAACTAACTGTGGACCAATTCAGCCTGATGGCTTAACTTATGATTTGCGTTCGCGCTGTTGCTATTTACCTATATTACACTTTGCGCTGCAAAGGCGGAATACAGTTCAGTGCCATAGCGGCAAATCATGTTCTGTGAGTGGAGGCAACCAGCGTCCAAGTTTTCTCGAGAGGATAGGTTTGCATTTTGGGAAGAAATTGGCTCATCAATCCCCAAATCACTGAGCTTGTCAGAAATGTTGTAAGCTGCACCTTGCCAATAGCTCCGCTCTGGAGATCATAGGGCATAATCGTCTTCCCTGCGGTTTCAAACTACACAGGCCACTAAATCTTAACGGCTTTTACATCGATTATCATCATGTTCAATTTAGCCTAAAGCTATCACGACTAGGTAATATGGAACAAAAACACCTAGAAATGATGATGAGACCGGTCCGATCGTCACGGACATATGTATATGGACCCCACACAGTATACAGCAGACGCTAGGATTATCAATGAACGGTTTATTTTTCGTCAAGAATGGATAGTTGACGGTCATCAAGGCAAATATCTCCACTGAAATAATAACGCGTGGCCACAGACTATACATCGCTGGACATTTTTCCGTGATGAAGATACAGCAATTTGCCCACACCTGTGTCTTCGAGGTGGACTGCATTACAGGCGCACAAAGAAGAGGAAAAGTCAGCGCCACAAACCAGACACAGAGCTGGGCCACCACTCCTCGAGTAGTAACTGATCTTGAGAATGGAATAAGTTTTGCTGTGGAATTACCTGGCCATTAGGTAATGACTTCCTGCCCGCGTTGTCCCACGGATTGTGGGATCATAGTTTTCGAAGGAAGTGAAACAATAGTCCAGTCTTGGCATGATCTGCATGATCTTGGCACAGAAGGATCACGGTCAGCTAGCTGGGCAATGCATGTTAGTGCTGACAGGAATGACGACTGGATCGACAAAAGAATGAAAATAGATTGTACGCATGACAGTATTCGAGCATCATGGTTGGAGGATGATGTTGGCAGACAGGTCTAATGGTCTGATCACACATGTAGCGCGGTGAATAGACAAGAAGTACGAGACTAGTGAGGCGACACGTAATCAATGCTAATTTCAATCGAATTCTAGATACAGTTATATGCTGTATATTCACTTTGCATATCATACGCTTCCATACATACGGCTCCTTTTGTTTTCCCTCCCGCCTCATTGTCAACACCTTGATACCCTTATAAGCGTCAAACAAATCATCTTGACCACCACAAATATATCACTACCCTGACATCAAATACGCTAGTTATTGACGCTCTAATTGAGCATAATTGAGTAAAATATTCTCTGGGGATTGTGTTGAATATATGAGTTTGTGTAACCATTAACAGCCATACTAGATGTTGGCTTATATCGAGTCTTTCGATGTATCCCTTCCATTTTACATTTGGGTTATGGAAGAATAGTGACTGCGTAATCTTTAAACACCAGTGATTAAAAACATGAACATGGTAAAAGATCTCATCCATGATGTCAAACTTTTGTTGACATTAAACAGAAAGGTCTTCCCATCTGGTGGTTGCCATTGAGCCTCATCTATATATAGATCAGATTTACACATCTTATCGATAAGCAAACGGCCCTTATAGCTCAGGGGTAGAGCGTTGCACTCGTAATGCAAAGGTCCTTAGTTCAAATCTGAGTGGGGGCATGTTTTTTTGCTGTCTTACTCGTTGAGATGCTTCAATAACATTTCAATTCGGACATGAAAAATCAAGGCAAGAAAATATTGGAAATCCAACAAGATTTGTCTTTATAGAAATACAAGTGATGCTTTCTACCATTCATTTCATGATTCTTTTGGTTGATGATCAAAGATGAGGGTGCTTTTCATGCTGGTTCCAGTATCCTATTAGAAGCATCAAGTACTAGGTAGCTACAAGATGCCTACCCTGCATGTCGCCATGACAATGTATACAGAAATCGCAGCAGTGATGGTGACATGTAGCAACTCACTTGGGCATATAGAAATGTCTTAGAATTGTCTTTCTTCCATGTTGGAGGAATTCGCAATGATCCCCGCGTTTGTCAAACCCCTGCGAATTAGTTTGCCCCTCACTTCATGTGCTTCGCTGTCTCATTAACACACACGCTGCGCAATACTCTATTACTTTTTATCCATTGACAATCATCCTGAGAGCGAGACTTTCATGTTAAAATGACCCAACGCAGGATTCCCGTCTTTGATGAGGAACCAATTGATCGGGAGCCGGATCTCATCAAACCATGGAAGCTCCCTCCTCAAAGGACATACGTCTTCAAGAATGCAAATGTCGTTGATACAGCAAATGGGAAAATCATCCCCAACCGTATTGTCAAACTGTCAGGAGGTCTAATCAAAATACTCGACAATTCAGTTGCTAGAATTCTTTCTGGATGGCTCTTTAGCGACGCTATTGTCGTGGATTTAGAGGGCAAATATCTTAGTCCCGGGCTGATCGACTGCCACGCCCATATATCCTCTGTACCAGGGGAAGAAGGTCTTACGGCAAGCATAGTTCATCCTGACATGGCCGTGTCTCACTTTCGCCAGCCTTATATGGCGGCACAGGTGCTCTACCGAGGCTTCACTACGCTGAGAGATACGGGGGGTGCAACGCTGGCCCTGAAGGAGGCAATAGAAGACGATGTATTCCCTGGACCTCGCCTTTTTATCGCCAACAAGGCCCTCTCTCAGACGGGTGGTCACGGAGATTCCAGGTCAGCCCACGAAGCGTGTTGCGGCACCACAAACTGCCTTTCCACTGTTGTTGATGGCGTGCCCGCTGCCATACAAGCCACTCGAGAGCAGATCCGTATGGGCGCAGATTTCATCAAGATTATGACCAGTGGCGGTGTTGCTTCGCCGACTGATAGACTGGACCATATCCAGTTTACAGCTGCCGAGATTAGGGCGATTACAGAGGTCGCAGAGACGTACAACACGTATGTAACTGCTCACGCCTACACTCCTCGATCAATCAGACATGCGGTGGACAATGGCGTTAAGGGAATCGAGCATGGCAATCTCGTTGATGCAGAAACAGCCGAATACATGGCCAAAAACAACGTGTGGTTTACTCCTACGCTTGTCACCTACCATGCCATGGGCTCCGACAAATACGCCGGGTTTCTGCCACCAGCAAACCGCGAAAAGAACCTCCAAGTTCTGGAGCGAGGTCTCCAGTCTCTGCGCTTAGCAGACGAAGCCGGAGTTACCATTTGCCATGGATCCGATCTGTTGGGGCCTCTATGGGTGGAGCAGAGCAAGGAATTCGGCATCCGGGCAAAGGCCTTGAGTGCGGCAAAGATTCTCCAGGGGGCCACTGTGAATGCGGCGAGGATGTTGAAGCAGGAGGATTTCTTGGGCCAGATTAAAGACGGGTTTGCCGCAGATGTATTGGTACTGAATGCCAATCCACTGGAAGATATTACGATTTTGGATGAGCCAGAGAAGAACATTCTTGCAGTGCTGAAGAATGGCCGGGTGTATAAGAGCCGGTGGACAAAGTTGCCGGAAGACGTTGTTCGGCCTCAGACAACGATTGAGTGATTTTAGGAAGAAATTATGATGGAAAAAATAGTAGAATAATTTAATCATCCGAATTTCCTTTTGAAAGCAAACCTATAATGGCTTTAATGAGAGACTGTGTGCCCTCGGTGTTGAGACTTATATGATATGATAACTGTGATGCTTAGTAAGCGGAATCCGACGATAGCCTACAGACTTTCCGTTCCCTCAAGCCCAACTCCGGCTTCCTCTCTTCACAAGCTCTCTCATGCCCTCGCTGCGCATCTCCTAAACCCGACCGAAACTCTCCCACGATGAGCCGAACGAGCCGCAAGAGCCATGATCTCCGGCCGCTCTGAAGCTCCCATCCTGGCCCCTCTCCCCGACTCAACCACCGGCGTCCTCCCTGTTCTTCCGCCTGGAGTTGAGCTGCCCGATCGCCATCCTCGAAACAATGCCGCAACAGCAGCTTCGGCGGCCGGAGTGCGGGCTCTCAGTGCGCAGGTCGTTGCCTTTTACTTCCGTGCCCCTGCGAAATCCTTCTTCCGCACCCGAGTCGACTATCTGGCTTATGCCCGGACGATTCACCAGCGGCAGACGAAGAAGCTGATGCAGGCTGTTGCGGAAGATGCGTCGCCGTCGAGGCTGGTTGCGGCTCTCCGACAGACATGGCTATGGATGCGAAGCACGACGCCCGGCGTTTTGACGTCGGCGATCCGGCACGAGGGCTGGGGCATCGTGCCGCACCAAATCATGCCGCCGCTGATTGCCAACATTGGCGTCAACGCTGTGCTGTATACGGGGTATCTGCAGATCCTAGGCCGTCTGCATGAGGAGAGCTCCAAGGCCACCAAGAGAGTTTATCCTCCACCGCCTCCCCAGGCTACCTTCATGGCTGGATTTCTCGCAGGTGGACTGCAGAGCGTTATTGCGGCACCGTTGGACGCACTGCAGGCGCGTTATGACCATCGTGATATGATGCCCAACGACGGCAGCGGGCGGCCTCGAAGCATGTGGACGTTTAGTGCCGAGAAACTCAGGGAAATCGGGCTGCGAGGCATCTTTGCGGGATGGGGGGTTTCTTTCTTAAAAGACAGCGTGGGATGCGCAATCTTTTTCAGCACGTTCGAGTACATCAAGGCACAATCGTATTACCGCTTTGTGGCATGGTACTACGGGGGTCTAGAAGAGGAAATTATAGATCTTCTCGCGACGAAACGTCCCGCCGATCGACCCAAAGAAGAGGGTATTCAGCTCATTCGACCACATTACGCAATAGAGCCCATGTTTCTGCTTGGTGCGGGCATCAGCGCCTCCTTTGCCCAGCAGCTTCTTCTCCATCCTCTCACTCATTTCCAAGTCAAGCACTGGGACCATCTGGAAGAGTTAGACGACAAAGCCGCCCGCCTACGCGCTTCTCGGGCCGCCAACCCCGACCAACCTCAACGACGGTTCAGGATGCTTCGGGCGTACTATCATGCATACCAAGAGACGTTGGCGGTGTGCAAAGCTGAGGCATCGGCAGAAGGCCTGAAGCTGGGCAAGTGGCTGTATCGAGGATTCTGGTGGAATACCATCCGGCAGGTACCGAGCACAAGTGCCGGCCTGATCATCTTTGAGCTCATACGACGAAAGTATGGGTTCGGCATGGAAGAAGTGCGCATCACCAGTGATGGATACGATATTTTGCTGCATTAGAAGGCAATTTCGAGCATCCATCATGCTTGTAATGTTTTGTACTGGAGTATATATACATCTCCCTTGGATAGATTAGTAGGTGATAGATCACTCTGCCCCATTGTTACACATAGATATTAACATATTCAATATTTTGTATTAACGATATAAGAAGGAGCCGATTCCTCCGTCAAACCCAGCGCTTTTCTGTCTAATTATGTGTCTATGCTTGATCAAGTCATCTTTTATGCCTCTGCTTGCAAAAACTGTGCAAACGAATCCTTCATGGTAACCTCCAAGGGAATGTACTTGATTCCCAAAAGACGTTCCGCCTTGCTTCCGTCAAGCTGGTAGACGGCCTGCGTCTTACCCGCACCGGGCGTTCCCAGCGGAAGACGACTTTGCAGCTCTGGCAGAACTTCCCGCAGAGTATCTACCGCACTCTGGTAGTCAAAGTGCTGGCCGCAGATGAAGCGCTCGCCGGCAGCCTCAGGGCGCTCAAAGGCATTAAGATGGGCGGTAGCAACGAGGCGAACATCAGCAAAGCCAGCAAAGTCAACTGGAGGGACTTCCTTTGCGCCAACGAGATGCCACAGTGCCTCGGAAGATTCGTTGAGGTGGTGAAGATCAGTGATGGGGCTAATGTGAGGACCGAAGATCCAAGGAGGGTTGATGGAAGTCAATGAGAACGAGGGCTTCTCGGCTTCAACCCAGTTCCACATGGCCTTTTCGGCGAGAGCTTTGGAAGCGCAGTAGGCGGTGGCATTGTCGGCTTTGGCGGCCTCGGCATGTGTCATTGGGTTCCAGTCCTTCTCGGAGTATGTGTATCCAGGACGGTAGCCTTGGCCGAGGTCGAGAATGCAGGCAAAGGAGGAAGTGTTGATGACGCGACGGACGGCAGATCCATATTGACGAGTTGCTTCAAGCATGCTGATAGCGCACTCAACAGCTGGGTCCAGCAATTGAGTAACAGGGTCGTCGACTTTCAGGGAGAAGGGAGCAGCAACATTGATAACGCCAGTGACAGGCTTAGAAGTGCCAACAAAGGCGGGCTCGTAGAGCTCCTTTTTGTTCAGTTCGGGGACAATGGCGACTGTGAACTTGTCACCGTAGTCGGCGAAGATGGAGCGGACTTTTCCTGCTGAACTAACTGATCGGACGGTTCCTCGGACGTTGTAGCCGCGGTCCAGGGCTTGCTTGATGATGTGAAGGGCGACGAAGCCATTGGCGCCGGTGACGATCAAGGTCTGTGCAGATGGGGCCGACATTGTGTCTGTTGGTGTGTGTGGAATTATGATCTATTTTAGGAACTTGAGCAAGGATTGAGTTGTGGTGAAACTGTCTTGAGTTGAGTAGTTGAGTAGAGGTTGTGTGATTGTTGTGGTTGTTGTGATTGTTGTGATTGTTGTGGTTGTTGTGATTGTTGTGATTGTTGTCTGATTGCAACTCGGAAAGTGAAGAGCAAACGACCACTTAATATACACATTGAACTGACTCCATCGTGGAGACAACAGTCCCTCATATCCGATTCGGCTGGAGCCGCTTCAACATATCGCCTACATACAAACCTTCAGCTTCTCCGATTGAAAGCACGGCCTTGGTGTAGCTTTCGGTGACTGCAGCTGTCGGTGGGCGAAGCTAGGCGATAAGCTTGACTTTAAAGCCGATTCTGTCCAGTCAGCAAGTCCGGGTGATGTCAGACGCCGGGTGAAGAAAGACAAACTGAATCCTAACCTGGAAGGAGGTGCATTCAATAAGGATATCATTCCGAAAGATTTAAAATAAAGTACGGGAATAAAAGTAGAGATGGTGGTCAGATAGAGTTGATGCCCAAAGAGAGGTTTGAATGAGGGGAGAGATGTGGTTAGACGACGCGGTTTAACGCCGATGCAAGACAGCGTCTTTAACTCTGTTTGGGGGTCAATTGAAGGAGCTGCGTTCAAGTCTAACTTGTTCTTGAAGTAAGTTTTGCGAATGCAACATAAAAAGTGCATGCGCTGTAAGATTTCCCGTGTTGTCACTGGGTTTCGAGATGCATGTTACAGGGGGGCGTCATGATGTTTGCACGATGAATTGTAGAGCTTCCTATTTGGATGGTTGAGAGAGAGCCAAGATGAATGATCATCCACAAGATGGGTTATAGATTACGTGGATGTCGCGTGCTTATGAATGCGAATATGGGAATTGCCAAAACAGAGAAGATAGAACGGACATAAAAGGACGCTTGATGTCGCTTTAAAGTCAAGAGATGAAACCATCACAGGATTCACCAGCAGAGCAATCAACCATCTCCTTGGTATACCATTAAAACTTGCACAACTTCTGCAAAAGAACTTGAGCGCTCAATCTCGACAAACACTTCAGCCAAAAATTCACAATGCAGTTCCAGACGGTGGCCTCTCTGTAAGTTCAAACCCACAGAGATACCGAAAACCAGCTACATGGGGGCTAACAACGAAACATCTAGTCTTTGCGCCACTGCTTCACTCTTCTCGCAACCCGCCAAGGCCCAAGACACATCTTCTGCCATTGGCAATGTCGGCGACTGGTTCTCCATGGTCGTCTACCCCCAGATTCACAACGAAACCTACGATTCGACCTTTAACATGGACTACTACAGCCAGCAGCAGATGCCATGGATCTACTCTCTTTGGGAGCCCTTTGGCATGAAGGGATATACCATCACCACTCTAGGGCTCGATGCCCCATACAGCGTAGTTACATACTTGTACTTTAGCAACGCTGAGCAGTTTAACGAGGCATTTGCTGCTCATGGTGAAGAGATCTTTTCGCGTCTGCCGCTCTTTAGCAGCGAGTTCCCTCCTCACTACGTTGGCTCGGTTTTCAACGTCACCATCTAGATCGGCAGCGGTGATTGTCGGGAATAGATGGCCAAGTCAACTGACAGCTCAATATACTTTCGCTTCTGGCTGTATAACCGTAATCCCGTTGCTCCACTTGTCACGCATGAACTACTCCGTGGATGTTGTTGAAGCGTTCTTTCACAGTGAGACTGCAAGTTTATCTCCGAAATAGACCGGGGCAATACGGAACGGGGTCCACCTCTACGCCGCAACTCTTGATGACATATTCCTTATATATCAACTTGGCTAGATTTTTAGATCCAAGCTCTCAGATCTTAATTAACTTGCATGTACATACGTCATTGGTTGGACATGGCTAACCCAATCATCTCCAAGCTTACATCCCACAACTTTGAAGCGCCCTCCTGATCGTGAATGTGCGCTGCATGTCCAGGTGCCAGAACCGTCATGTCGCCATTCCACAGCTCGCTCTGCTGGCAATCCTCCAGAAATAATCCTCCGTTCTCGTCCCAATCGTGAGAAATAGCCGCCCACACTGTTGTTGCGGCGCCTTGTTCCGCATTCTTCATCCTTCTTGAGATCACCGGATCGGCGGCTTGGGCGTTGAGTTGCGATTCCGGCGTCATTCGGTTGAGTCTCGTGCCGCTGATACCTCCCGGATGAACTGCCAGTCCATGCACTCCGCTGGCACCATAGCGTCTCTCGATTTCTAGAGCCATGTATATGTTGGCCGTCTTGGATTGCGCGTATGCGAGTAGAGGCTGATACTCTTCTTCGCGGTCGAAATTGATGTCATCGAAACGGATACCTGATTGGCGGTGGCCTGACGCTGATAGACATACAACACGAGAATGAAACGATGGCGTGCTTGATGCGACTAAGGCATCTTTGAGAGCTTGAAAAAGGGCAAAATGTCCCAAGTGGTTGGTTCCAAAGTGCAGCTCAAACCCATCTTCAGTCTTTCCCTTGGGATATCCGCGGATACCTTACACAACAAGGTCAGTTAGATGAAAGGAATGCGAGACAGATATAAGGGCAACGTCAAGGGAAATCTCCAGGTGCAATCGGGCTCACAACTCACCAGCATTGCAGATCAATATGTTGAGCCTCCCCTCCGTCCGTTTGAGGAAATCAGCAGCAAAAGCCCGTATACTCCGGAGAGAATCCAAACCCATTTCCACATACTCCAGCTTCCCCGGTTTGCTGTTGCTCCGCAGTTCTGCTTCCGCTTCTTTACCCTTTTTAGGATCACGGCCAGTGAAGTAAATGTCCGCCCCGGTTGCATGCAGCGCTCGCACGGTCTCGAATCCAATGCCAGAGGTGCCCCCTGTGACGAGGATGACCTTGCCGCCGAGCTTTCCGTCCAAAGATTGGTCACGCACGATCTTGAGGGCGGTAGGGCGCGCATCTCCGGGACCGTTCGTATCCCGGTGCTCTTTGGCGTACGGTGCGATGATAGACATGGTGGAGTTTGTGGTTCTGAGCGATGTTGAGTAACCGGTTGCCAGTGAATAGAGAGAGATGCTCAGTCGCACAGATTTTATGATACTCTTATATGATCTATCTTCCAGAGACCAGATCAAGAGACATCAAGCATTTCATCAACGTTAAGCACTTTAGCCTCTTGATATATATTCTTCGCTAGGAGTGTGCTTCCGGCGAATCTTTCACCATACCGAATCTGGTACAGTTCGACGTGCAATTTCCAACCACGGGGTTCACGGAATTACCGTTCAGTGGTCTATGACGATCTGGACTCAATTCAAAGGCAGATTTAATAGGAGAGAGCAGAAACGGCCGCCGGCCCGTGGGAGCTAGCATCGTCGGCCGGAAGCGGGGCCGTGGGAAATGGACTTATCGGCCATTAGACCGTTTCTTCATAACGAAGAAGACGGTACTCCCCAACATAAAGCGTTGGAATTCTTCGAGTTTTTGTTTGGGAAATAGAATTATATAGCTGGCTATTAATCTGTTAGATAACAGAAAGTAAAGCAAAAAAAAAAAAATCCAGAGTCAATACCGACAAAATGCCTTCAGCAGCAACACACCCGGAGTTTGGAGCCCGCACAACGGCCCTAACCGTTGCAGCAGCCTTTCCATCTGCCATCTCAGGAAAGACTATTCTGATCACGGGTGTTAACCTCAAGGGTCTCGGCTTCGCTACCGCCGAAGCATTTGCATCCCAAACCGCCGAACTCATCATCTTAGCCGGTCGAACCCCCGCCAAGCTGCAGGAATGTGCCGACGTCCTGGCCGAAAAATATCCAAAGACAAAGTACCGTGTGCTTGAGCTTGATCTAAACTCGCAAAAGGGTGCCAGAGCGGCCGCTTCTACGCTAAACGGATGGACTGATGTACCGGCCATTGACATCCTGGTCAACAACGCGGGTATCATGAACGTGCCCAACCGCCAGCTCAACGAGGACGGCATAGAGCGACATTTCGCGACCAACCATGTTGGGCACTTTCTCTTTACGAGCTTGATTATTCCCAAGCTGATTGCGGCTGCTCAGAAACCAGGTGCCGTAAAGGGGGCCACTCGTGTCGTCAACGTTTCCTCTATGGGCGCCAACTACAGCCCCATTCGCTGGAGTGACATCAACTGGGAAAAGACAAACGGGTCATTGCCGCTACCTGAACAGCCTGATTACGTTGGGCTTACTCGCCTCTGGCCTGTTGATGTGGAAACTGTCAAGGCTGACAGCTATGTCTCTATGGGTGCATATGGACAGTCCAAGGCTGCCAACGTCCTGTTCAGCTTGGGTATCAACGAGCGTCTGTACGAAAAGTACGGCATATTGAGTTTCTCTGTGCATCCCGGTTCAATCATTACGGAGCTTGGTCGAGAGATTCCCGCAGAGGAGTACAATGCGAGCATCGAATCGCTTAAAAAGAAGGGCATGGTCTTCAAGGACCAAGGCGAGGGCGCCAGCACATCTCTGGTAGCTGCGGTGGACCCTGCATTGACGCTGCCGGCAAAGAGGCCCATTGCAAGTGATGCGGATCTTGCAAAGACCGGCCCAGAGCTCAAGGGCGAGGATGGAGAATGGGAGGGCAGGGGTGTGTATCTGAGCGATTGCCAGGTTTATGACAATGCCAAGATTTGGTACACGAGCTGGAGCGAGGGGAACAAGCTTTGGGCAAAGAGCGAAGAGCTTGTAGGCGAAACGTTCTCATACTAAGTGTGAATGAGCGCTTGGTAGCAGTTTTATAGCGCTGTCTATAGGACTATATATGATGGTTGAACAGAATACATATTGTGAACAACCATGTCTGCCAGCAATACTGCTTCCTTTGCGAATAATTTTGAGCTCAGATTCTAAAACCACCCTACTTCATTTCGATTTTCTCAGCACGCTGGCTTAATCCCTACTCTACTAGTCTACTGTTCAAACAAAACGCAGAATAGAGATCTACGATCGGAAATAAGCGGCCGCTTGGAGCCCCTTTCGCGATTTGGAGTTAGTTTGAAGGTGGCAAGGTGCATTATATACAAAAGGCTTAGGCCCAGTGACACGATTCCTAATCACTTCCATGATGAAATAACATGCTGAATAATATTTGTTCCGTAATAGTTGTCGATTTTGGCACACTCCGAATCGCTTATTTAAAAGCACCTCCTGATGGTCCGTTGCCAGGATTGACTTGGATACAGCGCTAAAACACAAGTATGCCATTCCCGTCTCAGAAATGCAAAACTCTCTGCATTCGTAGTAAAGACATGGATTGAGCCTTATTAAGAAGATGAAGAAAGCAGAGCCTGCTCATGGGGGCGGGAAGACTGCGTGTAATGGCTATTGTTGTGGCATTGAATCACTTCAACCCTCCCATTATCTTGACTCATACCAACAGATGTGCTATCCTAAAACCAAATGATACGAGCGCCTATAACAGAAAGGAGCTAGCGAAGAATGAGAAAATTGCCGACCCCAGGATGGTCATGGCCAAAAATAACTTTGACTCCTCCGACAAGCAATTATACAATCCACCAGACACCAGCTCCAAGACTACCATGAGAGTTTCTCAAGAACAGAATGGATCCTTCACTTGTCAGAGTGGCTTAATAACGATGATAGTGAGATAACATACCGTTTAATCCCTTCACAGACTATGCGAGGGTCATGTGTATAGACTAGCCTAAACCAGCCAGCCTCAAGAGCATGCTCCTCACCAGGATGAAGGAAAACTCCGCCATCCAGCAGTTTCTGAGCCAGAGAGAACTCTCTTTCAGATTTAGACAGGCCGGAACTCTCTGGTGGAAGATAAGAAGACAAGTCAATCCAAAGGAAGAGACCAGCATTCGTGCCACGGAGATATTCAACGCCGATATTAGACAGCTCAGTCGTGACTAGTCTGAAAGCCCCAGAAATACGGCTCTGTGCCGTTTCTAGAAACTTTCTGCACCACTCTCTATCTTCAAGCATAGCGCTTGCCACGGTGACCGACATCCCAGAGGGACTGTGGAAGCGAATAACGCTTTGAAATCCCTTCTGGAGGGCAGCGTTGCGGGTAATCAGTGCGCCTACACGTAGGCCGGCGGAACCAAAATCTTTGGCCATGCCATATTCAACGTGAACAAGATCTTCATTAATAATTCCCGTTGGATCAATGGAAAGCACGGATGTAAAGGGATAAGTGTCGGGCTCTCCTGAGTCAAATACAGTGGAAGCATAAACCTCGTCGCTGATGAAGTGTATGCGGTGCTTCTGACAAAACGCCATTAAAGAAACAAGGGTTTCTCTTGGATAACAGCGTCCTACTTAATGTCAGCTCTTAAACTTTCTCCTTGTGTTGGAGCGATGTACCAAGAGGATTATGCGGATTCACTATAAGGAGGGCCTTGATTTTGGTTCCAGCTGCGTTTGATTGAAGCAGCTTCTCCCCAAGGTACGTTACAACCTCTGGGTTGAAGGAACTTTCCGCATTAGAATCAGCCCAGACCACGGGCATCTCTGCTTTGTTGCCAAAATCGAGCTCAAATCGTCCATAACATGGCCGACTGATGAGAACTCCATCGCCAGGATCGCCGAAGCTGAAAGCTAGAATTTCATGAAGCGCTGTTGCTGTCCCGGTTGCCAAGATATCATCCCCAGTCAGCGGCTTATATGGATGGAAATACTCATTGAGGTGTGCTGCTAGAGCTTTGGGGAAACGTTGTCCGCCCGCCGTACTGTATCCATACATAAAAGCAGCTCCTGGGATGTGTATATTCTATGTTTATTTAGTACAATGTGTTGTTAGACGTAATGAAGTGTCTTATACTTACACCAGAGTTTGCAAATTGCTCGAGCTCCTTCGTAACGAGAGCCTGATGCGAGTATTAGCCTTGCGTAGTCATTGTTGATTGAAAGACTTGCGTTTTCTGCAGTTGCAAAAGATACAACTCCATCCGGGTTCGCTACTGGATCATACTTCTGGAACCGAGGAGTATGTCTCCAAGGTGCATCGAGATCGTCAGATGTTCGAGAGATTCTTTTAGACAGCATTGTATAAGATTAAATTGGGAACCCATGGGGATCAGAGATGAGCGCTCCTTGCGGCTGTCTTAAATATTTCATCTTTCGCGAAGAATAGCATTACAATTTCCCTGAGGCAATTTCGCCGACCTAGCTCTCTTATCACGACTTCTGTAATTCACAGTTTTGAGTATTATAGCAATAGTTTCGTGTGAATTCACCAAGTCTGTCCGCCGTCAAGCCGAAACTAAATATGACAAAGTTCGAGTCATAACAAAAACGTGATGGCTTTTTGTATCATGACATCGTTTTCATCTTGAGCGAACCAGTTATGAGGCAGAATTTCTGCTCAAATATGCGCATGTGTATGAAGAGGGCGTAAATGATAGTAGTCAGAGGGCGCAATTCGGGGGTACGACATTCACATTAGATGTCTATCAAGGTGTCGATACGAATTTCGGCTCCGGCTCCGGCTTCGGCTTCGGCTCGAACTTGGATTCATGTAGATGCGAATCAATGATGAACTCACGAATTGCGAGTAGAGACTGTATAGTCAATGTAGTTACTAGACAATGACTCCTTAGATATAAATTAGGAGAGAATACTTTTTTTTCCCGTTAATCTAGGCAGTTGGTTTTCCCATTGAGCTCGACTACTGAAACTTCCATTTACCAAATTTGCTGCAAAAAACAGCTGACCATCTTTGCCATCATCATCCCAATCTATTAACCTCTAAACTATGGCTTATCGAGATATTTTGCCTGCCTCTCTCAAGCCTTCTCATTATTCTCTCGCTATTACCAATTTAGACTACAACACATGGACTTATACTGGATTTGTAGAGTAAGGTTTCCAGTCTCAGCGTTAAGCAGAAGACAGCATGGTTGCAGTCTTCGATGTATTAATTTAAGAAAACATTTGAATGCTAACAAAAAGAACAGAATCCACGGCCAATTCTCTTTACCCACAACCATGGTGGTACTCAATGCCTTGGATCTCGACATCGACCAAGCAACGCTATCCTGCGACTCTACAATCTCCGAAGCTATATCGATTACACAAGATGATCAAACACAACAAGCAACGATAGTCTTCAGAGAAGAAGCACCTATAGCCACACTATCAAAATTATCGTTGAGCTTTACTGGAAAGATTCGTCATGACATGACGGGCTTCTATCGGTCAAAATACATACCTGCTACTCCTGCTGCCGCTGCTTCCACCCTCGCCTCCGATGCCTGTCACTATATGCTCAGCACCTTCTTTGAGCCTGGGTATGCTCGAATGGCTTTACCCTGCTTCGATGAGCCGAACCTAAAGTCCACTTTTGATCTGGCTTTTGAAATACCCGAAGATCAAGTTGCACTAAGCAATATGCCTGTCAAGAAGATCACCCCTGTGGTCGATAAACAAAACCGAGTGCTTGTTACTTTTGAACGCTCTCCCATTATGAGTACGTATCTGCTAGCATGGGCAGTTGGCGATTTTGAATACGCCGAAGCATTCACAGATCGCTTATACTCTGGACATCCGCTGCCTGTTCGGGTTTATACAACTCGGGGATTGAAGCACCAAACTCAATGGGCTTTGGAACACGCAACCAAATTCATTGACTACTTCAGCGAAATCTTTGGCATTGACTACCCTCTTCCCAAGTCAGACATATTGGCAGTACACGAGTTTTCTAGCGGTGCCATGGAAAACTGGGGTCTGGTGACATATCGTGTCAGTGCAACCTTGTTTGATGAGCATACCTCCGAAGAGAGATTCCGAGATCGCATCGCATACGTCGTGGCTCACGAGCTCGCTCATCAGTGGTTCGGCAACTTGGTCACCATGGATTGGTGGGATGATCTGTGGCTCAACGAGGGATTTGCTACTTGGGCAGGTTGGCTGGCCGTTGCTCACGTCCATCCAGACTGGGAATTTTGGACCCGATTTGTCAATGAAGGGATGCAGTCAGCGTTCGAGGCAGATTCTATTCGTGCCTCGCATCCAATCCTCGTTCAGGTTGGAAATGTTTCAGCTGTTTCTCAGCTTTTCGATCTGATCAGTTATCGCAAAGGCGCGTCTATTATCCGTATGCTTGCGAGTCATATCGGCTTAGATACGTTCCTTGATGGTATATCACTATACCTCAGTCGACATGCATATGGTAATGCGGTCACAGACAATTTATGGGACGCACTGTCTGAGGTTTCGAAGGTGGAAGTGAGAGATTTCGTACAGCCGTGGATTCAAAATATGGGCTTCCCTGTCGTATCTATAGAAGAAAATGGGAACCAAATCACTGCGAAGCAAACCAGGTTTCTCTCAACGGGTGATGTGAAACCCGAAGATGATACAACCGTCTGGTGGCTTCCACTTTCTCTCGAAGATGTCTCTGACAAGCAAAACACATCAAGCATAACTCTGACTCAAAAACAAGAGACTTTTAGCATCAACAAGGAATTTTATATCATCAATGCCAATGCAATCGGATTTTATAAAGTTAACTATCCGCCCGAGCGCTCATCCATCATAGCTACTCAGTTAAACCGGCTCAGCACCGAGGATAAAATCTTCATCATCAGCTCAGCTGCGGATATGGCGTTTGCAGGTCTCAGCAATACAGCAGCAATGTTGGATTTATTGAAAGCATTTGGAAACGAGACGCACTACCGAGTGATTAAACAGGCTTTGGACTCCGTCCACGTTGTTCGCTCCATCTTTTATCATGACGATGCCATCAAAAAAGGATTGGATAGATTCATCCTTCAGCTAATTGAAAAGAATGTCGGCCTGTGTGGATGGGATACTCGGCCAGGTGAAGACTATAATACAACGTTAACGCGAAGTCAATTGCTTCTCGCAGCTGGTGTTAGCGGGCATCCAAGGTGAGTCCTCAATTTTACATCTTTTTCTTAATCAATCTTCGTCCTAACATCTTCATAGCATCTCCACAGAAGCAAATCGTCGGTTTACTGCTTATAGAACTAATCCTCTCTCTGATCCCATCTCTGCAAATCTTCGGGCCATCGTCTTCCGAATTGCTGTGGAAACAAATCCTGTGGATACTGTTCCCTCCATCATCGAGGAATGGGAAAATACGAGTACTATTGACGGGAAGGAAATATGTCTTACGGCTCTTGGCCACACAGAAGATCTGAAACTTGTCGAATCAGATGTATTGCCTATGCTTTTCGAAGCGCCTTCAAATTCTACAAGGGTAAAAGTCGTGCCTGCCGGTGATATGCAATTTCTCGCGACATCTCTCGCCGACAATCCCACAACTCGCCTCTTGCAATGGAATTGGATGAAGACCCATTGGACAAGCATTGAGACGAAGATTGGGAAGCATTCTAGTCTTTTGGACCGCATAGTTGGCGCAGTGCTTCAAACACTGACTGATGCATCAACATTGACAGATATTGAGAGGTTCTTTAGTGATAAAGACACTACTGCTTTTACTCGTGCGTTAGAGGTGTCTAAGGATAGAATCCGGGGTAGAGCAAGATATCTTCAGCGGGATCACGAAAAGTTGAAAGGGTGGTTGACTGCTAACGGCTACGTCTAGATGGAGCTTAAACTAAATGCTTCAGAAGTTCTGACGGCTTGATGGTATATCTCTTATGAAGTCTGCCTATTAGAAGGGATATAAACAGATGTATAGATATTATCTGTACGGAGTAGAGTCGCTGATGTATTACGTCGTCAAATAGCCTGCAGCTCAGCCAAGCGCTTAAGCTCCATCACACGCGCAAAGACATGATGAAAGAACGGCAAGAATTTATTCATGATGGCCAGATACGTATAAGATGAGCTCTAATGGCAAAATACGCTGGTTAATTCCCGTATCATTCACAAGTGCTTTTAAGTAAGCGAGAGATGCCTTCCGTCTTGATTCTATAGCCCTTCCTCCGGTCTTCAGTCTTACCATCAATTTAAGCCGGTAGCAGACCTCGAGAATAAACAGAATTGCTGTATAAAAAATTCTATGCACACTTTCCATTGTCTTCTACGTTTTAAGAAATTCGCCTAGTTTTTGGCCAATTAGTCACCGATTCTTGGTTATTATTAACCATTGCTCTGCTGGCCTCAACTGGGTGCAATACCGCCCAACTGGGCGACCACCGGTTTTTTACACCGCGTCTCATAAATCAACATTTGTCACAAATTTCAGCATATGCGCCTCGATCAATTGATCTATAGTATATAATAAACCAGTATAAACTTCCCCAATGTCAGCTCTTGGAAACCAACTACGAAAAACATGTCGCGTCTCGAGAATGAATGTATACCGAATATCGGAAGGTAGTCTTTTATTTCCCAAGCTATCCAATGATTCAAATTCCACCACTCGCTCTGCCTCTTCTCTTCGTTTACCTAATGTCGTACGATTGCTGATATATTTTTAGGAGACCACGGTTGCTGCGATAGCAGCCGATGCGAGAACCACTGAGGGCAATTTCTATAAGTCCTGCATCTATCAACGTATGGCATTTCAATGTAAAAGTAGCACCAGCATTATTTTGCTGATGTGTCGGTAGATGCAACGGTAGAGTCCATTGAACCCATCTCCAGGCAACAATGAGTCCGTGGCGGCGCAGCCACAATGCAATCTTCTATGCAAGGCAATGTGTCATTTCTTCCAGCTGACCAGAAAAATTTTACCATCGCAATGATAAATCAATATTGGTTGATTGGGTGTCGATATGCTGCTACCCAATCTTCCAATCCCGAGAAGCCACCTGCGATAGTACCAGGAACCTGATTTGTATTTGCAGAACCGCCCAATGATTACTTAGGACAGGGGTTGCAAGTGGCGAGCTGAGATATGCAATGCAAGGTGACCAACCGCACGAACATGTAGAACATTCGCGTATATTCAAGGGTCGGTATCCGCGTCCTAGAATATTAATAGCTGAATGACAATTTGAGTAGGGCAACCGGTTGATGCACCAAGAAGAGCGCCCCATTCAACTGATCATATATGGCCTCTTTCACCCGATTAAGTACCCCGTGGAATCATTGGACGGAAGAAATAGAAGCATTTGGCATCTCAGGTAGTATACGAAGATTGGGTCTAGATATCAGTTTCTCCGCTGCCAAGAGACGAGGCTGCCTGACCGAACACCCTGTATATCAGCCAGCGGCAATTCCGGAGCTGACGGGGCTGCCTGGATCCGACTTCTCATTGACTGCCACGTACGTAGGCGGCTAAAACGGTAGAAATGTGGTTGGTACCGTCTCGCTTTCGAGTATTTTAATTGCTTGAAGAACAACCGTGAGGAACTCCGCTCCTGAGAAGAGGGAGCATTTTAGGCTCCTCCATCCACATAGAACATTTCGCTCGTATTTTATCTGGACTGCAGACCTAAATGTCAAGATTGGCAGTTAAGAAATCACAGTATTGCTCATGCAGATTACTGTTTCTAGTCATTTTGGATGGCTTTCCCGTCTTCTGCAATTTTTTCAGCTATCAACTTGACCAGCAGCGAGGAGTATAGCTGGACTTATAAGCAGTTGCTTAAGGCGGCGCATCTCCAGGTTGATAAACATGTGTTGTTTTGGTGGACAGGGCCGGTCTCAACCGGGGAGAAGCCAGTCTCTAGGACCACGCCCGGTGACTCCTCGACCTACGGCTCCTCGACCTACAGCTCCTCGACCTACAGCTCCTCGACCTACAGCTACTAGACCTACAGTTTCTAGACCTACAGTTTCTAGACCTACAACACCTCGCTCTACCACACCTCGCTCTGCAACACCTCAACCTACAACACCTCAACCTACAACACCTCGCTCTGCAACACCTCAACCTACAACACCTCAACCTACAACACCTCAACCTACAACACCTCAACCTATAACACCTCAACCTACAACACCTCAACCTACAACACCTCAACCTACAACACCTCAACCCGTACCATTCCCAGCCCAGTCTGCCGCTCCTCAAATTAGAGATCATCGACATAGAGATCCTCAACTTACAGATCCTCCACCTACAGACCTTAGACCTACAACTATTTGGCCTACAACGGTTCAACCTGTACCATCTCCAGCCCAGTCTGCAGCTCCACGGACTAGACATCATCGACATAGAGATACTCAAGTTACAGATCCTCCACCTACAGACCTTACACCTACAGCTGTTCGACCTACAACAGTTCGACCTACAACTCCTCAAACTACAGCTGCCCCTCAATCTGCAACTTCCCATCCTGCAACATCCAATACACATTCGCATCCCGAAACAAGTCTAATACCACCAAGTTCACCGCAGCCCACTGCAAACTCAACGATTTATCAAGAGCCAACTATAAATCGAATAAATACCCGCCGCTCTAACAGACCTTCGACAACACCAGAACCCCAACAATCACCATCCTTCGCAGGTCAATCATTACCACCTCTCTATCATTCACAGTCTCCTCAGACCCAAGTGCCACCTATGGCAACTCCATCGACTCCAGATATCTGGGGCCGATTGTTTTGGGAGGATGATGGCGAAGATTAGAAATAGTTTGGGAGGCGACTGGGCTATCAAGATCTTGCAGAGGCAGAAGAATAAAGCAAAGAACTTATTGAGCTCTTTAGAATATAAAGTCGAGCTTCAGGCTTTAACAACATGAAGTCCGAAGCAATTTAACGATAGGATAATAGTCATTTCTATATTTTCTAGCCTAGATCCTAATGGAGCTTCACGCCCTGAATACAGAGTTCCTGGCATTTGTTGATTAATGATTAATAGATTATTACAATGATGAATGTGTATGACACTCTAGGGCAATCCAATTGAACACGCATTGTTTTTTCGCTATTCTCGCTCACAAATATATGCTATCCTCATGATCTCTAGCAACTGGTATTGTTGTTGATGACACAAATCATAGCCCAACGTCGTCAGGTTTACAATTTTTTTTTCGCATGAGAGTAAAAGAAATTCATTTGTATGTATCAAATAGCAGCGCGGAGTATAACAGAGAATACAATGTCACGTTACATCAGCCCAAGAGCTGATACATGAAGCGACGTACCTAGGCTAGATTTAGACAGCAGTTGGTGTCTTTGCCTCATAACGTCGCACAGCCGAGCGACGACATCTGTTGACCAGAATTTGGTCAACGTATAGGGAAGTACGTATATTCCGCTAGATGTATATGCTCTCGTCCACCTTACGAAACGTATCGCATTATCAATAGAAGAAAAAATGAGTAAGTGGGAGCTCAGTTTGCAGAATTAAAGCATGAACATTTGGGCAGGATCAATTTCCCCGCTGCCAAGAAACGAGGCTGTGATATTGAGCACTGCAAGCTTTGACGAATGGGATGCTGAGGTGTACATATGGCCGCCCGTTGAATGCCACGTAGCAGCGGTGACACAGACAACTGGCTCTTTAATTAATTTGTGCTCACTTCAATGGCGGTAAAATGGATGGCATAGGATGCATTCCGTGCTAGAGATGAAATTCGGGTCGGGAGTGCAATATCATGACTACTAACCTAGTAGTAATTTCTGTATTAAGACGGAGGTCTACATATGTAGGTAGTTTCGATATCTAATAACACATATGTAGAATCCATAGATCCCCTGTTACCTCTATTATTATAAGTAGTTGACACGAAACCTCTTATCATGTCGGTGTGTCGAGGTACCATGATTAGATTCATCTGTTATGTGAATCTTTTTGATGGACTTCGGTTCACGAACGGAGACTTGCATACAGGCTGCATCGAAAACACTCCTCTCACGACATTTGGATATACATATCTATATACGTGCCTAAACCTCGAGCCGTGAAAGGTCAGATTTAAGATCATCGCCTTGATTAGTAGATGCTAGATTTACCAGGTCCAATCGAAATGCAGATCAAATAATTCCCCAATCAGTTATACATTCAGTGTGATGATAAGTAGGGGATATGAGGCATATGTCTTCACTGTATTTGTTCACACTGCACTGCAATCTTGATCTCTCTTGCGTCTAACAGTTGATATCATTCAACATGGTAAAGACATACATCCTGGCCCCAAACTGGACCACAGCGCCACCTCCTGATGGACCAATAAAGCTCGGCCATCTCTTGGATGACCTCACCGAATTTGTACCGCTTAATCGCGAAGGTATTATCGCCATACCGCCAGAATACCTGAACAAAATTGATACCAAGGGCGGCTTCCAGACATCCCGCAGTAAACTACTCTCAGGCGAACTCAGCATCTTTGCTGGGGTAATGGGGCTTGTAGGAGTCGGTATAGGCGCAGGCATACACTATACGAAAGAGAAAACCGACATTCCGTCCTGCAAAACACTCGGTACAATGACATTCGACCCCACAACAGACTATATCGCAAAAAGTATGGACCACCCTGAGGCCAGGAATTTTATGCAAGGATGCCAGTTTAAAGCGCCTGTGTATATGATAACTGGGCTGCAAATCAGTCAAGGGGCTCTCTCCAGAGTAGCAGTAACCGAGACATGAAAATAACACTGCAAGGTAGTCTATATCCTCCTAGAAGCCCAATACATTAGGAATTAAGGGTAGTATCACCCAACAGGGAGGGAAAGGTGATAAATGGGAAGACTCCACAGAATTTCTCGTGGCATTCAAAGTCAAAAAGATCCGGTATCGCCAAGACAGTACCTATCAATAGCAAAGCTCACAACGAATATGAGGCCATGCAAGATGGTACACCCACAGAATAATTACCAGACGTCACCCTACAAGCAGAGGCCGATATTTCATTGTTGTAAATCTTCTCTCCTGAGGAGTTAACAGTAGATACAGATAAAGATGATGGAGAAAAGGTTGACTGGATTATTTCGAATGTGGTTGTCGTTAAATTCTTGGGCCAAGTGGGAAAGCCATTCTGCTGAAGATTTTTTGCTGTACAAAGGTTAGCTAATGAATGCATGTGTGTTTCCATTGAAGTTACCCACGCCAAATCTGCCGTATTTCTTTTTGCCCCGGAGCATCACATCTTGACGCTCTTCGTCTTGAACTGTCGCAAGTAGTTGAATGCCCTCCCCCCAGAGTGGACCTGTCACCTTGACGGGCCGGCCAAACGCGATTTCAAGTAACGTTTTTCCAAAAGCAATGAGTACCGAGAATTTTCCTGAAGATTTCCCATCGGTGGGTTCGAAAGCAAGCCTCTGAGAAAAAGAAATGAATATGCCAGGGAATCCTTATATGTCTTATTCAATCGATATTCGAATTTATTGTAAAGAAGGAATATATCTTTCGATGTTCACTTACTCTGCATTCTAGAAGAACGCATCCGCAGGAGTGTACGAGCCAAATTAAGTGCTGGTATGGTTTTGTCCTTCATACCCAATTCTTGTTTAATATCGCTCGCTATCGTGTCTGATGATACTGTGGGCCAAACTGATATGAAGGAGAGAGGTTTACGCGTGTATAAATATTAACGAGCGCGATACCCGCCTATAGGGTTGCAGTAGAACCAGATGTATAAAATAGTGCTACTAACTCGATGGGCTGCGATGAATGTCGGGAGCAACTCTAACTGTAGATACACTTTTAACATGATACGAAAATGAGAGAGAAAGGAGAGCTGAAGGGATGCTGGAGAATTCGAGATGAATAAGGCAAGTATTTTCCCCCAAACGCCAAGAGACGAGGCTGTGATACCACTTCCGATTCTGGCGAATGAGCTGCGGGCGAAGCTACATTGGACTACTCATTGATTGCCACGTAGCTGATGCAGCGGAGATTGCATTGTTTGTCTCACTGTTTCCAGCTCGTTTAAATCGCAGACTACCATTGGAGAACCTTTGGGCGATGAGGCTTATTTTGTGCCAATCCGGAATACATGCTCCGCGTGATTTCACCGACACCTCAGAATACATTGCAGTCTACGGAGCTTGGGTTTCTCAATTTTTGCATACACGGACACGACGCGTGATTCAGAGTTCCAAGCGACGTTGCAATACGCATTTGAGCTACCTTCAGTCACTACTGGCGTTCTACTTCAAAGGCCCGCCTGATAATTTACAACATGGGCATAGATTGGAAGGGCAGAAAGAGTGATTTGTTAAAGCCGGGAAATTGGTTTAGGAGGTCCAGGTCTTCATCTGGAGCATCGGGCGAGCGTGGAATTGCTACATCTGCGAGACTCAGTATATCGTCTCATTCAGACGCGCATCTAGAGCGATTTAGAGCCTCTCTGCTTTCTCATACATCAAAGCCTTCTTTACGACAAAGGCCATCTACACCTCTCGGAGAGTCTCAACTGGCTGAAGTTCATCTAACCCCGCCTTTGCCGACGACAGAATCCCAACCACCACCGCTCTGTCCACGCCCTTTGTCACCCTCTTTTTCTTCAAACTCTATCGAAGTCGAAGTCCCAGAGCCACCGACTCCGTTTTCAGACCTCTGGGCTCGAGCCTTTAGTGAGGCTGATGACGAGACTCAGAAATGGATCAAAAAGCATGGACTAGACTCCTCCACAGGTCTTGCGCAAGACCAAATCAAAGAACTCATCAAGCTCGTGGAAGGCAATAAGCTGTCTGAACAAAATGACGAACCGTTGAAAATCGAGATTGGCAATCAGAAAATCATCGTTCGAGAATACGTTGCTGATGCTGTTGCCTTTATTACCATGGTTGGTGACGCTGCCATCACTTTCACCCCTCCACAGGCCAGCGCGCCATGGGCTGTTGCAAAGGCGGTCCTAAAAGTAAGTATACATTCTCTTTTGCTCTCATTCGCTCGAAAGGTAGAAACGTAAATAGAAGAGACGCATGAAATAGACAAGCACTACTACATCTACTACATCTACTACATCTACTACATCTACTACATCTACTACATCTACTACATCTACTACATCTACTACATCTACTACATCTACTACATCTATTACATCTACTACATCTACTACATCTATTACATCTACTACATCTACTACATCTACTAGCCGCGAACACCCAGAAAAGAAACTAATCATTAATAGATCGCGGTCAAACAAATCGAGCAAAAGGCCGCTCTTCTGGGAAGCGTACAGTGGTTTGCACGCATTGTACGAAGAGGGCAAATCTACGAGGCTATATATAATGCGGCGGCTGCAGATGAAAACGCTATTCAGAATTTATACGATGCACTCTTGGACGTATACAAGACAGCTCTGGAGTTATTAGCATCTTCCGACACCTTATTCGGTAGCGGAGTGGCCAGACAGACTTTAAAAGCAGTCTTGAGGCCAGAGGGTGCTGCTGGAAAATTGAACGACCTATACAAGAAAGAACAGCAGCTTATTATAGAGGTTCAAGCCTGTGAGGCCTCGCGGTCTGCCATTTCGTCCAAGCAGGCAAACGACGACTTGGAAGAATTGAAACGACAATTACATCAGCTATCATCGCCCCTTCTTCGGATGGATGAAAGGGTTGCGACTCTTCTAGAAAAGTGGGAAGAAAAAGATTTTGATGCATTGATGCACTTCATTAGCTCAGAGATGTTCGGGAAAAGTCATGCTGCTGTCACAGACGCAAGGATAGAGCACACTGGGGATTGGATATTGGTCAACGGAGATTTCCGTGCTTGGCAAGAGATATCTTCTTCTTCGGCTGTATTATGCCTTAAAGGAACTGGTAAGTTCTCTCTTGAAAGCCATTTCTTTGATCTTGATGAGGTGGCTTTATCTGACATGGACCGTTTAGTTGGCACCGGCAAAACGTATCTAACATCCAGGGTGGTTGACTACGTCAAGCAAACACTTGATACGTCGGAACATGACGAAGGGTTTGCCTATTTCTACTGTAATCGATCAGGCCCTTCGATGCAAGACCCGATCGTTGTCTTAAGAAGCTTTGTTCGTCAGCTAGCTGGCAAGGCTTTTGGCGAGCCTGGTTTCATCCAAAGTAGCCTCGCACAGAAATGTAAGGCTGCGAGGAGAGAGGGGAGAGAATTAGGTCACAAGGACTGCGAAACCTTGATTCTGGAATCCTTGAATTTATACTCAAAGACGACGATTATTCTGGATGCTTTGGACGAATCTGACATCACCACTCATAATTTGTGTACTATTCTTATCAAAATGATGGAAGAGTCCAAAAGACCTGTCAAGATTTTTATTTCTACCCGACCTGACCGAAAGTATTTAAAGGCATTCCGAGATAAGCATATTATTACTCTGGATGCTAGCAATCAGCAAGGAGATATTGAGAGATTTCTCGAACAGAAGCTTTACTTAACCGAATCGTTTACGGAGCGAAGTCAAGAAGCCCAAGACGAAATCAAACATGTTTTTGCAACGCGGAGCTGCGGAATGTGAGTTTTCTTTCAGAGCGATTTTATCGCCTGCATGGGGGGTCGAGATGAGATCTGACACGCGTGGCTACAGGTTCCGATGGGTTTACTTACAAGTGAGAAGCCTTGAAAACCATATCACGGATGATGCTGTCCATAATTGGGCCCGTAAATTGCCTCGCAATTTAACAGAAGCGTATGATCAGCTTTGGGATAATATGAGAGGGCATGATGACTTTGACGTCGACCTGGCTGAGCGTGCCATTATGTGGGTGCTGTGTTCTTTTGAGCCACTCTCGTCGAAAGTCTTTTTAGAAGCCATTCGGTATGCCGTCAAAGGATCCACAGTGATACAAAAGAAAGAACAGACGAAGCAACAAATTCTATCACTTTGTCAAGATCTCCTGACTATTGATGAAGAAAGGGATGTTTGGATGCTGCCACATGCCTCTGTGGCGGAATATTTTGAATCAAAAGGCTACACGGATTGGAAGTGCGATGTGTTTGCGTCAAAAGTGTGCCTCGGCGTCCTCGGAAACTTTCAGCCGGAAAGGATAGAAGGTGGCACTTTCGCACATTACGTTACAGAACATTGGGGCGAGCACGTTGGGCGATACGACCAATGGCTAGGAACGATGGGAGAACATGAAGCAAAGGCCGACCCGCATCTTGTAGGGGCCCTGGAGTGCTTCCTCGGCTCACCAGGTGAAAGCAGCGCCAACTATCGAAAATGGGCCGAGAGCATCTTTGACCTGGGAGATTTCGACTTGGCTTTGTTTGCCGTGTGTCGATATGGATTATGGTACACCTTGCGCGACTGGTGGCTGCACAGCAAAATTACCATGGAGATGGCCATTGAAGAAAATGCCTACGGCGATACCCCACTTTCGCTCGCGGGTGGGAGCAACTGCTTGCCAATGGTCAAACATTTGTTCGGCTTGATTGACGTGCATCCACACGCTACGGAGAAGTGCGTTCGCGCGTTGAATTCCGCACTCGCCAAAGAAAATTTCGACATTGTGACGTTCTTGATAATGGAGGCAAAGGTAGATGTTAACCTTCCAGATCGCAGACGGGGGGAAACTGCTGCACAGGCGGCCACCTGGTATCGCCCCGCAACGCTGCAATGGATGCTGGATCAAGGCATCGTAAACGTGGAGAGGGAGAACGACGGCGGGCACCACTGTGGCAACGTCTTGATTGAAGCGGCGTATTGCGGAAAAGTCGAATCGGTCCAAATCCTGCTCAACGCTGGAGCCAATGCGAATGCCGCCTTGCACAGCGGCGACTACGGAAGTTCCCTTGTCGCAGCAGTAAAAGAAATGAACACGGCAATTGTCCGGCTGCTACTCGATCATGGCGCAGATCCAAATTTACCCCTGAAATGTGGAGAATATGGCAGCGCGCTTGAGGCATCAATGACATCGCAGTTTAGGGAGTCAGAGAGAAGAGAAGAGCGAAAACAGATACGGCACATGCTGCTTGATGCTGGTGCAGATCCCACAGCCGTGCTTGAACGAGGAGATCACGGAAGTGCACTGGCTGCTGCAGCGTTCTGGGGGCGAAAGGAAATCCTCAAGGTCATGATTGATCGCGTTGGGGCGGAGGGTGCCATCCGAGCCCTCCGTCGGAGCAGATACCCAAGTATGAATCGATATTTTCAAGATGAAGAAGACGTCCAGAGATGGAAGGATACGATCACGTACCTCGGCCAAGTGGGGGTCAGTAAAGAAACCCTTCATAACATTGGCTTGTGGGAGGATATCGAGCCTGAGGAGAGTAACGGCTATTATGGGAAGTATTTGCTGGATTACTCAAAGATAAAGCATCACGATAGTTGAAGAGAACCACTACTAAGCTGGCACTCCAGCGATTGCCTGAATCTCAAAGTGCCGGAACAGCACGCGAAGAGAAGCGTTTTGTTCACTTATTTGTCTAGCTAGTAGGTAGTAGATATCCACCTCTTTGAGCGCCTACCGCTGTCACTCCTTTCTGTTACTATCGATACTTGATTCTAGCATCTGTTACTATCGATACTTTATTCTGGCATCTGCTATTATCGCTATGCGTTTCTAATATCTGCTACTATCGCTACATTTGTCTAGTATCCCTTGCTATGGCTGTAATCCTCTGGTTTCCGATATCATGACTACTCATATAGGTTCAAATCTAGTACACGGGATGCTGGGTAGTAGACTTGAGCTGCTGGCTTGTACTTCCTACCTGTTAAACGGCAATCTATACAATAAAGATGGTTACTCGATCATTTAGTTTAAACTCTGCAGCATGGCTCAAGGGCGAATGGTCTCCTCTACAGTTCATGAATCTCCATCGCGTTTGCGTCATTAGCAACATCCTAGTCGAACGTCGATGTGATGAAGTCTGACGCAACCGTTAGTTTCGCCGCTTGCGCAGTAATAGTGTACAGCAACCAAGTTTGATGGAAATTCATGATACGATCCCACTTGACAAATGGTATCGAACAGCTTCAGCAAACTCCCTTTATCCAATGTTCAGTTACCAGCATTGTCAATTATTGTAGCTTTGCCTCTAGCCTCGACTTAAGAAAATGCAAATATACGCAGCCAATGAAATGGCTGCATACGATAGCCACGCATCCCAATCGGGCCACTCACAACGTGCCACTTGGATTCCCCTCAGAAGGCAAGCAATATAGAATTGCCATTTTCACATGTCGGCAAAACCTGACCATCGAACACCTACATGTATCTAGGCTTGTAATGAGCAATCTGGGCATGCAGAAATGGGGACATGCACAACGACGATAAGTCAATCACATGCAGCTACTTACACACACTCGATGCCCGCATTACTGACAACGCATCATACATATGCGCTCAGCTATCATGCACAGCCAATATACATGGACCTACTCATTCATAGCATGACGCTCAATTAATTACTGCACATCAAGATACCAAACCATAGTTGGGCACATGTATAATCGATACCCAACTCGCCATCTTCTACTCCCAACACCAACACCAACACCAACACCAACACCAACACCAACACAACACAACGCTCTCTCCATCCATCATCATCATCAACACCACACAACACCCATCTTCATCCCCAAAATCCCCCCCACCGACAAACCCTCACAATGCCACCCCCCAAACCAGCAACATCAACATCCACAGAAAACCTCCTCCTCAAATGCCAAAAAGAAGTCCATCCCCCCCATTCAATCCTCCCTCTCTCCCTATAACAAACACTAACAATCACTCCCCCAGACTCGCAAGAAATGCCTCCCCCCAGAATGGTCCATCTACCCCCCCAACCAACCCACAAACCCTCCCCCCGACACCCTCGCCCTCGCCATCCAAATCGACGCCTCCTCCCCCACCGCAGTCTCCTTCTACGAGTCCGCCACCGACCGCCTCGTCGGCTCCATCGGCTCCGAATACCGCGGCTCCATCGTCGTCGTGCCCTGGCGCCCGGGCCTCAAGTTCGTCTGCCAGTCGACCTGCCGCCGTAGAACCGGGTGTCGCATCGGCGTCGTCCGGGAGGCCAAAGGCAGGGCGGGCGTGAGGATGAAGAGCGTCGGAGTCGGAAACATCACTGCTGCTGCTGCTGCTGCTGCTACGATCTCTGTTGCAAAGAACAGTGCTTCGGGGGAGAATAAAAAGAGCACTGCTGATGCTGAGAATGCAACTCCAGCTGCTCTTCCAAAGATTGCTTCTCCTACGAGTAAAAGCGGTTACATCAGCCGCATCCCCAGGAGAATCTCAATTGACAAGCCTCCTACAGCCGGCAAGCATGTCAGCTTTGATGACAAGAGCATCAGCGGCAAGAGTTCCATCCAGACACACGGCGGCAGATTGCCAAGGCCAAGAGCCAAGATTGATACCAAGCAAGGACAAAGATCCTAGTATCGCGGATATGCGTTGCATCCATTGCATTTCATCTATTTTTACTTCATCTTCATCTTCATACGGTTTACTTAAAGGCAAAGGGACGACAGCAAACGTCAAACATCATGGCCTCAGAGATATGCCACAGCATTAGCGCATCATGATCAAGAATATCATAAATCATCCATCATTATACACTGCTTCAGCAGCCAATCTGCAAAAGTATCGCTTTATCGCTATTCCAAATGCTCCAAAGAACCAAAACGACCGTCTCAAAAGTAATCCGTTCCTCCGCCAATGTCATCCACGAGCCCACTGTCAAGTTGCCGGCAATATTCGTAAGCGTGCTCCCACAAGCCTTCCCACGCAGCCTCCCGAAACCCAAAGAACCATTCAATGGGGTCCTCGCTGCATAGCTCTGGATACCGGTAAGGCGTTATCTGACTCTGTATCGCAACACAGAGTCTATGAATGTCTTCCCGTCGAGTATGGTATGGCATGTATGTCGCGATGGTAATGTAAAACCGAATGCCCAGAGCTCGGCCCTCGCTCCAAGTCGACTGATTCATCTCCGTCCACACCTCGCCGTCGTCGCGGTTCCAACACTGTGCCATCGCGTGCACGCTGCAGCACTAGAGCAGCTCGAGGAAGCTCTGTACTCCGTCTCCGGGCGTCTCTTCGTTCATCCACTCGGGGATGCCGAGTCCTCGCTCCGACACCAGGTCGCACCGCAGCTTCAGCTCCGCGCTAAACATTTCTCGCTGGTACAGCGCCATGAACTCCTTGGAGTGCTTTATTCTGGGGGCCGAGCTGTGGTGATATCCTAGAGCAGCGTCTCGCACGTTCCAGAGGCGCGTAGCCACCTGTCGCAGCTCTTCTCTTGTCGACGGGTCGATGGAGACCTCGCCGTCAGGGACGCAGCCGTCGGGCCATCGGTTGGCGTACTTGCGCAAGGCGTGTCTCCAAAAGGGATCTGGCTGCCGTGGATACGTGTATATCGTCACCATGGTGTTGATGTACGCCGTCAAGTCCACCATGTCACGGAGCGTCTTGACATCGCGTATCGTGTCCACCGTTGGGCGCTGTGAGAGAGCATACAAACACTGCCAGACATCCTCTCCGCTCTCCATGACCTTGAGCACCCCCATGGTCAAGAGGCAGATGTCCAAGTTGGAAGGACCAAGTAAATTGCGCGCCATCTCCTTGAGGATCGGAACCTCGTGCATCTTCAGTACCGCGGAAAAGTACGACGAACTCAGCGCGAGGTTGATCAGCTCGAGCCTCGAGTACGCAAACCCCATGATTTTCATTACAATCTCTGGCGGCATGCACTGGAGGGAGGGCTCGTGTTTGCTGTTCCATGGCAACGGAGAGCCAGGAGGCGTCGGCAAGGGCTCGGGTTTGTTGGGCAGAGGCGGCATCGCTTGTCTTTAGGGTTGCTTTCGTAAACGACAGGCGCAAGTTCCATAATAGTAATACTCGTTATCGATGCTGGCTGTGTTCGCGCGAGAATCACAGGGAGCGGTAGCGAATGTGCGATGTGTGTGTGTTTGATCGTGGTTGAGGCTCAACGGCTGGCGTTTGGCGTCCGGCGTTTATAAGCTGCTCAACACCCTCAACTCGCGTTTGCTCAGGCGCAAGGCAGAGGTAGTTCTTGCTCTGGAATTGACTCTGCAAACACTCCAATCTGTCTGCCCGATCAAGAACAACTGGCAAAGTAAAGGAAGCAGCGCAAACAGCCATCGTGCCTGGTATGTACATGCAGGGAGAGTTCCTGTGCAGCCACTTGGTCTTATGGGACACTCCATCTGGGACCCTCTCGCCAAACAGAAGCATCATCGACGTATGGATGGCAAAATGTGTCTGATTCAATATTCTGTTTGAGAGATGCATCACTGTCACTACTATACACCGTATGGGGACCAGTGTCGATTTATTTCCATTCATCTCTCCCTTGGTACCTAGTCATGGATTATAAACTACTGTCCTTAGTACTACATACATGTAACATGAGAACCATCTCAAAAGCCATCGCAGCAAATGCCATCCATCGAAATGCTACATGCCTATCGCAACTCTGCCAATACCACTAAACACAATCAAAAGACAATGAAAAAAGCTAAAGCGTGAAGAGATTAGGCATGGAACATTATCATGTCCCACAATCCACCAGAAATATGCGGCCAACTACAAGTCCATACTATTCCCCCTCGAATGCGCATCCTCACTCTGCTGTTGAGGTAATCGATGCCCGGGAATCATACATGTATTCAGCAATTATAAGCATTCGTCTAACCTCGTGCACGAGCGGTCTCAGGCTCGTCTTCTCTTTTTCGCCTCATCCTGTGTGCATGTCTGGCCTGCTTCTTCGTTTCCATCCGCCACTGTCATGGTTTTGAATCCATTTGCCATCTCCGACATGGCCCTAATCTTTTCATCCTCCATTAGTCGAGCAAGAAGGCCTCCAGATTCCCATGCCGGTGCCCAATCATTATCGTAACTCTCATCATGGCTCAGCACCCCGCTGTGGTCGTCAAAAATGTCTTCCCCGTCTGTATGCTGGGTCGATTCCTGACGAGTGTGTTCGTATGCATTGTGAGATTGGTGCACCTTGTCGGCCATTGCTTGATTTTCTTGGGAATTTACATTTTCGAGGCACTTCTCGTAGCCTGTTTGAAAGCCGCTCTGAAAGGCAGCTTGGTAGGCGGCCTGGTATGCGGCCAAGTACCCGGCCTCATATCCCTGACTATATGTGCCCGCAGCTTGATTCTTGTCCGAGCCAGGACCAGAAGTCGTCTCAACATCGGGGCGGGCATCCGAAGCGACAGTCTTTTTTGCCTTGGTTGGTGTTTTTGCTGGTTTCGCCTCATTCTTGTTTTGAACCGCCTTCTTTTTTGGGCTTGCATTCTTGACTCTAGGAGCTTTTTCAAACCTGGGTTTCAATTGAGTCGCCCATTTTGTAAAGGTGTTAGGCCGTTGGATACATTGTAACGCGATCTCTCTCGATATCAGTGCCTTCTCAAAGACTTTGTCGGTGCCGCCCTCGTAAAAAGCATTCTGTTCGACAGGCATACCAAGGAAATCGCTGCAAATCCTAAACAATAGGCATTCCGGGGCTTGCTTCTTTCCCCCTTCTTGGCCGAAGATGGCGGACATTGCCAGTATTTTCGAGTCGACAATTGTTGTATGAAACAAGCGCAGCAGCTTCAAGTCCACGCTAGTATCATATCCGACAAGGATGGTCTTCCGATCAAGATGCTCAAAAAGCTTCTCTCGTGCTTGTGTCCAACACTGAAAGCACTGTTTGTCCTTCACTGCGGCATCAATCTTTTTTTGGGAGATGCCATGATGCTTAGTACGCCAATCCTCCATGGGTGGTGTTGTGTCTGGCGCAACCAGAGATTCCATCAATGTCTCGCCAGTAAGAACATCGATGGCACAAATAGCCAGCAATCCGCTTCGATGATTCTCAGCCTCCCCCCATTCACAGCTGATGGCAATAGCTTTTCGTGCTCCAGTCGAAGATTGTCTGTTGGGAGCTGCTGCAAACGTTTTCAGCTTGAGTTTTGGCTTGCTCGGAATGCCGACGGGTCGTCCTTCATTCTCTAGGACATGAAGCTCCTCCCGGAGAACTTGAAGTGAATGGCATTCCTTCAACAGTTCATTATGGATAATAGAGTGTTGCCGGCTAGAGAGCTGGGTAAATGTGTTGCCTCCATACTCGAGCTCTGGGGGTGGCTTCTGCGAAGATGATCCCATCAGGACGACAAGAAAGCAGGGTTCGTTGGATGGGCTAGAATAAAGAGGCGAGATTGTCAAGAATGAAGAAGAAGATGTGGAAATGATAGGGATTGTAGGATTCTCTGCGGTAAATGCTGAATACCTAAGTATTGCACGAGAGAGACAAATGCTGGATGGAGAAGGAAAACAAACACTGTGGGAAGAATAGCAAAGATAAACACCGCTGACCTCGCGTGAATCTGTGGTTATCAGCGGAACAATCCTAGTGCCGAGACGCGTAGACGCGCGTGTTTGTGGGCAGCTGTCCAGCAGTGCCAGTTGAACAGAGAAGAGTTCACTAGAACAGCTGCAAACACGCATCTCTAGGCTCCCAAGAGCTGGCTCAGCATTGCTCTGGGCCCTTCAGGTAACGGCATCTCTAGCATTAGGTACCTAATGTCCAAGTGCTGAAGCAGTGAAACGAACAGATGACGAGGAGAACTTGAGCATACCAAAGGCCGTATCCCTGATATGAAGGAGTCGAACAGCCGCCTCGAGGAAGGTCTAGAGAGCTGAATCGTCATAGCCTATGGTCAGTATCACGCCGTCCGTTAGTAGAGCCGACAGTCGACAGATGTAGAGATCAGGTGGTTATGAGAACCATGAGCAAGAGAAATGTCAATATGAAAACATGGTCATCAACATTGCATATTGTAAATTACAGATCGTATGTGCACCTTGTTTCTGATACCACACTCCAGCCCACCCACTGCCCAGCATCCATATCACGACTGCTACCGTCGTCGTCGTCGCTTTCTCTCATGAAAGACATACGTCCTCACCGATGGGTAAAATCTCCACGTCCATCTGGTTGATGTCGAATATCCGCCCTTCAGCTTCGTCTCATTGGTAAAACTCGCACCCCGCCGTCAATCGTGCCAATACCTTCAAAAAAAAAGAATCGCATTTCCGCCTCTTCCAACTCAATGTGAACACTCCTCACGGTCCGGCTAGTTCATCCAGCTCCTCAGGCTGGGTATGCAGTTGGGATGATTCCAATTACCTCTCCTGCCTTGACTTTGTGAGGGATCACGTAGTGAATCACGAAGAAACAAGCAAACAAAGAGAGAGAAAACCACACAAGAGGACCAAAGGCACTGAGCTCAAGATGCAAAAAAGCAAGATGGGTGACTGAAATCTGGATTGTGATGAGGATGAAGAAGAAAGACTAGGCAGGAGAGCGAGGAGGAGAACTAGCTTAGTAGGTGAGGTGGAGTCACGTAACAAATGTAGTCTCGGGCTGAGTCTCTAATACGGCCAGCCTCGTCGTAGCAGACGCTCTTGCTGCTCTTCGAACCGGTACTCTCGTAGTTCTCGTAGCCTGCGAATTTGGGTGTAACTGTGACCTCCTTGTCGATTGTGTTGAAGCTGCCCCTTGTGGAGGTAAACTACATGTACCTAAGAACCCCAGCAGTGTCCAACTGTTGTCGTGTGCATCTCCTGAAGGGTAGTTGGAGTTGCACATGAAACAAAGGTAATCGACGAACTGGGGCGAAGAGGAGAACTTGAATGGCATGCGCAAGCACAGTGGCTGCAACGTCGAGCTGATCGTTCTCCTCGTTGAGTCGGCCCGAAATCATGTTCCGCGTAATGGGCAAAAACACGGGGACGGGGAGCATAGTCACAATGCTGTCGATCAGGGGTTTGATCTGATTGTAGTTGTCGACGTAGAGGCGGACAAGGTCCGTCGGCTTTATGAGGTTTTGTTGAGTGAAATCGGGCAAGGAGCGAACAGCTTATTATGATTTGTTCTTATTCACAGTTGGATATGCCAGAGAAGTATAATCTGGTCTGGTTTTCCGTTGTAATGTAAGGAGATGGCGTCTTCGCCAATTATATCCATCAACATCATTGCATTGCTGGTTGAAGAAATCTCGCTCCAGAAGTAAAAGTTAGCAAAGAGGTCTCGGACAGAAAGACCTGATGAGCAATCATCCAAGCCGTATGTGAAAGAGGTTCATTGTCGTCTTGTCAAAAGGTAACAGAACTCGAAGCAGTACATACCAAATATGAAGCCCATTGTTGTTCACTCATTATATCTGACCGCTTGTGATGGCATCTGTTGCGGCCATGGCGGAATATTGAGCACGGATCCGCAAAGGGGGGTTAGAAGTCCAGCTCTGCTTCGTCTTCGAGGCCGTGTGTGATGATCATTCGCTCAAGAATCGAATAAAAAACTCGCCAAGAAATTGTCGGCCATGGCTGTCAAGTATCCGTCCTTTTGTTTCTCTGACGGCTCATGCTCGAGTCAAAGAGGTGAAATGTTAGTGCGCGGCACCAACGATTATAAATCGTCCGTGTCATGTCCCTGTTGTTACAACCGTTCCATGGAAGTCGTATTCTATTACGGTGTCGTCACCTTGGGTTCTTTCGTCTGACTCCCATCCACTCTTCGTCGGTGTGCTCTTCAGATCGGCAGTGACGGGAGCAGTCGACGAGGAGCTCGATCAATTGAGCAGCCGGCGTCTATGCACTAAAAAGACATATCGTTCGCGGTGTGCTTCAGATTTCTGTCAGCCTCATCTACCCCTCCGTTCAGAACGCGGGCTTACCTTGGTCTCATCTCCACGATTGTGCACAATTTCCTGCAATGTGCTCATCAAGTTGAGATTACATGCCCTGATAACTCCTCCATCTGTGCCCATCTGTAGAATCGGTGTCACTCCTTCGCGATCCAGTGTATTTGAAAGTTTAACGTTGTTTCTGTCGTAGAGAGGGGGCGTTGTCGGAGCGTATTTGTCACTATCGAGGACAATCAGCATCGCACTCCATTGCAAAATAATGCTTCCGAGTCAAATGCTTACATCACTCCACACGACATGTTCATTGCTCGACGATAGTTCAACCATCGCAATGCTGATGGGGGTTGATTGCTTCGAACAGCAAGATCTGTCGTGGCTGAAGCGCCAGTTCTGAATCTTGGTTCAAAGGCTAGTAGCAAAAAAGAAGGACGGGAAACCGCGCCTGGCATCCTCTCGATTCCTCTTGTGGTCTTCGTACGACTGGATGCTAAAATGCATTCTTCTCAAACATGACATCGGCTGTGTGCGAGAGAAGAATGTGGCCAGGGGAGCCGGCTGGCCTTACTGGGCATTCTATGCGAAGCGGAGGTCAGTAATTGTTCTCCAGCCATCATCGTTGATAGTCAAGCAATGAGGAAGAGAATGTCAAGAGGCACAAAGATGGGGGAGAAGGATCGTGGCAATCATACATACCCATGAATAAATCTTGTCGTATTTTCGCGGTATCTGGGGATAAAAGCCCTCGATTTCTCATGTACTAGGTAGTTGAAAAGTCTGTCCAGTCTCTGACCTTGACTGTCAGTTGCTCGATCGGGGCAACATAAATTCGATTTGAGTTCGCAACCCCAACCCATCAATTCTGTAATACTAAATCCGTCATGTTACTTGAATCAGTTCGCGACCAAGTTCAATGGGTATCAGAGCACTTACATATCTCGACTGTACTCGCGGGTCGGTCAATAAAAGTCCGCATCTCTGTACCTGCAGCATCGATAACTCCATCTGTAGTAAAAAACAAAGGAAAGAAAAGGAATGACTGAAGAACAGCAAAGTCAGAGGAAACAAACAGTCTTTATACTTTTCAAAGCAACAATCTCTTTCCCAACAAAGGCTCATCACAAGCAGTGAATGAAGCTCTCCTCACCAACAAAACGGAAACCAACATCAAAATTCCCATCATTCACGCAACTCTCCATCTTCACAAGGTGACGTGAAACACCCAAAAAAACAACGTGTCATGGACAACTCACTCATTTCACGGCAATATGCATCGATGTCAGCCTTCACCGACAGTTTGACGCCTCTCAACATCGGATTCTCACAGATCAAACGGCAACACCCGCACTTCACACATCTTATCCTAAACTAACAACTCAAAACTCTCATTTTTTTTTCACTCAACAATAAGTAAGTAACCTAAAGCAGAAAGTTTTCACATAGTACACTGGCCAAGCCAATAATGAAATAGTGCAAAAAGCGCATCAACTCCTACCAGTCCTATACAGAGCCGCTGTTCCCCCCCTTCCACCAAAATCCCCTGTTACACATACAATGTTACAGTCGCCTACTTCTTGCCGCAACCTCCCCTCCCCCCTCCGCTAGGCCGAGACCACGCTGTCACTCCGCACGAAAACAACAAGATTAAAAGAAAAACGAGGGGAAGAGAGAGAGAGAGAGAGAGGTGAAGAAAATGATTCCGTAGACTCCATTTACAAAACCCAAAACTACATCCAGATTTGAGGCATAAGAGGTTTCCATTCGTTCAATCACTAGCGGTTTCGTCCTACCCTTTGTATCCTTCTATCCACGCACCACCCCCATGCCAACCAAAAAGAGGACGAAAAAAAAAGAGGAGAGGGAAAATGAGAAGATTATTCTGACACTTGTTTCTTGTCTTTTCGGCTCTTGATGACAAATTCAGACATGATCTGGATATGATCGGCTGGGAAGTGCCAGTTGGGGAAAGCTGGGATACGCTTCATATACGTCGGGTCGGGAGGGCCCAGCAGCTCGACAACTTCCAAGGTGTTTGCCGAATACCAAATGTAGTCAATGACGTCTGCGAACCCGGGCGTGTAGTTGGTAAAGGGCAGCTCATCCGGTGTGTTCTGGATGGGTGCATAGGAGTCTCGTAAGCTGAAAGGATGTTCGATACCGTCGCGAGTGAAGCTTCCATAGTGGAAGCTGGTCAGCTCCGTATGGTCTGGCGGCACGCGACCCAGGCACATGAGTTCCCACACCGAAGAATCCTTGGTTGAGTTAAAGTCACCACAGACTATGAGCGGAATGTCGGTGTTGGATCGGTATTCTTGGCTGGGGCCTGGCTCAGCTTGCGGGGGTGGAGGCGGCTCGTCACTGTCCTCGGATCTCGGTAATATAATCATCTTCTTGTCTTTGACAGCAGGCCACCTTGCGTACTTCTCTGCCAACTTGGTCACATGCTCCATCAGAATACCCGTCTGGATCAGCTTGACGTCTGCCAGTGCCGAATCCCACGTTAGATGTGCGTTGACCAAGATGATGCGGGCACCAGTCAACCGGGACTCAAAGAAGCAAATGACAGCAATGTTGTCCTTTGGCATCACGCGGTTAAAGACGTCATGCTGGTTCTTCATGTCGGGTCGGTTGATGGCAATTGTGGCAAATTCAATCAACTGCTTGTCGAGCAGGATGAATTTGCTCTGCTTGTAGAACACGGCGCAACCATCGACAGTTTGGGCATCCTTTTCGGACATTGTCTTGGCCCTGGACTTGGGCCAATGCACACCCTTGTAGTCCATCTGTGCCAGTTCAGGGCTGAGGTCCTCTTTGAAGGCATCGGTGGAGACTTCTTGCAGAGCCAGGAAGTCGGCATCTCGTATCCGCAGCTCTTCCAGGATGCAGTTCTTGCGATATTCCCAGCTCAAAGCCCCGGTGGGCGTGTAACCATACGTCTGCGTTGTTGCATATTTGTCGCAGAGAATATTCCATGAAAAGACCCTGATTCGTTCTAGGGCTTCGGGCACGTCCTCCTGGATGATGATTTCTTTTCGCGGGCTAGGGGGGAGAGGGACTAGCAAGGGAAGAGGTTAGCAATGAGCATGAATAAAAGGGAGACGTGTGACCATTGGTAGCGACATACTTGGAGCCCCTTCCATCAAAGCATTGATCAGGCTCTTTGTGCCCTTTTCAATTATTTCCTGCTTTATGCTGGGTTCTAACGGATTGCCTTCAATGCCGAGCATTTCCAGCTGATGAAGAGAGCCCAGCTCAAAGGGCAGCTCTTGGAGGTTGTTATTGAAAAGGAGCAGCTGCTTCAGGTAAGTACACATGCCCAATTCCGGGGGGAGTTCGCTGATTTGATTGAAAGAAGCATCGAGGTGTCGGAGTTGGCGAAGCTCTCCAATCGCGTTGGGGAGGCGAGTGAGCTTGTTGGAGGCGATGTAGAGTTCGTTTAGGAAATGGTACCGGAAGAGTTCCGAGGCTAGATTTCGCAGCCCCTGGCCGCTCATATCCAAATTGTGCCAATCTTGGCGGGTCGTTCCCTTTTCCACATTCAACGGCCTTCTCATATCTGCCGGATCGTTCTCGCTGTCCGCCTGGGTCTTACCGTTGGAGGGAGGAGGGCCACCAATGCCTCTGTTTTCTGACGCTTTAAGTCTGGCATAATAGTGCGGCTGCTGCTGTTCGGTCATGGCAGCGTGCGCCCTCTCGGCCTCCTTGTGAAGTCGCAGCTGTTCTTGCCACATTTCATTCTGCGGAGCCTGCCCTGCCCTGGCATTGGTCGCGTGCCCGTTTGAGAGGCCGGCCGAGTTGAAGGTGGCCGAGCTTGAGAGGATACCGGAAGCAAAGGATGAGTGATGGCCCAGCCCATTGGCGCCGGGGAGGATATGGTCGTGCTGTAGCCCTTGGTGATGCTGGGGCTGGGAGGGGTGCTGATGTTGCGCATGCTGCTGGAAATTATACAGCATATTGGGCATTCCCCGCCCCGCCCCATTCAGCCGGGCATTGTGTCCCTGCTGGTGGCTTTGTGAGTACATGCCCGCAGAGGTTGTGTCTGACGCTTTAGAGGTCGGCTCTGGAGCCGCGGCTGTTCAGGACCGCGCCGATGGGCGGTTCTGAGAGAGGCCTAGGCTGGACTATAGAGATACCGGTCGAGGAAGAGGGTTGGCGAGTCTGTCGTGGCAAGCCAGTCGGGAGCAGATGTCATTTGTTGTCTAGTACGCGTTGAAGAGTGATTGGAGCAGAGCCCGGGTCGGGGAGAGGGTGGAAGAAATCTTTCCGCTAGACGCGCTGTTCGAAACGAGGGACACAGGACGGATTATCGCGTTTGCGCATGGGTTCGGCGAGACGGGAGCCCTAGCATATGCAACTGTGATGGGCCGGTGCAGTCGAGCGGATGTGAAGCCGGATTCGACCTCAATTGTCCATGGATAGCTGAGCTCGTCGAAATTCCGGGGGGGCGAGGCTACGCCTACGTCGTAAGCTGGCCGAGGTGAGGAGTAGCAAACCGCGGGGT